AAACTTAAAGTTTACTAAATTTGCAGAGGTAAAAAAAAGTTGATCAAGATTTTTGTACTTCCAGATTAAGGTTTCAGCAAAACTAAAAGATAAACTAAATTAACCTTAAATCATGATTGAATTCAATTGAAACTATTTACACAGTTGAAAGCTTTTTCAAATGTCACCATGAAAACACACACACTGAAGGTTTAAATAGGGTGGAAAACAAATTGAAAAGTTTCAAGTTCTAAAATGATTGTGGTGATAATAATGATAATGATGATGGTCAGCAAAGTCCAGTGGCTCATGGATTTCGGTGAAAATTGTTCAGCTTCACAGAATCACAAGGAATGGATAAAGAAATGGAAAATTTCTCAAATTTCTCTCTCTTTTCATAGTAAATTGAACAATCTGATAACTGTTCAGTTCAAAAGTGATTCATAATTAATCAGCAACCAGAACTTTTTTTTCAGATTTCAAGTCAATATTATTATTATATATTGAGAATGTGAACTTTATATGTGAAGATGATGAGAGGAAGAAAACTAAGATGATCGATAATGAATGAATGAGTGAGTTAGAAACAAAAATGTCAACCATTCCTTCAATCTTATCCTTTAGGGTTCATTATTATTACCAAGATAATCATGATGATAGTAATTAAAGAATCAGAGATTCGCATGAGGAAAGGGTATAAAAATAATAATAATATTGTTATGAAAATAAGAAAATAATCTAAGCAGAAATTTGATTCCAATGGAATTGGATCTTTTTTTGCATCTTACTTATCATCCTCTTACTCTGCCATCATCATCATGATAATAATGATGGTGATGGTGAAGATGATGATAGGAAAAGTAAGCAAACCATGATGAATTCAATAAGCTGAATTAGAGCCATTAGATACAAGGAAAAAATGACTTATATGTAAGAATCGTAAACATTGTTATATGGTTCATCACTTATCTAAATAATGTTGCTAATATTAAAGATGATGAGAAAGGTGGATGACAAAAATGATGAGGGATGATGATGATGGAGATGGGGATGTGTGAATTTGGTTGCATGGGAAAAGCAGAAATTACAGATTTTGGATTCATTTTCATGGAGGAAGACAAAAGGAAATGGAAACGAAAACAACATTTTCTCTGAGTCTCTTTCTGATCTGGTCACTTTGATGGTCAGTCTTTGGAATTATCTTTCTCATGTCATCATGAACTGGCAGGTTATTATTCAGCATAATGATTGTCTCCTTTTTGAATAGAAATTTTTATTCAGATTTTGAAATTGAACCGAGTTTTTTCATTGAACCTTTTTAATGGACATCATTTGATTCATTATCTCAATCTGATCATGAAATATGATTTATCTGTAATTCTGGATTATGATCAATTACTTTTTTCTGACCGATGCTATTTATAGAGAGAGAGAGAGAGAGAGAGAGAGAGAGAAAAGTTCTGTCTCAAATATCCAGTTTCAGATTTTAGATAGATAAATTCATGGTTACCTGTTGAAGTTCAAACAATCATTCAAAATGATGATGTTGACAGTTTATGATGATGGTGATGTGGTATGATAATGATGATTGTTAAGGTGATGAGTGATGATATTTTCTCGTGATTGGATTGATTGATTGGAGAAAATCATGAATTGAATCAAATTTATATGAATATACATTCACCTGGTTCATGATGTTCATGTATATTATGATTGTTACTATTTACATCTAATTGATAAGCAGAAGAGGAAAAATGAAATGGAAAATTTTGTTTTTTTTCTGCAAAAATCATGAGTTTCAATTGAACTTTTCACTTTTGTATCACGAGAAATCTCATTATATCAATCCATCATTTCATCATTCTCATGAAACATCACCATGAATTCAGAAGTGAAATTGAATATGTAATTGAATGTGAGTCTAATTAAAGGAGATACAAAGAGAATATAAAGAGAAAAAATTCTCATAAAAGATAATAAATTCTAAATTCTCCCTGAGTTTTGACTCTATTCTGATTTTATCTCTCGCAAGTTGATCATAATTTCTTTTCATCAGGATGATGTTTATTACTTTTCATGACTGTTCATCCATTTATTCAAGCCTTAAACTCTGATTATTTTAATATATCATTAATATCTTCAGGTAAAAAGTTATTAACAGATTATCTTTGTAACTAAATACAAACAAGGTAAAAAGTTTCAAACAATAAACAACTAGATTATCAGAGTAAACAAATTGTTTACCTTAATCATAAAGGCGATAATCATTTGAATCACCATGAGGGAGGAAATTTTCATGATAAGCTGAGAGAGAGACTTTCATTTGATACTTTGGCTATTCTGATGACATGAATCTCAGGGTGAAAAAGAAATGATTTAATCGATGATTCTAATCAATGAGAAGAGAAGAAAATTCTTATATCAAAAGATGGAGAAAGTGAAAAAGTGATTCCAATGAGTTGGAGGAAGAGGAAAAGGAAAGACGAGACAGTGAGATGATATGATAATGATGAGAAAGAAAGAGAAAAAGACAGAGACAGAGATGGTAGGTGGAAGATGGAAGATGAAAAAGAAGATGATGAGGATGACAAAAAGAGCGAGAGAGACGATTGAAGATACACTTTTGAAAGTTTAATTTCCTGTAGTTGAAAAGTATTATATCTTTGAATGATATTTTCGAAAAAAAAATTCTCTTCCCTTTCATCATCTTATTCCAATGATGATAGTAATGAAGATTATTGTGTTTTCGAAATAACGAAAAAAAAATAAAGGAAAACAAGAATTCGAGGGTTTGGAAGATAAAATTGTTTAGTAAATAATGATAAGTGTAAATGTATTTCTCTCTTGGAATCAGAGCATTTTGATTAACTTTTCAAAATCCTCTCTCTCTCTTTATTTTTTTCCATTGGAATATCTTTCACTTTATCATCCTTATCTTCATGATTATCATCCAGTTATCCATGATGATGATGATGAAGATTCAGCAAGAATTCAGTTGTTTGAATTTTCTTCCTTATTCCTGATTAAAGTTAAGAAGATGAAGAAGAAAAAAACTATTTATCATTTACTTATTTTCTGTTTATCTCATTTCCCTTTTTTTTCATATTATATTCTTGTAAATTCACATGAATTCATTTTCATGATAACACTTGAGAAAATCAGTTTAGTATCATGTATCTGAATGAATCAATGGTGTAAGGATTTAATAGCATCATCAACATGATAATCATTTAGATTGCGCTTCTTGTTAAATTTGATTGTTACACCAACACAATTTGTTTTTACAATTTGTAATTCGTGTCTTTTATTATAATCATTAGGAAAAATAAATCATTCATTTTGATTCTGTCAACATTATTGGATTATTATGATTATTATTTTCTCATTAAACTTGAACTTGATTTGGGAAAATTAATTGTTTCAATTAGTAGGTCATTGTCATTGATTGATTGTTAACCTGTTTCCCTTTATACATAATATAATTTGAATTAACTAATCAACTTCTAGTTCAACAATTAGATTGATCAATTTTTTTCCTATTCTTTTCCTAGTTTTTTTTTTACTCAATCTGATTCTCATTAATTAAACACAATTAATCACATATTCACATCAATTAGTGTTTACTTAAGGTTTAAATCGGTTAATCATCTTCTTATCAAGTATAGAATTGAGTAATTTACTAGAATTAATTGTTAACTTTAACTTGGAACTTGTGAGTTGCATTAGAAAAGAGAGAAAAAAAACTTTTCAAAAGTTTCGAATTTAAAAGTTCTAATAACAAACTCTCAGCGTTATTTCATCATCTTCTCGAATCATTGATGATTATAATCAACAATTAACGGATGAAAAAGTTATCCTATTACACTGAACAATTAAGATATGTTAATATTATTATAAGAAAAATATGACAATTTAATTGATTGTTATTTGATTGTTGAAAAAAAAAACAATCTAACGGGTTAATGTTAATCGTTTACGAGTTGATTGTCATGTCAATCAATTTGTTTATACAATTTAATTGGGCTAATCAGATGATATTGTTAAGATGGTATTAAGATGTAATATTAAGACAGGAGGTGGAACCTTTTTCCCACCCACTGAACTTTTCATCTTGAGGAAATTTTTTCCTTCCCTGATAAAATATTCATTATCCAAAGTAAATGGGTCTTGGTGTATCTCCATCTTCATCTTCATCAACTTATCAACATTTTTTGCTCCTTCTCCATCTTTTTTCTGCCATCATCCTCATCTCTAAATTGTTATCATTTCCAACTAATTAATAAACGTAACACGGTGGATATAATGTATTTCATGATATAATAATACCCTGTGTGTGTCTCTCTCTCAGTTTCAGGATATGATATTGAGACAAAAGGTTAATCAAGCCATGAGTAAATTGCCTGAGATTTTGATTCTGAATCACTTTTAATGAATTTCACTTCGAAAGGTTCCTTGAGCTTTTTGGAATAATAATTTTTTTCCTCTCAACTTTTCCAAGTTCATGATAGTTTCATATGTTACCTTGAATACTCAAAGTATTCATTTCAACTGTTGGTGAAATTACAATAAAAGTACTAAAAATAATAGTAATTAAAAGCTTCTGTTATTAAGTCTGAAATTGTTTCAATTTCAGAAGGGAAAAAAATTCCTTTATTGATTTATATATTGGTTGACATTCACCATGAATTTCATGGTAAATCTAATCATTAGCATCTGATTTCTTACTGGTCATAATAATGTCCATCCTCATTTATGATGATAATAAATAGCTCACTTAACCAAGGTAACACCATGAATGATCAAACTGTCAAATTATATGAAGATGAATCTTAATCTGAATCAATGATAACAATTCTGATACTCAGATATTTCAGTTATTGGAACTGATTAGTTAGATAATTGGATGAAATTGATTTGGATTAATAACAATGGGGATTTATCATTTATCTTATTATATCAGAGATTAATTTTCATTCTTCTTTTTCATGATTGTTTCCGCTTCCGATCTTAAACTTTCCTAGGGCCACATTTCTGGGGACGGACTAATCCAAAATGGGTCTTATGTAATAAGGGTAGACGACAATCACCAATTGACATTGACCCGGAAGCCTTGCTCTTTGACCCTTTTCTTTCACCTCTACAATTGATCGGTGACCATGTAAGTTAAAAAACATTTTACTCCCTCATCTTTATCATCCTCATTATCTTAACTTCATCATCTTCATCTGCTCTCTCTCTCTCACTCTCTCACTCTCTGTTATAATGTGTTTACTGTCATCAACAAATCTCAAGTCATTAATAAAAGTCCTCACTCCCTCTCTTCCTACTCCACCCCAAGTCACTGCTCTCTCTCTCTCTATGGTCTAATAGCTTCATAATGATTAAGGTATATAAGATTCAGTTAATACCTTTACCATGAGACGGAAAATTGAACTCGATCTCATGTCAACATCAGTCAAAGATTTGATATCATATTATTATATAATAATATGTAGGGTGAGGGGAAAAGTTCCAAGAGAAAAAAGAATTTCAACCCCCAACACCAGTTCACCTTATCAATTATCTTGGCATGAATATCAGAACCATGAAGTTAATAGTAACTTTTTTTCATGGAGTTATCTCTTAATTCATAATTAAAGTTGATCCACCACAGCCTTGAACAAGTATTTTCACTAACAGGATCCGGAAAGAGTTGATAACCTTTACATTTAATCAGATTGAGAAATTTTTTCCACCTTTAACATTAAGATAAACTCAGTGTCAAGATCATTTATCTTCTCCTTCACCTTCATCTTCATCTTACTTTTTATCATCTATCCCACTTATCTTATCATCTCATTTCCTTCCTTGACTCTTTTTTTTCGTACTCTCTCTTCATTATCTTATCTCTCTCTCTTATGTCATCTTCCCTGGATTAGGTGAATGGGAACTTGATTAATACAGGTCGAGGTATAATCTTCAAAGTATCAGGATTAAACAAAACAGACACTTTCAACCTTGACTCAAGCTCATTATCATCATCGTCGACTTCCTCTTCCTCCTCTCCACCTCCTTCCGTGAGTCTAACTAATGGTCCATTAACCTACCGTTACACCTTGAACCATTTCGCCCTCCATTATGGTCGTAACTTATCAAAAGGCTCTGAACACACAATCGGTGGTATTCAATTTCCAGGGGAAATTCAGTTTTATGCATATAACTCTCTTCTCTATGACTCATACGAAGAGGCCTCACTTCGAGCCCATGGGGTCGTAGCGGTTTCCGTCCTTCTCCAGATATCCCATGATCCAAAACAGGCCAATAATCAGCTCAAAAGGATAACCCATGCACTTAAAAATATCACCACCAAAGGTACAAACATTTACACTGAATTTATCCTGAAATTTGCCCTGAAAATTTCTAACCTCAAGCAATAGTTTCAACGAGAAACTCATAAAATTGGAAAGCTAATTAATTTCAATGATCAACTTAATCTTTTTTCAGATAATATAATCATGTTAACATGATGTTATCCCTTCCCCTCATTTATCATCAGAATTTGAAATGAATAACATTTTCCCTGTTTTTTTTATTCTCTATCATGATAATATTCAGATAGCATTTCAAATGCTAGAATTTATATTATGAAACATGTGATACATTACATATTATCCAATAGTGGAAAAGAGGGAAATTTTTATAAGTAAAAAAAGTTCATGAGTAACTTTCAGGGGAAGAGATGAAAAGTTATTCAAGATTATCATTGTAATCTGAGTAAATGAAATATTATTACAATTATTAAGATATCATTTTCAGATTGAATTACCATGAATTCAAATTTATTTATCATTAACCTTTTTTTTTGTTCATCTTGAGTGAAAAAAGTTCATTGAGTTATTCAGACAATTGTATTATTATAATAACATGATAAAATTTCACATCATTTCAGAATTTTTTCTGAAATCAGAAAAAGTTTCAATTTTTCTCATTACTGAAAATTCTGATTGTTCATTTCCATCATGTATCATCGTTTTCATCTCTTCTCAATTTATTTACCATTGATTTTGTGTTGTTCTTATTGTTACATGATGATTATCATTCTGATTTCTCTCTCTCTCTCTCTCTCTTTACTCCCTGGATTCAGGAAGCTTTCAAAAGATTGAATCTCTGTCAATCTCTGAGATTATGCCTGAAGCTATGAGGCGACAATATTTAACCTACGATGGCTCATTGACAATACCTGGTTGTTATGAGACAGTTCAATGGATTATACTGAACAAACCGATCTACATGACAAGTCACCTTTTCCATTCTCTGAGAATATCATCTTCAACTGAACCTTCTCATGGTGGTGACAATTTTCGTCCAATTCAAAGACTCAATTCCCGACCCATTAGGACCAACATAAATTTTGAAACTTCATTTGAGGTAAGTTAACTTTTCTTTCACAAAGACAATTAACTTAACTCCCCAAGATATATTCAGTTGACCAAGTTCATTATCATGAAATGACAACAATAACAGACAATCAAAGTAAACAATAGATTCTGATAACAATGATAATGAAATTGAAAATTTATACCGAAACAATTACTTACACTGGTTAGTATCAGTTATTTGTATCAACATGATGAACAATAATGGTGATGTTTCAATGAATATGAAAAACATTCAGTGGGGTGGGAAAAATAGGACAATGGTCAGTGAAAAGATGACCAATGAAGTAAGAATTGATAATGAATATATTAGATAATGTAAATTGGTTTTACATCAATTAAGTTAATCATTCAGGGAAAATGTTTCCCTGACAATAACCATGAATAGTTTCATATAACCTTCTGGTCAGTATAATGGTCAAGACTAATATCTTATTCATATTTGTAATCCTGGTAAATCTGAAATCTTAATTCATATCTTAATAGTTATGAGTTTACAATCTAAACCTTAAGCCGATGGAGATAATCAATTGGTTAATCATATTGAGAATATATTAATACAAATGAATTAATAGTTGTTCTTGAAAATGGAAAATTGTATTTGTAATTGTTGTGTTTGTTTATCTTCAATTTCAGGATAATTTAGAGCATGAGAATGAAAAATTGGATACAAATGAAGTTGGAACTCAATTGAATAGTAAAAAATTGGATGAAAATGATGTTACATTTACAACTACGAGTTCCAATGGTTCCAAGAGGAAAAGTTCATGTTCCATGAAAAGATCTGTCACCTACAGAGGTTTGTTTTCATTCATTTATACATCATTTACTTTTCTTCCCTTATCTTCATCTTCATCTTTTATCTTGATGACTCTTTTTGCATTTGTTTCTATTGCAATTTAAAAACCACCGTCTTTAATATTAACCTTAGAAAAGTAGAAATAATAATCTTCATGATAATTGAATTTCTATCTACAAATTCAGTTCTCTCTCTCTCTTTTCCTCTTGATTGATACTTGTCATCATCATGAAACATTAACAATTCAATTGTAATCAAAAGGTGACATCACATCATCAACAGTTATTATTTTATATTAGTTCATATTCAGAATCAGAACTTTTTTTTACTCTGTTCATCTTTATTTTCGTGGTTTCTTTTCATGGTAAATTATTAACTTCATATTGAAACATTTATGAGATAATAAACTTCATGAGTTGGTTGATATCATGTGAATTCTGAATAGTTCATATTCACAATTGAAGTCACAATTTAAATCTTGTTTTTGCTTCGAGTCTTTTGTATATTCATCAATCGAATCAAATTAAATTGTTAACTGTAACTTAAATTTTCTCTTTCTAATTAATCTACAGCTAATTCACCTAAGATTGTAATTGAAAATTAATGGTAATCATTAAATTGGAATCCTGTTAATTGTTGGTGATCAACTTTGTTAATCGTTTATTAGGATTAATTAAGTTTCATTGGAACCGGATCAAAGCAAAGTATCAATTAATTAATAACTTATTTTCCACTTGCAGTTGATTAATTGTTGAGTTTATTAATAGTAGCCGATAATCATTTGTAATAATTAACTCAATCTCGATGACATTTGTTGCTCAAGTTAATTCAATTCAAAGTAATCAATGTAAGTATTGATTAATTATCATCACCATCATCCTGTTTATTTTAATTAAACTAATTGTTAATTTCTCTCAAATTTTTCAATTAATAGCAATGTCTATCAAGACACATTAATAACAATTAAAGGACCCAATGGACAGACAATTAATATGATTATCTTAATCAGAATAGCCTTTGTTTTGATTTGTTTTGTTTTGTATTTTAATGACAATCTAACCAGAAAAAAATTGTTGATCAACAATTAACTGATTGTAACCAAGTTTATCAAGTAAAATGGTAACAAACAAAATGCTTTTAATAAATTGTAAATTCTGTCAATTTGATCACAATAAAGATGCTCAATGAAATTTAAATTGTTCACAAATCGATTCACCTTATTAAAGTTTCCATGAGGAATATGATTCGGAAGCTAATCTTTAATCCTAATCTGCAAAAAAAAGATTACTAAAAATAATGATAATCCAAGATGAAGAAAAAAGTTTCTTTCGATTTCAAGTTCGAGCTTGTAAACTTTAAACCTTTCATGATATTCAGCTGAATCGTGATAAATTATCAAAGGCAAATATTAGTAAGTTAATGATTAAATTTGGAGACAAAAAAAACATTGGAAACATAATATGTTAGTATATTAATTGTTCATTAAAACAATTAACTTAATCCATTAGTTGAGCAATTTCATCACTGGATCCAAAGGGTTTGTTTATTTGAATAGATTATCATCTTATCCCCACTGAGTTATTGTGCCCTTTGTCTTGCCCACCCCACCTCATGATATTGTCTCATGTTACTGAAAAATTGATAATAATACATTAATATCAATGAACAATTATTATATTGTTGTTGATTACCTTAAGGTTGATTTAATAATGATAAAAATACTTTGTCTCATTGTTCATGAAGGTAAATTAAACTTGTGAGCACAATTAATATGAAAATAATATTATTATAATTTTACCTGAACTTTTGTTCATTTAACTGAGTAATTAATTCATGGTGGATCAACTAATTACACCCAGTAACACAGTAAGATTATGAGAGAGGGTAAAACAATAAGTTGATTAATTACAGCTAATGAATTCATATCATCATGAACAACAATTAATCAACATTCAACTTTGATTTGTGATAAACAAGAAAATAAAAAACTAATTGTTCAGAAAAATCAATGATCAATAATAATGGTAATATTTGAAATTCAAATGGATTCTCATGATAACCATGGTAATTTTTTTACCAAATGAGCAAATATGAATGAGACATGAAACATAATCATGTTAATATAAATTTCCACAGGTAACAACTGACCAGTATTGGTCAGTGTGAGTATCATGTCAGATTATCATATCTACATGAATCGATGGTCACTATTACATCACCAAGAAATAATTGCATCAGAATCTGAATAATATACAGCTTCTGAATTTACTCCCGAAATCTTTCATCTCTTACTCATCTCATGATACGATCAGTAAACTCAATCGACTGATTCGGACATGAACTTGAACATAAGAAAAAAAGTTCTTGGCACTGAATTGTTACAATAACAGATCCAAATTGAATAGTAAACATCATTATCATGATAAACATGAACACATGTTACAAGAATCATATTGTTATATTAAAATAAGAGTGAGATCATTATGATTATTATCAACCGAAGTACTTAGAGTTACTTTGCTTCCCTAATCTTTTTAGAACTTTTTTCTTCCTCGAACTTGTTCGAATTTTAAATTCTTTCTTCTTCTTATTCCACTTCCTCTCTCTCTCTCTCTCTCTCCCTTGAAGCAATTTTTCACCCTCCACCTAATGGTTATCATGATAATATTTTTCCATATTCAGAATGGAACAACTTCTTTAACAATTCAAATTACAATATGATGATGATCGAAGTGAACCAAAATTTTGTTAGTTCGAAACTTTTTTTCTTCTTCTTCTCTTCGACAAATAATTTTCTTTTCTTTCACTTTGATGACAATGATGAAATTTAAACGATTATAATGATTATTATTTTCTGAGGGTGAGAACTTGGGGAGATGGAAATGACGAGAAGTTAAAGTTCTGAGGTGTTCAACAGGAAACCGGAAGTTTCTTCGGTTACGAGAAGAGAGGAAAAAAAAGTTCTAAGGTTATCATTATTATCTTTTAATTCAGTTTGCAATTTAATGTTGATAGAAAAACTTTTTTTCCATTATATCTAATGGCAGATTATTAAGTTTCTCCTTAATTTTTTGATTAAATTTTCAGGCCAACACTCATTATCTTTTTGATGAATCTCATTCATTTGAATTTTATTCCATCATCATCATCATGTTGCAAATCATTTCGAGTTCATTTAGAGTATTTAATCTGATTAGATGATGAAGAATCAACAATTCACCTTTTTTACTTTTACTTATTCCAAAGATTATTATTATATTGGAATAAGAATTTCAAAGTTTGAACATTTCTCGAATTTAAAGTTTACTCTTCGATCACATTATTACCTATTAGTTGTTCATTGTTGATTAATCAGCTTGGAATTGATTTGAAAATCAAATCAAAGGCAAATGATAATTCTGATGATATATTGATGATAATTTAGAGATGATTCAATTTCGCATGTACCTGTTTTCTTGCTTATTCAATTATTGTATTGGTGGAAACAACAAGAAATCAATTTCATTTGATTCAGTTGAATGAATAGTTTCCTGTGATATTTTTCTTGCTTCCTACATAACCAAGAATCATGATCTCCTTTTCCCCGTTTTTGTTGAATTCATTGAAATTCCAGGTAATAAAAAGTTCTGCAAGGAAATGGGGCTGATATATTGGTTTATATTTCTTATTGTTTCCATGATGTTATTGGTAAACAGGGGGAGAGAGAGAGAGAAAAAAATTCCTCATGAAATTCAAGATGTGTAAAGATGCCAATAGTTATTCACCCAGGTTGAAATAAGATGTTACTTGGATTTTGTTAATAATAATTTGATCCAATTGATTTAACAATTGATATTATTTTTTCTGCTTAGCCTGAGGGTTTATCATGTTATTGTTAGATCTCAGTGTACACAGTTTACGTTGATTTGTCACTAAAAATTCAATATGGATCAAGAGGCTTTCACATTTCTGGATTAAATTACATTCTAATCTGATTAATCCAATCTAATGATGGCATTTTGTTCTTGATAACAATTTAAAGTGAATATAAAATATTATCTATACATGAATTTTATAGTTTATCTAGTTATAGTCATTAATCTAATATTATCTACAGAATAATTGTTATTAATTGGTATTATTGCTATCTAATTCTGTTGAATAAAATTGATTCAAGTTCAGTATTTAGAGGTCGTTCTGGTGATGAATTTTCTGGGAGTAAACGTGGTGTTGCATAGGACCAAAATCTTTCTTCCGTTGGAATGGACAATTTATCCAACAATTTGGTTGACATTTGTGGTATCACTGGTTGCATTAATATTCCAACAACTCTGAGAGCTTCAAAAGCTAAGTAAATCACTGAATATAGTTGTTCATGTTTCTCTGGGTCTTTAGCAAGTTCCCAGGGTTTAGAGTCTTGGACCATTTTATTTGCCATACGAAGTGAACTCATGATTAGGTCAATTCCATCGTAAAAATGAGCCTCACTGAAACATGAATCCACTTTGGACGATAATTGGATTAGACTATCAATTAGATTATCTGCTTGAAGTTGAGATAAATGTTTGTGATCTGGAGTTTTCGGGTAGATTTGTTTAAGGTTAATCTTAGGGGCACAACATCGACTCAGGAGGTTACCAAAAGTATCAGCGAGATCCATGTTGAGAAAATAACACATCTGAGATTCACTGAAATCTATGATGAAAATTAAAGAGATTAGAAAAATGTTATTTAGAAATAACCATTAGTTACTTACTTCCATCATCATGTGGAACTGCTTGTCGAAGGAGAAAATATCTTATCCATTCTTGGGAATAGGTTTGAAGAAGGTTAAAGGGATCAACGATATTTTGTCGACTTTTTGACATTTTGACACCGTCAACAGTCCAGTGTGAGTGACAGATTATCCGTTTGGGTAATTCTAATTTAGCTGCTAATAAAAAGGCAGGCCAATAGATTCCATGAAATTTGATAATATCTTTACCAATAACGTGACAGTCTGGAGGCCAAAATTGTGACAGATTAGGATAACCGGCAACAGTTAAGTAATTGACAAGAGCATCAAGCCAAACGTAAATCTATGAAAAATGTATTCAGATGATTACAATTGATCAGGACAATAATAAGTAAATTCTTACCCGTTGTGATTCATCTGAAGGCACGGGTACTCCCCAAGAGAGTCTAGATATTGGCCTGGAAATTGAGATGTCGTTGAGTCCTTGTTTAATCAAATGAACTACTAATTGATGGAATATATTTGGTTTGATAGAAATTTTTTCCGTCTCGTAATAGTTTATCAATGGTTCAGAGAATTGGCTCAATTTGAACATGTAGTTTTCCTCTTCAAACCATTCGAGTACATGTCCAGATTCGGTAGAGATTTTAACCTTTATCCCGTCGATATCTTTTTCTTCAATCGAACTTGATGGTAAAAATGTTTCATCGGACACTGAATACCAACCAGAATATTTAGATTTATAAATATAACCATTGTTAACCAATTGATTCCAAAAGTGTTGCACAGCAATTAAGTGACTAGAATCTGTGGTTCGGATGAAATGAGTGTTTCCAATATTAAAGGTTGAACATAGATTGGCAAACCTTTTGGAAATGTTATCACAAAACTGTTGAGGCTCAAAACCTCGAGCTAAAGCAGCTCGTTGTATCTTAAGAAAAAAATAAGAATAAATTAGAATTAGAATTAATCAATCAGCTCAACAAATAATCCCTTAAACAATTAAACAACTAACCTTAAGACCATGTTCATCAGTTCCAGTTGTAAACATGGTCGGTTCAGCACCTTTTAACCTTGCGAGACGATGTAAGGCATCAGTAACAACCAACGTATGAACATGACCAATATGAGGATCTAATTAAAATCAAATAACCAAAAAAAAATTCACAAATGAAATCAATTTGAATTCAAATGAAAAACAATTAACTGGACAGAAAAAAATACTCACCAGCATTCACATAAAATATTGGAGTAGATATAAAGTAATTACTACTAACAGGATGAATCCTCGAATAAAGGTTACTAATTAATCTCATAATAACAATAAATCTAAAAAGAAAACAAGTTAATTACAATTAAATTAAATCTAAAAGAAAATAACAAAAGAAGAGAAATTTAAAAAGAGAACATGTTGAGAGTCACGTGATCGAACAGATGATTTCGAAAAAAAAATATTCTTTTTTTCATTTGTTGCTATTCCAGAAAATTCTGAGTAAGAATTTCTTATTACCTCATTTCGTTTGTGAATGTAAACGTTAATTGTCCATCGAATTAAAGTAATTAACCATTTTAAATTATTCTTTTTGATTGTTGTTTGTTGTTGAGATTTTGTTTCTATTGAATTGTAACTGATTTTCTTTGAAAAAATGTCTTTTATGTTACAGCATCTTCGCAATGGTTGGGAGGTTGACCAGGCGATTTTGTCAGAGGAAGATCGGGTTGTTATTATACGATTTGGACACGATTGGGATCCGACTTGTATGAAAATGGATGAGACACTTTATGGTGTTGCTGAAAAGGTAAGGGTGTTCTCTTTACAATCATTAATAGTGATCAAATAGTAATCTAATTTGGGCTTTTTATTTTCAGGTTAAAAATTTTGCTGTCATCTATTTGGTGGATATAAGTGAAGTTCCTGATTTCAACAAAATGTACGAGTTATATGATCCATGTACAGTTATGTTTTTCTTTCGAAATAAGCATATAATGATTGATCTGGGAACTGGTAACAATAATAAGATCAATTGGGCTCTGGAAAATAAGCAAGAATTGATCGATATAATTGAAACCGTTTACAGAGGAGCAAGAAAAGGTCGCGGTTTGGTTGTATCTCCGAAAGATTATTCAACTAAATATCGATATTGATCCAAAGTGTTCATGATTTTCTCCTTATTGTCAATATTTTCAAGCGACCATCACTAGTAACATGGTTACAAAATTTCAACAAAATTGATGTTAATTGCATGACCTTGGAATAATCAAGTAAATCATTTTCCATCTCATCATTAATTTGACATTAATGTTATTTGCTCACTGGAAAAATGATCACAAATTATTCTCGACTGGTGATTAGAGTCTTCACTCATTAATCTTACTACATTTCCATGAGAATTTGTTTATTGTGTTGATTTTATTGAATAAATCAAACTGTTCCACAGGAAATCAAGTAAATTCTGTGTTAATCTATTTCACAACATGAAAATGATTGAATTAACTTTCTTTCCGATTTAAAAGCAAATGATGCTGCGAATTAGATTTTTTCATGGATAACTCAAAAGTCTATTTTTAAATCGTCTATTGAAATGATATAATTATCCCAAGAACAATGAAACAGAAAGAACTACCACTCGCAATGAATAAACTAATTGTTAAAACGTGTCGATTTGGATACATTGTATTTTATTTGGTTAATGATTGCATCAAGTTAACCAACTCATACAATAATATGATTTGGTTTGTTTTATCTCTTACATTTTCTATAATTTTTGATTTTTCTGGGATTGATAACCTTTTTTCTTCTTCTTCTTCTTAAAAACATTAACTCTTTATATCGCAATGATAATTTCTTTCTCTTCATTGGCAGCATTGGAATCAGTCTTTAGCTTTCTTCATTTACTTCTGTTAACTGAATGATCCCAAATGATTAAGGAGCCAATTCCAATCCCATACCGAGTTTGTGTCCACCAGAACTGACATTTTTACCATCAATGGAAGCACAAAGTGTAAGCAAAATACCAGATCGAAGACGATGAACAAGTCCAAGTCCAATAGTTCCACTGTTATTAACTTTGGCCTTGACTGAAGTGTCATTGTCAAGCTTGTAGATACAACCAAGTCCAAATCGAGTGGCATTGCTGTCAGTTGACCAGGCAAGAGAAATACCAGTTTCCAATTTGTCATTAACACGTTGGTAAACAGTACTCGAAGCTTCCTTACCATCAGCCCTAATTTGTGAAGGTCATAAAAATGGAAATGCAAATTATTGTTAGTTCATTTTTCATTCATCACTCAAGACTAATTCATGAACAAAATGCTGCATTAGAAAGGAGAGACTTACAAATTGGTGGTCCAGTTGAATTCTGGTGTTTGATATCCAATGGCAATGTTATTTTTCTTGATCGCACTTTTAGATGGGTCAAAGGAAAGTTGAGCTCCACCTAACCATGATTGGAATCTATAAAAAGAAAACCAAATCCAAACAATGCATCAATATTACTAATTTTATAAGTTCATGTTTTTTTTTTCATTATTTCCAATGATAGAATAAGATCTTACTTAAAGACACCAGCTCCATGGAGTACAAATCCACTTTGTTCCATATCAACATCTCCATTCAAATGTAAAGCATCAGTTTTAAATGATGTTTTAAAGGTTCCATTCTTTTTACCAGAAAGTGGAACAAATGATCCGTTAAAGGCGAGCTTAAGGCCTTTAGCGAATTGATCATCAACAGAAAGCTCAGTGGATAAAACATTATCGGTTGTCCATTTTTCTTTCACTGTTAATCCATAATCAGAGAGATAATGTTTCGATTCCAAATTAGCAGCAATATTACCAGTTGCAGTGTTTGATGTTCCACTAACATTGAACTCAACTTTATTCTGTGTTTTAGTTTTAAAGTCAAGCTTTACAATACCCAAATCTATTGATAAAATAAAGAAAAAAAAATATACAATTAAAACCAATTTAAAATTAGCAGTTTGAAGAAAAAATCACCAACATTTACCAATAATGACACAAGAAAATCTCAAAAGCGTTCAGGTTGAAATATCATCCATATCACTCTCAATTATTCCAGATAATTCTGTAACAAGGGTGATTCTTTTCTTTTAATTTAAACGTTAAACTAATCAAATCTAATTTGATTAAATTTTGTCTAAGATATTTGAAGGTCAAATACATTTATAAAAGAAAAGAATCAATAATTGAAGAGTAAAATTGAATAAATACCTAACCCTAACTCTCTTGCTCTCTGTACTTACGGTAGTTTTTGTTGAACAAATCTTTGGCTTGTTTACCCAAATCAGCGAAACATGGAGTTGCCATTATAATGAATTAAGAATGAAATGAATTAAAGGTAAATACAATAAATATTTTAAACGGAAGAGAGAAACAGAAATATAAGAGTAATTAATAAGAATCACAAACAATTAACTTATCACCAAAAAAGAAAATTTTCTGATTATAAACCAGAGAGATAAAAGAATTCACTAGATGGCAATAGTAGTACAAGAATAGAAAAAAAATTCTGATTGAATATTCATTCACTTTAATTCTAGTTCACTTTTATCCTAAGTAATTATGAGTATTATTGATAATCTGACCAATTTTCTAATTAACTTTTATCTAATAATTGGGTTTACAATTTGAAAAGATGATTAATTGTGATTTAGAAAAGAAAATTTTTTTAAAAATCTCAATTCGCGCTTCGTTTTGTTCTTTTGTCGCCATCTGGTGGTTACCTTAGAATTTAAATTGTTCGGATTCAAGAAAAAATTCTGAACTTAACAACCGGTGTGTTTGTTTCAATCTCTTGACTTTTTTTTAATTTTTCTCCTTCATTTTTAATTTGTTAATTACTTTTTGACAATTAGCATAATGGCAACTCCATGTTTCGCTGATTTGGGCAAACAAGCTAAAGATTTGTTCAACAAAAATTACCGTAAGTAAATGATTAATTTATTCCTGTTAAAGGCTTTGGTTTTTTCTATCATTTTTACTTTACTACGATTTGACCTTCAAAAATTTTCTTCGAGACATTTGATAATAACTTGATAATTTTATCCATTTATTATGCAAATCTTTGCTAAATATTGTTGCTAATTGATAAATGATAGTATTTAGTGTCCCACAGGTTAAAAATTCGGTCATTTTAAGGCCACTTTGTACCACGTTGGTTGAATTGCTTTTATCAAATTTCAATTCGTTGGCCAAAGCTTAACCTTATTCAACTTGCTCACTAATACATTCTCAGTATTGATTAGAATTGTGGTTTTAATTGTATATTTTGTATATTTTTCTTTCTTTGTTTTATTAATAGATTTGGGTATTGTAAAGCTTGACTTTAAAACTAAAACACAGAATAAAGTTGAGTTCAATGTTAGTGGAACATCAAACACTGCAACTGGTAATATTGCTGCTAATTTGGAATCGAAACATTATCTCTCTGATTATGGATTAACAGTGAAAGAAAAATGGACAACCGATAATGTTTTATCCACTGAGCTTTCTGTTGATGATCAATTTGCTAAAGGCCTTAAGCTCGCCTTTAACGGATCATTTGTTCCACTTTCTGGTAAAAAGAATGGAACCTTTAAAACATCATTTAAAACCGATGCTTTACATTTGAATGGAGATGTTGATATGGAACAAAGTGGATTTGTACTCCATGGAGCTGGTGTCTTCAAGTAAGATCTTATTCTATCATCGGAAATAGTAAAAAACATGAACTTATAAAAATAGTAATATTGATGAATTGTTTGATTTGGTTTTCTTTTTTTATAGATTCCAATCATGGTTAGGTGGAGCTCAACTTTCCTTTGACCCATCTAAAAGTGCGATCAAGAAAAATAACATTGCCATTGGATATCAAACACCAGAATTCAACTGGACCACCAATTTGTAAGTCTCTCCTTTCTAATACAAGACTGTGTTTATTAAACATCAATTTGTCTCATGTAATAAACTCATGTTGCTCTTATTAAATTAGGGCTGATGTTAAGAAGGCTACAAGCACAGTTTACCAACGTGTTAATGATAAATTGGAAAGCGGTATTTCTCTTGCCTGGTCTTCAGAAAATAACGCCACTCGATTTGGACTTGGTTGTGTCTACAAGCTTGACAGCGAAACCACAGTTAGAGCTAAGGTTGACAATAGTGGCACTTTCGGTCTTGGATTAGTTCATGCTCTTCGACCTGGAATTGCTCTTACACTTTGTGCTTCCATTGATGGTAAAAACTTCAATTCTGGTGGACACAAACTCGGTATGGGATTGGAATTAAATGCTTAAACAGAATTAGAATTGTAAAACAAATCAGAAAGCAAAAAGAAAGTCGAGCCTAAAACTAATAATAATCTTAAGCCTAATTCCACTGCTGCCAATGGAGAAAAAGAAAAAAGTTCATCGCGATACTGAAATGAAAATTAGTTTTTCTAAAGAGAAAAGAAATTAATGGATCCCAGTTAATTATAAATAAACAAACCATAGAAAATGTAAGAGAAGAAGGAAAAAAGAAAAATTATATTATTGTATGTGAAACACACACACAATTCAATTATATAAATCAAACTAGTTATCAAAAAGATTATCTATTCAGTTAATTGTATTAGTCGTATTTAGATTTACTTGTTCTGATGTTTTTTCATATTTCATTAAAAGTTAAATTGATTAAACAATTAACACGCAAATGTCTTCGAAATTCAATCAGTCTAAATTGTTACAACTTCAATGTCAGTGATTAGTTTTTATTTTAAATGGTAATTGAATAAACTGAAACACTTACCAACAACAATTAGACTGGAAGATTTTTCTTTGTCTTCAAATCCAATTGAACAATTGAAACTCAATTAAAATATCAGCAAATGATTTAAAAATGTGATGAAAATTAATGTAACAATTTAAAGTGGAGAGAAAAATTGTCAACAATTTTCTAATTGGTGGTCATCTAATTAGGATGGAGTGGGCATTGTGAGAGTAAACAATAAATGAGGAGAGAGACGATAAGTGAGGCCAAGGACGATTTTCCGTTATCATTGACCTTCGCTCTGAACCAAGTTTTGTCGCTAAGTTTATATTTGCAGCCAACACCAAACGAGGGCGATTTACCCTTGGCCAAAATCAGGAAAACACCGGTTTCCAAATTGTCGCCCATCTTAAGATGACCAGTGCCAATCGCTTCTTTACCATCATTTCTGAATGCGAATAAAAAAAAATGTTTTAATTGTTGCGAATCCAAAAACGAAAACAAAATCCAACAAGAAGAGTAAAAAAAAATGTCAACAAACGTTTTCGCAAGCCAAGTGACCGATGGTGTTTTATACCCAATGGCGATATTGGTTTTCTTAATTTCCCCAGCAATCGGATCCATTGAGAACTGAGCACCATAGATCCAGGAATTAGTGATATATGAATTTCTGACCAGAAGCGGAAATCATTTCAGTTGCAATCGGAGATTTCAAGAGAGAGATTAATTCACTTACAATTGTATGACTCCTGCTCCATGGATAACTGAACCATCTTGACCAACATCTAGACTGGAATTAAAATGACCTGAGATTCCCTTGAGAAATGATAACGAATCTTTGACCGCGATTTCCGATGAGAAACCTTTATCGCCGATCCATTTGCCCTTCATTACCACTCGATGTCCGGCCAGATACCTTTTACCGACCACTTTTAAAGCGATGTCACCATTGTCCGTAAATGTTTGTCCTTTCACCTTAAGTCCAGCATTTTGAGATGTGGCCCGATCGTATATCAGGTCAACAAGACCAAGACCTGAAAATCAATGCAAACAGAAAGATACACATGATTAAAGTGAATTTGAACAATTGAACAATCAACTGAAACATCTTACTTACGATTGTATTCCTTGAATAGTTCACGAATCGGTCGGTCTAATTCAGTGAAACTTGGAACTGACATGATCAATGATGAAGGTAAAATTAAGAAAATTAAGATCAAAATGATCATGTAAAAGAATCAATTTATGATTACAATTAAAAGGAAACAATTAAATGTTAACATGGCTTGTTACCTTTCCATTACTTGTCATTTAAATGATTGCAATTAGATGAATACATTAGACATTGTTATCCAATCAAAATTAACTCTTAATTGTTTTCACTTTTTGAGCAATTTAATCATATTTTCTATAATACAATTGATATTAATATGATTTTGTATGTACTTTCGATTGTGATTAGAGGTGAATAAAAGTTAATTGATCATGGATATATGGTCACAATCAAGAATTCAGGCAATTAGATGGATCTTAATTTGATCGGATTAAAAGGTGACATCGATTTTGAAAGAAATGTCCAAATTTAAGGAGCCACGGAAAGTGAAAATGAGAAATCGGGTCCGTAGTTAAATGCAAATCCGAAGGCGCTTTGTCCAAGATCATTAACTTTAGCAATTAGACAAAATTTCTCATTGAGTTTGTATTTAACACCGAGTCCAACCAAAGGTGAATTGTTTTCCACCATGGTCACTGAAAGGCCACTTTTCAATTTATCCGTAAACTTGTAGGAAATTGAACTTGTAATTTCGGTATACCAAATGTGTGAATATCTGAAAAGTTATAAAAAGAAATCGAAATGTTATTGTTAAATTGTGTCTATAGAGAATATGGAAAGAATAACAATAAGAATAGATTGTTAATTCTTACGCTCTGGTAACCATATTAAGATTCGGGGAGAGATATGACAAGGTAAGAATGGTCTTCAATCTTGATCTGAATGAAAATTGACCACCTAAACACCATGATGATAATCGAGATGCATCAGTAAATCTGGAAAAATGATCAGATGAATAGCCAATTAATTGAGAGGATTTTGTAACATCAATTGGGAAGAGTAATTAATAGTTTTACAATGGATAATCAACTAACAATTGGAAGATTGTTGCACCATTGAATTTGGAACCATTGGTACCGAAACTAATGCAACTGTTCATGTGAATCATTGAATTACTTGTTGGTGCGAATGAATTTTTAGCTTTTACAGAGATAGAGGTCAATTTAAGGCCAATCCATGGTTCCATATCTTGACCAGACAATTTAACTGCTACAGTTGAGGGTTGACCAAATACATTGAATCTTCGGGAAGCGACAATATTGTTTATGATGACACCAGTTCGACCACACGTTGTTCCCAGTAAGTGGACACTGTCCATCCCGAGGAATCCAAGGCGTCTAACATTATAACCAACCTCAAACTTGAGGGCTAAAGGGGTTAACACATATAAACAAAGAGAAATATAAAAAAAAGCAAACAAACAATTAAAAGATTGAATGACAACCAATAAATTCCTTCAAAGAATTTGACTCTTAATCTCTGCTCTTATCGTAATTAAAGCCCGATGACTTAGAGGGAATCAATATTAACGTTGATTGTTGTCTAATCACCCGAAAGAAACAACAATTAACCATAATCACCAAAAGTAAACAACATGATGATGAACAAGCTTCACACTTACGGTTATGGTTTTTGTACAATCGTTTGGCCTTACGGTCCAAATCATGGAAACTGGTGATGACCATTTTAAAAATTATTGGAAAAAGAAATTACAATTTAATAAAATGCTAAACAAAAACACAATAAACAATTAAAACCATCAAAGATTAACAGTTAAGTTGGCGGACAAATTTTTCTAAATTAACGAAATCAAAAAGATTTTTATTCTAAAACCGCTAGATGGCAGCACAGATTCGAATTCTAATTTTAATTGTTAATCGTTAATCTTTTTTTCATTGTTGTTTAATTACTCACGTAATTTGAGTTAATTATTTATTGTCTTTTGTGTGTTTATTTTTCAAAGAAAACTTTCCAATCTATTTTGATCAAGTTTAATTGAAGGATTCTCGTTATTATCTTTGAGATGTTTGTCCTCATATTAAATTCAATTAGCAAAAGTTAATCCAAACTCTTAATTAATTTAATGGTTAATTTGAACAACATTTAAACATGTCCATGTTTACCTGAGAATGGTGAATTTACAGTTATTAAAAAATTCTTCAGGTTGATTAAATGATATTAAGAAAATGTTGAAGATTTAGCGATTATACAGAGATGGAAAAAGATAATTGTCAGATTTAGGTGACAATTAATTTCTATTTTAATAATGGAAAGTTGAATGAAAAAGAGACAAAATTTAATAACTGGAGATTAAAATAGCCTCAGGGTAAGAGCGAAAAATATATAAACATAAGGGAATTTAAAGACTAATCAACTTAATCATCAACATAATCAAACATCATAACCATTTCCAAGGGATACAATCTAATAGCAACAATCAAGATAATAACAAATTCATGAGTGAAATGATAAACAAGATGAAAGAGGAAGAAGATTAAGATTTAATATTGATGATGGAAGAAAAAAAAAGAAAGTATCAAGATGATGCGAAATTCCCATCATTCAACATTAGATGGATGAAATAATATCTTGGAAATGCATTTTCATGGAAGAGAAGAAAGAGAGAAAAGAAAGAGAAGATGAAGATGATGAGGAAAATAAAAACAAAAACATCAAAAGTAAAGGAACCAAATGAAAGGAAAAGGAAGATCAAGATTAAGGAGCGTTAATATTGAGATTCACACTCATGGATTAAGAGGAGTTAATAGTAAGTGTGTATATCTTTTCATTCACAATTTGATAGTAACTGTTGTTGTTACTGCTTCTGGAGATGATGAAGATAATGGAAGATGATCATTTACATAACAATAGTTACAATTAAAATAATAACATCACAACATGTTCACTTTGCCACTGAATCTTTATCACAATTAACATGATGAACTTTCATTTTCTCATGCAAATAGTGAGACCGAGAGAGACTGAGAGAGAGAGAGAGAGAGAGAGAGAGATCTTAACTTTTTTATCATCTTTTCTTATCCTTTGTGAATGTTGAATGTGAATAGAAACTGATGACGATGATGATGATGACACTTAATATCCGTTGTACACCCTTCCGGTTTATCTTCATTATCATTGTCACCTTAATTTATTCAAATCAAATTTAATAACAGCAAATCACCTGAACCTTAAAGAAAAATGAAAATAAGAAAATTAAAGAACCAGGAAAATAAAGTGAAATTTTTCAATAATTAACTTAATTTTAATCAATGTGATTCTAATTGGTTTTCCCTCTTAATTGTGATAATCAAATGAAACTAATTGTGCTGACCAATCAGAGGATTTACCTTGTTTATTAAGGAAACAATTAAGGTCAAGTTCAGTAGTAAACAAGACGAGGAAAAAAAGTATCAAAGGAAATGGAAATCAAATTTTTTTGGCAGAGAGAGAGAGAGATGATGATGATGATGATGATGAGGATGGAGATGATGTTAACCATGCATGGATAACGAATGTATTAGTCATTGATACGCAAAGTTAATCAACAACAACAAGAGACGTCAATAGAAACATCAACTTACTAAAGTCTTCAACCTTTTCTATCCTTCTGAAGGTGGAGTAGTTGTGGGTGGGTGAATGGGAGGTGGGGTGGGTGATGATGATGAGGAATAGTGGTAGATGATGATGATGATAAAGAAAGAGAAAAGAAAGAGAGAGAACTGAATTGAAACTGGTTTGGTCAGTATAATGAGAGAAACTCAATTTGATTTTTTTTTTATTCTTCTCAACTTTTCATTTACTCGTTACGTTTTTCTGTATCATGTTGATTAACGTTGAATTAACTGTTAACTGTAGTTAACAATTTAAATTGTTCAATCCGTTAGTTGAATGTCTTTCCAGTTAATTGTGAATGTATATTTTTGTTTCCAAATGATCAACAAGTCTCTCAAATAATAACAATCAACATGATTGTTGAAAAGTTTTTCAAGTTTATTATTTAGTAAATTAATCCAGTTGATTATTAATCATTTTCCCTTCCTTCATTTTTGTTAATTTTGTTTTGTTGTTTCATTGTGACAATTAACTATTGACAATCAGTTGCCTTTGTACAGTTTTATCATCAGTATGAATCAATTAATCGGGATTAAAATTGAATCAATTTGTGTGGATTAAGTTAATTAGTGTCTTTTTTTATTTGGTCAATTGGCAAATGTTTTAATTGTTTCATCTTAATTGTTGCTAATTATGGATAATAATCAAATGGATGATATTGTAATTTCGGGTTATCTTTATATCCCAAGTCAAAGTTTCCTCAAATTAAAACAGGTAAGTTGATCACAATTAACTTCTAATTACCTTTGGAATTGTTGACAATTAATCAATATTTGTATGAACAGTTAGTCAAGAATTGATTACAATTAACTAGATCAATTGTAATCAATTTTTTCCATCTTAATTGTTATCACTTATTGACTAATTAAAAAGAAAGTTTAAAAATCAATCCAAATATGGATTAGATTGATTAGTCCTACGCTAATTTAAATTTTGTTTGCAATTTTCAATCAACAATTAACTTAATCAACGTAAGAGCAACAAAAAAAACAAATTATTTAGCTCACTAATCAAATGGTCAAACCTTAATTTCCGTTGACAATTAATGATTTAAATGGTATTAACACAATAACAATAATAACAATTTAAAAAAACTTTTTTTTTCTCTTCGTAACAATTAAGAAAATATAAAACTGATAATCAAGTTAATCACCGGTTAATTATCATGATATGTTACCTTTCATCAATCAATCAATTGTAATCAATGATCAATATAATATTAAACCAATAGGTGGATGTATAAGAGGAAGAGGTAACCATTTATGATTAAGTTAATTGTTGATTAATGATATATATTTATAATCAAATTCTCATATGATTTGACCTAAATTGTTTGCTGGTTAAATTGTTAAACCCTAATTTAGGGTCAATTGTTGATGATTACAATCATCAAAGTATCCGATCAACAATCTAATCAATCAAAAAGTGAAAAACAAAATGATAGAAATAAATTTTTAATTATAATCAATAATGATGATAACTAATCAACAAAATTTTCTCGCACAATTTAACTTGATGATATTTGAAAATGATTAACTAAATTGTGCTGATTAACTGATAAATAACTTTGTGTGTGTGTGTGTGTTTTACAATTGAATTGATCATTTAAATATCTAATTGAAAATCAATCAATTGTGATTAATATTGGAAAACAATCAATATGATGTGTGATGATGATTATCTGTTGATTGAATCATTTTTTTTTGGCTTCTTAATTGTTGATTAAATGATTAGGATATTTTAATTGTTTTTCCTTTTGCTATTAAATCGATCAATAATATTAACTAATTTTATTGAATACAGGGACAAGGTTAATTGTTGTTGGTGAAATTAGAAATCACAATTAGACTTAACAATGTAACGATTACGATTACGATTGTAATTGTTAAATTGTTCATTTCGTTGAACCGATAAACATTTGACCTAAATCATGATTGTCCTTTAAGGCATTTATATCAAATTTAGTTTCTTCTTGTTAATTGTTAATTGAAAAATAGCCACCAACACACAGTAGTTTTTAATCACAGTTTTTAATTTAGTTTCCTAATTGTTACCGAGTGTTAAATTGATATGATCATGTTCATAAATTGTTACTCTTTCATCAATTTTCACACTAATCATGAAAATTAACTTCTAACAATTTAAATAATACTCTGTCTTGATTATGTATTTGTATGAGTTTTGGTGTTACACAAAATTACAATTGTCAATTTTGTAATAAATTATTAGTTAATTGTTGTATCAAATTAGTATATTATTATTATATATAAATATGTGTTCGTGTTGTTAATGGTAATCAAAACTTGATAACAATCAAAATAACTGTGATGATTTAAATGGTAACAATTTAAATTGTTGTTGTTGAAATAATCATTGGATTCAAGATGCTAAACAGTTACAACTATTGTTATTTGATTATCAGGAAGTATAATTTTTGATTGTTAATCAAAAATGAATTAAATTGTTGACATATCATGTTGAATATCAAAACATTTGCCAAGTTAATTATCAGTTGATAATCAATGTAAATTTGCTGGTTAATCAGTAATTACCGGCTAATCAATTAATATTATTGTAACTAATCAATTATGTCTTTAAATTGTCATTTAATTGTCTTTGACTAATTGTGATTCGGGTAAAATAAAATCATATAAAACAAAATCTAATGATTGTAACGGTAAATTGGAGGATTGGAGTTAATTGTTAATCATGAATTTTAATTTGATGATTAAATGTTTCTAGAAAAAGTAGTAATTAATTAATTCTCTCACAATTTGTGTAAAATTATAATCAAGATTTTAATTGTTGGTTTAATCATTTTGAAAGTAAAAACTAAATTAGGAAAGTTGTTAATGATTATACATGATAACTGTTGACACCACTGATTAACTGTTGATAATTAAATGTTAACCTGATTCACAATCAAGAGACAACTAAATTAAGATGAAGAAAAAAACAATTGAAATGATTTATATTTAAACACGATACAATTGACCATTAATTTAAATCGTTACAATTACAACTATTAATTTGAATTTTGTTTTTCTGTTGTTTTCCAACTCGCAATTAACTTTAAACACAATTTGATGAATTATCTTAATCGTCTTTGTCCTGTCTCTCAATACAAAGTTAATTGTTAATCATTACCATCATCATCAGTGCTACTTAGTTGGCTAATCATCACGTTTAATCACAAACCTAGATAATTATCATCAACAACAATTTAATCGTTCATCATGTCTAATTTATATTCATGTTAACAGTTGATGAAATTATTACAAATTCCGAAATGGTTTATTGTTACAATTTAAGTTGAATTAAAAATCATCATCATCATGATTAACCTTGATTTGGTTATCATTGGACAGATATTTCAATTGTTATTAAATTTGATTCAGTTCTTAATTGCTACCGAATTAACTTTTTTTTTATTATTATTCAGGATTCTCAATTTGAATTTTTCTTGATTGTAATATTATCTGATTCTGATTGTTACGGTCATTTTAATTAATTATTATTGTTGTTAAGTTTAATTACGTGATCTAATGGTTGTTATTGTCTTGATTGTTTGCTAATTGTTGTTTATCAGTAGTAACTAATTAAGTTTCTATAAGAATATTTTTTCTTAATTGTGATAATAGTTCATCAAGAGAGAGAGATTGATTTTCATGATCAATGCCAACAATCAAGAAAAATAAACTTATTGATAACAATTTAGTTAACGATAAACAACAATATAAAACGTGAGAAGATGATAAATCAACTGAATTAACAACAATTTAGCTTAATAACAATTTAGTTTTGTTAATATTAACCTTCAATTACTTTGTGTTTGATTTGATGAAACATTTTTGTTATTGATTAACTGAATAAGTGAAATTGATTGAAACAATTAACTTTTCTTGTTTATTAATATTATCATGATGAAAAGTGAAAATTTATTCAGTTAGTTAGTTAGTTAATTGTAAAATGAGTGATTGTTTAATTGTTATGAAAATCTCATAAGGAAGAAGTTGATTAAAATTAAATTTGTTTTTTTTACTAATCAACTGATGACTGGGTTAACTTGATTTACCTTTAGGGTGAAATGATTAAGGTTTTTGATTGAGAAAAATGAATCAACAATTAATCACTACGAAGATTAATTTTCGCTGTTTGTGATTTGCATTTTTCACCATTAATTGTAATTCAATTGAATAAAGAAACAAAATTAACACTATTTAGTTAAACCAATTAACACTAACAATTAACTTTCCTCATTAATTGTGTTACAAAACTGATTTATAATCAACGACGAACCCTAATTACATCAAAAACCATCACAATCAAATGGATAATTAAACCAATAACAATTGGAAACAATTGTTTAATTGTTGATTGTGATTACCTGTTAAATTGTTGTTTAATCAACCAAAGGTGTTGAAGGTGTTAAATTAACTTCAAACTAATCTTAATTTAATCTGATTTAGTTAATCATTTGTTGATTTTTATTCATCTAATTACTTTCCATGATTAAATTAGTCTGGCTATTTGTTTTACCCTTAATCACAATTAAAGGGCAATCAAATTAAATCAACTAAAAACCTTGATTCTGTTTCATAATTTTTAATGGTACATTTTATTATCCAGTTAATTACAATTAAAAAATTTCACATAATTAGGATACAATTTAAATTGTTATTAGTTTTACTCACAAACAGATTCATTGACACTCCTTGATTAACTAAATATGTTCATTAAACTTTTAATCAAACACTCAAACAATCAAGATTATTATATTAACTTAATTGTTATCCATCATTAATAAAGAAGCTAAATTTTTTCTTAATCACAATTAAATCACAAAAAGTTAAACGTTCATCTTGATTATGAATTGGGAAAAGTTTCTTTGATTGTTGATATGGAAAAGTTTTTCCTTTTTCTAATTTTAAATTGGAAATCCAATTGATTTGATTTCCAATTTGATTGTGATGATGATGATTTCTTTGAGTGCGATTTAAATTGTTACCATTATATTAATCAAATCAAAGTTAATTTACTTTCATTTTCTCTTAATCAAATAACTATTAAATCTTAATTCCTGGTTCTGATTAACTAATTATCTTAAGGGCACTTTTCTCACGGCCTCTTGTCAAACATTAACTAATCTTAATCACAATTAACTAAATAACTAATAATCAACATCATCATTATTTTAATCAACCTCTATCTCCAATTAAATCAAGAGTCATAATAATTAGTTAATTGTATTATTGTTAAACTACTAAAAACTATGCTAATTAGTTTAATTGTTTTGATTTTCATTAATGAAGTTGAACAAAAGTTACAATTCAATTAATCATTCAAACTACAATTACAATTACAATACAATTGATTGATTGACTGATTGACTGATTAACTATTCTTGACAATTAATTAACGATCCAGGAAATTTATTGATTTATAATCAGCTGACAAATCCGTGAGCAAAAAAGTGTCTCAAATTGATTGTTAATGATTAACTTTGATTAGTAAATTAACTGATTGTTGCTAATTGATTGAATGAAAAAACTGTTAAGTGTTCAATTGTCATTAATAGTTATTGAAATGGTTAATTGTTCATTTGAATCAAGATCGATCAATTCAATTCTGAATAATCATCAAGTCTAAATTGTAACCATTTAAATTGTTTGACAAATTTTGATTAATTGTTGTAATTAAGTGAACATTTTTCTCACATTATGACAACAACAATTAAAAGCAACACTGTCCGATGAATATGATTGATAATAATAAAGTAAACAAATTAATCATTTTTAATTGTGATCAGACTTAAAATCAAATCAATCTATGAGATTGATTGAAAGAGTGATTAAAATAATTAATCAGCTTAAACTCAATCAAATTTTCATCAATTCATTTTAATGAAAATCATGTTAATTGTTTTGAAAATTAATTCTTGAAACGTGATTAAAATTGATGATCACAATCAAAACTAACCAATAAATCAAAACTATATCATCACAATAATCAAACTGATTACCGTTGATTAACTGATTGAAATTTGTAACAGTGAACATAAATTTTGATCATAATAATACAATTAAAAAAGAATCAACAAATTAATTGTTATTATAATAAACTAATTTCCGTCTTTCTTTTCATTTTAATTGTGATAATTTAAATTATGGTGATAAGTTTTAAATTGTTCACGCTCTAATTAAATCCATAAGGCAGATTAAATTGTTGAAACTGAATTAAAAACATGTTGATGATAAAAAAATTGAGACTTGCTAATCAGTGTATCATCATCACCATCATAATCAACAACAATTAACAATAAACAAAATAATGAATCAAATTGTTAACAACATTATGGCAAAGTAATAACATTGAAAATTAATCAACAATTAGTATATCATTTTTGAAGGTAAAAAAAGAAACTATAAATTGTTATTATTATATTATATTAATTTTTTATTCATTCTCCAACAATTTAACAATAAATATAACAATTAAAAGATGAATTTTAATCATAAATTGTAATCATAGAGAATGATGATAAATGGATGCTGAGAAAAACGGATCAACCTTGTTTTTCACCCTTGAGCGTGATTCCGTTAATCTGATTGTTGATTCATTTCAGGAATTTAAACTCAATTCATGAATGATTTTGATGATTATGGTAATGATTAGTGATGATGATAATGATGAGGATGAGGATGATAACAGAGATACAATTTTTTTTTCTTCTCAAGTAATTGAGTTCAATTGTTGTCTTTAATCATCGTCATTATTTATTAACCAAATTCAAACACAAATCGTTAATCCAAAAGTGTTTAACTCAAATGGTTAATCTTTGTTATCCATCTCCAACTTATTATCATATTTATCATCATAATCTTGATTATCATCTTGTTTTAATCATTAATCATTAACCAAATGAATTACCATCTAAATCTTTCATCATGTTTCCGGTTCTCAATTTGAATTAACTTTCAAGTTGATTGAAGATAAACTTACAACTTTTCAAAAGTTTCGTGAAGAAAAAAAGTTTTAACAATCAAAATGACTAATTAACCAAATCAACCATATTAATTGTCAACAAACAATAATACAAGACAAAATTTCACGATAATCAAGTTAATTAATTGACTTTTTTTTCACATTTCTTCATTTCAAATTCTATGATACTAATTACGATTAATTGAATGGTCAAAGTCTTGGAGTAAAAAATACTTTGTCCTTTACAAACGGAGTTCGAGTGGTATTCAACGATTAGAACTGTTCGAGAATCAAGAATCGCATTTAAAGAAGCCGAATACACTAATTAAGATAATTGCTCTCAACGATTGTCACAAGGTTTCAATTACAACCCACAAACATCAATCTAATGTCTTTGAGGTGAGTAATCAAAAGGCAACAATTAGTTAATTTTGTTTCACTTTTCATCTTGATAATGAACAATTTTCTCATTTCTATTCACCTTTTGATAACTTAATCATTATCATCATCAAATCAATTTAATATCAATGGTTAATAACACTCATATACAAATATACACATTCAAATATTATTTAATGAAAACAGTTTTCCCAACAATCAACTCTATTGTGATTAAAAATCTTACAATGATTTAGGTCAAACAATCAAATGATTAATATCATTTCATTTTTTTTCTGATGCAAGAAAATTAATGTTTGCAAATAATTGAACTTTTTTCTTGCCACTTTCAGATTGGACATTTTTATTACAATCAGTTAATTACTTAATCCATTTGATTTTAATTTCGCATCACGTTCATCTAAATCATCTGAGCTTTGATTTAGTTGTCAAATTGTTTTTCAACTGGTCAGTTGGTCAGTTACCTTGTAGGTTTTGCTAGTGTTGTTATTAATCAACTGATAGTAATACTGATAGTTAATTGTGTGTGTGTTGATTAGGCTTGCAATTTATTTTAATTGTTACCAGATAACCTTGATTGTAATTGGATTGAATTTGTATTGAGTAATTTGTATTATTTTTTTTTGTGTGTTTGTTGTTAAGTTGATTACAAGATAATCAGTCACCACAATTAGCATAACAAATAACAATTCAATGTTCAATTGATTAGCTATCAACAATTAACTTGATTACTGTTATTAATTTTTTGAATCTAAAAAAAAGTTAATCCGTTTTTTTTTCAACAAAAAAAAATTACTATCAAACTTATCGTGCTGATTTTTAATCATGTTGATTATAATAGTAACAATCAATTGTTAATCAATGTTGAAATATAATTGGTGATGATATAATAGGATTAGGGATTGTTATTAAGGTAAAAGTTGATTGTGATTACATTTGATTTATGTGTTTCCTCAATTGAAAGATTGTAAATTTACACAAATCTTTTATTGGATTAATCCATTGATCTTGAAAATTGAAAATTCTGACCTTGATAGAGTAAATCAATTCAACTAATTTGATACTAATTATCTTGATTATCTTGATTATCTCGTGTATACAGATTAGGACTCGCGAGGCTGTTCATTTATTATCAACGGAAACTTATCAACAAATGCAATCATGGTTGGACTCGTTACGATCGGTGGCCTTTGCACCAGAAAATAACGTGTCCACTTCAACCGCTAGCGAACCCTTGACCTCAACAGTGACGACCGACTCAATAACAAAGTCACTTACTAGTAAATCAATTCCTGGAGCAATCAAATTAACTGTAAATGGTCCAAGTAAAGAGAGGACATTAACCAATGGTCAACAAGCACTTAACGATTTCATCTCATCATCTATCGTTATTTCATCAACTGACCATCAAGTTGGACATCAACCTCAACAAGAGGAAAACATGTTGTATTCATCAGTTGATTCACCTGATCTATTTAGTGTTAAATTAATTGAATCTGAATCAACTAATCGATGTAAATTGCTACCAATTGACTATTACCTTTTATTGACCTCAGTGTCCATCTCATTGGCTGAACAGTTATCCGATACTCGTCAGGGTAAAATATTATGGACTTGGCCTTATCGTCACATCCGTCGTTATGGTTGTACCAAGGAGGGTTTCACCCTTGAGGCGGGTAGAAAATGTTTAACCGGAGAGGGTTTATTTTCATTTGTTACCACCGATGGTTCAACAATATTCAAATGTGTCGCAAGTCATGTGACAAGTTTAAAGACAACATCTCCCAATGGTGTATTTCCAGTTCCTCGGACATCACCCAACATTATTCAGTCAAAATCTTGCTCAAATTCAACACCAACAGTTTCATCTTCATCTCCTGATAATATGACCATTGACAGTGGACCAAAAGTTATCACCACTGTCCCAATGTCACCTTCATCTAATAATTCAACGATCACAACAACGTCATCGACTGGACATACAAATGGATCCATAATTTGTACTGCAAGACCAGTAATCATTAACAATGAAGGATTAACTGGTCCAAATAAATTGCAACAATCAACAAATCATCCCAAGTATCAGTTTAATCAACGTTCATCATCACCTAAACCTCCCTCATTACCTAAAGTACCTCGTCCTAATCAACGAGAATCACCAATTTCCTCTAATAATAGTAAACAATTAGACAAACTGACCAACATGGTAACAGTGACCACAACATCATCACCATCAACAATTAGACAAACAGAATCTGGTTTAATAACAATTTCCAATAATAATATAAACATCAATGGTTATCCATCAGCAGTTAAACCACCTCGCCGAGGTCGAGAATCAAATGATCAACAATTAACACAAAACAATCATGAAGATAATTCAATTGAAACAATCGCAATTCCAGTAACAATTGTTGATCCACTTTACGAAGATCCAATATTTGTCTCTCGTGAAGAACTGTTTGGACTAAAGGTCGAAGATGATAATCATTATGAAATACCAGTGATTGTTAATAACAATCAACCCTCTAATCAGAACAATCAAGGTGCCATTAATGGAGATTCAAATAATCAAGTAACAATAAACTCGATCAATAAAACCAATGGATTAGGGGAAAACAATCGTAAACATAACATGAAACCACAACAACAACAACAACAATTAACAACATCGACATTGACCCTCGCCGATGGAGGGAAAACCTCACCATCGGAAATGACCTCAATCACCTTGACCAATGATAAATTACCTCGAATTCATCCTCATTCAATGTCGCGATTAACCTCAGTAATTAGATCGATGTTCACTGGTAATTTAGGTAATATTGTTAATCCACGTTCCAAACAATCAGTTAAACTGGAGAAATACAATTCGCAATCATCATCGAGTGAGGGAAGTTATTGTTCACTCTCAAGTGGCAGTGGCGGTGGTGGTGGACACTCACTGGGTGGGGTGGGCTCAATTTCCTTGGAAAAGATGAAACAAGATTTATCATCATGTTCTTCCGCTTCATCTGATTCCAATGAATCACCTTATTCAGAAATTTGTGATATTTCAATTGAAACTCCTTCTAATCATCATCATCAATCATCATCTGATGATAATGTTATCATGATGATGATGGTTGAACCAAGTAAATCATTTCAATCAGATGAAGGTAATTACGTTAATCTAATACCACAAGTTAACCATCATAATCAAGAGCCAACAACTAAATCAACCTCATCAACCACAACAATTGTTACAAATGTTAATCCTGATCATTATATTCAAAACGATGCTGAATATGCATTGATTATGAAACGATCTGTAAGCTGTGGTAAATTGTGATTAACTTTTCCTCCCTTAATTGTTAACTATTAATACAATGTAATTTCCCTCTAAACTCAACCATTTACTGTTAATTTACTCATTTAGTGTTTAAAAAACAACAACCCTAGTCTTTTTTAAACAACAATTAATCAAATTAAAAGATTTAATTTTTTTCATCTTCTAATCTCAATTAAATGTAATTTAAAATCAATCCAACAATTGGAAACTTTTTTGCCTCTGATTAGATTTTAAACCGATAGATGGTGTTACCGAAAAGCAATTTTCGGATTGATTAAGTTAATTTGGTTTTCTCAACGATTTTAATCATTAATTATGATCATTTCAAATTGGAAAGGTTCATATGTAAATATATACATTTCTTGAAATTTAAATTATCGTCAACGAAATTAAATTTTTCGTTTCCTTGTTAGTTTAGCTTTAATGATGATGAAAATATTGAGCCTGAAATCAGCGGTTTTTTTGGTATCTTTGTGTTTAGTTAATTGCGATTAGAATAATCAATATAATGACTTGATTAGAGAAATATAATAAGTTAAGAAAACTAGGGTGACAATTAGAATCGACTGATTGTTGACTATTGATGATCCAGATGATTTAGCATGGATTCCAAATTCAATATCTAATTCCCAAGATCCACAGAATCCATTGATTAGAGGCTGAGCTTCAACACCTCGTCTGCAAAGTAAATTAGATAATATTGATTAGATCATTTAGAATTAACCAAACTAATAATAGATGTAATTTGTTTACAATTTTCTTCTTTCAATCTGATTAGTTTTCAGATTATAAGATGATAAAAGTAAATAGGATGATTTATCTTTCTATTGAAGTGATGAAAAAGAGGCAAAATGTTCATTAAGCTTCTTATTGATGATCGATTAGATTTTATTTTCATCTAACTAATCGTTTTTATTACCTTAACATGCGACATCTTTGTTCATCGAGTCTGAAAAGTGCACTATCGGTATCATTTGTATCATCAGGATGACTCCAAAGTCTTTCAGCTACAGCTGATGCCCGAGGCCTTGAGAAAAGAAAATAAAATGTAAACAATTAAAGTGACTAATTCAAATCGTTTCGAAATATAATTGTAGAAAAAAAAATCTAATCTAATGGTTGATTGGTTAAATTTACCATAACCTTGAAAGTATATTGACTTGATCAACATATTCAGACCACATACAAGCCTCACCACCGAGAATAAGTTCCCTTTCGGCCTCCGTTGCTAAACAAGATACAAAATATATTGAAGAAAAAAGTGAGTTGACATTTGAACGGACAAAGGAATCGACATATCGACGGATATAATTACCATTAACACCAAGAACTGGATCACAATTGTAATAGTTTTTCCAATCTTCTCCATAATTGATATAATTAAGGTACCAACATGATGATAAAATTAATTTATTCTGCCGCCTTAGCACCTCTTTCACATGTCTTTTCCAACCATCTTTTTCATGATGTGGTCCACCCTTCCAAACCTCAACTATAGCATCTTTGGAGAGCTGAAATAAAACCAAATAAAGATCAAATTAACAATCAAATGGTTAAAATCGTCCAATCCAAAAAACATTCGATAAATTTCCACATACAGTTACATTATTGTCAATAGGATCTTGCCAAACGATATACTTGTAGCCAAGACTTTTGACATTTTCGAGAGTTCGGTCAATGTAATATTTTTCCACTTGTTTCATCTCGGTGAATCTTTTACTGTCCATAAAGTTACGTATCTCTGGGCTGGACATCCAACAATCATAATAAGCCTCATCCATACCAAGGTGAATATAATCATCAGGGAATAAGTTTTTCACCTCGATAAACAATTGGCGTAATACTTCAAAGGTCTCATTTCGAGCGGGATTCAAGTTCTCATGGGATGAGTGTTTACCATAAACCGATTGCGCTGGAGTATCGCCATCATAACAGGTCGTCAATAATGCTAAAGCAAATGAGAAATAAAAAAATCAAGTTAATGAATAATAAATGACAACGAATAACAAATAATAGTTTCTTTGTAATGTTCATGTCAATTAACAAATTACTTCATTTGAATTTTTCTGGAAAAGTAATGGAAATAAATTAATCATAATGAGTTTGTTGATGTATTTGTGGATAATTAAATGATTAAGTAATGCATATTAATAGTAGCAAAAGTTAAGACTCTAATTGCCAAGTGAAATTGTCAATTAGAGTTACAGTTTAGCTAATTTTATGTTGATTAAAATTAATTGGCTGAAAAGGCAAGAAAATGTTGAGAAATAAATTCAATTTAAAATGATCAGCATTCATATTCAAATCTACATAAAGTTCAATTCACTCACATGGGAAATGTTACCAAATTGATCAATTTGATAAATATTACAGAGGAAAACAAATACTATTAAATAATATTTACAAACATTTAATTATTCATATGTGAATGTTTACCATCAAGATAGAGACAATTAAACAAATAGTTTCAAATGATAAATGTACAATGTAAAATTAAATTAAATCTATTGAGGGTATAATTTAACCAGAAAGAGAGCTGACGAAAGAAAAGTTCATCTAATCGTTGTAATAACTCTAGAGGCGGGAAATTGATAAAATGATGAAATGTTAAGGAGAGAGAGAGAGGAAAATAGTTCAACTGACTCATTCTCCATGTGGTAATAAATTCAGACTCAAATGTTTCTCATGTAACTGTAAATTCCTGGAAGACATAAAACTGAATAGAGGTAATGTTTTTCTTTCTAAAGATTAATTTAGGTTTCATATTATTAGTGAATTAGTTTGAGGAGATCGAGGTCAGAGGTGGACACAAACAGCAAATGCTTTGAGTTCATTTATATGAAATTCCCTGGCAAACCAAAGAGACCAAAGAGACCAAAGGAAGCATAAAAGATTACATTTCATGGTTGATAAAATAGATTTAGATGTTTTTTTCTCTTCTATTCCTTTGAACGTACATTTAAGTTCATCTTGTTTTCGCTAGTGATGGAAACTACTCAATACGACAAATGAATAGTTAATCCAATTGTTTAGAGTTCTAAATGTTTATCTAAACTATCGTTGGTAATCAACAATGCGATAAATCAATGTGATCTCAATGTTTACACTTCCAAATGCTTGATGATGATCAAGTTTACCATCCTTAATTGTTGATTGATTCACATTCATCGGATATTAATTATCAATAAACTTACAAGGGAATGCACGACCTATCACCTTGGTGTGTCCTGGAGTATCAATTTCAGGGATAACACGAATACCTCGATATCGGGCATACTCAATCAGCTGTTTAATATCCTTGTGGGTGTAAATTAGTTTATCATTGTAGGCGCCCTGTAAGTGAGAGAGGTGAGAATTGATGAGAATAAAAAATTAAATGAATCATCATGTTATCAGAGTGAAATTGTGAGCAAATTAAATTGATGACAAGTGATTTGTAAATTAGTTTGCAACTTGAGTGAATTAAAAACAGATTCTAATAAATCATTGAAAACGTTAAAATCAATGTTTAAACTGACAAAGTTGACATGTGTTTAGATTCATATTGTCACTTGTATCTGAATAAACATGTAAGTATTTCATGAGATACATGTATGAGCTAATTAATTAACAGAATGATAGAGATAGATAGTGATTTCGATGATTACGTAAATCTCATTAAAAAAAGTGACAAAACTAATTTATGAATAACATGATGCTAATATTCAGTGATAGTAATGATTAATTAATCATGTTGTATCATGAACCATGAAGATTATTCCAGTTTATATATTACCAATTTAGTTAGATTGGGGAAAATTTTACTCTCCATAGGAAATGATTGATCATCGATTATGTGCCAATGGAAAACATTGAATTTATTCCAAGCCATAGCATCCTGTGGATTAATGAGACAAAAACAATATACATGAGAAAACTAGATTAATAATAAACCTGATTGTTAATGATAAACAATTAACAAACATTCAATAAAATTGAAATGAGTGAATTTGTTAGATGAGCAAATAGCAAATCTCATATAAAGTCTATAAGGATTTAGAGTGGATGATGATAAGCTCCATCTTGGTTGTATTGCAAACTCAGCAATGAAATAGAGGTAATAGTATAAAAAGATAAATTCTGAATCAGATTTAAAACTCGAGAATATTAAAAGAGGTTAAAGTGGAAGTTAAATTGAAGGCAAAGTAACTAAGTTCGGGGAGAGGGTAAAAAAAAGTAAGGCCCATTAGTTGTTAACAAGCTTTGAGTTCTTGGGTTGATACATGAAAATCATGGTTGTTGAAAGTTAGATGATAAGTCATGATTGAGAGAGAAAAATAGGAAATGATACCATAAAGAAAGAAAGTACTGGTAGTGATAATGATGAGAAATCATGGTGAAGTGAGAACTCGTAGTCTTTAATTTACTGGAACTTTCATTAAGAATAAGTATTTGGATGGTAATCATTATCTTTATCATCCATTTGTTTTCCCTTCTAAATAAACTACTTCTTATATCAATCCATTATCATTTTCAGTTATCTCCATGAATCTTGTTTACCATATATTTAAATAAAAACGATCCCGAGTCAGACTGAAAATAATCATCAACGATAACAAGAAAGTAAGTTAACAAGAATCTTAATCAATCAGATGTATGATTTACATCTACACGAAATTAAGTCTTAACTCTCAGGTATTTATGGTAGATATTGACATTCCTTTAGTTGTATTCATCGATATTCTTCCTTATTGTTGAATCAACAGTAAACAAAACTATTAATACAAATACAAAAAGTACACAGAAAATACTACCAACGTATTAATCAAATGAGCTGTTGATTATTTGCCAACTATATTTTTTTTTCATTCCTGTGTTGATAATCCAACTTATTTACATCTGATAACCTTAATTGATAGTCAATATGATCAGTAAGTCTTCAAGATGAGGCTGAATTAACGAAATGTAATCGTGATTAACTGGATGCTGAGTTTGATTGAAGAGTTGGTTTCATTGATATTATTGTGACACTTTTTTCATATTGATTTCGATTGAAATTCTTACCAGATTTTTGAGTAATACTTTGATTGGGATAAAATGACGAGCTGTATCAATCATGATTCCTCTGTAAGGAAATCTTGGCCAATCTTCAATTCGAGTCGCATTAACCATGTAGTGACCTGATTTTTCATCAATATAAACAAGTTGGGAAAATGTTTCTAAACCTCGAAGTGCTCCCCAGACCGTTTTAGCGCGAATAGAGCCACTGGAATCTTTATCGGGAATCGTTAAACTGTACTTTTCGTTGTCACCATACTTGGGGTATCCACATCTTGTATCATCAATGTGAACTTTAATTGACTCCAATTCTTTGTGTTTGGGTGAGATGGTCTTCGAACGGTCAATAAAAATTAGGCCACGATAGCGTAATAAGGCTGCTTCGATGATTTCACAATTAAAGTTAGACTTAAGTTCAAAATGATCGGGACTCAGTGTGTATTGTGAGGTCATACGAGTCCATGTTCGAGGAAGAGGCCAAGGTGAACCAGGAGGTGATCGATTTCCCTAGAAAATAGCAAAAGAAAAGTTTCAATTTAATCAATGTCAAAGTTAATCAATTTCGATAAACTTGATTTCACAATAAAAAAGTATCATAAAAATATAATAAAAGTAAATTAGTTTCTTTTTCAATGATCATGAAAAATAGCTTCATGAACAAGTGATTAAATTGATGAGATTAATTTGATAGCAACTGATTTAGTAGCGATCAGTCACCATCATTAACTTTGACACCAACAAGAATCAAGATCAGATATAATCTCCCGGTTTATGACAATCTCTTGAATATTGATTACAATTTAGTTGTCATTTTGATCAATCATATGTATACTTATATTAGACCAGAATAATCAAGTTAATTCAGTTTGATTTAGTATTGAAAATCCTGAAGTATTAAGTTGATAAATTTGGTGATATAAAAATAACAATTTAGATTGATCTACAACCAGATAATAACAATACATTAATCATGTTGTTGATACAAATTACCTCAAATTTATAGATTATTTATTTGAATTAATCTTGATACATCATGTTTATATTTAATTGTTGTTAATTATGGTTTGACAATGATTAAGAAAAAGAGTTAGATCATTGATTGATTATTGCAAATCAATTCATGTTAACAATTAACAATCGACAAAATTTTTATCAAAAGACATTAATTGTTAATCAACGACATCAGCACATCAAATAGCAATCAGTTAACAATTATAATTAAGAAATGGTTATTACTTTTTTGTTAATTGTTCAATTGTTTCTATTTTTATCATTAAGGTTTAAATTAGTTCATAAAATGTAATCTCAGTTTAATTGTTATCTAATTCAATTGTTTACAAATACAAATAAGTAAATCAGATCAATGAAATGAGAACCAAATACTTTCATCTTTTCCTTATGATAATACTGAAAGTAAACCAGAATCATCATGAAATCATCTTAAAGGATAATGATGACTCATGATTTCATGGTAATCATCAGAAATATAATTCATAATTAAGGTATTTCATTGATGATGATAAAAATGATGAATCAGGATGGAAACATTAACATTCAGGTTAAAGTTCTGATCGATTCCAAGTAACTCTCATAACTACTTGTGAATATCAATGTATTAATATTTTATCGATTCAGTTCAAGTATCATGATGATCATCATGATAGCATCAACATGTATATCTAATATTATGCTTGATTCAGCTAAACCATTATCATCCCTTTGAACGATAAACATGGAGAACATAAATAAGGATCAAATTTCATTTCAAGCCTCAGGCGATTCACATCAATATGAATTTTACTCTGAGTTTTATGTTGAAGAAAAAAACTCATGGATGTTTGAACTGAATTATCTACAAATGAAGTTATTATAATATTATGATAGTTAATCTGGTTAATCAATAATTAATCCGAGGATTTATCCTTTTTCCTTTCAAATTGAGATTAGTTTACAAAATAATCTGTATAAGTATCATGATAGAATTTCAAAATTTTAACAAGCTCATGAATAGATAATTTTACACTTTCGATTCTATTTATATTTAATAGCAAAAAAAAATATCAAAAACTCATCAATCTATTTATCAGAAATCTCATCCATCATCAAAGTTTTTCCATGAAAAAAAACAGGGAAAGAAAAAAGTTCCTTCTGAACAACTCTGATTGGTTTCTTTATTTCCATGTGACAACTCATCATGTTAGAAAAAAGTTCAGTAACAAATTCAGAGAATTTGATATGTAAAAGGTTAACCTGACCAAAAGAAGCAAAAAAAAGTACCACAGATCATCATCATGCACAAAGAATCTCATTGTAATGATACATGAGAGAAAGAAAAATATTCTGATTCTGATAACGAAGTGAAACAGTTGAGAATGAAATGAGATTCTGAGATTATTTTATACGTTGAATCGGAAAAAAAAACTCTGATAAGTTAATTGTAGTTTCCAAAAAAAAACCTTACGTTTCAATGATAATCATCAACAGAGAGAGAAAAGTTTTTCTTTCAAACAAGAGATTTCATTCAGAATTAAATGAAATTCTGTCATATTATGAGTCAGTTTGTGAGTAACATGATAATCGCAGGCTACAGGAAACAAAATGTGTAATTGAATTAAAACACAGAAAAAAAGTAACATATTTTCACCAAGAGTTCCATATGATAGATTTCATAATTCATGATCCCTCAAATGATAATAAATTTTGTTTATTGGTTACAATTAAATCACAAACAGAGACAAGGCCGGAAAAATTGATCAACTATATTAATCAACATCCGTTACTCATTAACTACTAATGAAACAATTTCCTGTTGTAATTATCATTCATCTTTACCCATGTAAATAAAGTTGTTGAATAATCTAATAGAAGTTTCAATGTATTTATAAGACAATCGATCATATTGTGAATAATTTTTTTAAAAAAATATAAATTAAATAATTAGATTCTAATTATTTCAATATAATATGATTGAAGATAATTTAGTTCTACGTACGGACAAAAAATGAATCATCATTCAATAGTAAAATTGAGTAGCGAGTATGAATATTTGATGAACTTTAATCAATGTTAATTTAATTAGCTTTGCCCTTCTTTTTAAGGTGTTAGTATAAGGTAATACATATGTATTATGAACAAATATGTTCAGTTTATCATGAAGTTCATGTGGCTTATGATAAATATCAGAGAGTTTGTTCTTATATCTTTCAAGATTCATCTCAGCATTAAACATGAAATTCAGACTATTCTTTGAAGCTACTGCAACCTTAATGTGAGTTTGTTTTCTATGGATTGTTTTTTTTACTCTTGCTCATCTCATGTAAGTGGCTCATTATCTCAATCGTAAGTAAATCAGAGTAACCAGAACTTTTAGTTCAGCTCCAGATCTTGTTGTGAAAATAATGGTTAGAAGGCGACTTAAGAAAGAGGAAAAACTCAAGAAAAGAAAACAATATGACTTCTGAATTCTAGATGATGAAAGAAAGAGATGCATTATCGTGGAAAGAAAATTGCATTTCAAAGGATAAGTGGATTTCGCATGGTGAAAAGTTTCGAGCAACTTGAGAAGTTTAAAGAACTTTTTTCTCCTGAAAAAAAATATTGAAATCGAGAGATGAATTACTTTTTTCTTGTTTACCATTACATTGACTAAATCTAGAAAATTTTGTTCAATTGAAGAATCAATTAGATAATCTTAAAAGAAATTTAAATGAAAACGAGGAAAACATCAAACGGATTAACGTTTATAAATTAATTCCTTGTCTTTTAAATACGAAATTAATTGCAAGATCAATTCAATGGAACAATGTACAAATACTATTTATAGTTTACTCCATCGTTGGAAAAGTTAAATAAGAGTCAAGTTAAGAAACCTCATCGAATTCAACTTAAATGGATTAATGATCTTTAGTGTATAAGAATGAGAAAGGTATTAAATGATGATTATTGAGAAACACTCAACTGTTAATCTATTAATTCATTAATCTTGTTAATTAGTCCCACTAATTACTTCAAGTGTAATCAGTGATCTTCTCGATTAAGATTATGAGAGTGGCATGAAAAATGTGATTAAATCTAAGTGAAAGGAGGGAGAGAGAGAGAGGGAGTAAATGAGCACGTTAGTATGTGATGACCGATGAAATTAATGGATTAAATTGAACTCATGCTCTTAATTGAAAGAAAATGAGTTTTCCATAACAAATTAAATTGTAAGTCAATGATTCAAGACAAGATAATCATTAGGTAAATACACATACGAGATACAGAAGCTTCAACAATTTGAATCGGATCATTAAAAGATTCGCTTGATTATATTAACCTAATATACTTTATCCGTAATCTTAATCATCACAATTCATCATAAAAGCCAAGATAGACAACGAACAGAATTGATTTTTCAGCTCTTTTGACTATTAACTCAATGGATTAGGTCATTCAGCTATTTTGGATAATTATTATCATTATCATTTCAAGTAAATTCAAGAGATTGAGAGGAAAGGGAAAAAGGAGGTTAATTTATAATGATGAACACATCAGGATAATGAAAGATAGTTAATTAGAGAACAGAGAAGAGAGAAAATGATATTTTGAATGAATTTAATGAAAATTAAGCAAATTCTTAAGGGAACAAAAAGTCAACATTTTAAAGACCATATAATTTGAGATGGACAATAAGATATTCCATCAGTTCAAAAACGTTATTAACGTTCAACTTTCTAATTTCGGACACAATTAATATCAAATATACACCCGTGACCAAAGTAATTACAATACACAAATACAGAAATAAAGCCAGAAAAGCAAACATACACATAAAAGGTCACGAATGAAAACTAAATGAACGCAATTTTAAAACGAAGAGAGACAAAGAAAAAATAAACGAAGAAAACTTACAATTAAAAATTTCCATTGATTTTCCAAGTAAATTTGAACCACAATTCCACAATTAACAAAGAAACGAATCAAAAAGAAATTTAAAACAATCAAATCAACCGAACTTGACTCTGGAAAAAGACCAATTGTCTAAACCTTTAACACTGCAGGTGAAATCAAAGAGTAACGAAAACAAAAGAAAAGTAATTCGATCATTTTAATAAGAGAATAGAATTTTCTTGGTTGTCATGGTTACTCGCTCATTCCCCTTTCGATTGTCTCCCTCACCAATAATTCTCACCTTTCATTGGCTAATTAAGAAAGAGAAAAATGTTACCCTTTCTCTTTGGTAATTAAAATTCATTTTTAAAGAAAACATTTTAATTTAATTTGTAACAAATTATTAAATTGTCTCTTTATTATTTTCTCCAATGATTAATTAGCTTTGTTTACTTTTTGCTTATGATTAATTAAGTAGAAATTATACATAATTGATCATATTTATCGACATTTGTTTTCTATTTAATTGGTTTGTTTGTTTTCATCACCTTTTTCTTTACTATCCTGACTTGAAGATTATTTCTGATTATCATGAAGATGGATCATCTTGTGGTTAGATCATTTTTCATCTCTCATTTTTGGCTTCAAATCAACGATAAATCATTAACAACCAGTAAGTTTGTTCATTTCAACAGTTTATTGATTATCATTTTCTATCTCTTTCTCTTTTTTTGTTTCATCTTTACCTGAATTTTCTGGTGATGGTAACCTATTGGTAAGTGTATTTTTCTCTATTTGTTTTTTTCTTTGGTTTCATCAACAATCACTGCAGTTACTTTAATATCATTAACTATTAAACTCTTCTTTTTTTCCTAACCTTTTTCCTGCGGAACTTTTTTCTCCTTCTACTAACAGGTTACCGGAATATAAATCAATTTGATCTGGTTCAATAAATTGGACAACTTCTCAAAAGCGAATAGTGTTTACCCATCAAGATCTCACCAAATTGTCCTCTTTTTTGCTGTTGGTTTCTCTCTCTCTCTCTCTCTCCGTGATCAGGTTAAAGTGAAAACCAATATAAATTATATAATTTATCGTCTCTATGATTCTTCAACGATTGCCAAATTTTCTTCGGTTCATGTAATTCATGCTCTTCAAATTGCTCATCTTAACTAACATATAATATACAGTTGATAAAATTGATCTAATGGAACGTGAACCTTTGGTCTTCGATTGAGCGTAATAACGGTGGTTTATAAGAAATAATCAGTTCTATGTCAATTGTGATGACCAGTTATAACTTCATCGAGCCTTTGTTTCTCTAACATTGAACTAATTCATTATCTTTTGTCTCACAAATCTCATTGATCTGGGTTCTTTTTAATTGAACGTCCTACATTTTCAATAAGAATGAGAGTGTTTTAATCGATAAAAACTGCAAATACATTGGCACTGATGGTACTATTTTTTCCTCTTTTCAATGTACTGTTTTTAAGTCTTTTTTTATACATCTTCATGATTCTCAGCATCAGTAGTCACAACTGATTGGAGTAACTGATGATTTCTTCAATGATCACCTCATAATGTCTAAATGTTACCTGATGAATATCGCTTGGATGCAGTTAATATCTTTGTTCTTGTTTGATAAGTTTACAGCTGATGATGTTAATGGTTCTAAGGACAATAAGTTAATAACTGTTTTACCAGTAACAATCGTCACTATTATCTTTCTTGATAACTGTTCAAATCAAACATAACTGTTAGATTTATATAAATCATTACATGTGATGAGATTAACGGTTGGATGAGTTAAATTTGAAACCTCGAGTCCTCATTGTTTGACATTTAGTTCACCTTTAAATACATAACAATGAAAAATCCCATCACAAAACAAAAATGGAAACGTAATCCACAATACATGGACTTTCATAGTCATATTCGTAATCTGAGATCTTTGAATTCTAAGATTATGATTGCTGAAATTTCTGAGTAAGTAAATCTACAGTTACTTAAATTGCTAATATGATTTAATGTGAGAAATTTTTATTCTTCTTGTATCTTTAGACTTTCATCAATACTTTTTACACGGTAAAACTTTCCATGGGAACATAGCTCATCATGAACTTAACGAAGGCGAGACTATGACTATGATGTAATATCGATAAACAAGATCACTTGGAAGCAAGAAGATGATAATCCAATAAAGTCCATGGAAAATGTATTAAGCAAAACACAAGGATCAGGAAAACAAAAGATGACAATTAAGTCAGAAAGAAAACGAATGATGAGAAGATAAATCTGATTACTCTTCTTAATGGTTCGTTAATCAACCAAATTCTATTCAAATTACCGTTAAATTCTTTAATTAACTTAAACTAATTGTTAGGTTAAGAGGTAGAAAAAAAGGGAAAGTTTCTGTTCCTTTTTCTCCCTCATCTCATTGATTTTTCCAATTTTTATTCTTCAAATAATCATGATTATCATTGAAAGTTTTCACCATGAACATAAATCCAGTTCAACAAATGAGAAAACAATAAGGTCAAAAAGGTAAACAATTTCCACAATAACATCAATTATCTTTATCCTGTGAATACGGTTAACTATCGATATATGTATTTAAATCATTAACGTTCTGTTATAACCCTCAATTGTAACAGTATAATGATGATAATTAATACTCTATTTTCTCGTCCTGTTAGGTAATTTAATTAATGAAGAAAATAATTGATAACAAAAATCAATTCTCATGGTGATACATGAATCTTTTTTTTATATTACCAACATTTTGAAACTGTTACTCAAATTAGTACGAAACTATTTCAAGATCAAGGTTAATTATCATTATTATTATGATTACCGTTATCATTACAATTACCTTGATGATTTTCATCAGAAAACAATTGCAGTTTGGTAAACAATCACTTGATTGTTATTGATCATTTTTCCCGAAAATAGTTAATAATTTTCAACTTTTCTGTTCCAATATCAGTTTCATGTTCACAATTAAAAGGGAAAAAGGGTTAACTCATTAATTTGCTATCATTTTACAAATTCAAGCTATTAATACAATTAGTTAGTTTAATTACTAATCAACCAATTGTTTTTTCTTTCAATTATCTGAAACGTAAAAATGATACATTTTGTTTTATTATCCTTTTACTAATTTGGTTTATTTTTTTCTGTTTTTCTTTTTTTAGTGATGGAAAATTATATTTAATCAACTGTTTACAGCAATTAAATGGATAATCAAAGCGTCGATGTTGAAAAAATGAAGTATTATACTAGGAAATGTTGAATTTAATCGTAATTAACAAATGATTGTCAATTGATGGAGTTTATTATTTTGTTGAAGGCCAGATAATGATGAAAATTCATGGCTGATTGATGATCTGCTTCTTAAAATCATGATGGTGATGACAATTAATGATGATTCGCATCAAGAAATTGGAGACAACGATAAACGAAGGAGACTGTTAATACAATTTATGATGATCATCATTTAAATCAAGGTAAATTTGATATTACTAATAATATAAATCGGGTAAGTCAATAGTGCGTGTAAACAAATATCTTGCCTCTATTTTTGTGGGTCCAAAGAGATAGATTGTAAAAAGCTATGATGATGAGGATGATAATAGACAACAAAAAAAATAAGGTAAATAGAGAGAGATATATAAGGAAGTTATTGAGGTTTTCATCGCTAAGCTGACAATAAGATTTGACAATCAAAGCTACAACTTTGATGATATTGATGTTATTATCTCTTTCCGATGAAAACGATGATTATGATACAGAAAGAAAAAATAATGATGAAAAGAAGGAGAGAGAGAGAGAGAGAGAGGGAGAGAAGGAAAAAGCTCTCTTATGGTTCAGTAGAATCATTCAAATAGTTTTCTAACCCAAAGTCTTGATTCTTTTTCCATGATTCAGGTTCAACTTTTCTTGTAGAAAACACTATTAATATTACTCTAATCTCAGGCTTAATATTGTGCAAAAAGATGAAATGAGAGAGAGAGAGAGAAAGATCTACTTTTATCATCTTCCATTGTTACTTAATGTAGTTTGTATTGTATCATCATCTTCATTATCAACATTTACTATTCATTTTTTGACTAACTCAATGAAATGAATTATCAACCCTCTTGCTTGGTTTCATCTTGTTCCTTAACGGTAACATTAACATTGACAAAATATTTTTTTTCTGATACAAAAGAGGCAAAAATTACATTTAGTCTACTCCTATTATCCCCAACAGTAATTACATTAACTTAATGATGAATAAACTAAACAATTAACAATTTAAATCATTTGGTATAATCAAACATCAGAAAAAACAATAGACAAACAATGTTACAACTCACAAGCCCATAACATTTTCATTCCCAAGTTCAAATGTTATTTGTGTAAATTATTTCATTATTTACAATTGATCCGTAATATTAACTCAACGGTTTAGTTTAATTAATTTCAGTTAATTCAATTTAAATTGTCGTTTTTTTTCATCAAGAATTGAAAAAAATGTTGCTCATCATCAGTATCATTGTATTGATGATCAAATAGTCAAGGTAATTGTTTGACAAATGACTTGAATGAATGTGATTAATGAACTTGTTTGAATTTACTATTATTATTGTATAGTTTTCATGATAGTTAATGTTTCATGTGAAGAAATAATTTATCTGAGTAACTGACCTTTAGTGGATATCTTGGTTCAATGTAAGTTACATGACCCTGGGTCAAGTTGATGGCACAAAATAATGATAACAAACCCAAAGGTATCCAAAAAAGTTGTAAGGTTATCATATTTGATTGATTAGATGGACACCTTTGTACACAAACACAAAAACAAATTAACTGTTAACTAAATTAGTTGATGATTAAACTGTTTTTGTTTATAACGATTGATTAATTACTCGTTTAAAACTGAGTACTTGTTATTGTTATTTGATGAAGACGATTGATTTATAAATCATGTTATTTGTTGTCCTCATCCTAAACCGATAACGTTCAAAATAGAATTAAATTGTTGACGATGATGATAACTTAATAATCAAAAGTCGCTGTAGTGTAATTTAAATTGTTGACACAGATGATTAATATTATTGAATGATAAACTAGTACCAATGAATTTATTGTTAATTGTTTCCTTGTTTGATGTTATTTTCACTTTTGTGTGATCAAGTTATCATTACAAATCATAACTTGATTGTTAATGATCAGTTTGTAACATGAAAACTTTCAAATTGTTATTCCTGATTGTTGTTGATTATTATTTTGTTGAAACGATTTAAAATAACGATTGATTTTAAAGAAAAAGTTTCATGTTGATTGTTGTTATCACGTCAACAGGTTAACATATAACTGCGATAGTAACGTTATTTTTGGCTTAATTGTGAGCACGATTGTGACTTGAAAGCGACTATCATCATTATCTTCATCAGTTCATCCAACACTATGACTCTCTCTCTCTCTCTCTCTCTCTCTTACTATCAAGCCCTAATTCTGCTCCCTCTTTATCATCCTCACTCCTTCACGCCTTTTTATCCCTCCCTCGTTCCTCATCTTCCCTCTTTCATCATAATTATCAGCATCAACTTGTCTCCATTTTTCACATCATCATGATCTTCATCATGAAGATGATCATGATCATCATCTTACCTATGAGTTCATTTGACAGGTTCAATGAAGGTAATCAAAAAAACGATACCTTTGACAACTCAATCATTATCATCAAATAATGATGGAGATAAAAAAATTCTCTATTCTCAGAAATCTCAACTAAGTATTAATATTGTTTATTTTAATAATGATTCTCATCACAAAAGAATTAAATTTTTATCAATTTTTTTCTTCTTTTTCTACCCAATCCATAATGATGATGCATGTCAACCTTTGCAATCATATGTTACCCATCAACAATTACTTGCAATAAATTTTAATCAATAGAATTAAAATTAATTATCCAATCAGTTTTTTTTCTTACTTCCCTAATTTGATTGATAAAATGTGATTGACAGTTTGTTTCATTATCTTATTACACATATTAATATTTAGATTTACATGAATTATGCAAACTCATTAGTAATCAAAACTTTACTGTTAACAAATTTGTTAACAATATTCTTGCCAATCAATTGATAAAATTCAACTTGAAACATTTATTTTCAGCCATTACAATAAATAACATAACAATATTGTAACATAATCAATATACAATCTTACAAACTGTCGCATTCAAATGATAAAATAAGACTGAACTCTAAGGTAAAATATAATAACATTATAACGAAAAATCTTGATTAAAGTGAAAGTGATTAAATTGATTGTGATCTAAATTGTGAGTGGAAATTGTTGAAAACTTTTTGGATCGATTTCAAATTGTTTCCAGTTGAATGAATGATTATCAGGTTACCATGTAACCATGTCAATTACGGTGAATGTTGATTCTTAATGAAAACGTATTGATATTAATTTCCTTTGTAATAACAACTCTCTCTCTCTCTCAGGTAATCAATCATCTTAATCTAAGTGAAAATGATGATAACCATTTACCCTTTGATTACATCATTCAACTCTCTCATTCATTTTCAATTATCTTTGATTTTCTAATCATGTAATTTGGTGTATTTGCTTTTATTGTTTCTTTTCAAGATTCAATTTATTTTCTCACCTTTTTGATTTTTTTCTCATTGAAACTTTGATCTTTTTCCTTTTAGATGAAATTAAATCTGATTTATATTTCTACTCTCATATGTTCACATCCTGAGAAGATTCAATAATGTTCATCACAAAAGAAGATTGAAAATGTTACTATTTTCCAATTCATGATAATACTGAGTAAACTTGATGAAATTGGATTGTATTACTTTCTCATAGTAATTAAATTTCATCAACAACATCTCATTGTCTTGAGTTTCAATTTCAATTTCAATCTGATGTATATACAATACAATCATTATTCAAATCAGGAATCAGATTTTTTTTCTGCTATTAATACGTTTCTCTTTCTCAATCTTATCCCAACCCATGGTATAAACATTTGACACTTTACCCTTGAGGCAAATTTTACTACTTATATACTGTTGTTAAGGGTGAAAGGATTGATCAATGGTTAAATTGATGAGAAGTAAACAGTAAATTGTCAATAAAATGTAATCTATTTTGACATGAGAATAAAGATAAACAAAGAAATAATTTTAACAATGATAATATTTACAGAGAAAAACAAAATGAAGGATATTTCTTAGTGTATTTGTTATTAGAAAATAGAATTGATCTTAACCCAAATTTGCTACTTGAATTCACTGATTATCACTGATTAATACTTGAAACTTAAGGGTCAAGATAGTTGAGAAAATCTTTAATATCGTCAATGGTCAAGAATCACAATCAAGATGAAATGATTTATCTAATTTCTGTAAATAAAGTTGCATTTCAATAAGTTATTGGTCAGAAAAGGTCAAGGTAAACCTTTTAGATGGTATTGGTTTTTATCTCAACATTCAGCTATTCAGAATTCATCTCTCTCTCTCTCTCTCTCTCTGCACCTTGATGAATATTATTACCTTGGCATGAGATTAGTATTGGAATTGAAATTATTCAATTTTCTATTTCTTTTTTTTCTGGGAAATGTTGAATAATATTCTCGACATTTTCCTTGGCTGATTCTTATTGACATTGTTATTTACCATGAATTTCATTATTATTTGATGATAATAATGATGATACTTTTAGGTTAGTTTAATAATAATAATAATATGATTACGAATCAATGATTTCTTTTGATTCTCATTCAATTCAATCATCATGAAAAGTCAATAATCATTTCTATTAATTCACAAAGGAATTCGAAAAATAAAAGTTAATCAATTGATCGTGAGTTTTTTGTATCATGATTCCTGTTCCAAGAATCAGATATGTTATATCTTGCAGTTCTCAGTGAAGATAAATAAAAATTAATAAGTTACCTTAATTCAGCTGATGAATTTCACCGATACTTTTCAATTATATTATTAACATTTCACTTGAAATCCTGACTTGAATGAACAATATAACGATGATGATGACCGTTATCATGGACATCATTAAGTTAATTGCTGAAATGAGATAATTCAGATGATTGGGAATTCTGATTCGCCAATTTTTGTTTTCTACTTCTAACTGAATTAATAATTTCCAATGGTCATTTCATAAGTTATATTATATTTTTTTCATCATTTTTACAAAGTTAAGGTGATAAAAAACCTTAATAACATGGGGAACATGTAACATGATTAATTTACAGAGTTTCATCATCAATGAATAATGTCTGTTTCTTTACCTTATTTATGCTTTTCATTATCTTATAATTTTGATTTTCAGGTTTGAACTTCAATGTTTCGGCTCCAGGTCAATATTGGGACGGTTTTTGCTTCGTTGTGGTATTTGTAATGGACGCTGTTCGTTGTAGTGGTGATTTTATCGATGGCAAAAGTGACGATGTTGTTGGTCCACTTGTTGGTATTTTATAGTTTGTATTGTTAAGACCATTTGGTAAACAATAGCGACGATAACAAATTCGTAGTAAAACAATTATCGTTAGAACTGCGATCATCTGAGCAACCGGAAGTATCACAACCAGAACTACACCCAATGTGTCGGTTTCTTCATTTTCGTTGTAACGACGATGTGGACCTTTAGCTCCTATCGAATGACAGAGAGGAAAAAAACACCAAACAGATGATAATTGTTCCGCTTCATGAGATATTCAATTGATCATTTTTGTCTCCGAAAATTCATTTCTACCTTTTAATGAAAACAGTTCAGTAAAATTTCATTGTTAAAGTCAAGATTTCAAACTTGACATGATTAATTAATCTTAAGCTTAACTCATCAAGTTTTTTTGAAGTTCACTGAAGATTCTGGTATTATTCCTGATAATTAACAACTCATTATATAATCTAATTTACCGTTCAGATTTCAACATGATGTAAATATTTTCATTATCATGTAAATGGTAAAATTTTATCTCCTTCAAGAGTTGATACATTAATAGGATTCATTCATTATTAAATAACGAATTCTGAATGAGATGAATGTCAAGGTAAAATCCCCATGAAAAATGATATAATGAAATGATTTCCAGTTGAAATACTAACAGTTACATGAAACTCAGAGGGTTTTAGATATAATCTTGAGCTGCGATCTAAAGAAAAAACATTTACCTTGGAATATATCACATTGTTTTCATCTTCTCTTTGAAATGAGCACAATATTGACAGAAATATAATATGATAGATACTCTGAAGACCAGAAAAAAAACAAAGAAACCAGAATTACATGAATTATTTTTCCTTCCATTCTTTTTTATTCTGATACATTGATCATGATTTATGGGATTTTATTTACTCAGTAAAGATTCATCATGATGATTATTGACTATTGCTGATGAAGATAAACTTCACTACCATTGCTTATTATCATTAAATTGTTAACAATCAATATGAGAATGAGAATGATTTTCACCATGAATTATCAAGGTGAGAATGTCGATTAACTTAAGCTCTGGATAATGTTAACTTTCATCATTTTCTGTTTATTGTTTTAATTGGAAATGAAAGGAATTGATTACCAATCAACAGCAATTGTACAACATGAAAGATTATGTTATCTAATTCATTATATGCTCTGTTGATCTGTTTTCTTGATTTACTTTCACTTGACCAGTAACTTTCATATTATTTAATAATGACCATTCTCAACTTTTGCTTTTCGATTACAGATTTTCATAATTTCTGATTACATGAATCCCTCTGTTCTTATGAAATTAACTATTGAATTAACGTTTTTCTATTCATCAACCCGTTAACATTCAAGAACTTTTATTAATTTTATCTCGTACATTGAATCTAGTTCATGGAAATCTGATCCAATCCTTCACCTTTTTTCTGGTAAAAACATAATGAATATTTAATCTCCTACTTCCAGAATAACTTTCCCTGTCTTTCCCATGCAGTTTTTTTCCTCTGAGTCTCCATACTAAAGACTCAAATAATTGAGAGAAAAGGATGAAGAAAATTGAGAATAAGGCTTACTAAATTTATCTTTTATAATTCAATGATAATAACATGATTTCAATTGAATTTTCTCATGATGAATATAAAAAAGAAACTCTTTCCTATGGGTTTGAATTACGATGATAACAATATGGCTAATAAATTAGAAAAGGTAACATGTTCACTATTCATTTGAAATGGAACAAAGGAAAATTTCAATTCCTTGATGATTCAAATCCTATTTATGTAATAATAATCAAGGTAATATCAAATTGATTCATCAAAAAATGAATTCAATGTTTTTTTTTGTATTGAAAATTTGCATTGAAACCTAAAAATGATCAACATTTGAATAGATTTTTGAATAAATTGTGATTAACTTACCACCAGAACCTCTTGTAATTGCTCCTCCTCGACATGAAACTTGATGATTAGTTGATGATAAATTCAATATAAATACAATAATAGTCAATAAATATCCATTGGTGACCCGTTTTTGATTATCTGCCAACGGTGAATTGGTTAATCCATTTACTTTGTAACAATTTGAAATTAAACTTTCTCTCATTTTCAATTGTCCTTTCAAAATTTAAATCCAACACATCTGATTAACTAATTTAATCTTGGATTAATTCACATTTTAGATTAGATATTGTTGATAATAATTCAATATTTCATGATAACGATTGTTAGTTGATTGTTGTTGTTGTTGTTTTTTCACTGAAACTTTTTTCACCATTGTGATGATATATTTCATCTTCTAGTTGAAAGTTCAGTTGATTCTGAATGAGAAACCAATATTATCTCATATTATATCATGTTAACTGCGCACTCTGAGTAACCTTTGTCATTGTTGATTCAAATTCATTGGGTTTCATCATGAGCATGAGCTTAACTTGATTAACTTTTATGAAACTTTTTCCAACTGTCAAAAGTTTTGTTTTCACTTATCAACATTTATCTTATTCTCTAATGAATTGATTGAATATTGAATCACAATTAACTGTTCAAGGTTTAGTTTTGATTAATATCTCGATCACACTTACTAATATCTTACAATTTATCCAAGTAATATTAGTTGATTATCTAATAGCATATTAGTTTTAATACATTGTGATAACGTTACCTTGGATTTACCTCTTATGATTTATTGAAATAAGTGTTCTGGTTAGTTGATCATTCAAACTTGTCGATTTCATTGAGATACATTGATATTTGTTGGTCTTAATTGTTCAATATGTTATTCACATCTAATTACAAGATTGTGCTTTTCTTTATTTTCAACAGCGTTTTTCTCACCGTCAATGCCGGTAAATTAGTGAAACACTCTGCCTCAACTACTGATGTCGCTGTTAAAACAGATGAAGCAGCTTCAGGAGACACAAGCGAAGCAAAAAACGTTGAACCAAAGGCGGAAACCACCACGGTGACACCGATCGAAGTAGATCCCAGAGTACCGATCTCTAAATTGGAAAAGACTGCCGATGATCATGTGATAATTAGTACTGATATTTTACCAAAGTTTAAAGATTTCAAAGTAGCTGTTAAAATTGAATATGAAATAGAAGTTTCGAAAGATAAATGGGAGAAAGGGGAAAAGCGCTCAGACCGTAAGTTAATCCTCGAATTTGTATTCATTTTGACTTACTAATTGTGGTCTTTACTTGTAGCGGTACGCTCTGAGAGAATCTCAGCTAAAGCGATTGGAAAACGTGGTTTCCTCGAGTGGAAAGTTGGTCCATTAAAGCCAAATACGCATTATCGATTCTTCGTCTACTCTGTATACAATAAACAACAATTCCCTGAACAACCACCAATCGCCCTCGAAACAACTACAAAATTAACTCCACCAAAATCAACCATTCTCAAAGGGGTCAGCGTTTTACCGTTTGGTGGGACTGACGTAAAATCTTATTATGTACAAATCAACAAGGTGAGACTTTGATTCAGTTAATATTTTTAGTTAATGAGACTCGAGAAATCAGACATTCAATCTCACCGATAAAAGAGATAAATCTCAAGTATCAATTGTATTATTAATAATAACAATTAACTAAATCTCCATTGGTGTAGTTTCATCACCAGATTAATCGGTTTTCAACTAATCTTGATCTTTTCTCTTACCGTTACTTCAGGTCAAAGAAGACGCTAAAGAAGCTGATTGCTTCATTGAGATCAAAATGTCACCCGATTTCGGTAAAGAGTTGACCCTTCCCGAATTGACCGCCGGTAAAAAATACACAATCAAAACTTGGTACATTAGTAAAGATGATAAGGAATCTGAATCTGTGATTACTGAGTTAATTGCTTGATTGCGATTGAATTTAATTGTAAAAGATAAGTCAATTTGTTCAATTAATTTTGTTGACGCAATTCAATTAATTACAAACCTCGAACGCAATTAAATTTGATTCATTCAAAGATCAATATTAAAATCTATTGTATTTTGTGAAGTTGTAATTCGTACAATAAATTTCAATAATTATCTGTGATTAATTGTTATTAATTTCTTATCATAAAAATTGATCACAACCTATTTTGATTGTTAATTGTTATTAATAACCATTTCCTTGATTTAGTGTGGGTAAAAAAGTCTGACTTTTTGTTTTGTACAATTAAAGTAAACAAATCATGTCATCTAATTGTCAACAATTAAAACAATTGCATTGGTCCATTGGAGGTAAATCATTTATTAATATCAAGACCAACGGGTGTTGTTTTTGATTGTTTTGACTGTTAAACATTGGAAATTATCACAATTAACTGATTTGTTTCTTTCTGTTAATTAGTCAGAGGAAATAAACAAGTTAATTGTTTCAATTATCAAAAAGTTTCAAAAGAAAACTAAAATTAAACAAACATTTCATTGTTTTCCCTGATTTGATTTGATTAATTGTAATTATCAAGTCAACCAATTGATTAGTACTTAAAGGCAAGAGTCTATGAGATGATCACAACAATTAACTTTCACCAGTAAATAAATTGATCACCAATAGTTAAATTAACTTTTCTCCATCAAGAACAATGTATTCAAAAGTGTTCCTAATTTTTTTAATTGTTCTCACAATTAACAATCAAGTCTCTGCGGATGAAACAATTAAGTTTATTGTCAATGTTGATGAAATCAAAGACGAATCTGTAATCATTAATGTTACAGGTCCAAGTGAATTGGAAGAGACAAAATTTGGATCGATTCGTGTAATTAATCAACTTTTAATTGATCAACAATCAACTACTGATGTGAACAAGACCAAAGTTAAAGGTAATTATTGGTAAATTAAGATGATCAACGTGTTTAATTGTTACTAATTAACTTCCATTAGGTAACATGAAGAGACAAATTTTGAATGAAATAAAAAAAGGAGATTATTTTTTCCAGCAAATGAAATTAGTTAACCTGAAACCTAATCAACGCTACCTAATTAACTTAATCGCAATTTATGGCAACAAATCATTCAACATTGATCTCATTGATTTAACAACTAAATCAAAATCGCCAATCACTTTAAATAATCAACAAGTTTCCATAAGATTTGATGGAATCGACGTCGTTAATTATTTCGCTCAAATTTATCGGGTAATTAAAAATTCAACTTGATTTCCAATCCAATAATTGTACTAATCTTTTGTTAATCTTAATCCACAGATCAAATCCAGTAATCCTAATCAAGAGACTAATTGTATCCTAGAAATTAAAATGTCCCCATGCTTTGGATCTCAATTACAATTACCCAATGATTTGAAAAATGGTGAAAAATATTTAATCAAAATTTGGTACATTGATAGTAAAGGTCAACAATCAGAGCCGAAAATCATTGAACACTTTTGGGATGATTAACTAATAACAATTTAAATTTGCCTCTGATTAAGTGTTGAAATTGACACTGATTGTCAGTCATGATTGATGTAAAATTGAAACGTCATTAAAGACAATTTAATAGTAACAATTAAAGGAAATTGAATTGTGATTACAATTTTCAGATCAATAGGTTATATTGATTAAAATGAAATTCATCTTGAAAAGTTTTCCATTGTCGTTTAATTGAAAATTCATGGCAATGGAAATCAATTCAATGTCTCATGTATAATTTAACCATTGTAACAATTAACTTATTGTTTAATTGGAGTGAGCAAAAAGTATATAATCCCAAACTGATGAGCATGAGACAGAAAAATATATTACCCTGTAACTATTTCAATAGAAGATAAATTTTCACAATGAATTTTTTTACTTGAAATTAGATGAAAATGAAGGTAAAGATGAACGAAGGGGAAACTCACGCTCAGCGTGATATTTACCCTGTGATTCGTGAATCTGTAAATGTGAGAATCAGATTGATCAAAGAATAGAGAGAGAAAATTACAATAAGACAATTAACTTGATCGAGAGCGTTGGAAAATTATTCCAAGGACAACAATCATTACACTGACCATTAAAATAGCCATTACTTAAAGTGAGAACCATTCACTTGACTGTTAACTATTTAAGAGTAAACTTTATATCAGTTTTTACAATTATCTAAATTACCTTTGGGCTTAATTTTGTTTTGTTTCTGCTAATTATCAATTCTTATACTTTTGATTATTCTCATAATTATCATTTAATTGTCGTTCCTTGATTATCATGTTTATCTTTATTACAGTGATAACATTGATTACTCTTTGGTCACAATCTATTGTGGGTAAGTTTTTGTAAAGATTATCAGTTGATTAATCTTTAATTGTCTTCTTTTCTTACTACTCAAGGCCAACAACAATCAACTAATTGTCCTAAACAGTGTTTTACAAATGCTCCCGTTTGTGCTTCCGATGGTAAAATGTACCGATCAAAATGTGAAATGGAAATGAAAAATTGCGGGTAAGTTAATAGTCTCCATGATTGATTTTAATCAATTGAGTTTTAATTGTTCTGAAAATCCGATTGTAGAAAAAATTTGACCATTATTGATATGAAACAATGTACTAAAGATCCTGGACAGTGTCCTAAGCTTTGCCTCGAAATATACGATCCCGTTTGTGGTGACGATGGTAAAATGTATTCTAATAAATGTATCATGCAAAAGCGCAATTGTAATAAGCGACCAGTGAAAATTGTCGACAAATCTTTTTGTATCAACTCAACTCGACGTGAGTACAATCATGATTAAAGGAATTAATCAAAAGAAACAATACTAATTAGCAACGATTTTCTTATTTTACACTTAAACAGAGTCTCGAAACTTTGAAGATTGTCCAAAATCGTGCCTACTAACTGATAAACCCGTTTGTGGATCAGATAAAAGTTTATATCGAAATGAATGTGTAATGAGACAAAAAAATTGCGGGTAATTAACAATAATAATTGTTGCGAAAAATTTTTATTCCATTCTAATTGTTGATTATTTAAATTACAGAAAACGTATCAATACAATTGACATAAAACAGTGTGTCCAAGAGACTCATCCATGTCCTAATCGTTGCCTAACTATACCTGATCCCGTTTGTGGCTCAGATGGTAAATGGTATCTTAATCAGTGTTGGTTAAATTACACTAATTGTGGTAAAATACCAGCGATTATTAAAGTGTCCAAAGACCAATGTAAAGGGCGGTTAAACTGATCGTTAGTTTAAGCATGGGACAAAGGAAATGGCCTCAAATGCTATTTTCGTAACGATCTAAAATGAAACAAATAATGATAATTCTTAATACCATTGACTAAACTATTTTCTCTGCATATCAATATTAATATAATAATTAAAGCAGAAATAAAATTCGCAAACTATTAAATCAAATACTCAACTTTTCGGTATAAATCTCTGTGAAAATATTATAATACGAGTAATATGAAGCCATTGGATCAGAATCAATTGAACTAATTGTTTTTTGAGTAAAATGAACATAATAGTCTAACGCTCAATACTCGTAGCTCTGGACATGCAACTGATTTAAGAAAAACTGATTGAAATGCAAAAGCAAATGTTAGAAGTGGGGAAATGGTGAAAATGTTGATTCTTCTTGTGATGTTGAGAGTCAAAGAGACTCCCGAGGATAACTATCGGTTCATCGATGTATTTCCAAACAAATAAGATGTAGTGATAATTGGTAAACCAAAACTTATTCTATGTCAAGAATTTCGCTATTAGCTATTATCTATTAACTATTAGCAGCAAAAACGAAAAAAAATCAATTAAACTGAAAGATCAAAGACAAACGATAAATGATTAATAAAGTTATTGACATGTAACGTGTTTATCAACACATCCAGCACCAAATTTACATTGACATCTCAGGAAATGGTGACAATAATACTTACATGACTTTATCAGTGACACAAAATCCTGATGTCACTTCCATGGCACAGTGGACTGCGAATGCTGGTAAGGTCGCAAATTTTGGCTTGAGAGTAAAACATCACGTCTTTCAATTTAATTTTATAATTTCTTCCAACTCTAGAGTCAAATGATTGTTGATGAATTATGTCTTCTGCTGGTACGACATAAAATGAATATGGACTTAGGCAACTGGTAACTGTTACATCCAATTTACAACCTTCTCTGACAATGTCTCGTTCGAGAGTGTCCACGAGAACCTCTTCAGTGTCAAGAACTTCAACTATCAACAGAGAAAAAATCACCAAAAGAAAATCAAATTAAACTAAAAGATCTAAAAATGATTGATTTTAATCAATCATCAACTTACGTTCTTGATTTTTAACTTGTTTATGAACACAACCAGCACCGCATTTACATTAAACTCTCAAAAAATGATGACATATCCCATTTAATCTTTGGTTTTAAATCCTTGGACAACGTTTCCAATATCCGTCGGGTCGTATTGATAATTATTGGAATAAGATTTTGCGTCTTCTGCCATTGGATCCCAATTATCAGGGATCTTCTAAAATAATGTAATTATAATTCGTTAAATTCCAAAGCTACTCTGTTTTCTTATCAAAGTCAAATTATTCAACTGCATATTCATGTGCATTCAATAATTGTTTTAATTTAACAGAATTGAAGAGAAAGTTTGAATTGAATTTTAAGAGAAAGGCCGTGAAAAGACGAAAATGAAAGAGGTTAGAAAGGAGACAAAAAGCTTCACGAACCAACGACCATGCAAACTAACGAAGCGTCTTGGTTTCAAGTGAAGATCGATTGAAGAAGGAAAAATAGAAAGAATTGTCAACACCAAATCGGAAAACACAGAGATGATACTCAGCGGGCGGAAGTGAAGAGGGTGGAATATGATAAAGGTGATAACCATCTTCAAGAATTGTTATCAATTGAGCAACAGGGGTAAATTCTGATAGATTATCTTCATATTCGTCATCATCCAATTCTCCTTCTTCTTCTAACTGATCTTCTTCCTCTCCTTCTACTTCAATTCCCTCCTCATCAGGTCTCAAATACTCTTCGTTATATTCATAATTATCACCGGCCGATAATTCTTGTCCATCATGATTGTAATTATCTTTATTGTTCCCGCTACCATCTTCATCTTCCTCTTGGTGAAATGTATCAATGCTTTGGTCATCAGCAGGTCATTATTAATTGTGAAAATATAAAAATTGAAAGATCAACTCTTAAGCTACGAAATGATATAAAATGTAGAGAAATCAAACAATTAATTTCGATAATTTATTAATTGATCTAAATACGCTTTTTTCTTATTTTTGAGATCGAATTTTCGAAGTGGCCTTTTTGGACCTTTTAAAGGTCAGAAAATTTCGAAAATTAATTTATATCGTAGAAAAAGATTTGATTTAATTTATGATATAATTTGGTTATTTAGAATGATTTCCTCGAAAAGTTATATCAAATTTAATTCGAAAATAAGAAAACTTTTATCATATTTTTCTATGGATAAATCATATACAAAATTTTGGAAAAATGAAAATTTTATAAAAAGTTATCATCTATGGAGTTTCAATGTTAAATCATTTCAAATATAATTTTTTATAACTTTTCGAGGAAATTATTCTAATAAACCAAATTTTATCATAAATTAAATCAAACTTTTTTCTACAATTTAAATTAATTTTCGAAATTTTCTGACCTCTAAAAGGTTCAAAAAGGCCACTTCGAAAATTCGATGTCTAAAATAAAAAAAAGTTGATTTAGGTTGATTTATAAATTAGCCAAACTAATTAACATAATTAAATAAAATCTATATCATTTTGAACATAAATGTTCAACCAATCAATAATAATATTTTTATAATTAATAATTAACCAATGTTCGAGAAATTGAGAAACGCGTCAAGCCAATCAAAAAGCGACATTACTTATGTGGATACCTAATAAATAATATTCAATTTTCTCAGTAGAAACTTTTGTTTATTGATTTGTTTCTCTTTTTTCTGTTATAGCTGAAGATGGACCCGTTACTACTCCAATCCCGATGCTCCTTTGGGCTTCATCCGATCCTTTCGAAGAAAACGAGATAGAAAAACTTAATTTCAAGAAATTTGTAAAATTCACTGAAGCTCATCGAGAGGAAATCGCACAATTTTACGAGAATAATGACGCTGTTTGGTTTTACACTTTTGATGGTCAGTAATGCAGTGGAATCAGGAACCTCTGGAGTTATTTGGCCTGTGGTTTTAGCGAAAATTGCTTTCAAGAAACAAATTGGTTTGACTGAGAATAAGGAACATGGTGTTCCCTCTCTGGTTGCATGGGCCATGAGGAAAACTGGACCGGGAACATCATATTCTTCAGTTAGTCGAACTGATTTGATCATCTTCATCCTCGAACATAAGATCGAGATCATTACGCATTTGGACAATGGCGATGTTGAAGGTTTGATTAACTACATGGTTTCAACTTCAACTGAATCAGGAACCGAAGACATCGACTGGCAAAAAGTTATCAACTATCTTAAGGATGAAAGACAATTATTCAAATATCCATGCGACCTCTTGAACCTTCTACTTTGTGACAGAATTTTGAAGTAAAATCAGTTGATTACTTGAAAATATTGATTTGCTTAAGATTTAAACAAGAAAATCCAATAAATTTTTAATTTCTATTGCAAATACAAATTTCAGATTCATAAGTTATTATAAATATCTACGGGGAAGGCGGGATGCAGATGAATTCCGATTGAATGAACTTCACATTTTACCCTTGCTTGTGTACCTTTAAAGCAAACTCCTTAGATTTTCGGTTAGGGTAAAAACTCATTCGGTAATTCAGCTTTCAGATTGTGAATAAACACTTCAACTAACTTACCTTGGTTGCCATTATCAACTTCGAATGCTTAAGATTCTCGCAAAGGTGACGAAGGTTCACCTTTATTCTGTGATGTCGCTGTTGCTTGGTAAGGTGCTGCTCTCGTCTCATGGTGAATCAGTTGCTGTCAACCAGGTGTATTCCGTGTCTATGTTAACGTTGTTCATTAAAACCAATACATCAACTAGATCGTCGGTAAATATGGTAAAAAAAGGACTAAACTTTATCAGCTTCATCCAATAACTAACAGGATTCTTTGAGAAAAAAATTGATAGAACAAAGAGAGAAAAAGATGAAAAAGAAAGAGAGAGAGAAAGGAAGAGAAAGAAAGAGAAAGAAAAAGGAAGAGATCTAGTATTATGTATTATAATATAATATCTAGAATTACTATTGATTACTTTATTACCTTTAAATTGTCTGAATTTTCAAGATTAAATTGTAATCTTTCACCAGTCCAATCATAATTGTTACTTGCGTTACTTGAGCTTTAAACATTTTAAACTACTGCTTGTTGATTCAATTGATTAATGACATTGATTGTATTAATAAAAGCTTCAAAAATATTGCTTGAAGAAATTTAATCATTTTTGTCGTTTATTATTTTATTAATATCATATGATTATAATAACCAAATGAACATCAATCTTTTGGGTTAATTGTTTCGAAGCAATTTATAGCTGTTATCAATATTTAATCATTTATCTAAATCAGTGCTTGGGGATTTTAATCAGTAAACAACAAAGAGAGATTAACTCAATCCAAAGATCAGTAATACTTATACATACATGTATGTATTACTATTTAACACAACCCAATATGATTAATCAATCAGGTAATCATCAAGACAATATATGAAAAATGAAGCACATTAATCGAGTTGTAATCAAGTTGCAATGAAATTAGTAACCAAGAATAAACCAATAACAATTAAAATTATGTGCTCTCATATCGACGCTTTGTTCAATTAATTTAATAGTTAATAGAGAAAAATTAATTAAAACAATTGCTATTCTATTGATAAAAAACCAACCATATTCTTCAAATTATTCACCACTTTGATTAGTGACTAATTTTTAATTCATGAATTCAATCAATCATCAAGATTCATAGTAAAGTGAAAACACTGAATGATTATCACGAAGCGGAAATAAAAATCCACGAAACTGAATCGATTAAGTGGAATCAGAGTTTTTCATTGTTCACCAAGTTTGTTTCAAAAATTTCCGCTCATCATATTTCATTATCAATGAATTTGGTGAAATTGGTCAAGTTATCGTTACAGGAAATTTTGATTCTTCTATATATTGACCAATTGATCAGCCAGTAAAATGTAGATAAAGACTCACGGATGAAAACTTTTGGAACTAGACTGATCTATAATGAACAATTGATTCAATTTAGTTTAATTAAATCAATTTAAAGGACATTTTTGGCAGTACTAAAATATTTGTTTACTGAAATTGGGTGGGGTGGGTGATTAATTAATTTGATTGTGAGAACAGAGATGATCGGAAGAAAGCCAAAAATACTTACATGACTTCATCAGTGACACAAAATCCTGATGTCACTTCCATGGCACAGTGGACTGCGAATGCTGGTAAGGTCGCAAATTTTGGCTTGAGAGTGAAAACATCACGTCTTTCAATTTAATTTTATAATTTCTTCCAACTCTAGAGTCAAATGATTGTTGATGAATTATGTCTTCTGCTGGTACGACATAAAATGAATATGGACTTAGACAACTGGTAACTGTTACATCCAATTTACAACCTTCTCTGACAATGTCTCGTTCGAGAGTGTCCACGAGAACCTCTTCAGTGTCAAGAACTTCAACTATCAACAGAGAAAGAAATCACCGAAAGAAAACCAAATTAAACTAAAAGATCTAAAAATGAATGGCCGATTAACTCACGTTCTTGAGGTGTAACGTGTTTATGAACACAACCAGCACCGTATTTGCATTGGCCTCTCAAAAAATGATGACATATCCCAGTATAATCTTTGGTTTTAAATCCTTGGACAACGTTTTTTCCAATATCCATTGGGTCATCTACATTCTGTACTTAAATGATCAAGACAATCGAAATTTTTTATTGAGTCGAAATCATCAGGTTGCTATGCAATATTTTGAAACCTTGTTGAAATTTTGTTGCGAGCCCAAGATCCAGGTACAGTAACTGCTCTGCAGTTATTTTTTAGTAGGTATCGCATCTATGTCATAAGCTGATAATGATTATCACATTATATATTCAGAGTGCGTTTAAGTGTATCAAGAACCTAAAGTTATCTAACTCAAAAAAAATCAATTAATGAAGAACAATAGCTTCAGATTGATTGCTGTTGATTAAAACGAGTATATATTAAAATTGAAACCGAGAAATTAACATCATAATCGTCGATTATTTGGTTTCGATATCTCATATTGTTTTTAATTCACCAGAAATAAAAACCATGAACCGATTTTTAGCCATTACTTTTGTCATCGTCGTCTCATCATGTAAGTAAAACTTTTCTTTCGATTTACTTTTCTCAATAGATTCAAATGATTAACTTTATTATTTTTCATTCTTTTTATCTTTAAATATCAACAGATTATTGTGATGCCTTTTGGGGAGAATTTGGTGATTGGGCTAAAGGAATGACTCCTTGTGAGATTTGCAAAAATGAAGCCGCAGCTGAAGTAGCTGCTTTGGAAGGCGCTCGAGATGCTTTCATACCTGGAATCCGTTCCTTACCTGGACTTAAGAGGCTCTGTGGTAAATATCCAACTCCTGAAGGATCTTGTGACTCTTTCGTTAAAGTATTCGAGGCTTCATTTGATCATCTTATCGAAAGACAAAGCAGATCTCAAGAGCTTTGTGCTTATTATGGTGTCTGTGAGTCAAATTCGACCCTCGAAATTAGTTTACCAAGTCTTCCCGTTGCTCCAGTTACACCTAAACAAAATCCTTCCAAAGTTTATGATGACGCCGTTTGCAAGCAATGTACCGATATTATCGCTGGATTTGCATTCATGGGCGTTGGTAACTATGCTAAGGATTTTGCTGCTCGAACTGAAAATAATTGTTTAGATTGGGTGAAAACTACTGAATCTCCAAGTGTCGAAGATTACAGAAAGTGTCTTGAGCTTAACTCAGTTTATTTCGATTCAATTACCAATAACATGATCGACAAATCGACCCAGAACTATTTGTGTTGGGATCTTTTCGATGTTTGTGAACCATCCAAAAAACCAAGCGAATTGGTCTTACCAGATTTGACTGAAATCATCAAAAACTAACATTTTCCAAGTAGAGAAAGTGTTCCAAAATCAAACATACCAATGAGTAACACTCGATATTAATCAGTAAATCAATAATAAAATTTCTTGCATGATTAATCGGATATCGAACTCAATTTATTTACATATTTAAAATTCAATTTTTAAGACATTAAAATCTTCACTGAATTATCAAAAATTCAACATTAATCAAATTACAGAATTGAACTAATCTTCCAAGAGTTAAGATAAAAAACATGCTGATCAATTGAAACGAGAATTTAAAAAAGCAGTCAAGGTTATCAGACAATTAAGTTAAATTTAAAGTGAAATTAAAATTACAGGTAACACTTTTATAATCCATTAGGAGTTGTCTGTTGTTGCCATAGCAGTTAGAAATGAAGCGGTAAAATTAGTTAACTAACAATTTAACACTACCTGTATAACGTAAGTACTTACGGTGTGCAGATCGATTGAATTTGATCTGATCTGGGAACAGGTAGCGACACTAATTTTATCTAAACTAATTTCTGGTGGAGTTTTCTCTTTAGATTGAGCATCGGCTTCCAATACCCAATCCATTGAATCTGTGAAAGCATAATTGGCCTTGACCAGAGCCGCATTGACCAAAATATCTTTACCTTGGCCTAAGGCATTATCACTGTACCAAAGAAAGACCGATAAAGGTTCATCGTAATTACTTTTCGATGGACGTTCGGTAACATAAACAGTTACCATTTGTTCAATCTTGATGCCACTCAATTCCTCGAAATATTTTAAACATTCATTGGACCAACCATCGGACGGAGGTGATATGTGAGATAATCGGCAGCGAACAGCAAATGCTGGAATGTTGATTACGTCGATTGGAAGAGGTTTTAAATCACCAATATTCAATACATCCTCTGTTCCATAATCAATATATTTAACTAAAATTCGACGACATCTTAAAGGGTGTTTCGGTTAAAAACCTACCTTAAGGTCGAGAGGAAAAAATTTCATCGAACCCTTTGGTTGTATAATAGGTATCTCCACTAAAGATAATTGATCAGTGACAGAGTAAAATGATCCATCGGAAATTGAATGAGCTTTGTTAAGGGTAAGGTATCGATCGGAATTAAGTTGAATTAATTTCTCGGCCACTGCAATACAAGACTCTCTGGTTTCAAAATCACTAATTAACGGGTGAATATAAATACAATCAGGAATACCCGAGATATCACAAAAAGCTGAATAACTTAATCCATGCCAATCAGGATGAAAAGGAATACGAAGCACATCTAGTGAATAAGATTGGGGGACACAAGATAATCTCCAAATCCCTGAGACATCATAGAAAATGGCAAACTTAATTTGTCCTTCAATATTTAACTCTTTCTCGGTGTTAATCAAATGCTCGATCCATGGCATCTCTCCAGATTGGCTTAAATCAATAATTGCACCGGAAGAATGTACCTTCTTACAATTAACGATCGCTTGTTTGACAAATAATTTCGCTGGAAGCCAAACTTTACCATAATATCTAACGATCTCTTCAAATTCACTTCCAACCAGATCAATTGCTTCCATAAATCTAATTGAAAGAATATGAAAAAAAAAGATTAGTCTCATAAAACAAAAGGAAACAATTGAAAAGAGGAAAAAAGTTACCTTTGAGTTTGAAGATCATCGCTAATCTGATCAGTCCAATTAGGTCTTAATCGGGAGACTCGAGAAGTTAAATCTGTGTTTATCCTAAAAACTGAACTACTCGAGACGCAGTTATTCTTGAATTCTGGTACAAATGTTGCAGGAAAACGTAATAAATGGATTCAAATCAATATTGCACATGATAAACTATTCGAAAGTTACAACAATGGAAAAAAATATCAGCTCTTCAATATTTAGACAGAATACTTGTAATGGCCGGAGAAGTAGTTTTGCTACACTGTGAAATTAAATTGTTTAACGATTATGGTGTTGATTTCTCAGTTTCAACCACAATATATACAATTTTTCCATCGACATCAATCAATCTCAAGCTATTGTTCTTAATTAATTGATTGATGTTTTTTGTTTTGAATAATTTTAGGTTCTTGATACACTTAAACGCACTATGAATATTTAATATGATTTATTCATCATGAACATCATTTGAGTCTATCGCCCGTTCATTTAGATACGAATGCACCTAAGAAATATTGTACAGAATTCAGGGAATTATAAAGTGGATCATATCCATACTTGATTGTTGTCTGAAAAATAAGACAATTAATATGATTAAATCATCCAATGTTAACAAGAAACATTCATTCGTAAATATTATACTAACCATATATTGGGTTATATTGTAACCTTTTGTCCTTCCCAGTGAAAGAGGTCAACTCTGAATCTCCCTGCCATGTCCCTGAGATTATAAATGAACAATGTGGTCAGTTAGAGAGTAAAGTCAATCTATGCAACTTGCATAATGCAAGTAACTCACCTTTCCTTGAAGTGCGGGCTATGGACATAACTGTACCAAGATAACATATCCAATAACTGTGGACTTTCCATTCGACCTCAAGTTATCCATAGATTAACAGAATTAAAGATTAGAGAAGTTTAAAAGAAAAGGACATGAAAAGGCAGAAATGGAAGAGGTTAGAAAAGCTTCACGAATAATCGACCGTGCAAACCAACGAATCATCTTGGATTCTAGTGACGACAGATCAAAGAAGGAAAAATAGAAAAAATCATCAACACCAGTTCTTGAAAGATTATCTCAATTCGATTAATGTCTAATTCTGTTATGATCTAGTAAAGATGTTAGTTGTTTAAGAATCCGATTTAAAATGAAGGTTGTTGGATATGCGATTAATTATGCAGGAAGTTTTTTATTGTTGTTAATACTGATTAAATTGGAGTGCTAATCATTGGTACATTTAATTTTCAACTCATGTTTAACAATTGGAAAATGGCCATTTAATTGATGGGTAGATTTTTAGTAATTTCTTTCAAGTTTTTTGGTAACTTCAATTCACTTGGTTTTTTGGATGGTTCACAAACGTCGAAAAGATCCCAACACAAATAGTTCTGGGTCGACTTGTCGACTATGTTATCGGTAATTGGATTGAAATAAACTGAGTTGAGTTGAGAACACTTTTCGATATCTTGATCGCTTGGGAACTCAGTAGTTTTAACCCATTCTAAACACACATTTTTAGTTCGAGTAGCGAATCTACTAGCATAATTTCCAATTCCCATGAATGTCATTGCAGCGACAGTATTGGTACATTGGTTACAAACCGCGTCATCATAAACTTTGGAAGGAATTTGTTTGGGTGTAACTGGAGCAACGGGAAGCGTAGGAAAACTGATATCGAGGGTTGAACTAGACTCACAGAGAGTATAGTAAGCACAAAGCTCCTTAGTTTTGTTTTGCCTTTCGATAAGGAGATTAAAGGAATCATTGAATACTTTAACGTAAGCGTCGCAAGATCCTTCGGGAGTTGGGTATTTACCACATTGCTCCATAAGTCCAGGTAAAGTAGGACGTCCAGGTTCGGAAAATCCAGGTATTAAAGCATCTCGAGCTTTTGTCAAATCAGATACTTCAGCTTCGGCCATAAATTGACAAACCTGACAAGGAGTCATTCCTCCAGCCCAATCCAAATTAGTTCCACTCCAAAGAGCATCTCCATAACCTGTTAATATTCAAAGACCGAAAAAAGAATGAGAAATACCCAATCAAGTTAATCATCTCAATTCAGAAAAGTTTTACTTACATGATGAGACGACGATAACAAAAGTAATGGCTAAAAATTGGTTCATGGTTTTTACTTCTGGTGAATTGAAAACAATCAGATGATAGATTAAAATCAAATTGGTTAACGATTATGGTGTTAATTTCTCGGTTTCAACCACAATATATACAATTTTTTTATCGACATCAATCAATCTGCAGCCATTGTTCTTAATTAATTGATTGATGTTTTTTGTTTTGAGTAATTTTAGGTTCTTGATACACTTAAACGCACTATGAATATTTAATATTATTCATTCATCATGAACATCATTTATGTCTTTCACCCGTTCATGAGAAATTCTGACGAAATAAGTTATTAAACATCGGACACGTGGAGCAGTTAGAGAGAGAAATGAATTGTGTTCATAGCAACTGTGGAAAAACTGAATGCAGCAAAATAGGACGATCAAAGCCAAAGGATTGTCAAAGGACACAAAATCCCGATGGGACTTCCATTGCACAGTGGACTGCGATTGCTGGTAAGGTCGCAAATTTTGGCTTGAGAGTAAAACATCACGTCTTTCAATTTAATTTTATAATTTCTTCCAACTCTAGAGTCAAATGATTGTTGATGAATTGTCTTCTGTTGGTACGACATAAAATGAATATGGACTTAGGCAACTGGTAACTGTTACATCCAATTTACAACCTTCTCTGACAATGTCTCGTTCGAGAGTGTCCACGAGAACCTCTTCAGTGTCAAGAACTTCAACTATCAACAGAGAAAAAATCACCAAAAGAAAACCAAATTAAACTAAAAGATCTAAAAATGAATGGCCGATTAACTCACGCTCTTGAGGTGTAACGTGTTTATGAAGTCATATCCCAGTATAATCTTTGGTTTTAAATCCTTGGACAACGTGACAACATCATTTTTAGATTATAATTTTTTAAGAGAATTTAATAATTGAATGTCTCTCTTAATATCTGTTCTGCTGTTGATTAGGTGAAACAATCATCTTCTTTAGGTGCCATCATGGAGGAGATTCCCGATAATTGGGATCCAATGGCAGAAGACGCAAAATCTTATTCCAATAATTATCAATACGACCCGACGGATATTGGAAACGTTGTCCAAGGATTTAAAACCAAAGATTACACTGGGATATGTCATCATTTTTTGAGAGGCCAATGCAGATACGGTGCTGGTTGTGTTCATAAACACGTTACACCTCAAGAACGTGAGTTAATCAATCAATTATTTTTAGATCTTTTAGTTTAATTTGGTTTTCTTTCGGTGATTTTTTCTCTGTTGATAGTTGAAGTTCTTGACACTGAAGAGGTTCTCGTGGACACTCTCGAACGAGACATTGTCAGAGAAGGTTGTAAATTGGATGTAACAGTTACCAGTTGCCTAAGTCCATATTCATTTTATGTCGTACCAGCAGAAGACATAATTCATCAACAATCATTTGACTCTAGAGTTGGAAGAAATTACGATTTCATTGATCCAACTGAAAAAAATCTTCTTATTCTGATGCGAGAAATAACTATTATTTAAACAAGAATCACTTCTATTAATAAATTTAACGTTCGCAGAAAATCATTATCAGTCCTTTTAGTTTTATTATATTATTACGGTCTTTTCAATCTATTATTTGATTGTTTTAATTCAAGTAAAAACTATGAACTGATTTTTAGCAATTACTTTCATTGATTGTCATCAGTTTGTAAGTAATTTATTGATATCATAGTATTCATGGGCACTGGAACTTATGCTATTAACTCCGCCGCTCAAACTACAATTGTGGGCTTAGACTGGATTAAAACTTAAGAGTATACAAGCGACTAAGATATCGAAAAGTGTTCTCAACTCAACTCAGTTTATTTCAATCCAATTATCGATAATATGATTGAAAAATTGACTCAGAACTATTTGTGTTGGGATCTTTTCGATGTTTGTGAACCATCAAAAAAATGGGTCGTTTCAATATACGAAAATGGACGATTCAGCTCAGATCATGAATAGATAACTTTTAAATTTTCAAAGAAAATTTAATATCTTCTGCTTGTTGAGTGTTCGGCATCAACAGGATCTCTGATTATCACTCTACCATCTCAATATTTAACATGTTCAAGATTAAGTGAACTATTAATAATTAGATAGAATTATTAAAAATACTCAAATGAAATCGGCTAATTTGGTTGTCAATCTTATTTACATTTTATTTTACTTTTTACAGAATATTTTGATTCGGGAACTCGAATTGTCGAAGACGGTCGCAGGTAATAAGAAAACACCAGTTTGATTAGTGAGTTGATCGGTAATTAAATCGTGGTCATTTTCATTATTTTCTTACCTGAATTTTCAATCAGTTGAGAGGGTAAGTCATGATGGTAGGATTTAATTATCATTAGTAATACTCAGGTAAAATCGTTTGATTGGATTGTTAATCTTATTTACATTTTATTTTACTTTTTACAGAATATTTTGATTCGGGAACTCGAGGTGACGAAGTTTATGTACAAAGGATTAATTGAGCGAACTCAAGATCTTCTCGAGTCTCATCTGAAAGTTATCTTATGTTTACAAGGGTATTTACAAATTGATTATTTTTAGTGTCGTCTAATCAGTCAATTTAGTTTAATTGAATCAATTTAAAGGAGATTTTCTCTTTTGGCAGTATTAAAATATTTGTTTACTGAGATTGAGTGAGAGATGATAACTTAGAATCAAATCATTTTTTTAATGAGAAGTGTCCATATGAGGTCCAATGATGGATTTGGATGAAACCAGTAAGCCAATTATGAGTGGATCATATCCATACTTGATTGTTGTCTGAAAAATAAGACAATTAATATGATTAAATCATCCAATGTTAACAAGAAACATTCATTCGTAAATATTATACTAACCATATATTGGGTTATATTGTAACCTTTTGTCCTTCAGAGTGGAAGAGGTCAACCCTGAATCTCCCTGCCATGTCCCTGGGATCATAAATAAACAATGTGGTCAGTTAGAGAGTAAAGTCAGCTTATAAAGGTAACTCACCTTTCCTTGAAGTGCGCTTTGAATGTTTGTCCGAGTACTAATTCACTAAAATTACTCCTAAAAGAAATTAAATAAAATCGTAATTTCAATTAAATTGATTGTGAAAGTAAAGACAATCGAAAATACTTACATGACTTCATCAGTGACACAAAATCCTGATGGCACTTCCATGGCACAGTGGACTGCGAATGCTGGTAAGGTCGCAAATTTTGGCTTGAGAGTGAAAACATCACGTCTTTCAACAATCAGCTCAACACCAGTGTCGATATTCATTACTGTTAGTTCATCTTCATCGAGACTCATATCTATGACTCTTGCTCGGTAGAATGGCTCAGCCCGAACAGCAATAAGACTTCCTATTGCAGGGAAAATAACCATGTTTTCCTTATTTTCGGGCTTTCGATAAAATTCTGCCATTTCCCGCATCAGAATAAGAAGATTTTTTTCAGTTGGATCAATGAAATCGTAATTTCTTCCAACTCTAGAGTCAAATGATTGTTGATGAATTATGTCTTCTGCTGGTACGACATAAAATGAATATGGACTTAGGCAACTGGTAACTGTTACATCCAATTTACAACCTTCTCTGACAATGTCTCGTTCGAGAGTGTCCACGAGAACCTCTTCAGTGTCAAGAACTTCAACTATCAACAGAGAAAAAATCACCGAAAGAAAACCAAATTAAACTAAAAGATCTAAAAATAATTGATTGATTAACTCACGTTCTTGAGGTGTAACGTGTTTATGAACACAACCAGCACCGTATCTGCATTGGCCTCTCAAAAAATGATGACATATCCCAGTATAATCTTTGGTTTTAAATCCTTGGACAACGTTTCCAATATCCGTCGGGTCGTATTGATAATTATTGGAATAACATTTTGCGTCTTCGGCCATTGGATCCCAATTATCGGGAATCTCCTCCATGATGGCACCTAATGAAGATGATTGTTTCACCTAATCAACAGCAGAACAGATATTAAGAGAGACATTCAATTATTAAATTCTCTTAAAAATTATAATCTAAATTGTCTAATGATTATCCAATTATTAACAGTAAAACGATGGGTTAAGTTGCAAGAAAATTATATAAAATGATTAATCGGTGGCGATGTTGATGTTGATTAATTTAAATCCATGCAACGAGTTAATTTAAAAAGTTACACTTGAAGGTTATTCACATTCACATTTAAAAAACATGCTGATCAACTGAAACGAGAATTTACAAAAAGCAACCAAGGTTATCAAACAATTAAGTTAAATTTAAAGTGAAATTAAAACTACAGTTAACACTTTTATAATCCATTAAGAGTTGTCTGTTGTTACCATAGCAGTTAGAAATGAAGCGGTAAAATTAGTTAACTAACAATTTAACACTACCTGTATAACGTAAGTACTTACGGTGTGCAGATCGATTGAATTTGATCTGATCTGGGAACAGGTAGCGACACTAATTTTATCTAAACTAATTTCTGGTGGAGTTTTCTCTTTAGATTGAGCATCGGCTTCCAAGACCCAATCCATTGAATCGGTGAAAGCATAATTGGCCTTGACCAGAGCCGCATTGACCAATATATCTTTACCTTGGCCTAAGGCATTATCACTGTACCAAAGAAAGACCGATAAAGGTTCATCGTAATTACTTTTCGATGGACGTTCGGTAACATAAACAGTTACCATTTGTTCAATCTTGATGCCACTCAATTCCTCGAAATATTTTAAACATTCATTGGACCAACCATCGGACGGAGGTGATATGTGTGATAATCGGCAGCGAACAGCAAATGCTGGAATGTTGATTACGTCGATCGGAAGAGGTTTTAAATCACCGATATTCAATACTTCCTCTGTTCCATAATCAATATATTTAACTAAAATTCGACGACATCTTATATCTTCCATATTTTCTCTTTCTTCTTCTTCTTCCTTGATCACTGGTGTTGAGTTTTCCTCTTCCTCTTCTTCTTCTTCCTTGATCACTGGTGTTGAGTTTTCCTCTTCCTCTTCTTCTTCTTCGGGGTTGATTAAATCAATCACTTTAACTCGACACCATTCATTGTCGGAAGGGTAAATCGCAGCCCAACAAGAGTCAATGAGTACATTTGGGTCATCAGGTAATTCATAATCTTCATTTTGATCAACAGCGAAATGATTTGATAATTGTTCTTGAATATCATCCAATTGAGCGGAATCATCATTTGATAAGTGAATGTAAAACTCATTTGGATCAACCAAAGCGGAAATGACACAAAGATGATACTCAGCGGGCGGAAGTGAAGGAGGTGGAATATGATAAAGGTGATAACCATCTTCAAGAATTGTTATCAATTGAGCAACAGGAGTAAATTCTGATAGATTATCTTCATATTCGTCATCATCCAATTCTCCTTCTTCTTCTTCTAACTGATCTTCTTCCTCTCCTTCTACTTCAATTCCCTCCTCATCAGGTCTCAAATACTCTTCGTCATATTCATAATTATCACCGGCCGATAACTCTTGTCCATCATGATTGTAATTATCTTCATTGTTCCCGCTAGCATCTTCATCTTCCTCTTGGTGAAATGTATCAATGTTTTGGTCATCAGCGGTAAGGTCAACTTCTCCATATGAATCGGTTCTTCTCAATTTAAAATCAGTTTCATCTTGATCAGTGAATAATTTAGTTGAACATGAGACTTTTACATCAACATCACCACCACCACCGTTGATTATATTTCCCATAGGATTTTCATTTGAGTTTAAACTTACCCCTTTTTTGTAATCATCATCACAATCATCGTTTTTTAAATTACCGTTAACCGTTGGTTCATGGCCGTTAATTTGAATAGGTATCTCCTCTAAAGATAATTGATCAGTGACAGAGTAAAATGATCCATCGGAAATTGAGTGAGCTTTGTTAAGGGTAAGGTATCGATCGGAATTAAGTTGAATTAATTTCTCGGCCACTGCAATACAAGACTCTCTGGTTTCAAAATCACTAATTAACGGGTGAATATAAATACAATCAGGAATACCCGAGATATCACAAAAAGCTGAATAACTTAATCCATGCCAATCAGGATGAAAAGGAATACGAAGCATATCTAGTGAATAAGATTGGGGGACACAAGATAATCTCCAAATCCCTGAGACATCATAGAAAATGGCAAACTTAATTTGTCCTTCAATATTTAACTCTTTCTCGGTGTTAATCAAATGCTCGATCCATGGCATCTCTCCAGATTGGCTTAAATCAATAATTGCACCGGAAGAATGTACCTTCTTACAATTAACGATCGCTTGTTTGACAAATAATTTCGCTGGAAGCCAAACTTTACCATAATATCTAACGATCTCTTCAAATTCACTTCCAACCAGATCAATTGCTTCCATAAATCTAATTAAAAGAATAAGAAAAAAGAATTAGTTTTATAAAACAAATGGAGAAAAGAGAATTGAAAGAGACGAAAAAAGTTACCTTTGGGTTTGAAGATCATCGCTAATCTGATCAGTCCAATTAGGTCTTAATCGGGAGACTCGAGAAGTTAAATCTGTGTTTATCCTGAAAACTGAACTACTTTCAACAATATGAGTTTCATTTGCTATTGCATCGATTTCGGAAACGAAATTTTCATAAATAACATCAAAAAGAGTTTCAATTTGTTCATTATCATCAAATTCTGGTGACAGTTGAAAATTAGGTGTCGAACTGAGTATCTGTTTGATGATTCGACGTCCATAGTGATGATAAACAAGTCCAGCACAGCTCAGCTTTATGGTGAATGGTTTCCTTGGATCGAGACATTTCAGTGTTGTTTTCTTGAAATTACTCTGATGATAATCATATAAACTTCTAGAATGGTCATAAATCAAACCAACACCAATCACATAATCACTTTTCTCAATTAGAGTTGAATCACGAGAACGAATTATTTTCGCATCCAAACCAATGAGCTTTCGGATTAAATAACAGGCAAAAATTTGATCACAGTGAAAATCACCATTATAAGTACAAATTGTCAGAGACATTTTGATATTCTTTTTTCTTAACTAATTGGAATATTTAAAAAAATAACCTTTTGAGAAAAAACAAAAGAAAAAGAGAAAAATTAAAAATATCAAAAATAGAGTAAAGATGAAAAAGACAAAACCATTAACTGGGTCTGATGAAGGAGAAAATATAATTGATCCTGTGAATCCATGAAACACTGGATATTTAATGGTTCCTATTAATCAATATTAACCTTGTGATGAGAAGATAATAGTTTTATCAACAGCAACAATTAAGGATTCAAACCAAAGGGATGAGATGGTGAGAGTAAAAAAAATTTGCCTTTGGGCTGGAGAGACAATGAAAATCCAATGGTAACACAAATACAAATGTTATTATTGTGTATTTACACTTAAACACAGAGAAGATAAAGTCCAGGGAGATAATTAAGACAAGTTGTTGATCTAAATTAAAAGGAGAAATTGAAAAAATGAGGCTGATTAGATTTGATTAGAATACTAATCAACAGGCACGAAGGTCAATTTGTTGTCTTAAGATAGTTACTTGTGATAGAGGTTATAGACAAAGGAGAAGAAGAAAAGAAAAAGCTAAAATGTGAAAGAAAACATTGGAAAGGGAATAATATAAACGGAAAGTTAATCTATTTTAAGAAATTGTCAACTTTCCAAGTAATTTAACCAGCTTACGTTTCTATCGTTATCATCATGATGAGGATGGTGAAAATGGAGAACCAAGAAAATCATTTCCAATTCCAAATTTCTGTAAACATAAAAATGAAGAAAACATTTAACTGAAAGGAAAAAGGAAGAAAACAGTTTCTAGGAAAAGAAAGAAACAATTTACTAATTACCATAACCCCATCTATATTTTTCGACAATAAACGAACAATCAGCAAATTAATTTTAAATTGTTGATCGTCAAGTGATTAATTGTGACCAGTTTAATGGTAAAATGTTTCCAATGAAATTTGTAAGTATTTCAATAACAGTTGAAAACGAAAACAAAATCGATCAGTTGATTAAGTAAACAAAATGGAAATACTTACTGTTTTAATCAAACACTTTCTAGCAAGTTAATCGAAGTGTAGATGAGATTTTTAAATTGAAGCTGTTCACTAAATGTTCACAATTAATCAACAATTTAAATGTTTACTTGAGTTGAGTGGTTCAATTTACTTTACTGATTAGTCTGCACATGTTGAGAGTTTCTCTTGGCAACAAGAGTTTCAAATTACGCGCGTAAAAATTTTTTCCCACTTTTTCCTGAACATTATCATGGAAAACTAATTGTTTCAAATTGATTTAAAAGCTGAATTATTGGGCTGATCAACATCTAATAGTTCTAAGTCTTCTAAAGACAGAAATCATTGTTAATAGTGATACATGTAATATTAAATTTCAGTTAACTATTTATTAAAGATCATTTTCAACAAGTTCAATCATGAATTGCAACCTCATTCTGTCAACAATAAAGTCTAGAGTAGTTATCAGTTCTCAGTCCATACATTGAATCGGGTGAGCAAGGAGTTAATCTTGTGGCGGTAATACATACACATACGTTATTTGGATTGAAGTATCAAGATCTTTAATGTAATTTGGTCAGTAAGTAGACATTTTGTTCTGATTTTATGCAAATGATTAATAATACAGTCGTATCAACTCAAGTTGCTACAAGTCAGTTCTCACCATGAAATGGATAATCCTATTTCTGAAAAATGATAACCTTTTTCAAATAAATGGATTTGTGCTATTGAAAGTAAATCTACAAAATGAATTGATGAATTTGAAACTAAGCAGAATTGATACAATTAAAAACTTAATTTATTCTGTGATATATCTCTTTACTTACTTTCTAATGAATATTAAAAAGTTAAAAAAATGAATTTGTATGAAAAAGTTTAATTTCTTACTCAATGTAAAGGCTAATTGACTAAACTTATCGAGAACTTGACCAAGTGAATTGAGACCTTACGAAAATCAATGAAAACTCATCGTGAAAAAATGAGCCATCTATCGTATTGACTAAACCAAAAGAGAACTCAGCGAAAGTTACTGAGAAATTCTGTAAGAACTAACATTCGCGCATTATCATCGATATTTTGACCGCAAATACTGACCTAAGTTCTTCTTTAAGTAGTTAAATAAAACTTGTGAATTTTACACTAATTATGATTGTTAATCTACACTTCAACCTTTGCTTATAAATGAGTATGATTGATAACAAAAGTATCTAAGAGATGAAAATCTGCATTTTTATCATGATTGCAAAAAAATTGATTGAAGTTTTAACAGTTTTATTTTCATAATTTTTGTTTGCAACAATCATATTTGCACATATTAAGAGCCACCGAATTCACATAGATAAATGATCACCTGGAACTCCGTACTAATGCACTAGTCAAGTTAGATGAACAACAATTAGTAGTTAATTTGAAACAATAACGAAAGTGATGAAAAATGAAGAAAATATCAACTTTCAACTAATTGTTCAACGATGATTGACAGACTGAGGCCTCGAGTGGATGTATTGTTAGTTTATATTAAAGAATAAAATTAATAATTATAATCAATTATTTTGGTCTAAAAACTTTATTAAATCATATAGCAGTAACAGTAACGTTTCTGATTAAAACAAATAATTATTTTCAATATTTGAATATTGAATACAAATGAGTGGATCGATGGAGTTGATCGTTCAAATGCTAACAGAGACAAAGTTAACTGAGCGATTCATGTCCGATTTGAGGGGTAAGATCGATATGTCAAGATTGAATCAACCAAGAAGCAAAACGAAGTTGAGGTTAAGAGGTTAGGTTTGTCTTGAAGCTAATGCTTGGGCTGGAAATAAATGAGTTCTTGTTATGAAGTCTAATGAGAGATGTTGAAAGTGAATTGGAACGGAAGGTGAAAAGAGAAGATACATCGAAACCCAAAAGATCATTCTAAAGAAAGAGCACCACACTAGGGAATTGCTTATACAGAGAAAAACTATAAGAACAATACATATCTTCAAGAAACCTGTGACAAAATGAACGACAAGGTTAAGGTTCTTAGTTAGAGGTTAAGTTAAAAGTTTCGGTCAGAGCAAACGGCCAGAGAAACTGAAAAGAGAGAGTTAAAAGTTTATTGTTAGCTGAATAAGTCTCAAAATTGGCTTATTATCATTTCGTCAGGTGAGCTACTAATAGACTGAAAAGTGACCAAGATCGTATAAATTTTGATGCGATTATGAAAATGAATGAAGAATTATTGATGCCGTAATTAAATATTTATTAATAATTCGTTACAATAAAATAACATGAATTATTTATTAATAGTTATAACTAGTATTCAATGGAATCTACATCGATGTCAAGATTATCCGAAGAGGTCATTGAAAGATCATAATGGATGCAGAAAACGGTAAATCGGTAGACTGGCGATGGCTTAAGATGTTTGAGTTGTATGTTGAATATAAACTTGTTCTCAAATTCAGGCCGAGAATAGTCAGTGATAGAATCTGTAACCAAATAAATAGAAATTTATAAGCAAGTGGAACAGGTTGATAGTTGAAACACGAACAAATAAGTAGGTAAATACTTACAATCAATCGTGGGAGTCCAATGTTTTTTGCCATCAGCGCTTTTTTCAACGGATAAGCTACAGGATTTTACTATTTTCGATCTAGTCTCAGTGGCATTCAAAGTGAGTGCAATATAATCTTCCAATATACTATCAAATTTATAATTTAGAACTATTGACGAACTGTCCTCAACATGAATTGGTTGCGCAAACATAATGCGAGCCTTGGACATAGTGGAATGTATTTTAAAGTCGAGATTATCTGCCAAAGTTAACATACCATCCGAATGCTTACATACAGCGGTGATTCGATAATTTGGAGATGGTTTTACATCCTTGACCAAGACACTGAAAACGATCTTGTTCTCAGATTCAAGTCGAGAACTGTGGATAACAGCATCTAAAGACATCGGAAAGAAAAATCAATGGTAATACAACATTACGAGACTTCAAATTTAATCTGATGAAGGATATTACTTACAATCAAAAGCTGAGCTCCAGTATAATTTGCCTTTGACATCGTGTTGACTTTGTAATGACAAACTACAGCTTTCTATTTGTTTTGGTCCAGTTTCTGTAGCATTTACATTGAGTAAGACGAAATCTTCCCAATCTTCAACATAACGATAATTTAACACGATTGAACTATCGGCTTTTTCACCAACAGGCTGTGCAGACAAAATTGAAGCACATTGACCGTTATTGACGATCAACACCACGAGCAGAGAGAGTGTAACGAAATAAGTGAAATTCATTTTTACTGAGTTGATCAGATTTGAGTTGAAGAAATGAATGAATTTCGATGAGAAACTTTTGGTTTTTATGCTTGGCGAATATCATTTAAGGATTTTATCTTTACCCATTCGTTGAAATAATCAACGAGAGATAATTTTTTATCTTCAATTGAATATGATTTATCTTTCAACGGTATTATCTAAATTGAATCATTTGCAAAGAAATAGATTGAAGATAATCCATCTATGGACAAAAATCAGCCATATTGTTGTTTTTCATTATTCAATTGATAATTCAATCAATATGATTGTTTTAAAGGGTAAAGGTCCAAATACAATTGCTAACATAATGAATAATCAACTAATTGTTCAAAATAATAATTCTGTCGCTTCATAAATATTATTCATGTGATATGTTCACCTCAATTGTTTCATATTATCTCCTTCATCAGTGTATCTCACCAACGAGAACAATGTAAATTTAGCAATCTTATGATTTTGTGATATTCACATTGATCTTTACATTGTTATGGAATAACCTACTCATAGAAATGGTCGGTTGATTGATTGAATCTTATCGATCTTGTTACTCAACTAATTTCTCTGATGAATTTAAGCACAATGATACAGTAACTGTATGTAAGTTAAGCTCTCATCAGATAGCTTTTTGAATGATGGAAAAAGGAAATGCATATGGTTAAACTATTAAAAATACTAGTTACAAGCTTTGAGAACTTCATCATGATCAGCTTGAAGAGCAGAATAGCGATTTCCAATTTACTCTTGACAGATCATAAGTTGATGATAATTTTGGTCAATTCATTAATTCTTGTTTGTGATTCCTCGAATTGTTGTTCAGCGGTCAGCTTGAGCTTCAAGTTTTTTTTGTTGGCAACATCCAAGATCATTTCGAGCTCGGTGATTTGAGCTTGCATCTTCTTGATTCGAGCTATATAGTCTTGAGTTTAGCCTGAACTAATCCCATATTCAATTAATTCAGTTAATACATGTATTCACGAAAATTAACCGATTATTTTCTTATTCCTGTTTCCTTTTAGAATCACCATTAGCTCACCTTCTCTAAGTTTATGATGAGAATCTCAACTTCACTTTCAATCAAATCGTTTCTAAATTGGAAAGATAAATTTTAGTCTAAGTTTATGGTTTCGCTTAAACCACTTAACGACCACCGATTAATTATTCTCTTTTTGTCTTCTAATCTTTACTTGTTATCTCCCAATTGAATAGCCAATTGTTTCTTAATATGATTGGAATTCTCCAAATGAACCTTATACTCGTGAACCTCCTTGATCAATTCAGTATTTTCTTGGGATAATCAGCTCTTTGCTGCGGTAACCTCATTCACTGTTCAAGTTAACTCTTCAATCTGATGCTTGATTCATGAACAGTGTGTTCCAACTTTTCAACAGTCTTTTGAGTAACCAATTTATCTTTTGGACTTTTTTCAAACCTTCAGAAAAATAAACTGTATTGAATTTTCCAATGAAATTTCATTTCTTGATTTTTTGTTTGATTCCAAGATTAGCTATATTGGTAAATTAATTTGTAAAGAAAAACCAATCACAAAACAATTCATTCCATTTTCCCGTTCTCAGTGAATTTCACTAAGAGCACGAGTCAAATCAAAAAATTAAAAATAAATGTTTATTTGTTTTTACTCTCAAGCGCAAAAATCATAACAAATTACATAAAAAATATTAGGTCAAAAACAACTAAAAATACCTGATGTCTTTTATGATAAAATAGTTCGATTAGAATGAAAAAAGTTTGTTTCCAATTGGATTCATTTTACCAACATTAATTACGACTAATGAATAGTAAAACTGAAATATCCAAACATGGCGTTTAGATGAATAGTAAAACGCAATTTGAAAAACTTTCTACACAACTGAAATGAAGCATTTAGCAAAGCATAAATTCGAAAATTTCTGTTAAAATTTACCATGGTAAAATGAACGTTAATGGTTGCACCAAATGATGCATGAAGCATGATAGAATATTAGTGAGAATTAGTTCCATTTTTATTCTGATGAATATTAAAATTTATTTTTTAATAGTTTCAAGATTCTTAGTTTCATCTAAGATAAAATCTTTGATACAATGACTTAGATTCAAGAGCTTAGAGATTTGGTGATGGAGATCCGAATCCTGAGTGATCGAGTTTAGCTCAAGGTCGAGGTCCAAGTTTAGGTCCAGGTCCTAAAGGATCGTGTCGAGGTCCAGGTCCAGGCCCAAGATGAGGCCGAGGTCCAGGTCCTAAAGGATCATGTCGAGGTCCAGGTCCAGGCCCAAGATGAGGCCGAGGTCCAGGTCCTAAAGGATCATGTCGAGGTCCAGGTCCAGGCCCAAGGTGAGGCCGAGGTCCAGGTCCTAAAGGATCATGTCGAGGTCCAGGTATAGGTCCAAGATGAGGCCGAGTTCCAGGTCCTAAGCGATCGGGTTTAGGTTCGGAGCTTGGAGGGAGAATCTCCGATGATATCAAAGATGATGGAGCTGGTGTTGTTGATGTTGGTGCTGAATCGGAGGGTACCTGGACGGAAACGACCGCTACTGGTTCTTCTTCAGGAGCTACTGAAGCTGGTTTTGTAGATGTTGATGGTTCGCTTGATACTTGGACTGAAACGACAGCTACTGGAGCTGGTGTTGTTGATGTTACTTCAGACTCGCTAGGTACATGAGCTGTAGCGACAGAATATGGACCATCATCGAAAATTGATGGTTTTTTAGGAGCTGGTACTGAGTCAATAGCTACTGGAACTGAGATTGTTGGGGTCGAGAATGAAGGTCTTTTAGCTGAATCAGATACTGTTGGTTTTTCGGAAGATACTGGGGCTATTGTTGTAGATTCTTCTTCGGACTCACTAGGTACATGAGCGGTAGCGACAGAATATGGACCGTCTTCGAAAATTGATGGTTTTTTAGGTGCTGGTACTGAGTCGGATGATATTGGGGCTTGCTCGAAAACCACTGGAACTGAGGCTACAAATGTTGGATTCAAGCCAGTAGATACTAAATGTGAAGTGAAAGATGGAGCAGCTAAGCTTGATGGTGAAAGAGCTTGTGGTCTTGGTTGGAAAAAAGGGAGAAACCCTTGAGCTGGAGCTAAAGCTGAAGCTGATTGTTGTGGTAGAACAACAATGATGTTATTTAGAGGTACTTGAGGTTGTTGATAGTCTTCATCACGTTCATATTGGTCATCTTTTCCATTAAACTCTTCATCATCATCATCGAGCTCATGTCGATTACTTCTGAAACCATCAAGGCTTTGATATCTATCATATGGCCGTTCATCGTCGTCGTTGCGTCCATATCGTTCACGTTTTCCTCCAAATCCATGTTCGTTGTCAATGAAACCTTCAAAGCTACCAAATGGTCGTCGGTCTTCGTCAAAGCCATCCAACTCATCGAAAATGCCAAAATCTCGAATACTCTCAATGCGAGTACGGACTCGTTGTTGATTCCCAGGATAAGGTAAACTGTAAACAACAGTTAACGAGAAAAGAAAAGTTAAACATAACAAATTCATGATTGCTTTTTTGATCGAACTTAATCAACTCGATGTTGATTGATAATCAATTGATGAGATTCTAAAACCGCCAACTATTTATACCTGAATTGTTGATGGTATGGTTATGTTTTAATTGACTGTTAGACTTTAATTGACACTTGATTTGTGCTGGAGAGACAATGTTTTAATCTTTTGACGATCATTTAAATTGCGTTTTAATACCCTTCTAAACGCACATGTTTCGATGTTTCAATTTTGCTATTCACTCGTCACAATTACAAATTAAAAGTTAATTGAAGCTGCAAAGTTGTTGACAGTTCCAAGGCTATTAAATTGTCTTGCACACAACTAAACAGACTAGAATTAAATCAATCTATTACTAACTTTTAGTTCAATAAAGACTACGATCTTTGTTCAAAACAAGGAAGTGATAAACTAAGCATGTGACCGATCTAATCCCATCAATCTGAAATCCGAGATCTACGGGACCAATTGACTGTTAGAAAATGCTTATATTTACAAACAAGGCAGCTTAATTCGAACATTGACACTCGGACACAAGAAATTGAAGAATCAAAAGGAGGAACAAGAGAAAAAAGTATGTTACAATGGATCCAATTAGAATAAAATACGGAAATTATAAATATTGGCTTAATTTTTGATTAATTTCTATTCACCAACGAATCCAATAGGAAACAAATGCAAATTGAGATTGAACTATTGAATATGCGATTAGCTGAGGCTAAACTCAAGACTGAAGTAGCTCGAATCAATAAGATGTAAACTCAAATCACCGAGCTCGAAATGAGCTTGGATGTTGCCAATAAACAAAACTTGGAACTCCAAAAGACAATCAAACGACAATCTCTTCAAATTAGCATGAGCATTTACAAATTGAAATTACTGACAAGGATAAATTGGTTATCCAAAAGACTGTTGAAAAGTTGGAACACACTGTTCATGAATCAAGCATCAGATTGAAGAGTTAACTTGAACAGTGAATGAGGTTACCGCAGCAAAGAGCTGATTATCCCAAGAAAATACTGAATTGATCAAGGAGGTTCACGAGTATAAGGTTCATTTGGAGAATTCCAATCATATTAAGAAACAATTGGCTATTCAATTGGGAGATAACAAGTAAAGATTAGAAGACAAAAAGAGAATAATTAATCGGTGGTCGTTAAGTGGTTTAAGCGAAACCATAAACTTAGACTAAAATTTATCTTTCCAATTTAGAAACGATTTGATTGAAAGTGAAGTTGAGATTCTCATCATAAACTTAGAGAAGGTGAGCTAATGGTGATTCTAAAAGGAAACAGGAATAAGAAAATAATCGGTTAATGATGAATTAATTGTCTTGTTGTATCTTGTATCTCCCTTCTAGTATACCTCACCAATGGAAACAATGAAACTTTCATCATATTGATTTCCATATTGTTATAAAATCAACACCTCGGAGAAAAGGCTGAACTTTGACTTGAAAGGGTTGAGCAACTTTTATTGTTTTCGTCTAATTATTAATATAAGAGATATTTTGAACAATGCTAATAGAGGGTATTTACCGATTAATTCGGAATAAACGATTACCTTAGTCTGTAAGTTTGATCGTATCGAGATGAAGTGTTCCATCTGCCACAGTGATAGAGCACAGCATAGATTCAGTGTGTGTATATTTTTAATTCTTCATAATTATGATGATTTTTTGGTTGGTGAATCATTTTCCAACAATTAAAAATTATCGGCATTTTCTTTACTAAATTTTAGATCGAACGAGAGAAATCTGATTTAACTGTTCAATTGATGAGCCTTTCTGAATGACTCGTAGAGACTGAAGGTTCAAGTGCAACTTTCGTAAGTAAAACTTATTCAAAAGGACGAAATAAGTTAGTTGACTGATGATTTATGTCGATGTCAACGTGAATAAGAAATTGGATTCTGAGGTCCATATTCACCAACCGCAATTAAATTTTAGTCTAGGTTTCAATCAGCTGATCACCAACCTTGATCAAGTGTTGATCTCGGATCAGATCCAATAAGGTCAATTCAATTAAACGATTGAAAAATCTTGTTCACCAACCGATTATCCCAAGAAAATACTGAATTGATCAATGAGGTTCACGAGTATAAGGTTCATTTGGAGAATTCCAATCATATTAAGAGCAAACTGGCTATTCAAGTGGGATAACAAGTAAAGATTAGTTGATAAAAAGAGGGTAGGTAATCGGTGGTCCTTAAGTGGATTAAACGAAACCATAAACTTAGACTAAAATTTATCTTTTCAATTTATAAACGATCTCCACTTGAAACCATTGCCACACCATTGTAATTGAATTGGAATCTCTTAAAGTTCAACTTGAGGGGGAATCGGAAGCACGTCTTGACATTGAGAGACAATTAGCTAAAGCCAATAGAGATTGTACTTTATGGATCTTGCTGATTCGAATGCTTCATGGAAATCTAAATACGAAGCTGAGCTCCAAGCTCACAACGATGAAGTCGAGGAATTACGGTAAATAGAATTAACTTTAGAAGTAAAGTTTTTACAATAGTCGTTACAAAAACATTTCTTTTCATCACAATTCCAGACGAAAGATGGCACAAACGATTTCCGAGTACGAAGAGCAATTGGAATCACTTCTTAACAAATGCAGTTCTCTTGAGAAACAAAAATCTCGACTCCAAAATGAAGTTGAGGTTCTCATCATGGACCTCGAGAAAGTGAGCTAATAGGGATTCAAAAAGGAAACAGGAATAGTTGATTAACTTTCGTAAATATTAATGAAACTTATTGTTTTTTTTTGCAAATCAAAGGCCACAACCCATGCTCAAAACTTGGAAAAGAGATGTGCTGCTCTTGAGCGATCTAATCTTGATCTTAAGACCAAGGTTGATGAGCTCAATGGTATGTTAGAAAATGCTCAACGAGACTTGAGAAACAAGATGGCTGAATTACAGAAATTGACACACGAATACGAGAAATTGAAGGATCAAAAGGAAGCCTTGGCACGAGAAAACAAGAAATTGCAAGGTTGGTGTTATAACAACGAAAGAAAGAAAAAAAAGGAATGAAAACTCATATGATTAACTTATTATTCGTTGAAAATATATAGATGACCTTTCCTATGCTAAGTCTGCTCTAACGATGCTAACCGACGAATCCACGAAATGGAAATTGAGATTAAACGTTTAGAAAATGAGCGAGAAGAGCTTAGCGCTGCTTATAAGGAATCTGAAGCTATATGGAAACAAGAAGAGGCGAAGGCTCAACGTTTGGCTGCAGAATTGGCTCAAGTTCGACATGATTATGAACGAGGACTTCTTGCCAAGGAAGAAGAATTAGAATCCCTTAGGTAAGTAGATAATAGTTTCGGAAATTATAAATATTGGCTTAATTTTTGATTAATTTCTATTCAACAATGAATCTAATAGGAAACAAATGCAAATTGAGATTGAACAATTGAATATGCGATTAGCTGAGGCTGAAGCTAAACTCAAGACTGAAGTAGCTCGAATCAAGAAGAAGATGCAAGCTCAAATCACCGAGCTCGAAATGAGCTTGGATGTGGCCAACAAACAAAACTTGGAACTCCAAAAGATAATTAAACGACAATCTCTTCAAATTAGCGTGAGTATTAACTGCAAAAGTCGAAATGTTCACAGACAATCAAAAAGTAGAAAATTTTCATAACTCTTTTCATCCATTAAACAGGAACTCCAACCCCATTACGATGGGGTTCACCGACAAGCTGTTGACCAATTGGAAGCTCAAGCCCGGACCAACAATACTTGGAACTGCAAAAGACGAACTTGTATTGCTTTCGTCAACAAAAATTGTATGAAAATAACATTCATTTCCTCAGCTTGAAACCATAGGATCTATCTTAAAAGTCCCTTTGCAAACCTCAAGAGATTAATTAACCTTCCATACTAATCTTAGAAATTTCGTAGATTATATTTAGACTTCATACAAAGGAGCTACAGGTAAGGTCATCTTCAAAATGTGTCACCATCGCAAGATTAAATACAAACGTACCTAAAAATCAATTGTCAAAACTAGAAAAGATGTTGTTTTGCTTTTGATGTCGTATTACCAACCAGTTGGTTTGGAGTTAAAATGATTGATTGTGACATTTAGCAAGTTTATGTCAACATGCCAATCAGTCAATTTAAAACAATCGAATTTATCACCTAAACTCGATTCCTTGCAAAAAATTGACATGATGTTTACAGTTAATCAGATCATATAAAAGCTAAAGATTTTGATACAGAAATTCACTTGAATTTACTCACCAATTCGAAAAAACAAGATGCGTTTCTCAATAATTTTCGCTATTTTCTTTCTAGGTGGTAAGTTAATATCTTGATTTTTCATCAATTCCTCTCTGATTGACTCTTTTTCTGTTCCTCCTAATATGTTAACAGTTGCTTCTGCCACTACCTTGGTCAAACGAAATTACTTTGACGATTTGAGGAAAATGTCGATGGAAGATATACAAAAAATCAACTGTAAGTTGATATTTAGATTTGTATTTGAATTACATTATAATATTTTCTGATTCTCTGATTAACTTGGTGTTTTTCTACTCAGATTTCTCCGATGATTTCAACAAGAAAGTCCAAGAAGCTTACAAACAAGAACTAGGAATGGGTGAATATCAATAGATTCCGCTGTCTTTTCCTCTTCATCTATGAATTGTGTATGAGTATGTAAATTAATCGTTGTATCGTATTTATTTTCGTTTCAGCATTCCCATCTCGTGGTGTTCGAGCTGCTAATCCACTCCAGCTCCTTAACGAACTTGATGATCCCGCTGAATTTGCTCAAGCCTTTTTCAAGACTATTGCCGGTATGGCTCAACAAGGTTGACGAGATCCAATTCAATACAAATCGAGCTGTTAACTTCGGTTCTGTTAGCATTTGAACGATCAACTCCATCGATCTACTGTATTCAATGTTCAAAATATTGAAAATAATTATTTGTTTTAATCAGAAACGTTACAGTTACTGCAATATGATTTAATAAAGTTTTTAGACCAACATAATTGATTCTTATTATTAATTCTATTCTCAAATATGAACTAACAATACATCCACTCGAGGCCTCAGTCTGTCAATCATCGTTGAACAATTAGTTGAAAGTTGATATTTTCTTCATTTTTCATCACTTTCGTTATTGTTTCAAATTAACTACTAATTGTTGTTCATCTAACTTGACTAGTGCATTAGTACGGAGTTCCAGGTGATCATTTATCTATTTGAATTCGGTGGCTCTTAATATGTGCAAATATGATTGTTGCAAACAAAAATTATGAAAAAATACATTCATTTGGACAGAAAACGATGAATTGATAAAATTATGAAAATAAAACTGTTAAAACCTCAATCGATTTTTTTTTCAATCGTGATAAAAATTAAGATTTTCATCTCTTAGATACTTTTGTTATCAATCATACTCATTTATTAATATAAGCAAAGGTTGAAGTGTAGATTAACAATCATAATTAGTGTAAAATTCATAAGTTGCGTTCAACTATTAATGGTTAATCAGAATAGATTAATGTGAAAATAATCTTTATACCCTTGAGTGAAATGAAACTTAATCTATCCGTTGTAGATTATAATATTTCAAACAAAAATGGGAAGATAAAATTAGCGTAGATACGCGTAGGTACCTGAGATTAAATGTAAATCAAGATAAAAATTGAATTTTTGTTGATAAAATGGCCAAGAAATGATAAAGTTGTTGTGATTGTCACTTTCTTACCAATTGTTTCTTAATCTTCACTTAATCTATGGTGAGATACTCTGATTGTAACTTCCTTTTTGTCTGAAATTAAGTGAAACACCCTTTAGTTGGTCTTGATTACGAATACAATTTTTCTTTGACTTGTTGAAAATAATTATCTTGCAATCTCACAGACATTGGATGATAATAACAATGAAAACCTTCAATAATTATTCATCAAACAATCAGATTGATCAACCGATCAATAAAATAAGTCATTGACATGACATGTTTGACGTCGACGGGGGATTTTTCACACAAATTAATATATGAAATTCATTTAAATGCGACCCATTTCCATGTAATTGTTTCGATGTAATTTTGATGACATGGAGAAGGAGAGATAATTAAACAATGATAAAAATCAGCTGTGACTCTTCCATATGCATACGTAGATTGTAGCAGAAAGAAAAAGACAAAAACACTTCTTCTGTGTTAGTAATTAATTTTTACGACAAAAAGAAGACTGAGGCCAGTATTCGCGGTCAAAATATCGATGAAAAGGCGCAAAGTTTATTTCGTATTATTCACTAGAAAGTGGGTACATTTTGCAGATTTACTTTGAATTCACAAAATCAATCAATCAAAGAAATATTCACCCTTTCCATTGGTGAGGTAATAATTAATTGAGATAACACTAAGAAAATTAATTCATCATGGTAATATAATTATAATGCGACCGGATTGTTTTCGTTGCAAACAATTCAACGATTACTTAGTCATCAACAAGAATCAGTTGATAATTCGTTCTCTTAGTAATTTTATTTGGAACTTTGGACTTCAAAAAATCAGTCGAATGCTTAATCAATCATAAGAATAATGAGAATAATGAAAAACAGCAATATCGTTGAACTTTGCGAAATAGTTGAGTAATCTATTTGTTTTGAGTTTCAAATAATGAATAACGGCCAATTTGCTTCTATTTCGGTTACAAAACCTGCCGATGATAAAGCCGATAGTTCAATCGTGTTAAATTATTTTTATGTTGTAGATTGGGAAGATTTCGTTTTACTCAATGTAAATGCTACAGAAACTGGACCAAAACAAATAGAAAGCTGTAGTTTGTCATTACAAAGTCAACACGATGTCAAGGGCAAATTATACTGGAGCTCAGCTTTTGATTGTGAATAATTTTATTGAAATCACTGCACTTTATAAGTTCGAATGAATGTAACTTGCTATCCGTCGGTAGATTCTGTAATCCACAGTTCTCGGCCAGAATCTGAAAACAAGATAGTTTTCAGTGTCTTAGTTATGGGTGTAAAACCATCTCCAATTTATCGATTCACCGCTGTTTGTATGCATTTGGATGGTATGTTAACTATGGTGGATAATCTCGACTTGAATATGGATTCGAAGGCTCAATAATGGACACATCTTCGAAGCAACGGTCTAATATTATCCTGTTTTAACTAAATCTTCTTGACGGGCCGACTTGGACCTTTAGCTACGAAAACATATAGACCACAGAATAAAAAGTCTCTTTTTATTATTTATTACAATTTCTTGATTATTTTGAACTGTCTTCCAGTACGTAAGAAACAAAGACGAATAGAATGAATTTAATCATGCAAAGGTAGAGTGGCTAATTTGAAAGAGATCTGAAGAGAGAGGAGAGAGAACGTAAGGTAATGTATTAATACATACATAACTTAGTCTTCATATTATCGAGGTAATTTCTCTTAAAAGACTTTCAATTTCCATTTCGTGGACTCATCGTTGAGAGCCAACTCAGCATTGACTTCAGCTGCCTTGTTTGTAAATATAAGCATTTTCTAACAGTCAATTGGTCCCGTAGATCTCGGATTTCAGATTGATGGGATTAGATCGGTCACATGCTTAGTTTATCACTTCCTTGTTTTGAACAAAGATCGTAGTCTTTATTGAACTAAAAGTTAGTAATAGATTGATTTAATTCTAGTCTGTTTAGTTGTGTGCAAGACAATTTAATAGCCTTGGAACTGTCAACAACTTTGCAGCTTCAATTAACTTTTAATTTGTAATTGTGACGAGTGAATAGCAAAATTGAAACATCGAAACATGTGCGTTTAGAAGGGTATTAAAACGCAATTTAAATGATCGTCAAAAGATTAAAACATTGTCTCCAGCACAAATCAAGTGTCAATTAAAGTCTAACAGTCAATTAAAACATAACCATACCATCAACAATTCAGGTATAAATAGTTGGCGGTTTTAGAATCTCATCAATTGATTATCAATCAACATCGAGTTGATTAAGTTCGATCAAAAAAGCAATCATGAATTTGTTATGTTTAACTTTTCTTTTCTCGTTAACTGTTGTTTACAGTTTACCTTATCCTGGGAATCAACAACGAGTCCGTACTGCATTGAGAGTATTCGAGATTTTGGCATTTTCGATGAGTTGGATGGCTTTGACGAAGACCGACGACCATTTGGTAGCTTTGAAGGTTTCATTGACAACGAACATGGATTTGGAGGAAAACGTGAACGATATGGACGCAACGACGACGATGAACGGCCATATGATAGATATCAAAGCCTTGATGGTTTCAGAAGTAATCGACATGAGCTCGATGATGATGATGAAGAGTTTAATGGAAAAGATGACCAATATGAACGTGATGAAGACTATCAACAACCTCAAGTACCTCTAAATAACATCATTGTTGTTCTACCACAACAATCAGCTTCAGCTTTAGCTCCAGCTCAAGGGTTTCTCCCTTTTTTCCAACCAAGACCACAAGCTCTTTCACCATCAAGCTTAGCTGCTCCATCTTTCACTTCACATTTAGTATCTACTGGCTTGAATCCAACATTTGTAGCCTCAGTTCCAGTGGTTTCGAGCAAGCCCCAATATCATCCGACTCAGTACCAGCACCTAAAAAACCATCAATTTTCGAAGACGGTCCATATTCTGTCGCTACCGCTCATGTACCTAGTGAGTCCGAAGAAGAATCTACAACAATAGCCCCAGTATCTTCCGAAAAACCAACAGTATCTGATTCAGCTAAAAGACCTTCATTCTCGACCCCAACAATCTCAGTTCCAGTAGCTATTGACTCAGTACCAGCTCCTAAAAAACCATCAATTTTCGATGATGGTCCATATTCTGTCGCTACAGCTCATGTACCTAGCGAGTCTGAAGTAACATCAACAACACCAGCTCCAGTAGCTGTCGTTTCAGTCCAAGTATCAAGCGAACCATCAACATCTACAAAACCAGCTTCAGTAGCTCCTGAAGAAGAACCAGTAGCGGTCGTTTCCGTCCAGGTACCCTCCGATTCAGCACCAACATCAACAACACCAGCTCCATCATCTTTGATATCATCGGAGATTCTCCCTCCAAGCTCCGAACCTAAACCCGATCGCTTAGGACCTGGAACTCGGCCTCATCTTGGACCTATACCTGGACCTCGACATGATCCTTTAGGACCTGGACCTCGGCTCACCTTGGGCCTGGACCTGGACCTCGACATGATCCTTTAGGACCTGGACCTCGGCCTCATCTTGGGCCTGGACCTGGACCTCGACATGATCCTTTAGGACCTGGACCTCGGCCTCATCTTGGGCCTGGACCTGGACCTCGACACGATCCTTTAGGACCTGGACCTAAACTTGGACCTCGACCTTGAGCTAAACTCGATCACTCAGGATTCGGATCTCCATCACCAAATCTCTAAGCTCTTGAATCTAAGTCATTGTATCAAAGATTTTATCTTAGATGAAACTAAGAATCTTGAAACTATTAAAAAATAAATTTTAATATTCATCAGAATGAAAGTTTCAAACTCATTTCATGATTATTCTATCATCTAACTGAATAGCTATTACATTCGATAACGATAAATCTTAGTAGAGGAAGCATTCTCTTACTATTTTCGATTGAAACTAATCTTCTTATATTCTAGAATAATCTCTTATAAGTCATCTAACGGAACTTCAATATGCCTCAATGATTCAGTAGCAAGAGTTTGGCAACATTAAAAAGGCTTTACATACGTCATCAGGTTGCGTTAGTACACTTGAATATCTGTTTAGTACTCTATTGAGTTGAAAATATTACGTCTAAATATACTGTTAAATCCAACATCAACAATGGCCAATACAATTTTCCATAGATTCGTAAAGGGTTTAGAACTTACAAGATTAAGAAATGTAAGCTAAAGGGTGTTTCGGTTAAAAACCTACCTTAATGTCGAGAGGAAAAATTTAATCGAACCCTTTGGTTGGTGATAAAGAAGAGAAAAAGATGATGAAAATAATTAAATCTTTGTTTTCCTTCATAATCATTTTCATCTTATCATTTTCATCATCTTTATCACCAACCAAAGGGTTCGATTAAATTTTTTCCTCTCGACCTTAAGGTAGGTTTTTAACCGAAACACCCTTTAGTAACGTAGCTCAATCTTAAACCTAAAAATGAAGATATACCCTCTCGCAATAACAAGCAAACATTTGGATGATATCAGCGTGATATTTAATGCTATCCAATTATCGTGGTCGTTTATTTTATATTCTTTAAATCACAATAAGAGTTAAGACCACCAAAGATCGTTAATCAAACAATCAATATGGTTATTATTGAGAAACTTTGCTGAAGGTGTGCATTTTCCATCTAATTCAATGTATGAAATTGATATACATCTGATTTAGTTTAATTAAGAGTGATAGGAGCAAAGATAATTGAAACAATAACAAGAAGCTTCAATTAATGATAGATTATCGATACTTGATAATGTCAACAAATGGGTGAAAATGACGCCCCTAAAAAGGCTGATTATAAAAAGGATTGTAAAGATAATGGAATTTATTAATCTTGAAAATTTCTTATTGAAGTGATCAACTCAAAAACAATCAAAGTAAAAATGAATTTTACTTACTTCGTAATTTTTTCTCTCTTCATGGTTTTAATCATAAATAACGTTCAATGTGCTTCTATATCGGCTACAAAACCTGCCGATGATAAAGCCAATAGTTCAATCGTGTTAAATTATCGTTATGTTGAAGATTGGGAAGATTTCGTTTTACTCAATGTAAATGCTACAGAAACTGGACCAAAAAAAATTGATGAGTGTAGTATGTCAATACAAGGTCAACACGATGTAAATGGTAAATTATACTGGAGCTCAGCTTCTGATTGTAAGTTATATTTGTTGAAATTAAAGTCATTCTACGCAACAAGTTTAAAGTATTGTAATTTTGTATTAACATACAGCCAAACGAAATGAGTTTGAGGGTAGTTTTATATCAATTGCGCATCGAAAGCGATAAGAAAATCTTATCAATCAAAACAATGGTAAATTTGAATGTCTTGATTATCTAACTACTGATAAATTGTCGTTATCACCTTTGCTGCGCGAATGATGAAAAATTACCCTCAAACTCATTTCGTTTGGCTGTATATCTCTCTATCCGTCCGTAGATTCCGTAATTCACAGTTCTCGACCTGAATCCGAGAACAAGGTTGTTTTCAGTGTCTTGGTCAAAGATGTAAGCCCATTTCCAAATGTTCGATTCGCAGTTCTTTGTACTTACTCTGATGGTAAAATTCCTCAGGCAAGTTACCTCAACATTAACAAAGACTTGAGGGCTCATTAATGGACCAATTTTGGACACACAGATTTACTATGATAATCTTATTGTCATGAGTTATTTACAATCGGTTGTATCCCTAATGTTCATTTCCACATCTATCCATTGATGTTGTTTATTTAATTTGAAACATTAAAAAATTGAAGTTTGAGTTTGCGTCTACTCTCTTATTTTTAAGCCCGAATTTGTTTCGTTACTTCTTTCACTTATGAAAAACGCTAAAGAACAGAGCAAAAGAAAAAAATAGAAAAAATCTTTGCTCGAATTTTAATATTTTGATATCATCTTATTAATAGCTTATCTGATAAAAATAACAAATTGTCTATTAGTTTTTAAAAGTAAAGAATGAAAAATTTTTACGTTTACCTAATAGTTTTATCTTTCGTTGCGGGAATTGTCGTTTCAGCCTTAAATTGTAAAATTATTATTGATACTTGTATCCATAGTTTTTCACCACAATAAAGAAAAATTGGAGAGAGAGAGGGGGAGAGAGAGAGAGAGAAAGAAAGAAAGAAAGAAAGTAAGAGAAACAAACACAAGAAAATAAAAAGAGAAGAGAATGAAAAAAGAGGCAATTGTCAAGAGGGAATATGTTGTGTTATTTTGGTCTTTTTGATCTTTTCTGGTTTCTATTCACAAAAGAGAACAAATTTATGTCACCAATAAGCTCAAAAAAGTCACTAGCAATTAGAATAAAAAATATTTACAATAATTCAATCGAAATAACAAAAAAATAAATGATTAATAGGATTACATTTTTAATTAGAAAAAGGAAAGTTAATCAAGATTAGTGATTGGCGATATTATCGATGAATGATATCGATATTTTGGTGTCGATTTTAATCGATACAAGAAGATTATCGATTAATTTTAGTTCTTTTTCATTTCACTTTTTTCCAACCACAAGTTATTATTTACCGGCTTTTCTTACAATTTATCTCTTTCTCTGTCTTTTATTTTGTGCGACGATATAGTCGGTTGAAGATACCTCTTAATGCTTGATAATAAAAGAGTATGCTGACTATTATTACGATATTAGTCTTTTTTCAATTATGTATAATACTTGGAAGGGAACAAAATAGCATTTTATTGGAACTCATAAGTTTCAGGGCAAGACTGTGAATCTTTTTTGCACAAAATATCGAAAAAAATTCATTTTTATCTAAATAACTATGGAAATTATTGATAGTATGTTTATCAACCTAAGGCCAAAGTGCCTCGAGTACCTTTAAAGTGTGAGAATATTCTTGAGGTAGAAATAGCATTAAGTGTTCCGATTAAAATGAATTCTGTTCTCAGAAAGATGAATTGTATCAAATTTTTGACTTGGACCGATTAGATGAGTTACTTTAAGCAGATCAGTTTCAATAAAATGCTCTCTGTTTCGAAATAATGATTTTGTATTCCTTTACAAGCGATTTGACTGTAAGATTTTCAGATAAAAAATATCTCTACCTAATTTACGATTGATTATTTGATAGACAGAATCTCCCACTTGAACACGTAGGTTCGTGATTAACAATAGGTTTTAAAAGTCACAATTTCAGAATTGACAATTTGACAGAACAATAAAAATATGTTTTTCAGTCAAACCAGTGACGATCGATAACTGTTTTTTAAATTTTCTCAAATTACAGATTGTTCATTTGATTGATATCATTGTTATATCCTTTAATTATGAGATTGATTGTCAGTAATTGAGAAATTAATTACGACTTTTTAGACTGTTAATGTTAAATTATCACCCAATATAACACAAATCATCAAACAAAAGTTTTCGTTCAATCAAAAAGAGGCACCAAGAACCATTATTGACCAAAGACTTATCAAATCAAAAATTTCGCTTCTTAAGATAGCACTCAGAACCATTTCGACTATGGTTCGTTTTACATCAATTGCTTGACATTAGCATAAATCGAAACATTGTTAAATCGTATGTTTATTTTCACGTGGAAATTGTTATTATGTAACAAGTTGAGACGCACAAAATCCCATCAAGAGAAATTTTTCCCGTAGACGACAGATGGAAGATTCAGACTATTTTCTAATGTGTTGATTAATTGATTTGAAATTTATAATGTCAGTGTTGATTATTAGAAAACAATAATCATGTAAATTGATTGATTTTTGACAATTGAATCCAGAAATGGGGAATAATGAAACAATTATTGACTGTTGTTGATTGACTGAATTTCCTGGTATATATACCGGTGGAAGGGTTAATCGTCGATATTAGTATCTTTTAATTGGAGATTCAAAACTGATAATTTTTGAAGATGCGTTTACAGAGTCTAATTGTAGTTTATTTACTTACATGTAAGTATTGCTTTTAATCATTACTGAATCTAATCTACTATTTTTTTTATCAAAGTGCTTTCGGTGATCGCTTTTATCACTTTGGTAGAGAGTCGACAGTTCGATGATAATAAAGTGGCCTTCCGGTCTGACAGTAAGTTTTGTAGATGATTAATATCTTGTTTTCTTTTATAAATACGTATGTTACATATGTATAATGCTAAATGAATTTTTCAATAGATCCTGGACTTTCGCAAATCAGCTTAGACGGTTCGCTCCAAAAGCGTAAGTTTCAGTAAAAGTTTTATTGTCGACTTTTGTTTTTTACTTTTTTTCTCTTCAATTACAAAAGGACACAAGCACCACCACCACCATAAACACCACCACCATAAACACCACCACCATAAACACCACCACCATGACCACCATCACCACCACGATAAACATCATCACCATGGTCACCATCATCATGATAAACACCATCGTAAGTTAAAAAACAATACTTCATGTGTTTTATAGTTGAATCGGATCCAAGTAGAAGGTATCAATAGAGTATTTACTAATTGCTCAACTTTTCTTTTCAAATCTCCCAGATCATGACAAATATGACTGGTAAAGGTCCATCTTCACGGTACCTAAAGATTGATTCGACGTCCAAATGCAACGTGAATGAATTGGAAGGAAACAAATAATGTGCAAAAGCTATTTGTTTATTTCGATATTTCAAGTTGATTCGGTTTAATCAATAAAAAGCTATTTAAGATTTGCAATTAGCTAACAAAATATTTATTTGCGCGACATCAAGATTCATTGATTCGTTGATTGATTTCAAAAATATTGTTAAGGTCTCAGTGGTTGAAAGCCGGGCTTGGGTTAGAGGATGTATCACGATTTACTTACTGACTTAAGAAATCAATTTCTTCTCTGACTTTTATTCCTGATTGAATATCAATTGCTATCACTTGAATTTCTGTATCACCGAAAATCATAAAAATGTGGTTATATTATGGAAAATTTAGATTATAATTTTTTAAGAGAATTTAATAATTGAATTTCTCTCTTATTATCTGTTCTGCTGTTGATTAGGTGAAACAATCATCTTCTTTAGGTTTCATAATCGAGGAGATTCCCGATAGTTGAAATCCAGATGACTCAAAATCTTATTCCAATAATTATCAAAACGACCCGACGGATATTGGAAACGTTGTCCAAGGATTTAAAACCAAAGATTACACTGGGATATGTCATCATTTTTTGAGAGGTCAATGTAAATATGGTGCTGGTTGTTTTCATAAACACGTCACACATCAAAAGCGTGAGTTGATAAATCATAAATTTAATCATTGTTTATCTTTGGATCTTTCAGTTCAATTGGTTTACTTTTCATTTTTTGCTGTTGATAGTTTAAGTTCTTGACGTAGAATATAAGTTTTCGTTGGCAAACTATCACTTTATCTTCAACCTCAACACTTCTAACATTAGAATAAAAGTTTTCTAAACAATTAAACTTGTACATTACTCGGAATTTTTTCGCCTCATTGCACATTCATTTCGATACAAAGTTTTATCAAATACACAAACGGGTTTGTCAGTTAATAGGCACGATTTTGGACAATCTTCAAAGTTTCGAGACTCTGTCCAAGTAAAAGATCAGAAAATCGGTGTCAATTAGCAGTTATCCTTGATTAATTTATTAATTATCGACGATTTTCACTTATCGCTTATTACAATTACGCTTTTGCATGAGACATTTATTAAAATACATTTTACCATCATCTCCACAAACGGGGTCATAGATTTCGAGGCAAAGCTTAGGACATTGTCCAGGGTCTTTAGTACATTGTTCCATAACAATAATGGTCAGATTTTTACAATAATCAAATTATCCAAAACAATTTAACACTCAATTGGTTAGAAACAATCATAAAGACAATTAACTTACCCGCAATTTTTCATTTCCATTTCACATTTTGATCGGTACATTTTACCGTCGGAAGCACAAACGGGAGCATTTGTAAAACACTGTTTAGGACAATTAGTTGATTGTTGTTGGCCTTGAGTAGCAAGAAAAAAGAACAATTAAAGAGTAATCAACTGATAACCTTTTCAAAAACCTACCCACAACAGAATGTGACCAAAGAGTAATCAATGTTATCACTGTAATAAAGATAAACATGATAACCAAGGAACGACAATTGCATGGTATTAATAATTAGTAGAAACAACAAAAAAAATTTGTTTTCTTGGTAAGGAGAATGTACACCAAAATTTAGTTTTGAGTTAAGAGTTGAAACTTTCAGGATTCATAGAGGCTATTGCAGCAAACAATTTTGACTTATTTTGAGATCGACCTGATCAGTACTTTTCGAGAAAATTAAGGTCAAAGTTCAAACTTCGGGTCCATTTTTCTCAGAGACTATATGTAGATTATTTGAGACTACTATTTTAATTATCTGCTTAAGGTTCAGAGACCATTGGTGTATAATTGTACTGAAACTTTACTCATCTTCTTTGCTTAAACATAACATAAAATATAACTGTACCTAATGAACTAATAATGCGCCCAATTTTTGTTATATATGGTCTTGTATAATCAAGTTAAGCCTGACCCAGGAAAACGCTTATCGAGCATGAGAACAAAAAGTAATACCGATTATCTGATATTTTTTGGGTGATTTTCATAATTTAAACCTCCTTGAAAGTGATTTAGATTATTTATCTGTACTGTTTATCTTGTTATTTTCCCGCAGCTAGGAAAATATTGGACCAAGAAAAATGATTCTAATCATGAAGATGAGGAAAAAAAAGTTCTGATAATATATCAAATTAACAAATGCACATCAATGCGATTAAAGCTTGAATTAAATTTCCACCCATGGTGTTAATTATTATCTTTCAGATAGTAAATTGAAATTTGCTAAAGGTTTCAATTGAATTACATTAATTTTGATCGTAAATTTTTGGTAATGAATCGGATTGGGGAAATTAAATCTTATTATTGCGGACCTGCAGAAGTGAAGAAGTGGATTAGATTAGGGACAATATTGTGATTATAAGCCCTTTGATGTACATCAGATTAGTTTGAAATTGAACAATCAATTAATTGTTAACGACTGAAATCAAATATGGAAAATTGATCAGTTTTTTGCTATAATTGTTACAATTAGTGAAAATAATTGAGTTTAAACCTTAGTGTATTCATTTATCCAATATTCTTGTCACTAGTTGATTGTACAATTCCAATGTCAAAATTTCATTGAATTTTCTCATCTCGTTATTTTTAACCTTCTCCCTTTTACTCCCCAACATCATTTCAAGGAAACTTTTCCTCTCCTTTACTCGGATGATTATTATATTGCGTTTTTGATGATTTTTATCAATGCGATTCAACTCATGGTGTTGATTGTTATTTCAGTCATCAATTCGAGAATAGATTTAGTTTCAATTAATTTACACAATTTTTCGCGAATTATTGATAATCAATTGGATTTCAGCTGATCAAATTCAGTTAAAGATCAGAAAAATTTATTAATAAACAGTAAATAGAACTGGATACAATAATGTAAAATCGATCTGGATAAACATGAGATTAGCCAAGCAGTTCGCATGCACCCTTAACGATGTTGCATTCGTCCGATTTTGCTGCGTAGTAAAAGAGGTAAGTACACTCCTCTGTTAACAACTGTGAGCAATTAAGAATTTCGAGTTAGATTAATTAGATTGTAATTATTAGAATAGGTGAGAAATTCGAAGGAAAGAAAATTTGCTAAATACTCACTTCTGTTGAGACTTCACATTCTTCTGAAAAAGTGCTGTTTTTCACACAATTAGTCATATCAATATCGAAGATGATTTCGTAGCTGGCGTCATAATCTATATTGGATTTCGCACTTTTAATATCGACAAGTTTCCGGTAGTAAAAACTCTTGGAATTGAGATTATAATGAGCAACCCCTTTCTTGGCCAATTCGATGGCTTTTTCGTCATCGGTTGCCATAGTGTCCCATGCACCGACTTTGGCCATTGTGATACCAAAAAGAGCGAGGATGATAACGAATTTCATTTTTATTAAGATGATTTAACAAGTTACAAATGTAATTAACTGTTTAAATTACTAATGAGAACTGGATTGGTTGTTGTCACAGTTGACATTGGATATTTAAAGAACTTTCTGGTTAACACGTTGTCAACCAAAATCTCCATCTTTGGACAATCCAAGGAGAAATCCATCTGACTCCTTATGTTGATCATCATTAATTGATAATTGATAATTGTTATTGTAAAGTTTGTAATTGTAGTTATCTGATTACATATGAACAGCTAACGAAGGGAAAGTACCAAAATTATCAATTCAGATAAATAATCCAGGTACTCTATTGGTTCATTCTTTATTACAATTGTAGTTGTAATATTGATTATCCAAATAAGGGAATTGATAGCTGATTATTTCCTCAATTAACCAAAAATAATCAGTATAACTCATTAAGTAAATGATAGATAAACGAATGATGAATGTGAAAACCGGTTCAATCCGTATACTCACATTGTTAGTTAATGTTCCCCGCTGGATATCTTCTCATAAATCTTAGCTATTAAATAGATTTAATTGTTTGCAATTAACTTGTTTATTAAAAAAAACAAAAATTTATTTCGAATTCAATTTAATAATTTAAGTTTTGGATTTTCCTGTCTCTGTGAATTATATCAATGTATTTTAAAATATTTAATCATTTGTTGCTTTTAAAAATCTCCCCTTATTGTTTTTCATTATCAATGAATTTGGTTAAAATTTTGCAGAAATTGGGCAAGTTATCGTTACAGATAATTTTGATTTTTTGATGTCTTTTCCTGGCTCAGACAATAGAGCTGTTCGAACGTCCCTTAATCATATCTTGACCAATTGACCAGTAAAATGTAGATAGAGACTTTCGGGTGAAAACTCCAGTTACATATTGGTTATCATTATCATTGTGATATTTTTCATATAAGATTTGATGAGTAATATTAATGAATGGATGAAACCAGTAATCCCATTAAAATTGGATCATGTCCTTACTTGATAGTTGTCTGAAAGATAAACCAATTAATTAAACAGTTGAAAAGAAAGTCAAACATTCAAGTTCATAATTATGATACCTACCGCATGTTGGATTATATTGTAACCTTTTGTTCTTCAAAGTGGAAGAGGTCAACCCTGAATCTCCCTGCCATGTTTCTGAGATTATAAGTGAAGAATGTGGTCAGTTAGAGAACAAGGCCAAATTATAAAAGGTAACTCACCTTTCTTTAAAGTGCGCTTTGAATGTTTGTCCGAGTATTTATTCACTGATATAACTCCTAAAAGATATTAAATGAAATAGAAATTTCTTCCAAATCTAGCGATAAATGATTGTTGATGAATTATGTCTTCTGCTGGTACGACATAAAATGAATATGGACTTAGGCAACTGGTAACTGTTACATCCAATTTAAAACCTTCTCTGACAATGTCTTCTTCGAGAGTGTCTACGAGAACCTCTTAAGTGTCAAGAACTTCAACTATCAACAGAGAAAAAATCACCGAAAAAACAAACAATTTAAACAAAAAGATCTAAAAATGAATGATTGATAAACTCACGTTCTTGAGGTGGAACGTTCAGATCATACAAGATCAGATCAAATTCAATTGATCTGAGATCCAATATTTTTTGATGGTTCATTACTTTGCTAATGAAAATAATGATATAACATATACAATAATGAAAACTCGAATTAGTTGAGCTTATGTACAAAGAATTAATTGAGCGAACTCAAGATCTTCTCGAGTCTCATCTTAAAGTTATCTTATGTTTACAAGGGTATTTACATGTTGATTATTTTTAGTGTCGTCTAATCAGTCAATTTAGTTTAATTGAATCAATTTAAAGGAGATTTTCTCTTTTGACAGTATTAAAATATTTGTTTACTGAGATTGAGTGAGAGATGATAACTTAGAATCAAATCATTTTTTTTAATGAGAAGTGTCCATATGAGGTCCAATGATGGATTTGGATGAAACCAGTAAGACAATTATAAGTGGATCATATCCATACTTGATTGTTGTCTGAAAATAAGACAATTAATATGATTAAATCATCTAATGTTAACAAGAAACATTCATTCGTAAATATGATACTAACCATATATTGTAACCTTTTGTTCTTCAAAGTGGAAGAGGTCAACCCTGAATCTCCCTGCCATGTCCCTGAGATTATAAGTGAAAATGTGGTCAGTTAGAGAGTAAAGTCAGCTTATAAAGGTAACTCACCTTTCCTTGAAGTGCGCTTTGAATGTTTGTCCGAGTACTAATTCACTGAAATTACGCCTAAAAGATATTAAATGAAATAGAAAATTTATTTGATTGTGAGAACAGAGATAATCGGAAGAAAGCCAATAATACTTACATGACTTCATCAGTGACACAAAATCCTGATGGCACTTCCATGGCACAGTGGACTGCGAATGCTGGTAAGGTCGCAAATTTTGGCTTGAGAGTGAAAACATCACGTCTTTCAACAATCAACTCGACACCAGTGTCGATATTCATTACTGTTAGTTCATCTTCATCAAGACTCATATCGATGACTCTTGCTCGGTAGAATAAGATTCTCTCAGTTGGATCAATGAGATCGTAATTTCTTCCAACTCTAGAGTCAAAGGATTGTTGATGAATTATGTCTTCTGCTGGTACTTCATAAAATGAATATGGACTTAGGCAACTGGTAACTGTTAAATCCAATTTAAAACCTTCTCTGACAATGTCTTCTTCGAGAGTGTCTACGAGAACCTCTTAAGTGTCAAGAACTTCAACTATCAACAGAGAAAAAATCACCGAAAAAACAAACAATTTAAACAAAAAGATCTAAAAATGAATGATTGATTAACTCGCGTTCTTGAGGTGGAACTTTTATATGAACACAACCAGCACCATCATTACAGCGACCTCTCAAAAATGACATATTCCAGGATAATTTTTGGTTTTAAATCCTTGGACAACGTTTCCAATATCCGTTGGGTCGTGTTGATAATTATTGGAATAAGATTTTGAGTCATCTGGATTTCAACTATCGGGAATCTCCTCGATGATGCTACCTAAAGAAGATAATTGCTTGACTCCATCAAGAACTTTAATTAGTTATGTAAAATTGGCACACAATAATAAATTTTTTCAATTCTTTTCTCTATTTTGTATTTATTAAATGAAATGATCATAATAATATAAAAATAAAAGGACTGATGTTGATTAACCATTAACAAATTACACCACAAATTTTGACGTGCCTGTGATGGAAGGATTAGAAGATAGGCATTTTTCAATCTAAAAACATTTCAAGAGCCAAGTTTATAAGAAAAGTCTGTATCTCAGCTCACTTTTAACGGAATATCTTCAAACCCAAGATTTAAGTGTAACTTTTTGTGCTCTGACACACGGAGACCTTAAAATGACCTTTGAACGCTACCTTAGTTAAATGACCTTGAAAATCTTAGGGCCGAGCGCTTCAATTCTGTTTAGTCCTCTGGTTAAGTCCGACATTCATATGACTTTTAATTCTGGCGATATTCAGTGCAATAGCCGTAGTGGATAAAAAACGCCCTGTACATCAGGTCAGATTTTTTTCATTCTCGATTGCACAGCAAAAATGTGCAGCTTTTGTTTCGTGTTTTGGTTCAGAAAATTTCCTTATATGATTTTATCAATGAAAGTTACACCGTTTTATTGGGGAAATCCTTCGATTGAATTAGATACTAAGATACAGATAAACCTTCACGTGAACATCATGCATCATTAATAAATCAACAGAATTGTTTTTTGAAAACCATATAACACAAAAACATAAAGTAAATGAATTGTGATTGAACATTTCACCTTCTAAACGATCAATTCGACTGATTAGGTAATCAAACAAATTATGCAAAAAAATAAAACTGGTTTTTATCCATAGATGCATTATCTTCAATCTATTTGTATTTAATCACTTCAATTATGATAGTGTTGAAGGTTAAATTTTGTATCTTTGATAGAATCTGAATCAATTGTTTTTCGTTTTGGATTATTTCGTCGAATACGTGCAAACAACCCTGTTGAGAATCGCTAAGTATATAAATTATTAGCATCACTCAATAATTTTAAGTTTCGAATAAAGTGATCAACTATACAACAGTTAAAGTAAAATGAATTCTACTCGTTTCATTATCTTATGCCTTCTCATGGCGTTGATCGTCAATAAAAGTCAATGTGATTTTGATTTGGCTGCATCTCAAGCCAAATTACCAGAGTTTATGACTAGTGAAATTTTCTGGGTTCGTGCCGAAGCCAAGATGATGTATAGTAATCCTGACGAAGTTTTACTAACTTCTATTCGGATGGTGAGAAATCATTATAACTATGCAGCTGAGATCAGCGATGGTCCAAATACAACTCGCATCATTCAAAATCTTTCCAAAACAGGAAGATACATAATCGATACTGAAACTGGTGAATGCAAATCTGAAGATTTATATACGCAAGAGATCTTTGTTGGTAATTTAGCTGTTACGTGGCCATTTCACATTTCCGTTGGTTTTAATTTACTCAAATCAATGCTAGGCAAAAGTGGAATATATTCAAATTATGCAGGACAAGTTGAGACTGATGGTGGACTCATGGATGTATGGGAATACGATCTCAATTCATTTTTTCAGCAAGCCTACCATACGGATGCCTCTGTAAACTACTATTTTCCAGTAATTGACAGATCCGAAAACCCTCATCAAGCGCCAGCTAAATTAGTAATGAAACCAAAAAATGGCGAACATTTACCGATGTCATTTCGTATTCCAAACCAGATAGAGATTGTCTTTTCTGACTATGCTGAGTCAGATTTTGGTCACTCAAATCTTTTTGATTTATCAAGTTGTTTGGATGGTAACGGCGAATTTAACCGACAACGCTTCACCACCATCTAGAGATTAGTTTAATATCTACAAATCTTACAGATAACCATAAAACATATATGGAGCCAACTCTGTTTAATTAATAAAAACTATTAATATTTAAGATTTGCAGCAAAATAACATATAACCTATTCAAGCTATATTGAGATTCATTTAATAACGATGATTTAATACTTATTAGTTAATATAAAAGAATTTATTCAATTTTTGAAAACGGCTTTTTTCGGCCTTTGGAAAATCAGTTCAAATTGTAGACCATTAGTACATTTATTTGTGGCAAGTTTAAGTTCTAGGTTCTCAACAATGTCCTCATGGTATGTTTCATTTTGAAGCTAAATGCCCTCAAGTTAGGATTTGAGAAACCCACGCGTGAAATGACTTCTCCTGTTGTTAATCGAAAGATCAATATATGAACTATGTCTGTACAAAATTCCCTACCTGTATCTATCACCATTCTTAAGATACGAGGTACAATCTAAGTTTCGACGGCAATTGTGGCCGAGCGGAACATTTTAGAGAAGTTTTGATTAGATAAAACATTGTTTTTTGGTGTGTGCTATCAGAGTTGTGACCTTATTTTAAGTTTTACGAAAGCTGATTTTGGGTGATACATACCCTTTTATGTTTTTGCAGTTAAAAAAGTTAATTTCAACCCTTACGAATTACCCGCTCTCTAAATCGTACTTAAATCTATTACAAGTAGTAGCTTCTCCCTCAGGTAAACATGGACAAAGTGATTTGGGTTATCTGATTTTCAACTTGAATTTGTGTATTTTTTTGTTAGCTAAGGAAGCTAGCTAATTCCTGTTTCCTTTTAGAATCCCTATTAGCTCACCTTCTCGAGGTCCATGAAGAGAATCTCAACTTCACTTTGGAGTCGAGATTTTTGCTTCTCAAGAGAACTGTATTTGTTCTTTTTTCAAATCAATGGCCACAACCCAAACAGCTAAACAGGGACTCCAAGCCCACCACGATATAATTCACCGACAATTGCAACAAGCTGTTGACCAATTGGGAGCTCAACAACGACGAAACCAAGCTCTTCAAGCTGAATTTGACGATCTTAGAGTTACCCTTGCACAGACATTTCGGACTAAGCAAACCATTGAACAATAATACGAGGAATCATAAACAAGAATTAATGAACTGACCACAATTAACATCTACTTATCATCAGCCAAGAGTAAATTAGGAACCGAGTATTTTGCTACTCAAGCTGATCATGATGAAGTTCACAAGGAGCTTGTAGCTAGTATTTTTAAGTTTTTTAGTAGCTTTTTTCATCGTTAAAAAGCTATCCAATGAGAGAAAAACTTACCATTAAGCACAAATTCACCAGAGAAATTAATTGTGTAACAAGAACGATAAGATTGAATCAATCAACCGACCATTGCTTAGAGTAGGTTATTCCATAACAATGTAAAGATCGGTAGGAGTATCACAAAAATCATAAGCTTGTGAAATTTTCATTGTTCTTGTTAGTAAGATACACTGATGAAGGAGATCATATGAAACAATTGAGTTATCACATGAATAATATTTATAAAGCGACTGAATTATTATTTTGAACAATGAGTTGATTATTCATTATGTTAGCAATTGTATTTGGACCTTTACCCTTTTAAACAAACAATTATATTGATTGAATTATCAAATGAATAATGAAAAACAACAATATGGCTGATTTTTGTCCATAGATGGATTATCTTCAATCTATTTCTTTGCAAATGATTTAATTTTGACAATACTGAAAGAAAAATCAGATTCAATTGGAGATAAACTGGTGAATGAGATAATATGAAACAATTAAGTAATCATATGAATAATAACATCGACAAGTAATTACGATGAACACTTATCGGTCTTTGTTTGGTACAGTGATAATGCCTTAGGCCAAGGTAAAGATATTTTGGTCAATGCGGCTCTGGTCAAGGCCAATTATGCTTTCACCGATTCAATGGATTGGGTCTTGGAAGCTGATGCTCAGTCCAAAGAGAAAACTCCCACAAACTACCAAAACAAGAAATTAGTTTAGATAAAATTAGTGTCGCTACCTTTTCGCAGATCAGATCAAATTCAATTGATCTGAGATCCAATATTTTTTGATGGTTCATTACTTTGCTAATGAAAATAATGATATAACATATACAATAATGAAAACTCGAATTAGTTGAGCTTATGTACAAAGAATTAATTGAGCGAACTCAAGATCTTCTCGAGTCTCATCTTAAAGTTATCTTATGTTTACAAGGGTATTTACATGTTGATTATTTTTAGTGTCGTCTAATCAGTCAATTTAGTTTAATTGAATCAATTTAAAGGAGATTTTCTCTTTTGACAGTATTAAAATATTTGTTTACTGAGATTGAGTGAGAGATGATAACTTAGAATCAAATCATTTTTTTTAATGAGAAGTGTCCATATGAGGTCCAATGATGGATTTGGATGAAACCAGTAAGACAATTATAAGTGGATCATATCCATACTTGATTGTTGTCTGAAAAATAAGACAATTAATATGATTAAATCATCTAATGTTAACAAGAAACATTCATTCGTAAATATGATACTAACCATATATTGTAACCTTTTGTTCTTCAAAGTGGAAGAGGTCAACCCTGAATCTCCCTGCCATGTCCCTGAGATTATAAGTGAAAATGTGGTCAGTTAGAGAGTAAAGTCAGCTTATAAAGGTAACTCACCTTTCCTTGAAGTGCGCTTTGAATGTTTGTCCGAGTACTAATTCACTGAAATTACGCCTAAAAGATATTAAATGAAATAGAAAATTTATTTGATTGTGAGAACAGAGATAATCGGAAGAAAGCCAATAATACTTACATGACTTCATCAGTGACACAAAATCCTGATGGCACTTCCATGGCACAGTGGACTGCGAATGCTGGTAAGGTCGCAAATTTTGGCTTGAGAGTGAAAACATCACGTCTTTCAACAATCAACTCGACACCAGTGTCGATATTCATTACTTTTAGTTCATCTTCATCAAGACTCATATCTACGACTTTTGCTCGGAAGAATGGCTCAGCCCGAACAGCAATAAGACTTCCTATTGCAAGGAAAATAACCATGTTTTCCTTATTTTCGGGCTTTCAATTAAGTTCTGCAATTTCCCTCATCAGAATAAGATTCTCTCAGTTGGATCAATGAGATCGTAATTTCTTCCAACTCTAGAGTCAAAGGATTGTTGATGAATTATGTCTTCTGCTGACATAAAATGAATATGGACTTAGGCAACTGGTAACTGTTACATCCAATTTACAACCTTTTCTGACAATATCTCGTTCGAGAGTGTCCACGAGAACCTCTTCAGTGTCAAGAACTTCAACTATCAACAGACAAAAAATCACCGAAAGAAAACCGAATTAAACTAAAAGATCTAAAAATAATTGATTGATTAACTCACGTTCTTGAGGTGTAACGTGTTTATGAACACAACCAGCACCATATTTACATTGGCCTCTCAAAAAATGATGACATATTCCAGGATAATCTTTGGTTTTAAATCCTTGGACAACGTTTCCAATATCCGTCGGGTCGTATTGATAATTATTGGAATAAGATTTCGCGTCTTCTGCCATTGGATTCCAATTATCGGGAATCTCCTCGATGATGGCACCTAAAGAAGATGATTGTTTCACCTAATTAATAGCAGAACAGATAATAAGAGAGAAATACAATTATTACAATAAAATTGTAAATTCTCTTAAAAATTATAATCTAAATTGTCTAATGATTATCCAATTAACAACAGTAAAATGATGGGTTGAGATGCAAGAAAATTATAAAATGATTAATCGGTGGCGATGTTGATGTTGATGTTGATGTTGATGTTGATGATTGATTTAAATCCATGCAACGAGTTAATTTAAAAAGTTACACTTGAAGGTAAGTCACCAATTAAAAAACATGCTGATCAATTGAAACGAGAATTTAAAAAAGCAGTAAAGGTTATCAAACAATTAAGTTAAATTTTAACTGAAATCAAAACTACAGTTAACACTTTCATTAATATGATCCATTAGGAATTGTCTGTTGTTATTATAGCAGTTAGAAAATGAAGCGGTAAAATTAGTTAACTAACAATTTAACACTACCTGTATAACGTAAGTACTTACAGTGTGCAGATCGATTGAATTTGATCTGATCTACGAACAGGTGGTGACACTGATACAAATGTTATTATTGTGTATTTACACTTAAACACAGAGAAGATAAAGTCCAGGGAGATAATTAAGACAAGTTGTTGATCTAAATTGAAATGAGAAATTGAAAAAATGAGGCAGATTAGATTTGATTGGAATACTAATCAACAGGCACGAAGGTCAATTTGTTGTCTTAAGATAGTAAGTTGTGATAGATGGTTTAAACAAAGGAGAAGACAAGAGTAAGATTATTTTGCTAAAGCAAAAAATTACCTGTCCCGATTTTTGGCGCATGTGTGATTTATTCAATTTATAGTGCGCGCTTTAGCTAAAAGCTTTACTACACGTTTTTTTGTCTTATTAACTGTTAACAAGCGGGAAAAACTTTCTTACGAAAGTTTGTTAAGGTTGTTTGCCAGACCCGTGGTTTATTGAAATGGAAATCGTTTTTAAAAAAAAATTCAAAACTAAATTTTTTTCTTAGCTCACTTCTCTCTTTTCCTCTTTCTTTCTCTCTTTCTTTCTCCTTCATCAGTTCATTTTTATCGGTAAAACCATGAAATTCATTGTTAGTATGTTTATCCTAAGGCCAAAGTACCGTGAATCCATTCAAAGTGTAGGAATGTTCTCGAGATAGAAGTAGCATTAAGTGTTACGATAAAAATGAGCTGTGTTCCAATTTTCGACTTGAACGGATTAGATGAGTTTACTTCAATTGGATCATTTTCAATAAAATGCTTGCTGTTTCAAATTAATGATTTTGTATTCCTTTACAAGCGATTTGACTGTAAGATTTTCAGATAAAAAATATCTCTACCTAATTTAGGTTTAGTTGTTTGATAGACAGAATCTCCCACTTGAACACGTAGGTTAGTGATTAACAATAGGTTTTATAAGTCACAATTTCGAAATTGACAATTTGACAGAACAATAAAAAATTTTTCCCAATCAAAACAGTGACGATCGATAACTGTTTTTCAAATTTTCCGAAATTACAGATTGTTCATTTGATTGATATCATTGTGATATCCTTTAATTATAAGATTGATTGTCAGAAATTGAGAAATTAATTACGACTTTTTAAGCTGTTAATGTTAGATTATCACCCAATATAACACTAAATAAGCCAAAAAAGTTTTCCTTTCAATCAAAAAGAGGCACCAAGAACAATTATTGACCAAAGACTTATCAAATCAAAAATTTCGCTTCTTAAGATAGCACTCAGAACCATTTCGACTATGGTTCGTTTTACATCAATTGCTTGACATTAGCATAAATCGAAACATTGTTAAATCGTATGTTTATTTTCACGTGGAAATTGTTATTATGTAACAAGTTGAGACGCACAAAATCCCATCAAGAGAAATTTTTCCCGTAGACGACAGATGGAAGATTCAGACTATTTTCTAATGTGTTGATTAATTGATTTGAAATTTATAATGTCAGTGTTGATTATTAGAAAACAATAATCATGTAAATTGATTGATTTTTGACAATTGAATCCAGAAATGGGGAATAATGAAACAATTATTGACTGTTGTTGATTGACTGAATTTCCTGGTATATATACCGGTGGAAGGGTTAATCGTCGATATTAGTATCTTTTAATTGGAGATTCAAAACTGATAATTTTTGAAGATGCGTTTACAGAGTCTAATTGTAGTTTATTTACTTACATGTAAGTATTGCTTTTAATCATTACTGAATCTAATCTACTATTTTTTATCAAAGTGCTTTCGGTGATCGCTTTATCACTTTGGTAGAGAGTCGACAGTTCGATGATAATAAAGTGGCCTTCCGGTCTGACAGTAAGTTTTGTAGATGATTAATATCTTGTTTTCTTTTATAAATACGTATGTTACATATGTATAATGCTAAATGAATTTTTCAATAGATCCTGGACTTTCGCAAATCAGCTTAGACGGTTCGCTCCAAAAGCGTAAGTTTCAGTAAAAGTTTTATTGTCGACTTTTGTTTTTTACTTTTTTTCTCTTCAATTACAAAAGGACACAAGCACCACCACCACCATAAACACCACCACCATAAACACCACCACCATGACCACCATCACCACCACGATAAACATCACCACGGTCACCATCATCATGATAAACACCATCGTAAGTTAAAAAACAATACTTCATGTGTTTTATAGTTGAATCGGATCCAAGTAGAAGGTATCAATAGAGTATTTACTAATTGCTCAACTTTTCTTTTCAAATCTCCCAGATCATGACAAATATGACTGGTAAAGGTCCATCTTCACGGTACCTAAAGATTGATTCGACGTCCAAATGCAACGTGAATGAATTGGAAGGAAACAAATAATGTGCAAAAGCTATTTGTTTATTTCGATATTTCAAGTTGATTCGGTTTAACCAATAAAAAGCTATTTAAGATTTGCAATCAGCTAACAAAATATTTATTTGCGCGACATTAAGATTCATTGATTCGTTGATTGATTTCAAAAATATTGTTAAGGTCTCAGTGGTTGAAAGCCGGGCTTGGGTTAAGGATGTATCACGATTTACTTATTGACTTAAGAAATCAATTTCTGCTCTGACTTTTCTTCCTGATTGAACATCAATTGCTGTCACTTTAATTTCTGTATCACCGAAAATCATATTGGTTTGAATTTCTCGTCCACGGGAATTGTTTGTATTGCCGTTGATTGAAAATTCTAATAATGTAGCTGGTTATGGTGTTGGAACTGGAGGAGGTGCTGTTGACGGGGAATCGGATTCTTTTTTCTTCTTCCGCGAATCGTGAATATTATCACTATTATCATCATCAGCTGTATTTCCATCATCTCTGGATGGTTTGGATAACTTTAATTTTCCATTAATGTTTGATTCAAGATCAATCGTTGTAGGTGAACTTATTGTTGTCGTTGGTATTGTCACTTGATTGGTGTTCAATTTTTTGATCGGCATGCTGAAATTATGATTTAAATTATTTTCTAACTTTTTACAATCATGCATGGTAATCATGTAAATCGTCAAGATCAAGTACCAAGGTACCACGCTGAGTTACCCCTTCATCGGTTACAAGTCGGGATGTAACTTTGAGTGAACAAATCGCCTGTGGCAATGGACTGATCAGCGAAAACAAAATTATTGAAACTATCAGAGCATCATCTCAAACTGCCAGTTCGGAGAGAGGATGATAAATTTAATTTTTGACTTTAATCATGCAAATGAGAAAGTCAACTCTTTGTACAACCTGATTTATCTAGAACAGCAGAAGAACAGTCTTTGCACATCATTTTTGTGGTTTGGCACACGTTAACTGGTAAACAAGTTCTTTGACGTAATCTGATTGTCTTGCGTTTATTTTTTATAACCGACGTATCTCTTTAGTCTAAAAACGGTGCATTTTTAGCAGATTCAGTTCAACCTTCATATCCCTTATCTTTGAATCATTTCAAATGAATGGTACTTGAATAACTATTATCTTGATGCATTGAAAGAAATAATCTCAATGAAATCTACTTAATTCAATATCAAGGTCAATAATCAATCAATTAATAACTGTTATTGACACTAAATAAATTTTGATTGAAACAGTTGATAATACATATTTCAAGATATATCTATAAATGATATATCTTAAAATTATCTCGTTCTTCTAGTCATTTAACCGCGATAATAATAATTTCGATGTCCAAAGATCATTTACCAAACAATCCATTCGATGAAACTTCATCATCAGGTTTTTCCGATAAGTTTATGAAACTAATTTTAATCTGATTCCTTTCAAATAATTGTGATAAGAAGCAAAAATTATTGTAACAAACACAAAGAATCTGGCGATAGAGATTATCGATACTTGATGTTGCAACGTGTAGGTAAAAATGACGCCTTTGAATGAGAATCTCCGCTTATAAAAACAACGATGATGGAATTCAATCATTTTGGAAGTTTCTATTAAATCAATCAACGTAACAATTAAAGTAAAAATGAATTCTATTTATTCTGTTAGCTTATCCCTTCTCATGGTGCTAATCGTCAATAGCATTCAATCTTCTTCTGTTTTGGCTTCACAGTCTGTTGACGATAATTCTAATAATTTAATCATTCTTAATTACCAATATGTTGCAGATTGGGAAGGCTTCATCTTATTTGATGTAAATGCTACAGAAACTGGACCGAAAAAAATCGAAAGCTGTAGCTTATCATTACAAATTCAACGTGATGTCAATGGCAAATTATATTGGGGCTCAACTTCTGATTGTAAGTAATTTTATCGTTACCTTGCTGATTATTAATTTTGACGTAGCAAAATGGCCTACTAATATTTAGGTGATAAGCAAGATATGTACACAGGTTCAACTTTTACTCTTTCATTTGATTTCGTCAGCTAATAATTCGTGCTTTTGAGTAATTGAGTTTAACTGTACAAAAAGTTGTGAGCTAAAAAATTCGCTGAAAGTTTACAAATTGAGCTTTCAAAACCTAATTAGTTGCAATAAATTGCTTTCTGTTTCAAATTAATGATTTTGTATTCCTTTACAAGTGATTTGAATGTATCATCATGTAATGTTCTATTCGTCTGTAGATTCTGTTATCTTTAGTGCTCGACTTGAATCCGAGAACAAGATCGTATTCAGTATCTTGGTAAAAGATGTTAGACCATTTCCAAATTATCGATTCACCTCTGTGTGTAGGCATTCAGATGGTAAGTTGAATGCTGCTTTTCTCTACATTGACGATAACTTTCGTGCTCAATAAAAGACCAATCCTGGATGCAAAGATTCACTATAATTATCTCATTTTTAAGAATTGATTTTAATTGATATCATTGTTTTCTTAAAAAATAAAATAGCTTGTGTTCATTTCACTGAATGTTTGCGTGAATTATTTCAACAAAAAACTTTCCAATTTTCGCATTCTTCGTTCCTTTCTTACTGATATGCGCGTTATTGTGCTGGTGTCTCTCTAAAGTATACGAAAAGCTTCAAGAGCTACAGATATTAGATTTTAAAAAGCTGCTTTTTCCTAATGTAATCAAAAATCAAGAGTCATGACTGATTTGTAGCCAAACTTATGAGCCACTGGAATGGAAGCTGTAATATCAAATATCCGTTACTATTGACGCATTAATCCTTGGAGAGAAATTATCGAGGCTAAAGGTTAAAGAGCAATCATAAGAACCTTGGAAACTTCATATCCATGATCAGAACTTCTGATCCAGAAGGATATTTACGTTCTTGAGCCACAGGTCGTACACCAGATTCTAATAGTTTATCACAAATGCCATAAACTTCATCGTATGCAGTTGATCTTGAAATATGATTTCATCTTTGATCCCGAGAGCGTAAGCAATAACTGCCGAGAAGATTTGACTCTGAGTCATTGAATGGATTCTCAATTTTCGAGGGAACAAAACAATCGGAGCCATGATTGACCAAAGAATCAAAACCATATCATATTGTGACACCCAAATTGGTTGAGCTGAATCTTTAGGAACTGAACCATTCATACTTTTCACTATTCCACAATGTAAATTGTTGATCTTTCGAAGTGACTTATTAGCATCACTACCAACCATGACTGAGTCAGATTCGTCCCTTTAACAGGAATCGAGATAAATATTACATTGCAGTCTAATCTATTGAAAATTAATCGACTTCATATCAATCAAATTAATATACTAACCAAATCTTTACGTGTCGAAATGTGTCCAGGTAATGATTGAAAAGCTTTGCTACTGGAGGCATCATTGAAGGCATATCGAAGATGACCAATAGTCCCGTTAAATGGCTCAGAAAAACAATGTCCGAATATAAGGAAGAAAAAAATAGTTCCGAGCATTATTAATACGATGTAATAGTTGACACGAAAACTAGAAGATTGAAAGTGACTGTTGAGAAAATTTTCATTGTTTGGTTAGTTGTCATAATTAGAGATCAGAACATACCAGAAAGTTAATTAGTGATTAAATCGTAATCAATTTTGCATTTATTAGCTTCTTACCTGACAAAATGATAACAAGCCCATCTTTGAGCCCTTTTGAATTTATCCTCATCATACCAAGACGGTTTCTCTCTGAATGTCCATCCCTCGACGATTGCGGGTTCACAAGTGGCCTGAGATCTTAATCTTTTATACAAAGTGGACACTTTTTCATCGATTGATCGGCTTTTCAATGGAGTTAACATTTTGTACCACAAATTTACAAACAAAGTGTTGGTTTGAACAAAAAACGATAAAATGAACTAATAACAATTTTCCGTCACTGCAACAATCAAATTGTTTGGTGCGCGTTCAGTTTCTCATTATAACAATTTAATTATTTAAGAAGATGGAAAGAGGAAATTTCTTTAATTATTATAACGGGGAATTCATCAATAAACACGTTTTTTTGTCTGTTTTTCTGTCGTTATTAATCATTATAAAGTTAATTGTTATTGATCGCCTCTATTCAGATGCATAGACTTTCCCTACAGCAAAGTGATGAATTTTTAATGCGTAACCTAAACAAGTTCCTCAAGCAGAAAGAGGTGAATTCAAATGGAAAACACTGGATATCTCAGTCTCAATTAATCGTATACAGTCGGAGAAAATGAGTTTGAAAATGAATGCAACAGTTATCGACGCTGGTATTCAATATTTATTCATAACCCTTTACAATAAAATAGTGTGAGTCATCTCATTATAAAAAGTATTCGATTGAATCTATGTTAATGTCAAGATTACCTGAAGAAGTCACTGAACGATCAAGATGCATACAAGGGACGGTGAATCGATATTTCGGTGATGGTTTAAGATGTTTGAGTTGTATATTGAATATAAACTTGTTCTCAAATTTTGGTCGATCATAATCGATAATAGAATCTGTAAGTGAATTAAAAAATGCATGTGAGTGTAACAGGTGATTAGTTTAGATTTAGGCAAAGGTGTAGCTGAATACAAATACTCACAGTCAGTTATGGGAGCCCAATATTTTTTACCATGAACGCTTCGTTCAGTTTGAACGGATAAACTACAGATTCTAATTAGTTTAGATCCGGTTTCAGTAGCATTCAAAGTGAGGGTAATAAAATCTCTCAATATACTATCCAATTGATAAGTCAATATTATTGATGAACTGGTTTCAACATCGACTGGAAGAACAGCCAACATGTGATGCTTAGATATCATTGAGTCCAGCTTGAAATCGAGATTATTTGCAATACTCATCCTACCATCCGAGTGCCTACAGACTGCAGTGAATCGATAATTAGGAGATGGTTTCACATATTTGACTAAAATTTTGAAAATGACCTTGTTCTCGGATTCAATTCGAGAGCTGTGGACAACAGAATCTATAAACAGATTAGAACTTAAATATTAATACATTTTGATACTCGAAACTTAATTTCCAGAAAAGTGTTAAAAAAAATTAGTCTGGTATCAATTATGCGAATGACTAGTGAGCGAATGGGGACTTGAGCACAAGAGATATTGATTTGATTAGAAAAAAATTACAATAAAAAAGTTAATAATCAACATTAATTAGCGAATTATGGTCAATTGTTCTCACAATTGAGATAACTAAATAAATTATGCTGGAAAACAACGAAATCTGGCCCAAACTCTTTTAAACAAACAATTAAATTGATTAAGTTCAATTGCATATCTTTTTTCCATTAATCAACCAATTGTAATGGTTTAATCTTTCGATTTCTATCCCGAAATAAAACTTCAACCAGCAATTTCGATTTTGCTTACACTGTCAAATTTATTTTTAATTTTGGTGGAAATCTTCTGGTGCAATTTTGAAAATTTGGTTAAGTATTAGTACCACAATTAAATATAATTGTTATAACGAAAAATATTGACTGGCAGTGTAACACTTGTTGTTTCCTAGGCTGTCTGTTCGCTCAATTGAAATTCGCTTAGATAGGAAAGTCCATAAAAAGTACTTACAATCAAAAGTCGAGCTCCAGTATAATGTACCATTGACATCGTGTTGACTTTGTAATGACAAACTACACTTTTCCACTTGTTTTGGTCCAGTTTCTGTAGCATTCACATTGAGTAAAATAAACTTTCCAAAATTGCGAACATATTGATAGTTTAACTTGATCGAACTATTGGAATAATCTTCAACAGACTGTACAGCCGAAACAGAAGCATATTGAGTGTTATTGACTATCAACATTATGAGAAAAGATAAGGTAACAAGATAATTAAAGTTCATTTGTATCGAAACTGTTGTCAAAATGAATTAAAAAGTGCAAAATGATTAAATAAAACCCAATCAAACTATGATGATAGTTTTATACTCGGCGAATCTTATTAAAGGGTGTTGTCCTCGCCCATCAGGATGACTAAAAAGCTACATTGTATTGCTAAACGAAACTGTTTTATCCTTCAATATAGTCACAATATTATCAATTGAAAAGAAATGAATTGAAAATAATTCATCTGTGGCCAAAAGTAATCAATATTGTTGTTTTTCATGATCTAATGATGATTCATTCATGATTGATTATTACTCAATCCATTTGATTGTTCTGGATTTTAAATTCCTAAACACAATTGTTTAGGTAACTAATAATCAACTAATTGTTGATGATAGACTTATTCACAACAAAACCATTCTGATGTTTTATTAGCACTAAATATTTTTCATGTGACGATTCAATCGTGTCTTACTATTTCTCAATCAGTGGCTTTCTTAAAAAAGAAACAATGGAACCTTCATCACCTGCCAATCGATTTCAATAAAGTTACAACTAAAAGCTAATCGGAGAAAAGGCTAGACTCTGGCTCGCTTTTCGCGAAGTTAATTGCGAATTTCTTTTTTCTTAACTCCATCCCATCATATGCAATAGTACATTTGACTGATGATAATAGTTTGTGAAGCGTTGCGATTTTTTGAGAAAAGCAACTGCGACTCAAAGGTTATCCCTTTTTTCTAAACATAAATATTCCAAAGATATGCATATTGCTGCTTATTTAGCTGATTTTACGTTTTAATTTTCTGAATCGAAAAGCTTAATTCTTAGGATCAGTTGGAACGTTAAAGAGAAACCGTCAACGTTCTTTAAGCTAAAATTAAGTTATGATAATTATTGTCAGCGCACAACAAGCTCTTAGTTGAGTTTCAATCACAATTTCAGTCTATTCTTTAGAAGACAGAAAAAGAGACAACCAGAGGGAAATCGGTGAAAAATCGTGTTAGCAATTTAACAAACGAAAATCTTACGAACTTGGCAACGGGCGAAAAGTGAATTTTGGGTTATAGAATTTTCAACGGGAACGCATGTGTTGTTTTTGTATTTATTTGATTAATATGCAAGTAATTCTGCTGGTGTGAATGATTTTGAATCAACATCAGGATGGCGAGCATTCATTTGGTCGGTGATTTTTGCCCGTTGCCAAGTTCTTAGGATTAACATGAATGTAAGAATCACAGCAAACATGAACCGAAACACTGAGTATTTAAAAGCTGAATTGTAGCCAAACTTATGAGCCACTGGAATGGAAGCTGTAATACCAAATATCCATTACCATTGACGCATTAATTATCTCGACCCCAACAATCTCAGCTCCAGTATTTACTGGCTCAGTGCCAGGACCTAAAAAACAATCAATTTTCCATGATGGTCCATATTCTGTCGCTACAGCTCATGTACTTAGCGAGTCCGAAGTAACATCAACTCCAATAGTGAAGAAAGAAGAAGTGCCAGTAGTGGACGTTTCCGGCCAGGTGCCCTCCGATTTAGCACCAACATCAACAACACCAGCTCCATCATCTTTAATATCATCAGAGATTCTCACTCCTAATTCGCAACCTAAACCCGATCGCTTAGGACCTGGACCTCTACCTCATCTTGATCCTGGACCTGGACCTCGACATGATCCTTCAGGACCTGGACCTCGACATGATCCTTTAGGACCTGGACCTCGACCTCATCTTGGGCCTGGACCTGGACCTCGACACGATCCTTTAGGACCTGGGCCTCGGCACCTCCATCTTTGATATCATCGGAAGAAATTTCTTTCTAGTTCCGAACCTAAACCCGATCGCTTAGCGCCTTAACCCCTACACGAACCTTCAGGACATGGACCACAACTTCATCTGGGTTATGGACCTCGACACGGTCCTTAAGGACCTTGAGCTAAGCTTGAACAATCAGGATTTGGAGCTTTATAAATCTTATAAAAATCTCTAAACTATTGAATACAGGTCATAGTATCAACTCTGGGTACCAATGTAACGCCATCAACACCAACTAAAAGTGTACATTATGATGATATTTTGACCGAAAATGTTGAACCTTATTTTTTGGAAATCAATTTGACTTTTATACAGCTACAGATTGGCCATGTAAATTATGATATTCATTATCAATAAACTTCCCCTTGACCTCATAACTACTGCTCTCTAGTGTCGACCATTGCATCAAACTTAAAAGTTATAAGTTTAAATAAACAGAAAGCTACAGCTCAAACGGCTCGCTCCAATCACAATCCAGCATCGCTAATGCTATGGTAACGTGTAGCTATATGATGGCTAGAAATGATAATAGTTTTGACTTGATACAATTGAATCATAATTATTATGATTCATTATAATTTATTTTTTCACACATTTGGATCAACATGTCAGCAAATATTTGATCATATAATCTGGAAACTGTATTCAAATGTGATCGGTGTGATAAAGTTTTTAGTGCCAAGAGAAACTTGAGAAAACATGAAGTTAATTTTCATGATAGGACACCTAAATGGTTCAAGTGCATCAGGTGTGAAACCTAATGAATCATTTTCCTGAAAATCTGCGAATTTTGAGCAGAAAAAGTCAGCTGAAAGTAGATAAACTGAGCTTACGGTTACATAGCGTCGAAGTAGAAGATAACAATCGAGTATTTACTAATTGCTCGACTTTTCTTTTCAAATCTCCCAGATCATGACAAATATCACTGGTAAAGGTCCATCTTCACTGTACCTAAAGATTGATTTGACGTCCAAATGCAACGTGAGTTAATTGGAAGGAAACAAATAATGTGCAAAAGCTATTTGTTTATTTCGATATTTCAAGTTGATTCGGTTTAATCAATAAAAAGCTATTTAAGATTTGCAATCAAACTTATTAAATCAATTTCTGCTCTGACTCTTCTTCCTGGTTGCTGTCACAATAAGGGGTATGTATCACCCAAAATCAACTTTCATAAAACTTAAAATAAGGTTACGATTATGATTAAGAACATCAATAAACAATGTTTTGTGCAATCAAAACTTTTCAAAAATGTCCCGCTCTGCCACAATTGACGTCGCAACGTAAATTGTATTTCGATAATATCTTAAGAACGGTGATAGATACAGATATGAAACTTTGTTCAGATATAGTTCATATAGTATTATTTTGATTAACAACAGGAAAAGTGGTTTCACGAGTTGGATCCTCAAATATGATCTTGAGGTCATTTAACTTCGAAATGAAAACATACCGTGCGGTCATTGAAAAGAACCTTTTTCACTAGCCAAAAATAATTGTCTATGTATCAACTATAAGCCTACGTGTTTTAGAACGATTTGCAACAGTGGTTTACGAGGAATCGGTAGTGGCCTCACAAACTTCGCTAAGCTATAACTTTTGAATAACATATCATGGAAGCTTGAAATATTCACGTCAATACTTGTTATGAAAAGAACATTTGGTTAAGGCAAGTTTTTGTTCAGTTAGCCTCTTAACAATGTCCTCACGGTATGTTTTCATTTCGAAGGTGAATGACCTAAAGTTCATATTTGAGAAAACGACACAAGATCAATCGTTGTAGGTGAACTTATTGTTGTCGTTGGTATTGTCACTTGATTGGTGTTCAATTTTTTGATGGGCCTTTTGAAATTATGATTTAAATTATTTTCTAACTTTTTACAATTAGAATCACTTATATCATGGTAATCATGTAAATCGTCAAGATCAAGTACCAAGGTACCACATCGAGTTACCCCTTCATCGGTTATAAATCTAACATCATCTCGTTCGGAACAATAAATGTTAAGTACACTGAACTTTTGTCCATTTTTGGCTGGAGTGTAACTTCGAGTGACCAAATCGCCCGTGGCAATGGACTGATCGGTGAGAACAAATTTATCGAAAATATCTGAACGCCATTCAACACCATCTCGAACAACCAGTTTGGAGAGGGGATGATAACCGTGAATGAAACGGTTTAGAATACCAATACCATAGGTCATTTTTGATCGACGGACCGAAATAATGGAAGGATCAAGGCCAAATAGAACGGCTCCTCGAAGGATAGAAGAGCTAACACCTTGAGGTATGATGACTCGAAGACGGGAAGAAAATGCTGATCTAATGTAACTCTGAAGTAATTGACTCTCGGCGAAACCACCGACCAAAAATAGGTAACCCAAATTGGTACCGTCACAAACACTGGAACAACAGTTTTTAGATTCAATGATTGAATTGATCTGCGAAACAATTTTTTCGCAAGTTGGTTCAAAAAGTTTACGCATCATGGAAGCGGAAATACGTAATATACCCAATCGAGGGTCAAAGGAAACATCTGATGAACCATATTTTTTAACCATCGAATCAACAGTTGAACCTTTCCATTTACGAACTGATTGGATAAACGAAAAAGGAAGTACAATGTTGTAAGGCGTTGACGAAACAGTATTGGCAGCTCGTTTTCGACCCTCGAAAGTGGTCATTAGGGTAACGTAACCGGACGGCAATTTGACACGAAAATCATCACAAAATTTGGAGCCAAAAATATCTTCTAAGAGATTTTCAAATTCCCGATCAACTCCAGTGGAACCAAATGGACAACCTGTAGCTCGATGCAGCTCTTTAAGTGACCGCAGGTCATCGTGAATCTCATGAACGGTTATATCAACAGTTCCACTGCCACAATCAACAACCATGTAACGAGTACCTATTGCAATAAAAGAAACAAGGATTAGAAATAAGTTCCAATAGAAAATAAAATTCTGAGTATAGATTCAGAATCAGATACAAAAAGAAACATTAAATTCTGGTAACAATATGACTGACATATAATGATGATTATGATCATCTCAATGTAACGAAAAATAATTAAACAAATTGATTGAAAGTCTGATGAGCTTTGCGATTGAAAATTTTCAAATTCAAAGAACAGAAAAATTGATCATCATCACACCATCAACATCAATCAATTGATTGTGAAAGTTAATAATAAACTAAATGTAATGATGATTAAAAAAAAGGCAAACCATCAATGAGGCTGTAGTAGTTAGGAAAAGATTGACTAAATTGTTTCATGAAGAAAGGTATTTAGTTACCTTTCTTAATTGATATCGCTTGATTATTCGCCGAGTGATTATCTTTTTCATGGTCAAATAGATTTCCATTTGTACTGTTGTTGTTATTGTTTCCATTAGTGGTATTAGTACCATTAGTGAGTCGACCATTTTTACTTGGTCCTTCCGGAATTAGTTGATTAACCTTTAACTTTCGACAATAAATAGCAGCAGCTTCGGGTTTGTCGCCTAAGAGCGGGTACAGTTACCACCCAACGGACATCTTCGATTCGAGTCGCACATTGTTAACTTAACTCGGTAAGTGCGTGATACTTGAAATAGGCTAAACTGGAACTATTGGCGGTGGTGAGGAGGTCTATTAAATAAATCGTGAAGATCAAGTACCAAGGTACGGCTGACAAAACAGTATTGGCAGCTCGTTTTTGACCCTCGAAAGTGGTAATTAAGGTAAAGTAACTTATTGACGGTAATTTGAGAGGAGAGAATAGAGAAAGCTGATAATCTCAATTAACTCAACTGAGTTGAGCATAAACCTTATACGTAATTATATTTAAAAAATTTTATGGAACTCGTGATATTGATCGATAAAATAATCTTGCAAAACTATGGAGACGGAGTAGGAGAAAATTAGTTGCAAAATTAATGTCAAAAGTTTATTGATATTGTATTACTGATTGATACATTTAAATATCGATATTGCAGTAATCAAAAGAAGTTTTTCATTTAATGAGTTGATTTTTGTTGACCATATGGTAAAACCAAGTCGCTGGGTTTTTGTGCAGGGTCACAAACATCGAAAAGATCCCAACACATATAGTTCTGAGTCGATTTTTCGATCATATTATCGGTAATTGAATTGAAATAGACAGAGTTAAGCTCAGAACATTTCTGGTAATCTGCATCACTTGGTAACGCAGTAGTTTTCACCCACCATAAACACCCATTTTCAGTTTTAGCAGCAAAAGTATCAGCATAATGTCCAACACCCATAAAAGTAACTGCAGCGATGATATCGGTACATTCCTTACAAACGGCCTTATCATAGACTTTGGGAGGATTTTGTTTTGGTGTAACTGGAGCAGCGGGAATATGCGGTAAACTGATATCGAGGGTCGAACTAGACTCACAAACACCATAGAAAGTACAAAGCTCTTGAGATCTGCTTTGTCTTTCGATAAGAAGATCAAATGAAGTCTCGAATACTTTAACGTAAGCATCGCAAGACCCTTCAGGAGTTGGGTATTTGCCACATTTACTCTTGAGTTCAGGTAAGAACGTAGATTTCGCCTTTTTCAAATCGATTCCTGAGTCGAATTCATACTTGCAAATCTCACAAGGAGTCATCCCTTTAGCCCAATCACCAAATGTAGATCCACTCCAAAGAGCATCTCCATGGCCTAGTATGAATTGTAATAAACAAAGACAAAAAAGGAAGCAAAATAATCGAGTTAATCAGCTCTTTCAAATATCTTCGCAGGATAAAAATCAAAGCAATAATTCAAATACTTACATGATGAAACGACGAGAACAAAAGCAATAGCTAAAAATCGGTTCATGATTATTTCTTGCGATGAATTCACAATAAAATTATAGATGAAATAATAGACTGAAAATCAAATTAGGTTACAACGTATAATAATTATGAAGGTTTATTCGTCTTTTTTATATACTCTTCCAATCAACCCAAATCAAATCTTCCTAACCCATTGATTTGAGATTATTAGTTCAATTAAGTTTTATTCTACCGATAAAACTGAATTTTGAGTCTTTTCGTACTGGATTCATGATGAGATTTTGCTCGAAAAGTCCTTGAAATAAAAGCAGGCTTGATACGATTTACTAATGATATGAGTTACGATTATCAATAACTGATTAATTGAATTGTTGTGCATGGATTGTTTTTCTGGTTAAAAACAAGATTAATCCGGCTTTTAGAATCATTTTTAGACAAATAATAAATGTTTCAAAACAGCAAACAATTGGTTGTTTTTGATTTATTCAGAGTTAAAATTTGTTTCAATTGCAATGTTATCTGATAGTAATCATTGATTAAGAACAATAAAAATCTCCAACATAATCTGATGATTGTATCGCTATTATTATTTTACTTTATCTACCTTAAACACAAAGAGAAGAAGATATAACAAAAGTCTCATTCAATGGCTGAGTCGTTCCTCTCAATTGGCCTGTCTCCATATTTTCAACAAAGTTATAAATGGCTTGATAAAGTCGGTAAAAAAGTGTCACAATTATTGGCTTGACCGTTTCTATACTTAGAGCCTGAAGCAAGTTAGCTTGAATTCATCATTGCAATTAGAAAATTTGTTCATCTAAATCAATTCAGAATTTTAGTAAGGTCTTAGTTGTTGTTTGAAAGTGGGCTTAGCTAAGGAGCCGTATACCCTTGTCCAGTCAATAATGTGTATTTGTAATTTATTAATAAAAGAAAGCAAGATTGTAGTTATTGAGGTATTGCCGTTTTAAATGGAGAATTACATGAATCTTACCTTAGATCGTGATAATGAGATGACGATTTGATTCAACTGTTTACATTTTTCAGTTCTTATCACAAGCAAAGGTAAGATAATTTAGCAATTTCAACTGAAACATCCTTTATACAGTGAAAGACTTTGAGTTTGAAACCACTTTAAATTTACTCACAACGATATTTTTAATCAATAAGAGATAAAGTTAACCCAGAGAAATGATAATAAGTGTTATCCACTCATTTGAGCGATGTAGTCTGAAAATGGTCAACTGATTAGATACCAAAATTTTCTTTACTTGCTTATCACTAACTGAGTGAATGACGTAAAAAGTGTTTTTCTAGGCCGTTTAACGGAACTATTGGTCATCTTCAATCTGCTCTCAAATGATGCCTCCAGTAACAAAGTTTTCAGTAGCTACATGGATACATTTCGACATGTAAAGATTTGGTTAGTATGTTAATTTGCATGATATGCAATCGATTAATTGATTCACCTCAATATATATTTAGATTTGAATTTCCATATCCATTCATGGCTGCTAGCGGTACTAAAAATTGACCAGCTCTAAAAGATTCCACTGAACCCAATAACCAAAAAAGAAATATTTTTTGAAATGCTATTAAAGATTCAGCTGGACCCATTTAGGTTCCACAATATGATATGACATTGATTCTTTGGCCAATCATGGCTCCGAGTGTTTTGTTCCCTCGATAATGTGGAAGCCATTTATGCCTCGACGTTAAATAGAAGATCTTATCCACTCATGCATATTAATCAACAATTTCAATAGTAATAAACTAAATGAAAAAACTACACACAAATTCAAGTTGAAGATCAGATAACACCAAAATCATTTTTTCCATGTTTACCTGAGGACATTAAAGAATCGATCGCAAATCTTGAAATGTTTTTTATTGTTTGAACTTTAGATAGCAAAGTAAACAAGTAGTTATTGAAAATAATTTTCTTGACATTCACGTTACATTTGGACATCAAATTAGTCTTTAGGTACTGCCAATTTAAAGCTTTAGTGGCGATGTTTATTATGATCTGGTAAATCAGAAAAAAAGTCGAGTAATTACTCAATCTATCACACCCGAGTAGCCTTAACATACTGTATTGATATTTCACCTACGATTGTGTTTCCCATGTTTATCATGACGGTGATTTAAAAACAATGTTTTTCATGATGTTGGCGCTTGTGTCTTGTTGTAAAAAATTTAATTGTAGTCATGGTGATTAGTTTAGTGATATGATTACAATCAAGATTAACTTCTCATAATCACTTTTTCGATTGAGATTTGGACTTCAGCCGTATTGAGATCGTAAGTAAATGTCATCCAGATTAGTTACAATCACTCAATCAATGAAAAAAAATCAACAATTAGACAATATAAAAGATACACCTTCACAATCAAGCTCGTTACCAATCTAATAGCTGAATGATTTATTAAATTGTTTCAAATTGAAGTGAAACTAAACTATCTTCTACAAAGTGAAGGGGGAGAGAGATAGAAATGAATCAAATAAGAGAAAATAGAAAAGAGGAGAAAAAAAATAGACAGAGAGCGAGAAAGATAGTTAACTATTAATATTTTTATCTTTCAAATGAAACAAAAATTATTTGAATTGCTTTATTTATTGTAAATCCAGCAGCTTCTGCTCCACTGTGCCCAGAATCTAAATCAATGCGATAAGAGAAATTGTATTTTAAATATGGGTTCCGTTGTCGATCAGATCATCGATAAATTTCTGAATTATTTGTATAAAATGCTCAGTTTGGAAACAGAAAAGTTAACAGTCAACTTGCTCAGACTACTAATACTAATACTTTTAAACAAATTTTATCTCTTATATCAAAATGGTAAAGTTTTTGGTTATCGTTTCTCTTATTTTCACCCTTTCGTTGGCTTTTACTTCAGGTAAATCATATTCTTTTGTTAATTTCTAGTCACAATCTGACTAACTCTAACTGATTTTCGTAATTTTTTCTTTATTCTTGATAATAGCTGAAGATGACCTCGATATTTCTCCAATTCCGTTACTACTTTGGGCTGCTTCTGATCCTTTCGAAGAAATTGAAGTAGAAAAAATTAACATGTACAATTTCGTCAAATTTACTGAAGCTCATCGAGCAGAAATCAACAAATTCTACGAAAATGATGATATATTGGGTGTTACACGTCTAATGGAGGATAATGCAGAGGAATCGGGAACTGTTGGAGTTGATTGGCAAGCAGTTGCAGCAAAGATCGCTTTCAAAAAACAAACTGGTTTGACTGAGGATAAAGAACATGGTGTTCCCTCTTTGGTTGCATGGGCCATGAGAAATACTGGACCAGGAACATCGCATCCATCAGTTGTTCGCACTGATCTGCTCATCTTTATCCTCATACATAAGAACATAATCATTGAATATTTAGACAATGGTGATGTTAAAGGTTTGGTCAATTATATGGTTTTAACATCAAATTTATCAGGAACCACAAGCGTCGATTGGAATGAAGTTATTCATTATCTTAAGGACGAAAGACAATTGTATCAATTCCCTTGTGGTTTCATGTACCTTGAACTTTGCGACAGAACTAAACAGTGAAATAAGTTGATTACATAAAAATGGTAATTCCTCCATTGCTTAACAAGAAAATTCAATAAATATTTAATTTTTGCAAACACAATTCAATTGATTTTTATAAACAGATTTATAAGACTAAATAATTTTGTGGTGAACTAAATAAAGTAAACTTGAGAGAGGAATATTTTCCACAAAGTGAGAAGTTTTATTGGGTATCAAAAAGTAGTCCTATTGAGTACATTCACTATGAGGTCTCTGAATGAGAGCTCATTTCGAGTTGCATTTTTATACTCTCTTTCGAGAGACAATTTGGTCAATAATTATTCGAGTTCCCAGGGTGAGATCTCAGATAAGGTTCTCATCAGGATGAGATTAACATAGAAAGGATCAAAAAAGGTCGAAAAAGGGTAGAGAGATTAGGATTAGGATTAGGATTAATTATCAATGGTGAGATCTCTATTTGAGATCTCATGAGATTTGGTTAGAGGCAAAAAACGAGGTCTCACTACAAATTTCATTGTGGTTATGTTGGTTAGTTAGTTGATTAACTTCTAATGACCACTTTTCAGATTGAAATTTTTAATTAAGCCTGACTGCGATCGTGCGAGAATTTTGTCAATATTAGTGACAATCGGTGAAAAAAATCAATAATTAGATAATAACAAATGCAACGTTTGAGTTAAGTCTCTCAATTAGTAAATTTTTCTTTAGAAAATTCAAATACACTACGAAATCTCGACCAGTTTTCTGACAATTCAAAATTCATGCAACTAAACACAGTGGATAAAAACGAGCAAATTAGCGATTGAATATTAGTACCAGTTTGACCTCAAGAGTGTCTAAAGTTTTAAATCTTAAACCAATTCAAAAGTCAACCCATCTCACAAAGTTGATCAACAACAACAAGCGGGAAAAAACTTTCTATCGAAAGTTTTTTAAGGTTGTTTGCCGAACCCGTGGTTTGTTGAAATGGGAATCGTTTTTTAATCGAAAAATTCAAAACTAAAATTCTTTTTCTTTCTCACTACTCTCTCTCTTTCTTTCTCTCTCTCGTTCTATTCTCTCTCACCTCTTCCTTTTTTTCTTTCTTTCTCAATTTTTTCTCGTCTCTTTTTCTTTTTCTTTCTCGTCTCTTTCTCTCTCATCTCTTTCTCTCTCATCTCTTTCTCTCTCATCTCTTTCTCTCTCATCTCTTTCTCTCTCATCTCTTTCTCTCTCATCTCTTTCTCTCTCATCTCTTTCTCTCTCATCTCTTTCTTTCTCTCTGTCTGTCTTTCTCTTTCTTTTTGAAATGCGCGCAGTAAAGAAGCTTAACCGCGCATGCGTACATAAAAATCTTTGAGTCAGAATTTTTTTTTCTCATGAAATTGTGCCGGAATTACCTAGTTAAATGGATTATTTCATTTTTTTAATCAGTAAATTTCATTAAAACTAGTGCTAGTGAAGGTAAGAATATATATATCAAAGGTAAGTAACAACGGAACAACCAAAACTGTACAACCAAAAGTTAACACAACAACAGTGGTGAGAACCGCATGGTCGCAAAACTGATCGCTCACTCAAATGAAACCCAAAAAATCTTTTGTGCCACTAACTTATCTTCATTTTTTTCAGGTCCTTGATTTATCGTAAATATTAATTATTATCTGTTTTTCTAAATTTATTGTATTTAATTGTTGTAAATTCTTGAATTATTTATTGTACCTAAATAAACGGTTAGATATGCAACCGTAAGAGGGCAGAACTCGAGTCTGTTCAGTTGTATAACGACCGTAAGGGTCCCCCTAGGGGCAATAAAAAGAATTTATCATGAACGGCTATTCAGATTTTGTTCGTACTAGTTTTCGTAACTGTAGTATTTTCCGCCTATTTTTTGGTACCTCAACATCTCATAGAATCCTTTTATCTTGAGCACAACCTTCACCCAAAATTTGAGCTTATCTTATACAAGTTTGTAGATCAAAAGTTGATAATGATTGTTAATTACAGAAAAAGACAAAAAAGGATTGCAAACTTCACTGAAAAGTGAATCAATTGACAAAAAATTCATGCAGATACTTTACTTACGAAATTTTGAATACTCAGTGTTTCGGTTCATGTTTTTATTGATGGGCAATTGGGATTATCTTTTTCGAACCCTTTTTGCACAAGAATTGTACCCGATCTTGATGATACCAATGCTTAGCAAAATTATAATTTTAATTGTAATTGTCTTATTATCTTCTAGTCATCTAAATCACAATCACCGCCAACAATAAAAATTACCGATTACTTAACAAATAATCGAATAAATCAAACAATGAATAAATGAAAGAGTTTTCTCTGGTAAAGATGATAGTTATTACGATAAAGATTCATATTGAAATGAAAGACAATAAGGATCAAAGGCAAAGTGATGACATTCTCTTTATTCTCGCCTGTATCTTTTCTATCTTTTGGTGAGTTTATTTCTCGTCAATATTGTTTGAACAGTCGGTTTTCGATTGATACATTTTATCACGATAGTAAGCTAATCGCCTGAGTAATTAAACCCTCTTCAAGTTTCAACTTGCTTAATACAAACTACAAATCCTTAGTTTGTACAACAACGAAAATGAGATGAGAACACGAATTATGCTGGGTACGAATAGAAATAATTTTTCTTCTAATTGTGTGAGAATTTGTCCATTGAACTTCATCTGAATCAATTAATTCTTCACTTAAAATGATTTCAGAATTATTATTTTATGTGCAATTGAAATGAATTTCACTTTCAATACTAATTATACTTTTTGTCACAAAAGTCTAACAGTTTCATTAGAATTGACCTTATTTTGTTTTTGAGGATTAGAAAGAACCATCCAAAGTACGAAATAAAGTTAAGGGCAATAGGGTGACCGCTCCAAGTTCGGTATATTCTCCTTAAGGTAAGACTCAAGATATGTCCGTCAGCTCGATATCTTCACTTTTCAGCTGATTTTTTTTTTCGGCTTAAAGTTCAAGCTACATATGAAAATGGACTTAATTGTTGAGTTAATTTTGTTTGTTTAAATTAGGTTAGGTCTTCGCTAATAAGGGTCACCACGACCAAAGAAAGGCCCGGAGGGCCTGAGACAATCAAACCGAACTTTAAGCCGAGAAAAAAAATCAGCTGAAAAGTGAAGATATCGAGCTGACGGACATATCTTGAGTCTTACCCTCCTTAAATTGTTAGAGTAACGTCAATCTCGTAGGTCCATAAGAAGGTAAAATCACATGAAACAATAAGCACAGATTTATAATCAAGACGATAGTTTTATAATATGGGTGTTTTTATTTGGATAAAAACAACCAACGAAATATCGTTGATTAACTTCAAACTTTCGACAATAAATAGCAGCAGCTTCGGGTTCCGGTGAGATTAAAAGTTGACTTGGATTATCAGGTGAAGCTAAACCCGCTTGATAAGCGGCCATCTTAAATGGACTTAACATTTTGTAGTACAAATTTGAGTCGATCTTTTACTCATCTTTTCTTTAGATAAGTGTCCTTCTTGATTATCTAACGGGAGTTACTTTCTCTCTCCTCTCTTTTCAGAATTCATTCAAATTAGCCACTCTATGTTTAATTCATTTCGTCTTAATTTCTTATGAACGGGCAGACAGATCATTTTTGAACGATTCTTTCGCACTAAGAGAATTTAGGTAGAATTTTTGGTTGCCGAAATTTCGCATAGATATGTTCATCAATTCGAAACAATCAATAAATTGCAATTAAAAAAGAGACTTTTTATTCTGTGGTCTTTATGTTTTCATATTAGACCGGTACATCGTAGATGTGTCCATTATTGAGCCTTCGAATCCATATTGAAGTCGAGATTATCTGCCATAGTCAACATACCATCCGAATGCTTACATACAGCGGTGATTCGATAATTTGGAGATGGTTTTACATCCTTGACCAAGACATTAAAAACGATCTTGTTCTCGGACTCAATTCGAGAACTGTGGATAACAGCATCTAAAGACATCGGAAAGAAAAATTAATGTTAATACAACACAAAGATACCTCAAATTTAATCTGATGAAGGATACTACTTACAATCAAAAGCTGAGCTCCAGTATAATTTGCCCTTGACATCGTGTTGACTTTGTAATGACAAACTACAGCTTTTTAGTTGTTTTGGTCCAGTTTCTGTGGCATTTACATTGAGTAAAACGAAATCTTCCCAATCACTAACAAATCGATAATTTAACACGATTGAACTATTGGCTTTATCGTCAACAAGCTGTGCAGCTGAAATAGAAGCACATTGGCCATTATTGACGATTAAGACCATGAGCAGAGAAAAGGTAACGAAGTAAGTAAAATTCATTTTTACTTTAATTGTTGAATTGTTGTTAAATTGATCACTTAAAGTTGGGATGTTTAAAATGAATGAATTCAAACATAAATATAATGGTATTTATACTCGGTGAATCTCATCTGTGGGTCTGATTATTACCAATTTTTTTGAAATAAAAAGCGATAATTTCTTATTTTGATATTACTACAATTAATTCAATCTAAAAGAAATATATCAAAGATAATTCATCTAAGGACAAAGTTTAGCGATATTGTTGTTTTTCATTATTCTTATTAATCATTCGACTGATTATTTGAAGTCCAAAGTTCCAAATAAAATTGCTAAGAGAACGAATAACCAACTGATTGTTGATGATTAAGTAATCAATAAATTGTTTGCAACAAAAAACAATCCTGTTTCATTATAATCACCTGATGAATTAATTGTGTCTTGTTATCTTTACAATCAGTGTGCCTCACCCATGGAACTTTGATTTGGAAAGGTTGAATAACTGTTATAAATATTATTATATTTCGTCTAATTTTTAATATAAGAGATATTTTGTCTAATGCTTATAAAGTTATTTTGAAGGCTTATACTGAATATTTTATTACCTAAAGTTTTGAATTTGATCGTATCAAAATGAACAGTCACAGTGATAGAGCACAGCATAGTATGTATGTTTTAATCCTTCATAATCATCACAGAACTAGTTTCCTTAGTTGTATTGACAGTAGATAGTAAGAGTAATAACTTTCATTTTGATTGTGATAAAATTCATATGATTAACTTGTTTGCTGAAAATTTAAATGACCTTTCCGATGCTAAAGCTGCTCTTGATGAAGCTCGTCAACGAATCCACGGAATTGTTATTAAATTTTACCGTTTAGCGTAAAAGCTCAAACAAAAATAAGCGCGAAGAGATAATCGCTGCTTATAAGGAATCTGAAGCTATGGGGAAACAAGAAGAGGTGCAAGCTCAACGTTTGGCTGTTGATTTGCCCAAGTTCGATTATTATAAGAATACTAGCTCGCTCCTTGTAAATACGTTTCGATGTTCTAATTTTGCTATTCACTCGTCACAATTACAAGTTAAAAGATGGTTGAATATGCGATTAGCTGAGGCTAAACTCGAGACTGAAGTTGCTCGAATCAAGAAGAAGATGCAAGCTCAAAATATCCTTGCATGTGGCCAACAAACAAAACTTCAAATTCAAACAAACAGTCAAACGACAATCCGTTCTAATTAGCCAAATTGAAATTGCTAAAAAAGAGATTTGGAGAATTCCAATCATATTAAGAGTCAAATGTCTATTCAATTGGGAGATAACAAGTAAAGATTAGAAGATAAAAAGAGGATAATTGATCGATGGTCATTGAGTGGATTAAACAAAACCATAAACTCAGGCTAAAATTATTCTTTTCAATTTATAAACGATCTCCACTTGAAACCATTGCCATTGTAATTGAATTGAAATCTCTTAAAGTTCAACTTGAGGAGGAATCGGAAGCACGTCTTGACATTGAGAGACAATTAGCTAAAGCCAATGGAGATTGTGCTTCATGTAAATCTAAATACAAAGCTGAGCTCCAAGCTCCCAAAGATGAAGTTGAGAATTGAAATTTTGACTAGTAAAATTAAAGTTTTCAGTGATTTGTATAATATGAAATCGGTACGTTTTGGATTGATTAGACTAAAAATTCATCTCAATTAGTGTTCAGGTATGAATATGATGCTAACATGTCACTTTGCAATTTCTTGTTTTCTCGTGCCAAGGCTTCCTTTTGATCCTTCAATTTCTCGTATTCGTGTGTCAATGGCTGTAATTCAGCCATCTTGTTTCTCAAGTCTCGTTGAGCATTTTCTAACATACCATTGAGCTCATCAACCTTGGTCTTAAGATCAAGATTAGATCGCTCAAGAGCAGCACATCTATTTTCCAAGTTTTGAGCATGGGTTGTGGCCTTTGATTTGAAAAAAAAACAATAAGTTTCATTAATATTTACGAAAGTTAATCAACTATTCCTGTTCTCTTTTTGAATCCCTATTAGCTCACCTTCTCGAGGTCCATGATGAGAACTTTGGAGTCGAGATTTTTGCTTCTCAAGAGAACTGCATTTGTTAAGAAGTGATTCCAATTGCTCTTCGTACTCGGAAATCTTTTGTACCATCTTTCGTCTGAATTTTTGATGAAAAGAAATGTTTTTGTAACGAATATTGTAAAAACTTTTATTCTAAAGTTAATTCTATTTACCGTAGTTCATCAACTTCATCGTTGTGAGCTTGGAGCTCACCTTCGTATTTAGATTTCCATGAAGCACAATCTCCATTGGGTTTAGCTAATTGTCTCTCAATATCAAGTTGAACTTTAAGAGATTCAGATTCAATTGCAATAGTGTGACAATGGTTTCAAGTGAAGATCATTTCTAAATTGAAAAGATAAATTTTAGTTTTAGTTTTTATTTGGGTAACTATAATAATCGGATAATCGGCTCTTTGTTGCGGTAACCTTATTAACTGTTCGAGTTAATCTGATCTCTTTAACTATGATGCTGGATTCATGAACAGTTTGTTCCAACTTTTCAACAGTCTTTTGGATAACCAATTTATCCTTGTTAGCAGTTTAAATTTACAATTTTTATCAGTTTCAATTTGGTTTAAAAGCTCATGAACCTCAATTGGTTGTCGAAATATGATAAGGTTTCGATTCTTTGGTCAATAATGTCTTCGATTGTTTTGTTCACTCGAAAATGTTGCATCCATTCAATGACTCGACGTCAATAGTAATTATAATAACTACTTCTGCGTTTGTTGGTTTCATAATCACGGAAAAAAAATCAAATTGCTTCACCCAAATAACGATTTCAAGTGGTAAAGTTTAGGAAATTTGTGCCCATAAGCTTTTTTTTCATCAAGAGCAGACTTAATATCCGAAAGGTCATCTTTATTTTGAGAGTTAGATAAGTGAGTTGAGTTTTATGAGTTTTATCGCAATTTTTGTTTTCTGTGTTCATATAATGATTGCAGTAGACAGATAACATTGTGATATTACAAGTGATATTGATTTTTACTCTGTGATGATCTCTTGCTCCCAATCATCTGATGTAATCTTATAAAACAATAGCGAAATTGAGCGGAAATTCATAGTTGTTGATTAAACTTGGGGAGTTCTGTTCCAAAACCAGTTTTTTCAGGATTAAACAATTAACAAATTGAGCTAAAACTTACATGAGTTATTGAAATTTTCAATTGCTCACGATTGATAAATTAATCAATTAGTAAATAAATATGAGTTATTATTAATATTATTATTTCAATTATTGACCATGATTGAAATGTTATCAATTTTTACTATCACTGAGATTATTTTTGTATTAATCATATCTCTTGATAAGGATAAATTAGTATATAAAGAAACCCGTAAGTATTTTTTCATATTAAAAGTTATGTATAATTGTAAACTCATTTAGAAAAGTTTTAGTTTATTGAAGTGATTGCAAAAAAGTTTCCAGACAAAATGGTCAACTCACTCCTTAAATTTGTTGTGATGAGTAAGTATTAACTTTGTATTTCTTAATATTCATTGAAGATTTTCCCAATTAACTAATTTTACAATTTACTAATAATTTCTCTCTCTCTCTCTCTCTCTCTCTCTCTCTCTCTCTAGTGGTTTTCTGTCAATTAGCTGTATCAGCTTTACGTGAAGAAGATTTCAGAAAAAGTTTGGATGGCAATTACCCTGAGAAGTTTTTGTACCAACTGTTAAATAATCAGATAAAACACCGTGCTGGTTATCTGACCGAAATCTCAGGACAAACCAATTTCAGTGATGACGATTATTCTGTTATAAACGCAACGATTGGATCAGTGGAACTCTTGACTTATTACATGTCTAAAATTCGTTCATCATTACAACCCACTCTTAGGTACAAAGCTTACGATAATTTATCAAAAATTTACGCAGAAATACTAGAACAATTCAACGACCAGTTCATTTCTCAATATAAAAGTATCGTAGAAATTGATTATCTCAATCCGGTCATATTATCCGAACAGCTTAAAAATAAGTCTGGAACCTTTGAGTCGGTTAAGCAAAATGCTTTACTCCTGATTGATGCATATTCTTATGATATCGATTTCATGTCTAAATATGATCCATCTGATATTTATCGAACTGCATTAGCTGAAACTTGTTTGAAAAATTTAAGTTCACTACGGAAAGAAATCGAAAGTCTCATTCAACTAACTGGTAATTCACCAATTCCAACTTTGGAGATATTACTAACACGGTTCGATCTAATTCTTCGTCATGTTGCCGGTAAACCTCAAGCTGGTTAAATATTCATTGATGCAAATTGATCAAACGAAATTGTCATCATATTATAATCTAAATTTACTACTTGAACTTCCATTCTAACGACCATAATAAAAATTGAGCAAACAAATTATCACAATTATTGATTTATTATTCTTGCGGTTTCGAGCACAACAAGCAATATCATCATCAATTTGAGCCAGCAAAAGGTGAAAAGCTACTGTTTGTAATCAATTAACACTTAATTTTGAATAAGATATTTTCTGTTAACATTGTGTTCGAGCCAAGAGAATTCTTAATCTTAGTCTTTCGATACTAGAAAATTCAGCAGCAAATTCTACAGAAGCAAAAATATCATGAAAATTTGTGGGAAAGTAACTGACCTCGGATCATTGCATTGCTGCAAAATTTTCATGCGATCGAAACAATGAGAGCCCATGATTGGCCAAAGAATCAAAACCATATCACCGAGGCATCAAGAATGAGAATTGAAACGCGATACAAAAGTATAAATAATTGCAATTTGTAATGCTATTAAGTATCGTATTTTTATTTCAAGAGGAAATTCTATTGATTATCATGATGAAAAATCAAAGATAAGATTAGAATGTTATGATTGTAAAAACATTGGATTCAATTTATATCAATGAAATTTAAAGTCCACCAGCAACAAAACCCAATATGAAATCGAATCTTCGAAGAAATATTTCCAATGTCAGTGTCGATGAATCGCCAGAGGGTGAGTTGAGACTTTCGATTTCTTTCCGAAGTGAACTTAAATTTTTCAAACAAAATTTGAATAATTTAGTTTGATAAATATCAGATGTATCATATTTAGACATGAAATCGACATCATAAGAATAAGCATCAATAAGACGTAAAGCATTTTGCTTAACCGACTCAACGGTTTCAGACTTATTTTTAAGCTGTTCAGATAATATGACCGGATTGAGATAATCAATTTCTACGATACTTTTATATTGTGAAATGAACTGATCGTTGAATCTTTTAACTACTGCACCGTAAATTTTTGATAAACTATCATAAGCTTTGTACCTAAGAGTGGGTTGTAATGATGAACGAATATTGGTCATCAAATTGGTCAATAATTCTAGGGATCCAAAAGTTGCGTTCAGAAATGAAGTCTCTACCTTGGTGAAACTGGTTTGTCCTGAGATTTGGGTCAGATAACCAGCACGGTGTTTTATCTGATTATTTAACAGTTGGTACAAAAACTTCTCAGGGTAATTGCCATCCAAACTTTTTCTGAAATCTTCTTCACGTAAAGCTGATACAGCTAATTGACAGAAAACCACTAGAGAAGAGAGAGAGAGAGAGAAATTATTAGTAAATTGTAAAATCAGTTGATTGGGAAAATCTTCAATGAATATTAAGAAATACAAAGTTAATACTTACTCATCGCAACAAATTTAAGAATTGAGTTGACCATTTTGACTGGAAACTTTTTTGAAATCACTTCAATAAACTAAAACTTTTCTAAATGAGTTTACAATTATACATAACTTTTAATATGAAAAAATACTTACGGGTTTCTTTATATACTAATTTATCCTTATCAAGAGATATGATTAATACAAAAATAATCTCAGTGATAGTAAAAATTGATAACATTTCAATCATGGTCAATAATTGAAATAATAATATTAATAATAACTCATATTTATTTACTAATTGATTAATTTATCAATCGTGAGCAATTGAAAATTTCAATAACTCATGTAAGTTTTAGCTCAATTTGTTAATTGTTTAATCCTGAAAAAACTGGTTTTTGAACAGAACTCCCCAAGTTTAATCAACAACTATGAATTTCCGCTCAATTTTGCTATTGTTTTACAAGATTACATCAGATGATTGGGAGCAAGAGATCATCACAGAGTAAAAATTTATATCGCTTGTAATATCACAATGTTATCTGTCTACTACAATCATGAACACAGAAAACAAAAATTGCGATAAAACTCATAAAACTCAACTCACTTATCTAACTCTCAAAATAAAGATGACCTTTCGGATATTAAGTCTGCTCTTGATGAAAAAAAAGCTTATGGGCACAAATTTCCTAAACTTTACCACTTGAAATCGTTATTTGGGTGAAATAATTTATTTTAATTTCTAACGATGATGAAATCAGCAAACTCAGAAGTAATTCTCTATTTGACGTCGAGTCGTTGAATGGATTCCACATTTGCGAGGGAACAAAACAATCGAAGACATTATTGACCAAAGAATCGAAACCTTATCATATTTCGACAACCAATTGAGGTTCATGAGCTTTTAAACCAAATTGAAACTGCTAAAATTATAAATTAGTTATCCAAAAGACTGTTGAAAAGTTGGAACACACTGTTCATGAATGCAGCATCAGAATTGAAGAGATCAGATTAACTTGAACAGTGAATGAGGTTACCGCAACAAAGAGCCGATTATCTCAACAAAATACTGAATTGATCAAGGAGGTTCACGAGTATAAGGTTCATTTGGAAAATTTATATCATATTAAGAGTCAATTGGCTATTCAATTGGAAGACACCAAGCGACGATTAGCAGACGAAGAGAGGGTAATTATTTGGTGTTAAGTAAGTGGATTAAACGAAATAAAACCTAAAACTAAAATTTATCTTTTCAATTTAGAAACGATCTTCATTTGAAACCATTGTCACACTATTGAAATTGACCTGAATCTCTTAAAGTTCGACTTGACATTGAGACATTTACTTTGCAATTTCTTGTTTTCTCGTGCCAAGGCTTCCTTTTGATCCTTCAATTTCTCGTATTCGTGTGTCAATTTCTGTAATTCAGCCATCTTGTTTCTCAAGTCTCGTTGAGCATTTTCTAACATACCATTGAGCTCATCAACCTTGGTCTTAAGATCAAGATTAGATCGCTCAAGAGCAGCACATCTCTTTTCCAAGTTTTGAGCATGGGTTGTGGCCTTTGATTTGCAAAAAAAACAATAAGTTTCATTAATATTTACGAAAGTTAATTCTCTATTCATGTTTCCTTTTAGAATCCCTATCAGCTCACCTTCTCGAGGTTCATGATGAGAACTTTGGAGTCGAGATTTTTGCTTCTCAAGAGAACTGCATTTGTTAAGAAGTGATTCCAATTACTCTTCGTACTCGGAAATCTTTTGTGCCATCTTTCGTCTGGAATTGTGATGAAAAGAAATGTTTTTGTAACGAATATTGTAAAAACTTTTATTCTAAAGTTAATTCTATTTACCGTAATTTCTCGACTTCATCGTTGTGAGCTTGGAGCTCAGCTTCGTATTTAGATTTCCATGAAGCACAATCTCCATTGGCTTTAGCTAATTGTCTCTCAATGTCAAGATGTGGTTCCGATTTCTCCTCAAGTTGAACTTTAAGAGATTCCAATTCAATTTCAATGGTGTGGCAGTGGTTTTAAGTGGAGATCGTTTATAAATTGAAAAGATAAATTTTAGTTTTAGTTTATGATTTCGTTTAATCCACTTAAGGACCACATATCAATTATTCTCTTTACGAGGAAACAAAACAATGATAGTTATTATTGATCAAAGAATCAAAACCATATCTTATTGTGACACCCAAATGGGCTCAACTGAATCTTTAGGAACTGGACCATTCATGTTTTTCACTATTCCACAATGTAAATTATTGATCTTTCGAAATGACATGTTAGCATCACTACCAACCATGAATGGATCAGATTCGTACCTCTAATACAAATCGAGATAAATGTTATATTATTAATACATTACTTTACATTATTAATCTACATGATCTTTAGACCTCCTTTCAATCAGCCTAAGGTCCTAAACACTTATTTATTTTCGCCTTTCGCAATTGATCTTGCATCTCAGCAACGGCAGCTCGGTGTTTTGGTCGTAAATGATGAGCATTCTCTTCACTCTCCATATGAACATCTTCCCAAAAGTTTTACTTGAACCTTCAGTCTCTGCGAGTAGTTCAGAAAGGCTCATCAATTGAACAGTTAAATCAGATTTCTCTCGTTCGATCTAAAATTTAGCAAAGAAAATAACGATAATTTTAATTGGTGGAAAATGATTCGTCGTTAGTCATAATCTATACTGGAATCAATCAAAAATCATTATAATTATGAAGAATAAAAAATATGCAAACGACAATCTTTTCAAAATAGCCTGAGTATTGAAATGCTACGTTTGATTGTTTCTGTTGGAGAATTCCAATCATATTAAGAGACAAAGGCTATCTAATTGGAAGATAACAAATAAGATTAGAAGACAAAAAGAGAATAATTAATCGATGGTCCTTAAGTGGGTTAAACTTGAATAAAATTTATCTTTCCAATTTAGAAACGATCTCCACTTGAAACCATTGCCACACCATTGTAATTGAATTGGAATCTCTTAAAGTTCAACTTGAGGAGGAATTGGAAGCACGTCTTGATATTGAGAGACAATTAGCTAAAGCCAATGGAGATGAAATTTTGACTAGTAAAATTAAAGTTTTCATTAATTTGTATAATATGAAATCAGTACGTTTTGGATTGATTAGACTAATAATTCATCTCAATTTGTGTTTAGGTTAAACTATGATGCCAATGAGGCACTTCGAAAGATCAATTAGTGAAAAGTATGAATGGTTCAGTATCTAATGACTGAACCAATTCGGTTGTCAAAATATGATATGGTTTTTCATTCAATCATATACGAGTAAATTACCTATTCAATTGGGAGATATTTAGTAAAGATTAGGAGTCAATTGATCAGTGGTCATTAAAATCAACCATAAACTCAGACTAAATTTGCCTTTTAAATTCAGAAACGATCTTAACTTGAAACTATTGTCACACAATTGAAATTGAATTGGAAGTTCAACTTGAAGATACTTATTATCCGAAAGGTCATCTTTATTTTGAGAGTTAGATAAGTGAGTTGAGTTTTATGAGTTTTATCGCAATTTTTGTTTTCTGTGTTCATATAATGATTGCAGTAGACAGATAACATTGTGATATTACAAGTGATATTGATTTTTACTCTGTGATGATCTCTTGCTCCCAATCATCTGATGTAATCTTATAAAACAATAGCGAAATTGAGCGGAAATTCATAGTTGTTGATTAAACTTGGGGAGTTCTGTTCCAAAACCAGTTTTTTCAGGATTAAACAATTAACAAATTGAGCTAAAACTTACATGAGTTATTGAAATTTTCAATTGCTCACGATTGATAAATTAATCAATTAGTAAATAAATATGAGTTATTATTAATATTATTATTTCAATTATTGACCATGATTGAAATGTTATCAATTTTTACTATCACTGAGATTATTTTTGTATTAATCATATCTCTTGATAAGGATAAATTAGTATATAAAGAAACCCGTAAGTATTTTTTCATATTAAAAGTTATGTATAATTGTAAACTCATTTAGAAAAGTTTTAGTTTATTGAAGTGATTTCAAAAAAGTTTCCAGTCAAAATGGTCAACTCAATTCTTAAATTTGTTGCGATGAGTAAGTATTAACTTTGTATTTCTTAATATTCATTGAAGATTTTCCCAATCAACTGATTTTACAATTTACTAATAATCTCTCTCTCTCTCTTTCTCTAGTGGTTTTCTGTCAATTAGCTGTATCAGCTTTACGTGAAGAAGATTTCAGAAAAAGTTTGGATGGCAATTACCCTGAGAAGTTTTTGTACCAACTGTTAAATAACCAGATAAAACACCGTGCTGGTTATCTGACCGAAATCTCAGGACAAACCAGTTTCAGTGAAGATGATTATTCTTTCATTAACACAACGATTGGAACAATAGAATCATTGATCGAATCATTGGATAGTAAATCGGAAACCGTTCAATCAGTTAAGGAATATGCTACAAGTTTGATCGATGCTGTTGGTCTCGACATTGAACGCATCTCAAAAGACCACCCGTTCGACATTTCTGATATCTATCGAAGAAAAGTATTTAAATTTTCATTGGAAAATTTGAATTCACTCCGCAGTGAAATTGAAAGTCTCGAACAATTGTCTGAGAACTTAACAATTGCAACCTTGGAGGAGTTACTTCGACGATTCGATTTGATCCTTCGTCTCGTTGTTGATGGTCCTTTATTACCTTAAATATTCATTAATCCCAATTTTATGGAAAATTAATAAAAGATGAGCATGCTTATCTTGGTAATTCTCTAGTTCATATCTATGATAAGAGATCAGAACTTATCTAACATCGATCTTAATCATCGTCATCATAAATATAAATAAGATATGGATTATTCGGTTAAGATTATGCTCACGCTAAAAAGAGTCTATGAAAGGTTAAGATATAAAAAAGTTTAGCTTGAAATCCTACAAACGGAAAAGTTAGTCCGAACGAGATTTGAGCATTCATTAAAAATTTCAGGTTCAAAGTTTTAACATAAGCGAGCGCAGTTCGGTTTCAAGTGCGCGTGATTCATAAAGAAATAGACAAGAGAGAAAAAGAAAAAGAAAAATTCGCGTTTTAAAATGATTCCAAAAGTTATCGAAGTTGAATAATGACCATTAGTTTCCAACAAATCGACGGTTGTTTCATTACCGAACAGGTAAATTGCATCTTGGTTTTTGGGTTATCCGATTTTCAACTTGAATTTGTGTCTTGTTTTTGTATTTAGTTGATTAATATGCAAGTAATTCTGCTGGTGTGAATGATTTTGAATCAACATCCGGATGTATATCATCTGGATAAAGAGCATTCATTTGGTCGGTGATTTTTGCCCGTTGCCAAGTTCTTAGGATTAACATGAATTTAAGAATCACAGCAAACATGAACCGAAACACTGAGTATTTAAGTAAAGTATCTGCAAGAGTCACAGCTGATTTGTAGCCAAACTTATGAGCCACTGGAATGGAAGCTGTAATACCAAATATCCGGTACCATTGACGCATTAATCCTTGAAGAGAAATTATCGGGGCTAAGGGTTGAAGGGCAATCGCTAAGACTTTGGAAACTTCATATCCATGGTTAGAAGGATATTTACGTTCTTGAGCAACAGGTCGTACATCAGATGCTAATAATTTATCACAAATGCCATAAACTTCATCGTAATCAGTTGATCTTAAAATATTATTTTCATCTTTGATCCCAAGCGCATAAGCAACAACTGCCCAGAAGTGAATTAGATCCTCCATTTGACGCCGAGTTATTGAATGGATTCCACATTTTCGATGGAACAAAATAATCGGAGCCATGATTGACCAAAGAATCAAAACCATATCATATTGTGACACCCAAATGGGTTCAGCTGAATCTTTAGGAACTGAACCATTCATACTTTTCACTATTCCACAATGTAAATTGTTGATCTTTCGAAGAGACTTGTTAGCATCACTACCAACCATGAATGGGTCAGATTCGTACCTTTTAATACAAATCGAGATAGATATTAAATTGTAGTCTAATCTATTGAAAATTAATCGACTTCATATCAAACAAATTAATATACTAACCAAATCTTTACGTGTCGAAATGTGTCCAGGTAACGATTGAAAAGCTTTGCTACTGTTGAATGACTTTTGGTCTTTGCTACTGGAGGCATCATTGAAGGCATATTGAAGATGACCAATAGTCCCGTTAAATGGCCTAGAAAAACACTGTCCAAATATATGGAAAAAAATAGTTCCGAACATTAATAATACGATATAATAGTTGACACGAAAATTAGAAGACCGAAAGTGACTGTTGAGAAAATTTTCATTGTTTGGTTAGTTGTCATAATTGGAGATCAGAACTTAATCAGCAAGTTAATTAGTGATTAAATCGTAATCAATTTTTCATTTATTAGCTTCTTACCTGACAAAATGATAATAAGCCCATCTTTGAGCCCTTTTGAATTTATCCTCATCATACCAAGACGGTTTTTCTCTGAATGTCCATCCCTCGACGATTGCGGGTTCACAAGTGGCCTGAGATCTTAATCTTTTATACAAAGTGGACACTTTTTCATCGATTAATTGGCTTTTCAATGGAGTTAACATTTTGTACCACAAATTTACAAACAAAGTGTTGGTTTGAACAAAAAACGATAAAATGAACTAATAACAATTTTCCGTCACTGCAACAATCAAATTGTTTGGTGCGCGTTCAGTTTCTCATTATAACAATTTAATTATTTAAGAAGATGGAAAGAGGAAATTTCTTTAATTATTATAACGGGGAATTCATCAATCAACACGTTTTTTGTCTTTTTTCTGTCACTAACAGTCATTATCATCGAGTTAATTGTTGTTGATCACCTTTTCTCAGATGGGTTGACTTTTAAATTGGTTTGAGATTAAAATTTCAGACACTCTTGATTACACAACTGATACTGATACTCAATTGCTAATAATGTCTTAATTATTGAGCCATATCTAATTGCTATCAAATCATAGTGTCTACCAAAGAGTAAAAACTCTTTCTACTCTTTGGTGTCTACATACAATTTTACCATCAATAGGTATTTCCAAATCAATTCAAAAAACTATTAATAATCAATTCATACAGTCAAACCATTTAGGTTGAATCCTAATTCTATTTCGCATGAATCTTTTCTGTTTAGGTTGAATCTGCCATCGGCTAATCCATCGTTTTAATCCATTGGTTCTAAAAAGGTTGAAACTTTTCTAATTGCTTTGGATCTTATTCTATTTAGTTTGGACCTTTTGGCTTCAAGACTTGCTTTTAAGTTGTCTATCGTTCAAGATTTTTTCAAAAATACAACATTTATCAGTAAATTATTCTTATAAATATTAATTCAATCACTTTAACTCATCATTTGTGGTGCTAAATTTTTTCTTTTTAAAATATTATAATTAACTTTGACTTTTATGACTGATTCGAGCCATTGTTCAAGCCAAAAGGTCCAAACTAAATAGAATAAGATCCAAAGCAATTAGAAAAGTTTCAACCTTTTTAGAACCAATGGATTAAAACGATGGATTAGCCGATGGCAGATTCAACCTAAACAGAAAAGATTCATGCGAAATAGAATTAGGATTCAACCTAAATGGTTTGACTGTAACGTTGATATTTACACTCAGTCACTTGAGAAAACAAAACAATCAAGTTTGTCAATACTGACAAATTACAGCAACAATTTGATTTGTTCATTTAGATATTATTCAGCTAAGCAGCTGATTTTGTAAGAGAAAATCAGATATTTTTGCCTTTCAAACTGTTCGATGTTAAATTTTGATGGTCCTTTTTTGAGGCCTTGGGGTTGATTCCAAAAGTTATCGAAGTTGAATAATGACCATTAGTTTCCAACAAATCGACGGTTGTTTCATTACCATGGAACAGGTAAATTCCGTCTTGATCATTCAAAAAAATTTGATGGTCATTCTGAAAATATGGTTCACTCCATAAAAGTTTCGAGGGCAAATCACGGTGAAAATAGATCTGAGTTACATAGATAATATTGTTCAATTCTGTTGTATTCCCATGGAAAACTTCAACATGGATATGTAAACATCTTGCTCCATACCAACCAGGAATTATTGTGTTAAAGTTAACTTGACCCTCGGAATTGGTCACTTGGTAACCTCTACATGCTCTATTGTTGGAAATAGCTTTAGGACGACCAACACCAGGACCCATACCCGAATCTCCTGGTCCACCGATTGTTAAACCTTTCAAGTATTTAGGTACTTTATAATTGTTATCCACGCCAGAGTAAATCCCTAAGGCGTTTGCATGCCAAATATGAATGAACATATTTTCCAATGGTTTACAATCATTTGCATCCACAAGATTTATCTCCAAGTGTAAGGGTTTACCTTTCTCTTGTTCATTGATAGTTGATCGGTGTAAATCATCAGGTAAAAAATAAGGTCCCTCAGGGTTGAAAGGTGTAAGGACACATGAATGTTGATTAGCCTCTCGTTTGTATTTACCACAATTAACCACAGTCCGATCGTGATCAATGATTTTACCAGCGAGATGAGAATGAGAAACACAAATAACACTAATAAAAGTGATTAATAACTGTAAAAGATAGTTAATTGTCGATAACATTAAAAGCTAATTGTAAATGATTATGATGGTGTTCATCTATTAATAATTTGAAATTCAACTTCTACTTCAGGATGAACATTTTCACTATTGTAACACAATTTATCCATAATTTATGATTAACAATTAACATTATATTCTAATCAATGATCAACACATGTCACAGTTAATTGTGATTAACTGATTTAGATTTAATCTGTGTATCATCTGTATTTTGACGGAAAATGTCTGTCCTTCAATTGTCAAATTGATACGTTTAACAATTACACTTAATTGAACTAAATTAACAGGTCACAATTAAGCTTAATGAAAGGCTAATGTTGCTAATTTATATACAATCATAAACAATTAACAATCATTAAGTAATTGTCATAAATCAAATTGTTGCCTTAGTCTATTTAATTTGTGATCACTGCCTTAATTAATTAAGTAAACAGTTAATTGTTTGCAATTAGTGTAACTAAAACTGAATGATTTCATCAAATATTATGATTGATTGTATTTCCATGGTTCTGGTTGATTTCATCATCATTATTAGGAAGTTGAATAAACAGCAATTAGTCCTTGATTAATTTTCTGTAAGTGATTGAGAAAAAAAAATTGGAAAATTAATCAATTGAAAAGCTTAATCAGTGAGAATCAATATGTAAATGATTATCAAAAGATCACAATTGAACTTTGAACATCTCTGAATATCAATGAATCATTAATTCAGAGGTTGATTACATTTTCATGGATATAATTCAAAGCTGATTAACCTCAATGAATTTTTGATGATTAACTATTAATTTAGTTTTTCTTATTGTGTATATTTAGGCGTTTTCATGATACAAATTGACTCTTGGAGGTTGATGATCATCATAATTTCAATGAATATGATTTAGTTGATTCATTATGATGGTTTGAATCATTATCATGACTTTTACGATGAGATGGTTTTTATTACCTTCAGTTATTGTCCCAAAAATATGATTTTATGTTGATATGATATCACTTGAATTGTTAACATTTCATTGTCAGTGTCATGATGATTATCATTATTGCATGATGGTGAACAAAATTTCAATCAAATTGTGTAATAATGTTAATAAATATCATAATCTTATCCAGAATAATGTAAAGGAAATGTCAAGATAATCAACTTGAAATGGTAAAAGTTGGTTGTTATCTGAAAAGCGAGATAAAGTTGTGTAAATTAGTTAATTGTTATTGTTCAATCAAAGATAAATCAGCGATAACTTTGTATTCACTTACAATTATATTAATTGATAATCTCAGTTGATTTGAAGAAATCAAAGTTGACAAGAGGCTCACCAACAGATTAAGATCTTCCTTTTTTCATGGTGCCAGTAATTCAATTAAATTTTGATTAATCTTAATATGGTTCATGTATCTGGAGGCCTGGATGATATTAGTCTCAGGATGATCCATTTCAGGGTTGATTAGTGTTAGATAATTAATTTTTGTCGCATTTTCTTTTTCTCCTATTGGATGTATTTCTTTCGGTGGTGTAATTATTTCCAGGAATTATTTTCATCATTTCTTTTTGCTTACATGGTTGGTAATAAGAGAAAAAGAGATTTCCTTTTCAATGGCTTAAGAGATCCACTTTTTTTCATCATCTCCTCTACCATTAACCTCTACCATCGTCTTCTTTATCTTCATCAGTCAATCATTGATGAGGAGAGAGAGAGAGAGAGAGAGAGAGGAGCAATTATCACTTCCGGAGAAATCAAAAATGGAAAGTAAATATCTTTACAATCAATGGAAACATAAATTAACCCAATCAAGGGTAAACACAATAAGAAGTTTTGATTAGTAGTATGAGAAATATTCTAAATTTGGATGGACAAGTGAAAATAGAATCGGAAGATCTTAACTAGAGTTTCAATAATGATTAGTACTTTTGCTATTAGATGTTATTATTTGCTATTAGTAATCGGGATCAAGAGCAATTCGATTTAGACAGATCATTGAATTAGTGGATTCATCAAACAAACAGGCAAAACGGAATAAAAGTGCTAATTGTATCTCGAAAACATCAGCTTTAAGTAAGATTATGGTGGGACTTGAGATGACATTTAAAATCGGGAATTCGATCGCCAAATTCAACGGCCTCTCTAATGGCCGGTGAAAATTTTTCACTAAAAGATTTCATCAGGTAGACCAATACCATCACCATTTTGAATTGAAGGTAGAAGTGTATTTAATGGACAGTCCATTGTTGGTGGACATCGAATCAGCTCGAGGTTTTTCAATTAATGGGATAACCTTTTCACTGGTTTCCTCTTTAGTTTGTAAAATATTTAATGATAATCGATTTCCATCTTCTAATCGTTCAGTTAATTGTTTCTCTTGACAATTATTACCATGTTTTGGTTCACGTCCAAATCAAACAGCGTCACGAGATAATCCAACAGCGATGAACTTTTTTTAAACGATAATATTGACATCATTTCGATTTAATCGGAGGATTGAGTGTTGTCGACTTTTAGTACAGGGTCAGCATAGTATTTCTGCTTAAATTGGACTACGAAAAATACTCTAAATACCTTCACATGAATGGGCACTACAATGAAACCCTGAGGCTTAATCACCACACATTAAACATTGAGAGACATTGAGAGTGAGATGAGATACACACAGAAAGCCAAGTTTAGAAGTTGTTTACTTGTGTGTAATTAACAATTAGAGATGAAAAGATATTTATAGTAGTCAATCAAAGTAACATAATCATAACCGACAATCAAAAAAGTGTCACAATTAAACGAGGAAATAAACTGTGTCAATACAAATCTACAAAGTCAATCTTAAGAAATAACAACTTGTTAACCCAAACAAAGATCTTTATCTCAACTATGGAACAAAAAAAGACACAAACCAAACGAAACACAGAAAATCAGTAATCAAACTATAATTTACAAGTACCTGAATTAAAAATTATCAGTCAAAGAATTAAAATAAAAATGGAACAATTAAAAAAAGTGATTAATTGTGGAGAAGAAGAAAAAATTTCTCTTCCTGAAAGAAATAAATTTGCTCTGAGAATAGAACAGAAAAGAGAAGAGAAGAGAAAATCTCATAGGTGTCGCTTCAGAGAGAAATTCAAATGTCTCAACGGACTCAGAATGTTGAGTTCACTTCTTTGTCTCTCTTGATTAACTTTTCTTTTTCTAATTAAAAATGTAATCATATTAATCATTTATTTTTTTATTATTTCGATCAAATTATTGTAAATGTTTTTTATTCTAATTGCTAGTGACTCTTTTGAGCTTATTGGTGACATAAATTGTTCTCTTTTGTGAATAGAAAAGGAGAAAAGATCAGAAAGACCAAAATAACAACATATTCCCTCTTTACTATTGCCTCTTTTTTTATTCTCTTCTCTTCTCTTTTTCTTTTTCTTTTTCTTGTGTTTGTTTCTCTTTCTCTCTCTCTCCATCTTTTCTCTTGGTGGTGAAAAACTATGGATACAAGTACCAATAATTTAAGGTGTGAATGTGAACACAATGGATATACCAGTGAATTAGAGAAATTATTGGTTGATTCTGAGAAGAAGATAAAAGATTTAATTGATAATCTGGCCCGATGTAGAATGGAAAATGCCAATTTACAATATCAATTACAATTGAACCAACAATCAATTTATGCCCAATTAAATGATGGACCAGGTAGCCTTGGGATTCACATATTACCTTGTAAAGATGGACTGGTTATTCAAAGTATTTTACCAGGAGGAAGGATTGATAATGATGGTAGACTTTCAATTGGTGATACAATAGTTGAAGTTAATGATAAAAGTTTATTTAATACTAATTTTGAACAAGCTCAACATATTTTAAAAGAAGCCTCTCAACGTAAGGAGATACGTTTAAGGTTTATCAAAAGTCCTGTTGTTTCCTCTGTTGATAGTGAACCACCATCTTCATGTTCACCACCACCTTTATTACCCAAGCCAACATTTAATCGAGAATCTTCAATCAAATTAAATCAATTTACAACTTCTACTTCCACTATTGATGTAACTAATAATTCGGTGCCTGTTAAACCAACTCTATTAACCCAAACCAATGGACCATCGGTAACACCCAGAAAACTTGGTAAAAAATATCATGTTCGCTTGGTTAAAGGTGAAGATGGATTAGGATTTACTATTACAACCAAAGACAATCCTGCCGGAGATCCTTATCCAATATTCATTAAAACAATATCTCCCAAAGGTGCTGCTATTAAAGATGGTACACTTAAATCGGGTGATCGAATACTTCAAGTTAATGGAATTGATTTAAAATCTCAGAAACACTCAGATGTGGTTTCTTTTTTAAAAAATATCGAAATTGGAAGTAGTGTTGATATGATAATTGCTCGTCAAGAATCAGATATTTCACCGATTCCCTCCTTACCCCGTCCATTACCTGGAGATAAAGGTGGTGAAATACCAAGTAGCCGACAAAGTGAAGTGTTTACCTTTGAAATTCAATCTAATGATACAAGTTCCGCTGGCCTTGGGATCAGTGTTAAAGGATTGATTGATAAATTTGGTTGTGACATGGGCTTATTTGTAAACAAAATTATCCACGGTGGAGCTGCATCCAAGGATGGTAGATTAAAGGTTGATGATCAAATTATAAGTGTCAATGGGATTACTCTTTTGGGTTTATCGAATGATGATTCATTTAAATTAATGCAAAGTTCATTTTCTTCTGGTGCTGGTCATGAAGTTAATCCCAATCAAATAACGGTAACTATTGCTCGATATGTACAAACACCAGATTGTGAAGATGGTAAATTTCTTCGAGCAACTAATGAATCAACCAACGGAGATGTGGGTGTCTCTGTGGTTGTTTATGAATCAACTAATAAGGATGATTTAGATGTGTCCAATAGTAGTTACAAATCAAATGAAAATACAATTATTTTCAAGCCAAAGGAAATAGTCTCGCCAAATGATCAACTTGATGCTCAGTTTAGTGGTCAACATCCAGTTTCCAATCGATTACATGGTCGTACTCCATCAATTCGTGATAGAGTGGTCCCAGTGAAAATTGTGAACGGTGAAAAATCACCTAATCGAAGTGATGTTTACATTGAAGAAGATGGTGAAGATGGAGACTCCCTTGAAATTAGCCAAACAATACCCAAGTCAGTTGAAGATATTGATGATGAAGAATTGAATGCTCTTAAACCTGTGGAAAGTATTATCTCCCTTGCTGATGAAAGTGAAGTTGTCTTTCAAAGAGATGGCTTTGGTAGGCAAAGTATCTCAGAGAAACGACATGCAACTTTGAATGTCAAAAATACTGACACATATCAACGTAACAAAAAGGCCAAAGAAGAGAGAGAAAGAGAAAGGCAAAGATTAAAAGCAGAATATGATGCAAATGAAGGTATAATCCAATCATCGACCCCAGTTACACCATCTCGCATGGAGCCCATGTCAAACTCAGTATTATCTTCAACACCTCAAAATCATAATCATAATCATAATCATCACCACCACCACCAACAACAACATGGTTTGATAGAGACACCAAAACAATTATCCAAGGATGAAAATAGTAAACCAATGAAGCCTTCAAGAGGAGAAAAAAGTTCTTCTAAAAATCCTCCCCTCTTCTCTCCTAAATGTTGCTGGAGTTGCCAATCACCAGGTTCTTGTCCTTATCATATCGCTCCAAACACATCAACCCGAGGCACTAATTCTGGTGCCGAATCATCTGGTCAAAATCGTGTAGGCCCTAATTTGGGTCTTAAAAAATCTTGTTCATTGGAAAGTTTACAAACCATGATGCAGGAACTTCAAAAGGACCAATTAGATGGTCAAGAAGGTAATCCATTTGCTGGACCACGACCAGCGACACTCAAAGTATCTCGAAATCGAGCAACCAATGAAAGCTTTCGTGCTGCCGTTGATAAATCATTTGACGCCGCCACTTCAGCCCAACAAGCCATGGAAACTCTAGCCGAAGAAGGCAGTGAAAGTAATTCATCTCTCAACATGATACTTCAACAACAACAACAGCAACAACAAGCACAACATCAGCAGCAGCAGCAGCAGCAGCAACAACAACAACAACAACAACAACAACAACTTTTATACTTACAACAACAACAACATCATCAACAATCACAACAGCAACAATATCAACGGCAGCCATCTCTTAATCTTCGTCATATTCAAGATACTCGATTAACTCATCATTCTCATTCTAATGGGGAGCATATTTCATCCAAGCCATCAGAAGCGGCCATTTCTACTACAACCGGAACAGGTTCACAATTTACTACGAGTGGTGATGATGATATTGCATTAATTAAACGTAAAAACTCAGGGACCAAAAAGGGTTTAATTAAAACATTGTTTCGTCTGGGAAGTGGTAAAAAATCAAAATCCGATGGATCTTCATCTTCGTCCGGTAAAAATCATAAGAAAGGTGATTATGAAGACGTTAATAAAATACGTGCTCGACAAGCAGCTCAAATGGAGCAAGAAAGAATCCAAGAACATATAAGAAGATTCAAAGAGCAACAACATCAACAACAACAACAACAACACTATCACCATCAAAGTCTTCAACAACAACCGGTACAAATTTTTCATCAACAAACTTTGGTTAAATCACCAATTGGATTACCACAAAACAATGACCATCTTCCATTAACTCATTTCCAATCAGATCCAACTATTCAATATAATCAACATCAAGCACAACATCAACTTAAATCACCTCATCCACCACAACTCGCACCACATCAGTCACAAATTCAGTCACAAATCTCATCACCACAACAACAACCACAACATACTCTTTCCTCTCCCCCAACAGTCAGTGGTCAACAAGCAATGAAACTAAATGCTCATGCAGGAGTAATTTATGGTTCAACAAGAATCGCCAATCATGTTAGGACACCTTCAGGTCGGATGAACGCAGCAACAGCCGCAGCGGCAGCAGCAAGACGTCAGTATCCTGTTGAAATTCAAGAAAGGGTTGATGATAGATATGACCGGACTCGATTACCACCCCAACAGGTTAGACAATCAATTTTTTTAATCTTTAATCAAGATCAAGTCTTTAACTCACCTATTCAATGATAATGAAATGAATACAATTTTTCATTTTCAACTGATTTCCATTCCATCTTTTAATCATTGTTGACAATTTTCCTTTTCTAATTTCTTTTTTCTTTTTTGTCCAAACAGATTATCGACTTGCCATCCTCATCCCCAGCATCAAATCAACAGCATGCAGGTTACATCGAAAGGCCAATAATTCAAACATCAACTTCATCATCAACAATAACAAGACCTGGTTATGGAACCAATGATATTTATGCTACTTATGATACACCTTATGGAGCAGTTAAACGTAATGTCTACCCTGGCAGCTATCGATCAGCAACCGTTGATAGAAACTTTAACAATCGATCAACAATTTATTGGGGCAACAGTGGCCCTACAACAACCACTCGAACCGTTACCACGGCTGCTGATGCAACCCTACGTAGGCCTCACAGTGTATATGTTGATGAATACGGTCGAGGTAATGAACCAAACAATTTATTATTTCTCTGTTAAATGTTCATCCATACAACATATACAAATTAACCATTTGCCTTTTTCCTAATCCATTAAGCTTACATATATTAATCATTATCTTTTTTTATTTATCTCTCACTCTCTCTCTCCCTCTTGTCCCTCCCTTCAACATTATTACAGCTTCAATCAAAAGACTTGGCCAAAGAAAGGTGGGAGATGTATACAGTTACCCTCCTCGTCATATAACTTAATTAATTATTCACTTAAAATATATGTTGATTTTTTTACACACAAACTTTAATTTAGACTCACATTGATTAACTAAACTTTTTTTTATACACACAAACACACACTCTAATCACTGTTGAGTTTTAACATCAACAGTTTTTCAAATGAATGAATTTTTTTTTGTAAATATTATATTAACTTGATAACTTTAATTAATGTGTATATTGTTATAAGACACAATCAATTGAAATTACAATTATCATGTTAACAGAGAGATTTCAAGTTTTCACCTTTAATTGTTTTTCATTTTTGTAATAAATTGTATCAATAAAATAAACCGACTTTTGTGTTTGACGATTTACTAATTTCATTGATAAGTTTAACGATAAAGTTTTTCTGTTTGTTTTACAACAATTATATTAATTGTTTGATAAATATTTACAATTCTTCTGATTCAATTAATTGTTTCATCAAAAATAATGCATTTAAAGCTCTTTCAATACAATCCTTATCAGAATCTTTTTCGGTTACATCTAATAACCATTTCTGGAATTCAATTAAATCACTTTGCATGTAATCCAATAGATATGCTTTTGGAACAGAAATGAATATCATACACAGGCAGAAGATGATTGCCTGACGGACGAAACTGTAATCAATTGAGAGAGAGAGAAAAAAGAATCGAAATTAATTGATTGTATTCAATTGATTTGAAAGAGAAATTTGAAAAAAAAGTTAACCTTTCAATGTGATATCTAAATGCCCAAAGGAAATCAATCAATGATTTTCCCATTCTTCTGGTGATTGGTGATTGAGATGCTGATTCCAAGATTATCCCAAGAGTGTAAAGTAATCTACCAAGAAGATAATAATCTTCACCTGATAGATTAAAGGTTATCGTTTGACTATCATGATTCTTCATCAGCGGGAAGAAAAAGTGACCTGCTACTGGAATGAATTGGTTAGTGTAATTTTTGGCCTTTTCTCGGGGTTTCGATATTATTTTGGTATTTCTCATGACTCGATCTTCAACAATCGTTTTCCATTTTGATTCGGCAATCACGATATCATTTGGAATCATTTTGGTAATCATGGGATTATTTTCTGTTTGGTTGCTTGATGATTTAACAATCTCTTGACTTGCCATTGCCAATGTTTCCAGAATTAATAATCGCCTTTCAATTACCAAATTATTTTCATAAAATTGACCAGTCAAGTAATTGGAAACTGTTTTCGGTGAATAGGTTAATAGCTTGACCATTGCATCTCGTCTTATTGGGACAAAATCGGGCAATTCAAAAGTGTCTTGAAGATTTAATAATGATACAGCTAATTCTTCAGCATAATCTTCAATCATAGATTTATTTTTTTCGATGATTTCGATGACTGATTTCAAACAAATCTCATGCCAATCAGCATTTTCGTTATCCCTTAATCCGGAAATACAATCAACCATGTAAATCGGTTTCTTTGTCTGGTCCACTTTAACGTCATTGGATAAATCGTAAGGAACTAAATCATCATCATCATCATCGTCTTCTTCATCAGCTGTAGTTAAATTATCCATGGAAGATTCAATTTTCTCCAATTCTGATGATTGATTATCCTCTTCTTCACTAACCTCAGGTTTAATTGTGTAAATTTCACTTCCATAAATCTCCATCAGAGTAATAACTTCAGGTACCTTTTCAATTTCCAATTCTAATTGTGGTCCATCGGTTTTCAATAAAGCTAAAAGTGTTTGACCTATATAAAGTCCAGTGAATCTGGTCTCAGGTAAAACGCTGGACAGGTAAATTTGCATGGCATAAATTATACAGTTAGTAAATTTGTCGCGTTGTTGTTTCGTTAAATCAACTGATTTAAGGTATTTCGCAGAAACAGCAAGTCCACAGCATAGATAAAATTGCTGATCAAAAGGTCGGTGTTTAAGAGCGACTCCATTACTCCAAGCTGATAGTAAATTGTCAAAGGTTTTAATAAACAGATCGGTTGATATGTTGGCCAAATAACCGATTAAATTGATGACAAATGAATGTTTATCGTAATAATTGTTGAGAATAAATTTCTCCGTCAGTAGGTAAGAAATTTTCTGTGATGAGGATGGAGAATTTTGTAGAATCCATTTAATTTGATTCGGATCGGAGGCAAACATAATCAATGGACGAATGATTCCCTCAATGTTACGATCGTTTTGAGAGATGATTAATTTATGACCAATTCGACGCCAAATAAAATCCTTTGAACATTTGGTTAGAATTGGTGAGGTCACTTTTTCCCAAACAATATCAGAATAGCCGGAAGATGAAATTCTACCAATAAGAGAAGAGAAGAAATCAATTCTACAATCACAATTTAAACGAATTCGTTTGTAAATTTTTCCAAAAACATTGGAAATGATTGAACACAAATGAGAAAAGTAATTGATTGGAATCATTGATTGAGGAATAGTTAATTTCATCTTGTTGGCAACGATTGATGGTAAATTGATGAGACATCTGATCATTTCATCGTCAGCTAATTTAGATAAACCACAATTGGATGTTAAACCATTTTCAACAATTAATTCAAATGTTTGAGTAAAATGTTTGCGAGAGAAAATAAATTTAACCAATAAGTCCAACAATTTATCTCGTCGATATGATTCATCTGATGAAGTTAACTGGCCACAAATGATTGGTAATAAATTAAGTCTTCGCTTGAGAATTAAATTATCCAGAAGAGATTCACAGTCTTTAACAATGAGCGAAGATTGATCCATTTTATGTAAAATTATTCTACAACAATTAAGATAATCATCTTCTTGAGAATCGGTAACTAAGGTAAACTTAAATTCTTCAACATAATCCCAAGGTATTCCAGTGATTGATGCCGATGACAATTTAGATAAAAGAGTTGACCACATACTGGATAAGTTAAATTGTCAAACAAAAAGTAATTAAAACAAAACTTAATCCACTAAATTAATTACAATTAAAACTAATCATCATAAAGATTGAAAGTCAACATCGGTAAGCCCTAAATGTCCACATGAGGTATCTGATCCTATCAGATAATATTCGATATTAGGATCAAATAGTATCGGGTCCATGTCGAATTTTTAACTTATTGTTAATTAACTTAATTCAGTTGATTAAATTGATTAATTTGCCAGGAAAATAATTAACAATAGCTTTAAAGAAATCTAAATTAAAAAAAACTAACTTCTACACATATAAGTCAAATAAAATTAAAGGTTACAAATAGAGCACCAGAAAACAAATGTAAATAATTTTGATGAAAATTTTGATTTAGATTGATAAGATGACCAAGAAATCATAAAAATTGTCATTTTGGTTGAAACGTCTCAATTTACATTTAATTTTGTTGAAATAATCTGATTAGGAAGCTTTGATGAATAAAAAAATCATAAAATCAACATCTAATTCATAAAAAAAAATTTAAAGTTAACTAGATTCGAACCTAAGAATCAACTATACTGAACTATCACTTTAACACTGGACTAACAAATTGATTTTCAAATTTTGTGCTAATTTGCTTATATGTTTTGTAAATTGTGGACTAATAGTTGCGGATGCTAAATGTCCACAACTTCGTGGACGAATAGACTTTTCCGTCAACATCAAAGGTAAGAACATGTGTTTATGCGGTTAGAATAACGACCCAAGGCTATTTTCACAGAATTCGCTCGAAGAATAAACCAACGTGTTTTCTTTTCCATGTGTGACTATTTAAATGCTTTTCTCTCCCATTTAGAGATTGTTTTGATTTAGTTTGTGGTTTTTAATTCTAATTAAATTTAATTGTTTTGGTAAATTGTTTAATTTATTTTCACAATGGGTCGTAAGGCAAAAGTAGGGAAGCAGAGGAAGGATAGATTTTATCAATTAGCCAAAGAAACTGGTAAGTAAAAAGATTTGAAATCAAAGCGAAATTTTAGTCACTTTAATTTGAGAATTTTTTATTTTTTTATTTTTCTTGGTTCAATTTGGTTGTTTAATTGATTTGATTTTTTATTTCTTCTCTATTTAGGTTATCGTTCTCGAGCTGCTTTCAAGTTAATACAATTGAATAGGAAGTTTGAATTTCTTCAACGTTCACGTGTATTAATTGATCTTTGTTCAGCTCCTGGAGGTTGGCTTCAAGTGGCTCAAAAGTTTATGCCAGTTTCCAGTGTAATTGTTGGAATTGATTTGGTTCCTATTAAACCTATTCCCAATGTTATGACATTCACTTGTGATATTACTACACCGACATGTCGATCTTTATTGAATAAAGAATTGAAAACCTGGAAAGCTGATGTAATTCTTAACGATGGTGCTCCTAATGTTGGTAAAAGTTGGACTCACGATGCTTTTGCTCAAATTAGATTAACATTAAGTGCCATTCAATTAGCAAGTGAATTTCTAATGAAAGGTGGTTGGTTTATCACCAAAGTCTTCCGTTCCAGAGATTATAATGCTCTTATTTGGCTTTTGGGTAAATTATTCAAAAAGGTTCACGCTACCAAACCTCAAGCCTCTCGTCATGAATCAGCTGAGATTTTCGTTGTTTGTGAAAAATATTTGGCTCCTGATAAAATTGATCCAAAATTTTTCGATCCAACATATTTATTTGAAGATGTCGCTCTTCCCAATGAGGAGAGGAAAAAGAAAGCTGAATTATTAAAGCCCATTACTAAGGCTAAAAAGGCTAAAGCCGAGGGATACGCCGATGGGGATTACACTTTATACCATAAATTGGATGCATCTGAATTCTGTATAAGAACCAATCATATTGAACTTATGGCCGATTCGAACGAAGTAATTTCAACAATTTTCCACATGAAGATGTTTGATTTTCTTTCCAATACTAACTTGATGTTTCTTTCATTTTTAGATTGTTCTTGACACCGAAGCAATTAAAAATCATCCATTGACGACTGACGATATTAAGGAATATTGTAAAGATCTAAAAGTACTTGGCCGAAAAGAAATTCTGTAAGTTCTAACTTTTCGTATCTTGATTATTATCTAATCGTGTGAGAATATTATTATTAATACTTTTTTTCTTTGGAAACTTTTAATAGACAATTAATTTCATGGAGAAGGAAATTGAGAGCCGAACTTTATCCCAGAGAGAAAGAGGCTGAAGAAAAAGAGCTTTCTATCGCTGAGATACCAGCGGAAGAAGAGGAGGAGGAGGAAGAAGAAGAAGATTTAGAATTGTCTGAATTGAAAAGGAAAAAGAAAAAGATTCTTAAGGAAAGGAAGAAACTAAATGAAAGGATGAGTCTTGGAATCGTTACAAATGATAATGAACTACGTGAAGAAGATGATATGGAATTGTTCACCTTACGAAAGATCAAGAATCGATCTGAATTAGATAGATTTCAAGAAGCATTTATTGATGAGCTCGATGATCAATTACCAAATAAACTGGAACCAGATGATGATGATGATATTGAAAGTAGACCCAAAAAGGTTTATTTTGATCGTCACGCTAAAGATGATTATGATTTTGAGGATAATCATCGAAATCCGAATGAAGTTGATAGTGAAGAAGAAGAAGATGAAAAAGATAAAATAAATTCAGATGATGAAAATGGTGAACAAGATAAAGATGAGAATATGGAAGAAGATGAACAGGAAGAGGAAGAAGGAGGAGGTTTACTCGTTGAATTAGATGATAGACCAACCAGTGAGAAAGATAAAGTTTTTTTTGAGAGAGGAATATTCAATGAAGATGAATGGGAAGATGACGATGATGTAGCTGCCATGGCCATTGATGCTAGGAAATTGAGGCAACAGGAAAGAAAAGCCGAAAAGAAAGCCTTAAAAGACGCGAAAAAGAAGGACAAAAAAATGACCAAGGAAATGATCAAGGAAATGACCACATCAACAGGAACCAAGGGTAAAAAAAGAGTTCGATTCGCTGAAGATTCAGATGAAGAGGCCATTGATGGTGGCGAAAGTGACGATGAAAGTGAAGAGGATCTTTTAGATAAAGCAGAAAAAACACCAACACTGGATGAAAGATGTAAATCGAATGTTAAATTGTCTCCTGAAGAATTAGCTCTTGGCTCTGTTATGATAACTTCGGCCAAAACAAGAAGAGAAATTATTGACCAAGCATGGAATCGTTACATGAATGCTGACCACGATTTTGTACCTTCTTGGTTCAAGAAAGATGAAGATATTTTCTTCCATAAACCATTACCCGTTCCAGAAGCGACTGTTCGAGAATTTAAAAAGAAACTTAAACAGATAAACGCTCGACCCATCAAGAAAGTGGCCGAAGCGAATGCTCGTAAACGTAAACGGGCCCAAAGAAAAATGGAAAGAGCTCGTAAAAAGGCTGAAGCCTTAACCGATATTCCTGATATGAGTGAGAAGGAAAAAATGGCAACAATAAGGAAGTAAGTATCTATTGACAATTCTCTATTTAAATATAACCAAAAATTATTTCGAAAAATATTAACATTCAATTGATATCTTTTTCCATCAACAGTTTGTACAAAAAAGCGATGAAAGGAGAAAAGAAAAAAGAACTGACCTATGTTGTCGCCAAAAAGGGAAGGATCAACAAACGACCTGCAGGTTTAAAGGGAAGATACAAATTGGTCGATAGTCGATTAAAAAAGGATAAACTGAATAAAAAACGCGAAGCGAAGGCCAAAGGTAAAGGTAAACCTCGAAGTAAAGTAGGATCAAAATCAAAAGGATCTTCAAAGAAACGATAAAAACAATAACATGACTTTATGGTAAGTTGACTAATTATTTGTTTCCCTTTCTCAACAATTAACATCCCAATGAACAATTAAAAGGTAAACTCAGTGAAGAAGATAAACTCAATCATGTTGTTAAAATTTTCAAGAACTAATTGGATAAGAAAAATAAGTTAATTATCTTTTTTAAACGTTCACCATTAAGTCTAATTAGATTTTAACATGATGATACTCTTTGTATTCTTATTGCTTAATTTTGAAAAGCAATATGATCAAATTGTCGTTTGATTGTCCCACAATCAACCTTTTAACGTGGAAAACTATACGATTATTTAATTACAAATTGAAACAAGATTGGGATTACCTTTAATTGTTAATAGTTTCATCACAATTTAAAACCAAATGTTCACTCTTAACTTATCCCCGCAGGGATAATGAAACAACAATGAAAGAGGGTGTAATTGGTAAAAGTCAATTTAATATTATTTAAGATGATTAAGTTAAACACTATCTTCATTATGATTACACTAATTAACGAGTAAAAGACAATTGTTGTTATAATTGAAACTTTAAAAATTATAATAAGATGAAAATGTTAATCTTTAGAATCACGTATCCATAGAGTGAAGTGAAAAAAAAAGATAAACAAATTGTTTCCTTTTAATTATGTTTTACCTTAATTTGTTATCCTTTTTGTTTGTTTATTGTCTTTCTATCCAATTAGAGGGAAATCTGGTTAACACCTTACCAACCTTGGTCTCAAGTGATGAAACGGAAAACGGAAGTAAATTTGATGAGGATGCTAATGTTAAAAACTTTGATGAACTGGGCGATGATCTTGATGATCCTATTTTATCAATTCTACGAAGTAACAATCAACTGATTACAACCAATCTCATCGTTAAAGATAACAAACATCCTAACGGATTTGTACCACCTTATATGAGCTACGTACCTGGAATATTTGTTTCAGATGATTAACAACAATTAACAACAACAAAATCCTATCAAGTTAATCATTTACTACGTTTTTTGTATCTCTCTCAAATCGGACAACAAACTCTTGGGCCTCAAAAGCAACTTTCCTTTAATTGAAATGATTTAAATTTTAATTGTCACCGTTTTTTTTTCTGTGTCTCATGCAATCAACTAAATCATAATTTTCATCACCTTCGATATGATTAAGATTGGATCTAAATTGATCTGAAAAAAATGATGAAAATCTTTTCCAATGTTGTGTATTTATATAAATATTGTTAATCTTTCTCTCTCTTTTTTTCTGATCATAACAATTAACTAAATTGTTAACACCAATAATAAATAATTTAATAAAGTGATATCCAATTTCAAACTAATGTTTATCATCAATTTATTTCAAGTTTTGACAGTTTTGTCAAACATCATAACAATCAACAAGATTGTTACACATCAAAGTCAGAATGAGAATCAAAATGATTCGTAACAATCAAATTAACTAAATTGTGCTTGTAAAAAGGACTACAATCAATTAATCAGTTTGAAAACATCTAAATAAGTTAAACAATCAGCTCATAACCAAGGTAAGATTTTTTTTAATCAATTGTTTTCCTAAATTGTTTCCCAATGATTATCCAACAATTCGTGTAACAATTAATGAATGAAAAAATTACTACTACTATCATTGATTACCAATACTCATCAAACTAATTCAGTATTAATAGTAAGTTTAAAACCAATTGTTTATAATCATATTGATTTTGACCTAAACATAAATCATGATCAAAGTTAATCACTACAATAGGAACAATAATAATCCTAAATTGTTACTTTTTTCATATGATTTATATTGAGGTAAATTAAACAATTTACCTCACGTATTTCAATTGTAATAACAATAAGAATACATTAAATTATCAATGGATTAGTGAACCACAAAAAATGGCATAAATTTAAATAATCTTCATCCTTTTACCATCTTAATCATGATAAGATTATCATTTAATTGTTAACAATTAAGTGTCTCTCTGAAAAGTAAATCAAATCCATTGCAAACCAATGGTAATACAATTAGAATCAAGAACAAAGAGAAATAAATTGATTTCCAAATGAAAATTATCTTAATCATTCTAATCAATTAATAGTAACCAAGATAATTTACTAAACAATTAATGATAATTAACCTAAATTGTTGATCCGATGTCAACTATTAATATTATAACATTTAAAATTAACTTTTCTTTGTGTTTTGTTTTGTTTTTCATTTGATTCCTTTTATTTTCTTAATTAATAGTAAGTTAATTAATATTTTTTGGTTAATTAGTTTCTCCATTATTGTCTCACCTTAAGTGATTAAATTTCTGAATAGAAATTAAGTTAATTGTGAATATTGTCAATACAAGAAGATCATTAATCTTACCTGATTTTCTGTCGTTTTGTTATGAGTCTTCATTTCTCACAAAGTTTTACTTTGATTCTTATACATTATAAGTGTCCCATTTATTTACCTTTTGTCAACATTAAATCAATTGTTGATCATCAAGGGAACATCATTAACCATCTCTTAATTGTTGTAACCAATCATCTTCGGTATATGAATAATATATACACGTTACATGTTGGAAATCACGCTTTTGACAGTTATCTCTTTTTCCGAGTCAAATCATTTTCCAAATACAAACATCACAATCAGTTAATTATTTCTATTTACGGTAGACTAGTTACAAAGGTTGAGGTCGAGAATATGAATTGAGAAGGAAGACAAAACAGGTAAGATGATTATCATCATTCGAGAGAGAGAGAGAGAGAAAGAGAGAGAAAAGGTAAATGATCAGTTTTGGTTGTTTTTCGGGATCAAAGAGAAGAGAAAATTTGTTTTTTTTTTCTGTTCTATTCTAAATCAACAGGTAATGAGAATTAACTGATTCTGTTGATTGTCATTTCTTCATCTTCGTTTACCTTTCTTACCATGTGTCAGAATCTTGATCTGTGATTTATTTGTGCTCAGTTGTTATAATTTTTTTAAATTCGTTGTTATTGTCTCTGTGATTATCTCTTCAGTGTGATTAACGGTAATTAACCTGGACAATTATCAACATGTTACTCAATTATAATCTTGACCAACCAAGGGCATCAGGTCAACAAAAACCTCGACTTTACCGAACTCATTCTGTCAATCATATTCCTGTTCATCGTTATCACCAATTTCCTCCTCAACGATCAGATCACTATTCTAATGGATTATTATATCAAGGTAACTAATATATTTTGCAAATTATTTCGTGATCATCATCATGTGATTGATTTTTTTGCCTTTTTCTCTCGTTGATTCCAGTTGATCAAATGTCAAAATCTGATTACTTGACCAACTATCCAAGGGATTACACTGATCGGCTTCCACCTTCCGGTCAACCAAGTGGATCACGTCTTAAACGATCAACATCATTATACCAAAAGTCACCTCACCTGAGAAGGTAAATTTGAAATGTATTTAATTGTTAATAATCAACAACTTGCCTGGCGAATCATAAAGTTACTCCAATAAAATTAAGTCATTTTAATGTTTTTTTCCGTGAATTGTGTCACTCAATCATCTCTCATTGAATTACAATTTAGATTTACCATCATCTTTAATATAATTAAGTTATTTAGCTAATCCTTACCTTTAGTAAATGAGAAAATGTTTGAATCCATTTGTTAAATTGTTACTAAATGGTTATGATTATGAATACAAGAACATTGAATAAGATATAATAGTTTTAAACCGAAATCCACCCAAAAGTAAAAAAGTTTTCAGATTAAATGGAAAACCACAATTATTACAATTCTGATGATTACAGACAACAATTTATTCTTGCATGACAGTTTTTCTTTATTACGAAAACTTCATTTTCTTCAGAGTTTCCGTTTTCCTTTGAATTAACATGAAGAGATTTTATTTTCTTTTTTCTCTCTCTCTCTCAATTCTATTCTCTTTTCTTTTTCTTCCTTTGTTTCGATTTCAAATTTAAACTTCTCCCAACAGTCTAACCGATATCTATCAAGGTAAAGAGCGCGTAGTGGCCTTAATGGTCCGCGATAATCCGCCGACATCCATCGGTAAAAAGATTCCACCGTCAGTTAAATGGTCTCAACCTCTGTCATTGGATTATCATTGTTACGATGATACTTACATAAGGCACAATTCAAGTACGACAATTAAAGGTAAGTCCATATTCATTTGCAATAATAGTTAATCATTTGGACGATTAATCAATTGATTCGCATTCGTTAATTGTCAATGTAAACATTTAGTGTATTTGTGTCATTGATTGATTGTTATCGACAAACAATTTGGCTCATTTTCTAATTGTTATTGATCAGTTGATTAGATTTGATTCCTTGAGTTTTTTTTCAATTGATTGTTACCTGTTAAATTGTTTAATTGGCTGAGTAAATGATTAGTTTTAATCATTTTACTCTGGTCAAGTTAATTAGTAGTTTTTAATTGTTGTTTTATTTATTATGTTAACAATCAGCATAATTAACTATTAATTTGAATGTATCCTCAGGATTAACAACCTGAATGATTAAGTTGATTTTACTTTTATTTAGATTTGATTTAATTGTTTACAACTAATTTCAAATTAATCATTTGTATTTACAATCGTTTAAAATTTTAATCTAAATGATAATTGTAATTAACAAACAAACAGTTTAAACAAATCAATCAAATTAACTGTTTAATTGGTTCACAGGTCAATAATCAATGTTGCAATTTATAAATTGTAATTATGTTAATACATAAATGATGATTACTTTTATTTATTTTTTCAATTAAAGTTAATCAATCGATGAAATCAATTCAAATTAATAATTTAATCTCAATTCAACCTTGATCTTATTACAATTAATCAAATGATGATACAATTTATAATCAATTTGCAATTAAACAATTTAAACCAATGTTAAAGTTACACAACAATTAACAATCTTAAGGTTAAAAATAAAGAAACAGTCAACAACAATTAAATATTTCACTACTCACAATCAATATAATGAGCAATATCACTTAACAGTTACAATCAAATTGATTTCATCATTTTGATGACAATAAAAAACATCACAATTAACATTTCCCCAGTTATCATATATCAAAGATGATATTTAATCATCATAATCAGTACCATGATAGACAATCATCAACTTTTTTTCTGATAATGTTGCAAGTTAATCATCATCATCATCATGAATACATAAAATTAAGCTTAACAATCAAGAGCAATTTAATATTTCCTGACCAACAATTGACTCGCAGGTAAAATTGAGCTAAAAAAGGTAACAAAAAAATCAACATTAACTTGAAAACCTATTAACTTACCTGGTCATTTGTTTGTAAACAAACTTTTGCTACCTGTTGGTGTTTTTTTCATGATAATAATGATGTTAGTTGAATAATATCAAGAAAGAACAAAAAAAGTTATAATTGACACATGAGGGAACCAGAATTGTTGATAACTTACCCTGGCTCCTTAACAAAGGAAACATGCTCATGATAATCAAGAGATAATAATGATAATTATCTTAATCACTTATTAACTCATTGTTGTTAACCATTTAAGACAAAGCGAAAAGTGTGGAAAAGAAAATATCGTTGATAATTATTGTCTGATGATGAGACAAAGGAGGATGGAGATATGTATCTCCATGGTAATTAAAATCACCCTGAAAGGATGATCAATATGAGAATTAGATAATTTTTTGTTCTAATGTAATAGCGAATCCAATTCGCTTTCAAATTCTGATATGATGTTACCTTTATGCTTGGATAATAGTAATAGTTACTCTTGAGAAGCTCAAATCAAAGGATACGCCCGATACGTTCCTTGAGCACCTCTACCCTCCTCCTCCGTCCTCTTTCACTCACTCCTCTCTCTCTCTCATCTGCATCATCTTCATCATCTTCTTTGTCTCTTTTTCTTTTTTTAAAGTTCTCTCTCTCTTTCTCCTTTTCGGCTAAGAATAGGCCGGTCATCCAAAGATCACCACAACAACATCATCATCTCATCAGCAACAATTTAAAGTTTTCTGTTTTTTAGTTTTTTCTGTTAACGGTTAACAGATATAAACATTTACCTTTACCTGTACAGGTAATTTTCATTTCTCAAGTTATCCAACCAAATCAGTTGTAATTGTAAACTCTAACATTGAACATCAGGTTTCATTTGATTTCCTTTTCATTTCTTGATCTGTGTTGATTAATTATTTCCAATTAAATCTTAAGACGATCAATTGATTAACTATTTCTTTTCTTTCATGTTCTGTGTTTCAATTGGAAATTATTAATTATTGTGTTAACCTGTGTTTCCATTAGTGTTGATTGTTTGTTTTTCATCATCTTTTACCTGTCACATTACGAACACTGAACGGATTTAATTCTTCACCTTTATCTTTAATTAATCTCCACTTAATCTGATTATAATCTTGTCTTTTATCATTATAATTTGACAGAAAACCATTAGTTAATTCAAGGTAAGTTGTTGTTATATTGTCAGTGTTACAATTTTCCTCTTTACTCAACTACTAATTGTTGTTACTCAAAGTGATCAGAATACATGATTATCAACACAATCAGTGATTAAAAAGATGACCACCATGATAATGAAGGGACAAGAATCAACGACAAAATCAACAGAATTGTAATAATAATAATAATTTTCAATGATAATTAAATCAAACTGGTAAAACAATCAAATGAAACAGAATTGAAAACAATCAGTAAATTTGAAACACAAAACACTCAACAATTTAACCTGTTGATTGTTATTGTTGTTGCTCTTGATTCTATTAGCACAGTTAATACATACACAGATTAACCTTGAAGAGATGTCAAAGTTAATTGTTAACAATTAATTAGTAATTTAGAAGCAGAAAACTGGACAGAGATTAAGGAAAACCGGATTGAGAGGGAAAAACAGATTAATAGTGACCAGAAAACGTGGGAAAACATTACAAGTCCATGAGAAAAGACCTAATTGTTATCATTGACCAATGGACGAAACAAATGACCAGAGAAAGAGAAATGAAGATAACTCTTTCTTTATCTTCTTATTTGAGACACTTTTTCATCTTCATTGTCCTTGAAATGATCTCTAGTTAATCGTCTCAGACCTTAAACAAAAAAAAGTGTTCACTTTATAATCTAAAAAAGTTGTGGTCAGTTTATTGACTTGAATGGACACAATTATCCTTGCTGTCAATCAATTTAAATCATCTATGTGAAAGCCTCACAATTAACGTTTCATATTTACTATTAATAAGTATCTAATCATTAATGGTTAACCATTAAAAGTTTAATTGAAATGATGATGAAATCCCGATACACATCAATAGTATAATAATAATATCACTCTGATTTAATGAGCTGGTCAATCAACAATTAAGACTGAATTGTTGAGATAAATTATTCTCACGATTAAAAGATGAGTCTATTATCACCATGAATGATAAAACACCTCATCTTGTGTACTTTGTGGGTATTGTTATCATCCTCATCCTCATCTTCATCTTCATCCTCATCACCAATCACTTTTGCCAAGTTAATTATAAGTTAATCATGTTTGAAACACTTTTACAATTGATTATAATTCATTCATTAAGACTCACGTTGTTGACCTTTTTTTGCCACTATTGTTTTGGCTTAATTGTGATTCTCATTTAAATTAATAACTCTCATAATGTATATTAATATAAAACCCATATACTCACTCACAAATCATATAAATATAAATCAAGAGAGTTTATTAAATAATGATCAACAACAATCAACCAGCATCACATAATTACAATAATTAAACATAATTTAACAACACGAGTTACAATTCAAATTGTTACTATTAATGTAACTCATTTTTTTTTCACAATTAGATAAATTTTGATTTACACTTTTCATTCAACACGAATTGGAATAATTAACTAAATTTATTAATCACTTGGATCTAATTTTTCATCTCAGACCAATTAGCTTAATAATCAATTGATGATAGTAAATTTATTGATTTAGTTGTGAGACAATCATAACAATTAACTTTTACCTTTCGTTAGGATAAATTTTAAGAGTTTAATTTTTTAATTTCTGTTCCTAATCAGATTATGATGAACAATCAAATCAAATTAAATGATTACAATTGATATTAACCTAATTGTGATCTTTTAATCAGATGAAGAGAAATTAAAATGATGATGATTTAACTAAGGTGTGTATTGTTATTAATTATATTAATCATTTTCTCTTTCTAATTGTTTACCTTAATTGTAATCAATTGAATCTAATACTTGGTTAAAATTTCCTACAAAAAAAAACAATTAACTAAATTATCCAAACCCAAACAATGATTTGAAATCAATGAAATAAACAAATCAATTGGTTAACATATTAAAATTAACTTTCTAATGGATTAACTCACCTTAGAATTAAATTTAGCTTTAATTGACTCATCTAATTGAGTCCAAACTAAACTAACAATAAGACTAATCACAATTTAAATTGATCCCAATCAAAACAATCAAAAATAAATAAACAAACTAAATCACTAACTGTCAATAACCACAAACAGCAAAAACCTACACATATAAATTGTTAACACAGATTAACAATTGAACCAACTGATTTAGTTGATTAAGGACAAGATGATAATTGTTATTAATATAATATCATGTTTATCATCTTGATAATGATTAATATATTTGTTAGTTAATCATGATAATAATCAACAAAACCAAACCTTTATTTTCAACCCAATTGAAATGTATATAAATTTGTACAAGAAAAATGTGAACATTGCAAATTGTATTTACAATTTGTGTGCATAATCAAAGCAATTTAGTTAACTATCAAACAGTTAACTAAATATGAAGATGAGTGAATTAAAAACAAGGTAAGGTTAATTTACTACAATACAAAAAAAAAGAGATCACAATTAAGAAGTGAAAAGTTTTTACTTCACAACCGAAACCCGTTTCCATCTAATGGTCAATTCTTAATCATTAAGTGTAACCATTACAATCATTGGCTATTATTATTATTCAGTACAAATCATCATCAACTTAATCACACAATCAAATATTTCATCTTCATCTTTAATCATCTTATTTATTGATTGTTCAATCGCCATCCTGACATCTAACCTTTAACTACTCTCATGATTGATTTAGTTGATTTATTTTTAGTTAATCATTGGTGATTGATTTTTTCATTTTCTCACTCAGCCTAACAATCAATTTTTAATCAAACCAACTATTCAAATTTAATTGTAGTAATATTCAAGTGAAAGTGTAAACATTATCATCATCATCTTTTTTTTATGTCTTTCAAATGATTAACTTTGATTCTTGAGTTTTTTTCATCTTAATTGTCAATCTAATGTTGTTGCTTTTTTTATGTTTCTCTTAATTGTGATTAACAGAAAGTGAATCCTTAAAGGAAGGCCCCAGGAATCAATCAATCGCTTTTGATGGATCACAATTTAGTGCTTCCTTGTTTAAAAATGAATCACGCGATGGGATAATTTTCGGACTGGTCAAATCAACTAATCATGATTACAATCAACAATCACTTTCCAATCAGCGGAAACAATCAACAGTAACAATAGTTAATAGATCTTCAAGTAATCAGATAAATTCTGTTCGATTGATTAATGGACAGTTGAAACAATCGCAACCCTCGAAATCATATTATTCATCATTCTCCACGAATCGGATTCCATCTTCATCTCTCCAGTCTTCATCTTTATCCTCATCTTCACCACCTCCACCTCCTCCGCCACTCTCGTCATTACCTTCGATACCTTTACCTTCAATTCGAAAGGTCAATTTCTCTTCTCCGCCACCGCCGCGATCGTCGATACTCAAACGTTCACAGACATGTTTATCTCCACGACGATTTACCGATGATCAACAGCTCTACAATAATCGATGGGTTTCACCAGTTCGACGGCAAGCAATCTATTCAACGAGCGTTTATTCACCCCCACCACCGCCTCCACCACCTTTACCACCGACGGTAACACAATTTTCGGCACCAAGTAAATTTTCATCGGTGCTTATTGGACCTTCAGTGAAAAGTAAATCAGGAAAAACAGTATCACCACCACTCGAAGTGAAATCAAACAAGAAATCAACTCAATCATCTAAAAGTCAACTTTCCTCTGTGAATATTAATCAAAGTGATTTAAATTGGAAATCAAGTTGCTCTTATTGTTTACCATTATCTAAATTATCATCACTATCGATTTCATCAACACCAACAGTGACACCATTATCATCACCCTCAGGGGGTAATGGAAAGGTAACTGTTAACTCATCGTCGAGTAATGGTCAACCACAACGGCAACAATTAACCACGGAAAGTGATCAAAAGTGTACTTGTTATACTGATTTTAGTGAAAAATTGAAAGCAAATTATTTAACAACAATTAAATCTACACCAATAACTCAATCATCTTCATCTTCTTTATCATCACCGACATCGATAACAATTGATACTCCTTCATCTTCAGATACTAATAGGAAAAAAAGTGACCAATCATCTCCATCTTCATCTTCAAGTGGAATCGTATCAACATCATCATTCAAATCATCAGCATCTTGTGATCAATCAAATGATACTTATCATCGTAATCATCCCTCACCATCATCATCATCATCAACAATAACATCTAAATCAAGTTCATTCATAAACAGTAATCAAAGTTCAGTCTCTATGAGTCCAACTATTGTTAAGGAAGTAATGAAAAACATGGCTAATGGTAAAATGATTAAAATTAATCATGATAATCATCAGATTAAAGAAACTGAAAAGGTAATTAAACTTGATCCTTGTTCAACAATTAATCAATTAAATCAGTTGATATCAATGAATGTTCACCTTTACACAATTAAGCAAAAAAGATTCAATTAATTAGCTATTGTTTCTGATCATCTAGAATCCAACATAATCTAAATTGTCACCGTAATTGTGATTATCATTAATTACATATTCTTATGCACTGTTTACTGTAATAAAAGGTTTAGAACCTTTTTTCCCATGATGACCTCTTCCGTTCTGTTAATTGTGAGATATTGTTTCAGATAATGAGGATTCTAAATGCTGGATAGAGAGAGAGAGAGAGAGAGATTAACGATTTTTTGACATAATTAACTTGGGACGAAGATAATTGATGATGAATAATTAAGACTTACTCTTTGTTTTAAGCAAATAATACATTTTAATTTACTAATTTTCCTTGTTTATCATCAACAATTATCAGTATTCTTTCATTACGGTAAATTGTTATTACCGTGGTAAACTATCAATGCGTAAATGCGTTTCCGTGATGTTGATGATACTTGAATCCTCTTCATGGGAGACAAAAATGAGCTTCATTATTATTACATGAATCAGGTAAACATTGTCAGTTTTTCTGTTGATAATCTTCATCATCACGCAATTTTATCACAGCGATTAGTTTAAATCAGAATAATAATATAGAGATTCCGTTTCTCAGGTCAAATTTCACTTTTCCAGGCCACCATGTCAGACATTAATCTCAGGGTAGATCCATTGTATTCATCGTCATTGTCATCATCATGATCATCATCACCTTTGTCGAGTTGATTCTGTTAATTATTCTGGAAGAGAAATGAAAACAAAAAGATTAATCTTAACTCAAGAATCAAATTGTTTCATGATTGCGAAAAAATGAACAATTTAAACAATTCCATCATGATGATGACAACCATGTACACTATTTGTTAATTGTATCAACTTTGATTTGATTTAATTCTCACATAAAAAATAATTCCAATTTTAAGTTTTCATTCAAGTTGAACTTTTTTTTTCTGTTCATGATCAACTTTTTTTTCATCGTAATTGTGATCACACACTTTTCTCAACGTAATTAACAAAATCATTACAATAATACAATTGATCTCACTTATATTGACTGATTGTTTCAAGTAATATTTAACCCAAACAATCAGATACATAAATTGTTTACAATTAATTTCTATGTTATTACAATCAAGAGAAAAAGATAATGATAAAAATGATCATAAATATTGATACAATTTCATATAATGATTAACTGTTCCCATCAATTAAACTTACTGACCATTAACCTTTGACCTAATTTTGGACCAGAAACAAGTACAAAATTACCTATGAAAAATGATTCCAATTTAAACTGAAACTTAATGATGATAATCATATCATATCATTATGATTATCATATTGATAAATAATTAATAATCTAAATATATAATCAATTATAATATTATATCATTAATATTCAATGATATGATTAACATTCATTAATTATTAACTGAATATGATTTAACTAATTAACAATATTAATCATGAATTTCACCTTGAATTCTATTGATATAATCATATGTTAATTATTCTATGATGATATTCAATTATTACATGATCATCTTATTATGATATATCATCAATACATTACATTGATTAATTGATTTCTATTAGTATCATTGATACTTTTATCTAATTGATATCTATCATTTCATCTTCTTATCATCATTCTATTGATGTAAGTTGTAATCAACTATCAATATATTCAATTCCAACATCATCCAAACGGTGATTAGTGTAAATATTAATATATAAACAGAATCATTGTCTTGTTTTGTATTTTTCGGCTTCTTGATTATCCGTTTCTGGCCTCACTCTCCTTTGGAGGGTCAAAAGATGTTACTGTCATTAAGTTGATTGATACAGTTGGTCAAGCTCACTTGGTCATCATCATCATCATCATTTCCATCATCATGCTTAGCCTCCGTCTTTTGACCTGGATTTTTTTTCCGTAACTTTGTGTAGATGAAAAATATAACCCAAACAACGTTATCCAATATTAAATGTTGAGAGATTGTGAATAATAGATTTCGCCTCCTTCAGGGTAATTAACGGGACACTCCTTGGAATCATTTATTAACCAATTACATTGTAAATAAGGCTTCGAATCCAATCTGTGAATTTAATGAGAAAATAGATTGATACACTTTTCCATAGTAATTAGATTGAACATTTAATTAGCTTACCTATTAGATTCAATTATATGGAATTGATAATCTTTTGACTTACCTCTTTTCTTTCAGAGTGAGAACTTGATTTTTCACAATCTTCATCCTCTGAGGGTCAATCAGTGAACTTGACCATTATTACCAATAGTTGATAGACAAGATTGATCAGCATCATCTCATTGATTCTTTAGTATTAATTAAGATTTAGAAAGATGAGATTTTCATTGAAAGGTGATTAACCTTTTCCATCAATGATATTAACTGGAGATCAATTTTTTGATTGATTATCTTAGAATCTCAGTTGACAATTAAGAGGAGAAAAAGTCAACAAGATTAACGGTTTAAAGGATAAATCCATCATTTATCCTCCCCCGAGCAAGAAAAAAAAAGGTTTACAAATGAATTTCACTCATGTGTTAACCTTTGATTAGAAATGAAATATTCATGATTGAAATTCATTCATATGAATTTGAGTGTTTGTATTCATGATAATTCATTGCACTTTGTTATTATTGTTTGAGATGGTGTTGATGATAATGATTTTCTTGATTATCGTTAAATTGTTCAACGTTTAAATTGAAATTTCTTTAACTATGAACAAAATCCGTCTCTTTGCTTGTCTCCTTATTCACTCAACCATTTAGTGAGTTAATTGTTCACCATTGATTGTTCATTTCTAACTTTGATTCTTTCACCATGTTGTCATAATAATTGTAAAAGTTTTCTTGGAGACAGTTTGTTAATGATGATTTTGATTGTTGAAGATGAACTTGAAAATAATTAACTAATTGTTTCCATCATCATTTCATAATCAGCGAGTCAAAAGTTTTCCACCATATTGAAAGTGAATTGAACAAGAAACGGAAACATGATTGTTGTTATTACAGTTAAACCAACCGATTGATCATCTCGTTTTTACCTAATGATAAAATAAGAAAAAGCAAATTAACAATTATGCAAATCTAATTACAATAATGATGATGATTAAGAGTGAAAGTACATGATAGTAAATTCATATTAAGGGTAATGGATAATTTTTTCATTAATTCTTTTCAAATATGAAAATATTACTTTCATTAAGAAATTATCATTACTTCAATTGCGATAATTATGATTATCGGATGACAGGAAAAAACATCTCATTTTGTAGTATAAGTTTACTACAGTTGAATAGTAATTAGAATTAATAATTTAGGGCATATGCTTAGTTTAAGTGACAATTGTAACTACAATTAGCAAACCAACTAATCACCACGATTAACACTTTTCCATTTTTTTCTTTATATGGTCAATTGTCCAGTTTTTTTCCTTGTTGTTGTTGATTCCATCTTTTCTTGATTGTTGACTTTATGCAAATTATTAAGATTCAATGTAATCAGTGGCCTTTAGATTGTAATTAAGTTCAGTCTTATACCTGGATTATGAACGAAAAAATGCTTCATTCTGTAAAGAGAATAGAAAAAAAAAGAAGAAATAGATTTTCATCATTAGTTTATGCATAAAATGAGAGAGTTAATGATGATCTGAAAGAATTTTTTTCTCCATCTTCATCTTTTATTTATTTCTCTTCATCGTAAATGATATTAGATCAAAATAGAAGTTTGAAAATAGGGATGGAGAGAGAATATCAAATTGTAAATATTATGGAAGTTAATCACTCTCATTGAATTGGCTAATTAATTTGGAAAACAATTAATCATTCATCAAACGGTATCTTATCAATTGTTGAAATCTTTTTCTCTAGAAACTGTAACAGTCTAACCAGTCAATTAAATTCTGCTTCTTAATCAGATTCTCAATGATGATGATGATGATGAACAGAAAAAGCATTTGCAAAAACTCATAAGATATTTTGAGATAATAGAATCATCATAATCATCATCATCTGAGAATAATAAAAATTAATGATGGAATAGAAGAAACTGATTAACGATGACTGATTACAATTACTCTCTCACAAGAGATGCAGGAAAGGTGACATGTTAGGATGTATTACTTACTAAAGATAATTGTTTGAAATAAATATAAAAATCTATTCAATCAAAGTGGATATTAAGATGATTAACAATCACGATGTTGATGATGTTGATGATGATGAAGGTGTAGGAGTGGTTGATGAAAATACTGATAGAACTGAAAAAGATGATTCCAATTTGAAAAGTCTCTCCTGTCAGATTGGTTTCCATTTTAAAATGTTGATACTCCTTGGAAATCATGGTTAATCAACCTGAATTTTTTTCCTCTCTCCATCTTTTGATAATCCTAATTTGCTTTTCCACCATCATCATATGATTTAATCAACTTTCCAAAATTTTGATCAGTTACATATTAACTGATGATGGAAGATGATGATGATGATGACCCATCTTTTTGTTGTTGATGTTGTTCCTTGTTTCCTACATTAGAAGCTCATCCTTTTTACATTTATACATCACCTTAATAGCAATAATAATTAACAACAATAAAGATGAATAGATGGATGATAAACTAAAAGAGAAAGAAAAAGAAGAAAATAAAATAAAATCATAATCATCATGATAATTCAGTTGTTAATTGTAATACATGAAAACAAGAGATTGGTAGGAAAGGGAATGTAAAAGAGAAACACAACAAGAAAATGATTGAAATGAGAATTATTTAAATTGTTCTTGTTTCTCATTTACATCATCAGGGTGAATACTTACTTAATAAAGTAATTAAGGTTCCACTTTTATCACCATTAAATTAGTTATTTTAAGGTAAATGATAAAAAAATAATCAACACAAACAGAAACTCAATTCATATAAACATCAGAACAACAGGAAAAAGGGATTGTATCAATTCACAGTTTTCATTTTCTTCTTATTGTTAATTGGATTATCCACCAAAATCAATCGAAGTCCAGAACAGTTAATCTTGACCATCATCAAATTTACCACAATTAAATCAAGTTGATTAAATCAACAAGTGAATTAATCAACAGAATCTTTGGTTTTTCAGAAAAGAAAATTTTTTATTCTTTTCTTTTGGTTAATATTTTAACCGCTTCACTTTTGTTCGCGCTCTCAACAAGTGATGTTAAAATCTTTTTAATTGTTGACACGATGATTAATTGTTAATCCAACGGAAAATTGAGTTAATTAACGTTTATTTTGTTTCTTCTCAAATCAACTGATTAATGGATCATCTTACCAAACCAATATCATCTTCTTTCCCCATTCAAACTTGGCTTCTTTCAACATGTTCACCTTCATCTTTACCCTTTACCAAGACTTTGATTAAGGTTAAATTTTTAATTATCTTCAATTGTTTAACTATAATTGATTAGCAATTCATGCTGATTGTTGACCTTCTTTACCTGTGTTTTTGTTGTTTGTGAATTGATTAATTTCCATATGATTGTTTTAAATTATTTTCTCTCTCCATCATCATGTTACTGTTTTCATTTTCTATAATTGGAACTTACAAAACTGTAAGTTCCAATTAATCTTTCTCTTGCTTGTTCTGTCTGTGATTCTGATTTGTTTTAATTAATTTCACTTAATTATAATTGTTGACAGTTTTTATTAATCTATAGGTAATCATAATTTGAAGAAAACAATTTCTTGTTTACAAATTGGGACAATCTTTTGATATATTTGGAGCAAGAAAAATCTTACCGCTCAATCATCTGATATGAAAATCCTTTGATTTCAATCATTTATCCCCATTCATCTAAATCATTTCATGATTTATTTTATATTCACCTTGATTTTTTTCCTCTATCACCTTAATCTCAAGGGGTTAATCACTGATTTATTTTATATATATAAATTTCTAATGGTGATCATTAATTTCTCTCTTTTCTTTTTCATCTTCTATTGTTTTCTCAACAGGTAAGCACAATAATCCAACAAACCAATGGAAAGGAAATGAACATAACATTGAACAATCTACCAAATAACAATTTAAACACCACCAAAGGATTAAAATCACCATCACCAGTTGATGGATTAGACAATGGAGCAAGTGATCCAGGAATAGATTCATCAAAAGAAAGTAGCAATGAATCAAATGATGAGAATGATAAGAATCAAGTTAATCAACACTGTTCATTGGATAAGCGACCCTCCAAACCTCCTCGAAAGTCTTGTCTCAATGATGCAAATGGATACGAACAACAAAACGATAATCTGGTCGAGGAAATATATTTAGCAGCCGAACCTGCACCAGTAGTGACCCAAACTGACCATCAACAATCAACAGAAACCAAAGTAACATGTAACAATTTAAGGTAATCATTGAATCACAAAAATGAACACTCGAAATCTTACCGATAGTTTAACAAGAGTTTCTATTAGATTAATTAATCTTTAATCTAATGTCTCTCTTTTTTTCCTTGTTGATGTTGATTTACAAATTAACAATTAGAATTTTAAATTATTCTTGATCGTTTTAATTGTTTGTCTCTTTAGGTCAACATTAATTGTTACCATTAATTAATTATTTCACTTTCACTTAGATTCTAATTAAGATTTAGTTTAGGTGATGTTTTTAATTGTCCCTGTTGGCAATTTAGTTTACATTTTGATGAGTAAATAATTTCCAATAGAATTGATTGTTAAATTACTAATCAACTAATCATATTGACTGATTGCCCTTTTCTAATTAATTCAAACTAATCAATTGACAATATAAACAAATCCTTAATCCAATTAATTAATTTATCCACGAGCTAAAACTTTACCTTAATTTAATAACAATCTTTCTGATTAAATTTCTCAATTAATATAAATAATATACAACAGGACAAATTACTGAATTAATTTTCTTATACCAATTAACACAACTTAATATATAAATTTATTTCCTTAATCGTTTAAATTAATTACAATCTAAAATTAAATTACATTCACTCAACAATATTGAATGTTGATTAATTTTGATTTAGTTTCTTCACCTCTTTCCAATTTAATTAAATCAACTTTATCCCTTTGAATTAACTTTCAATTGATTAATCTATTATTTTGTTAGAACAATTTAATAAACTTAATCAAATTAATTTAATCCTATTAATATTATAACAGATTATGTTTAGGATTAAAAAGCCTTTCCCAACATGTATCAATAATAATCCATTCACAATTAAATTTAATTCCTGCTTAAATCTATGATACTTTAATCAACTGTAAATTCAACGATGAAGCTTAAATCATTACCTTTTTTTTTATTACTACTATTAGATGAGTATAACAATCAACTAATCAAAAAGTGAATTAACTTGTTGATTGACAGTTACTATTAACGTTTCCTACAATTTGATTTAATTTTAAATTACTTTCATGTTAAGGCCTCTCTTCATGGTTAAAACTCCTACTCATTACAACAATTAATTTAAAATCAACAATATTTTGTTGATAATTATCATGATTACAATCAAAATGATGATGGTAATTAACATAAATAATTTTACTTGATTTAATAATAACAATTTAAGTAACATTTATTTCAATTTTGTCTTTAAAACTTTCATCCTTTTCATTCAACTAATTTAAAACACAATCAAATTGTCATTATTTCAATTTCAAGGAAATTAAAGTCAACACAATTGTTAATTGTTGTTGATTTCACTTTTATCGATTGTGTATAAAAATAGTTGTTTAAACTCTTAATTGTTTATCGTTAATTGTAACGTTTACATTGTTTACTAATTTTGTTTTGTTTTCGTTTTCATTTAATCAGTGAAAATGATCTTAATCTGTTACCACCTCCACCGCCAGCGGCTAAACATTTTGTCGTGGTTGCCATTGACTTTGGTACAACTTATTCTGGTTACGCGTTCAGTTTTACCCGATCACCGGAGGCCATTCACATGATGAGAAAATGGGATGACGGATGTGACCCTGACGTGAACAATCATAAAACACCGACCATTTTGTTACTCAACCCATCGGGTGATTTCCATGCCTTTGGAAGTGCAGCTCGAGAAGCGTATCACGGCCTATCCGCGGACGAAGCCAAGGATTGGTTTTACTTTGAGAAATTTAAAATGTCCTTACACACGACCCTTCACTTAACCAAATCGACCTCCTTAACCGCCGCCAATGGTAAAAAAATATCAGCATTAACAGTTTTCGCTTCCAGTTTAGCCTATTTCAAGAATCACGCACTTACCGAGTTAAGTGAACAATGTGCGACTCGAATCGAAGATGAAGATGTCCGTTGGGTGGTAACTGTACCAGCTCTTTGGCGACAAACGGCCAAACAATTCATGAGAATGGCCGCTTATCAAGCGGGCTTAGCTTCACCCGATAATCCAAGTCAACTTTTAATCTCACCGGAACCAGAAGCTGCTGCTATTTATTGTCGAAAGTTAAAGGTTAATCAACTAATTCCGGAAGGACCAAGTAAAAATGGTCGAATCACTAATGGTACTTACACCACTAATGGTAACAATAACAACAACAGTACAAATGGAAATCTATTTGACCATGAAAAAGATAATCACTCGGCGAATGATCAAGCGATATCAATTAAGAAAGGTAACTAAATACCTTTCTTCATGAAACAATTTAGTCAATCTTTTCCTAACTACTACAGTCTCATGATGGTTTGCCTTTTTTTTAATCATCATTACATTTAGTTTATTATTAACTTTCACAATCAATTGATTGATGTTGATGGTGTGATGATGATCAATTTTTCTGTTCTTTGAATTGGAAAATTTTCAATCGCAAAGCTCATCAGACTTTCAATCAATTTGTTTAATCATTTTTCGTTACATTGAGATGATCATAATCATCATTATATGTCAGTCATATTGTTACCAGAATTTAATGTTTCTTTTTGTATCTGATTCTGAATCTATACTCAGAATTTTATTTTCTATTGGAACTTATTTCTAATCCTTGTTTCTTTTATTGCAATAGGTACTCGTTACATGGTTGTTGACTGTGGCGGTGGAACTGTTGATATAACCGTTCATGAGATTCACGATGACCTGCGGTCACTTAAAGAGCTGCATCGAGCTACAGGTTGTCCATTTGGTTCCACTGGAGTTGATCGGGAATTTGAAAATCTTTTAGAAGATATTTTTGGCTCCAAATTTTGTGATGATTTTCGTGTCAAATTGCCGTCCGGTTACGTTACCCTAATGACCACTTTCGAGGGTCGAAAACGAGCTGCCAATACTGTTTCGTCAACGCCTTACAACATTGTACTTCCTTTTTCGTTTATCCAATCAGTTCGTAAATGGAAAGGTTCAACTGTTGATTCGATGGTTAAAAAATATGGTTCATCTGATGTTTCCTTTGACCCTCGATTGGGTATATTACGTATTTCCGCTTCCATGATGCGTAAACTTTTTGAACCAACTTGCGAAAAAATTGTTTCGCAGATCAATTCAATCATTGAATCTAAAAACTGTTGTTCCAGTGTTTGTGACGGTACCAATTTGGGTTACCTATTTTTGGTCGGTGGTTTCGCCGAGAGTCAATTACTTCAGAGTTACATTAGATCAGCATTTTCTTCCCGTCTTCGAGTCATCATACCTCAAGGTGTTAGCTCTTCTATCCTTCGAGGAGCCGTTCTATTTGGCCTTGATCCTTCCATCATTTCGGTCCGTCGATCAAAAATGACCTATGGTATTGGTATTCTAAACCGTTTCATTCACGGTTATCATCCCCTCTCCAAACTGGTTGTTCGAGATGGTGTTGAATGGTGTTCAGATATTTTCGATAAATTTGTTCTCACCGATCAGTCCATTGCCACGGGCGATTTGGTCACTCGAAGTTACACTCCAGCCAAAAATGGACAAAAGTTCAGTGTACTTAACATTTATTGTTCCGAACGAGATGATGTTAGATTTATAACCGATGAAGGGGTAACTCGATGTGGTACCTTGGTACTTGATCTTGACGATTTACATGATTACCATGATATAAGTGATTCTAATTGTAAAAAGTTAGAAAATAATTTAAATCATAATTTCAAAAGGCCCATCAAAAAATTGAACACCAATCAAGTGACAATACCAACGACAACAATAAGTTCAACTACAACGATTGATCTTAAATCAAGGATTAATGGAAAATTAAAGTTATCCAAACTATCCAGAGATGATGGAAATACAGCTGATGATGATAATAGTGATAACGATAATATTCAGGATTCGCGGAAGAAGAAAAAAGAATCCGATTCCCCGTCAACAACACCTCCTCCAGTTCCACCACCATTACCACCTCCATCATTAGAATTTACAATCAACGGCAATACAAACAATTCCCGTGGACGAGAAATTCAAACCAATATGATTTTCGGTGATACTGAAATTAAAGTGACAGCAATTGATGTTCAATCAGGAAGAAAAGTCAGAGCAGAAATTGATTTCTTAAGTCAATAAGTAATAATCATTTTGAAATGTTAATCAAAACATTCATCAACTAATCATCATTGAGATTGCGAAAAGAAAAATCAATTGAACCCAATTGGATTTAATCATCTTATTGATGAACACCATTAACAACGTGCCAAAGCGTGAATAACAATCACACTGTTTAATTTTCACCAGAGATTTTTTTTCTCATTAATTAATCATCATCTTCATCACCACTAATTCATAAAATTCTTAATCACAACAATTAACAACTAATAAGCTGAAAAAAATTGTAAAAAAATCAACTAGTTTGACTAAATATTTGATGTATTCATATAAAAGATTAATCAACAATCAAATAGATTTGATTGATCAAAAAGGGAAGAACAATCCAAACTTGAATTAATTTTCTTGTTCAATAAAAGTTAAAATAATCATTTCTATCATTAAAAGATGATTTGACCAAGAAATAGATTACAATTAATTCATAAACTTTTCAATTTTTTCCCAATTAAGATCAATTCTTAACAATTGAACAACTTGATTGATTCAATTAAGCAAATTGATTCATATCCATCCATTGATATGATTAATTTAATCCAACTCGGGCCATGAAAGAGCAAATTAGTCCAAATGATTAAAATTCGAGCAATTGTTGAATTAATTGCGATATCGGTCAATGTATCGATTGTGTTGACGAAAAATTCAAAATTGGAATTTAAATGTTTTCTTTTAAACTTCGCGCCAAATTGAACGAAAATTGGATTGAGAAAAAAATTCTCATTAAATTGAGTTGATTGAGAAAATTAAATGAACACTAATTGAATTAAATTTTGTTTCGTTTTATTATTAATTATGTCGCAAGTTTTTTTGTTCTTTTTCAAACCAATTCAAATCAATTTCCTCTTCAATTTTCATCATTAAAAGAAAAGAAAATCTAGTTACACAATTAAAGGTAAGAATTAAATTGTAAATAGAAACAAATTGTAATTCTATTAACCTTTTGTTACTTTAGTCACAACATCTTTTGGTATTTATTGTGATTCATTTTAATGATTATGTTTACATTGTTTTTCTTTTAATCATCATCTCCATTTTAATCACAATTAACTCAATTTATGTTGATTTTAAATCCTATTAAAGGGGATAGTCTTGGTGATCAACATTTTAATTGGAATTTAATTTTATACGGTTCATGTAAATAGTAAGTGTAAATGCTTTTTATTAATCATCTTTTTCTCTTTTCAATTCCATCAATATTAGACTTTTTTTTTCTTTTCTTTTTTTCCCTCTAGTTAATCCTTTCGGCCATTTTGTGACTCTCTTTGTGTGTCTAATCTCAATGTTAAATCAACGGATTTCATCTGCTTTTGGTATTGGTTTCACCTTTTTATCTTGTGTCTGTTTACTTTAATTTAAAAGGTTATTCGGTTGATGACAAAATCGTTGATTTTTAATTTGATTGTCATTGTTTTTACTTTAGATTGGGGAAACTGACAATCAAATTAACAATGTAAATTATCAATTGTTTTGGATGGATTATTGTTGGTTGGTAACATTGGTGACGATTTTTTAGAGTTGGTAGGTTAATCGTTGTTTTCCCTCCATTTGCTTGGGTGGCTTTTGGTTTGATTTTTTTCATGTTTGTTTTTTTTATATCTTAAAGGATTTTAATTTGTTCATTTCGAGTTTTTTTTTTAATTATTAGGGGATTGGTTTTATTTTGGGTAATTTTTTTATTTGTTTGGGGGTTGATTGAATTTCTAATAATGAGATGATTCTTCCTTCTCAGTTATAAAGACTTGCCTGATTCCTCCAGGAACCTGACTGGTGGTTACCCAAGATCTGTGCTTGGCTCTAATCATTGAAAGATTACTTTCAGCGCTATCAGCTCGATCTTCAGCAGCCTCCAATTCTCTCTGGAATCGTCGGACTCGGGATAGATTCTGGGCGCTCATTCCCTCCTAGAAATGTAACCAATTCCATTGGATGTCAAGTATAAATAGAAACAGTTAATAGAAACAATTAGTATTTTTCTTGTCAACTAATAGAATTTTCGTTTTGTCTCTTTTTCCAGTTTCTCTTACCGTTTCAGCGAGTTGCCTCTTGTAAACCTTAACCTTCTCGTTCAATTTGTCACAGGCTTCTTGAAGAAGTGTAACATTCTTGTGGTCTTCCTCGGATTGTACAAGCAATTCCTTAACTCGGTGTTCCTTCTTTCTCATGATCTTCTGGGTCTCGGCGTGTCTTCTCTTCTCTTCTTCCAATTCAATCTCAACATCTCTAATTCGACTTTCCAATTTAGCAAGAACCCGTTTACCTCCAGCCAAAGCATTAGCTTCAACCTCTTCAAGACGAACCTGTAAACTCTTAACCTCAACTTCAAGTGACTTCTTGATTGATTCAATCTTAACATATCGTTCTTGTTCCTCAATCAAAATGTCTTTGGTGGATTTAAGTTCAATGGTAAATCGTTGTACTCTCTCATCAGATAGCTGTTTAAATGAAAGAAAAAGGAAACGATCAGAAAATTGATTATGGTTAATCTATTAGGAATACTAACTCTCAACTCCTTGTGGACCTCATCATAATCAGCTTGAAGAGCAGAATACTCGGTTTCCAATTTACTCTTGGCAGATGATAAGTTGATGTTAATTGTGGTCAATTCATTAATTCTTGTTTGTGATTCCTCGTATTGTTGTTCAGCGGTTCGCTTAGCCCGAATTGTTTGCTCAAGGGTAACTCGAAGCTCGTCCAATTCAGCTTGAAGAGCTTGGTTTCGTCGTTGTTGAGCTCCCAATTGGTCAACAGCTTGTTGCAATTGTCGGTGAACCTCATCGTAATGGGCTTGGAGTTCCTGTTTAATGGATCAAAAGAGTTATGAAAATTTCTACTCTTTGTTTGTCTGTGAACATTTCGACTTTTGCAGTTAATACTCACGCTAATTTGAAGAGATTGTCGTTTGATTGTCTTTTGGAGTTCCAAGTTTTGTTTGTTGGCAACATCCAAGCTCATTTCGAGCTCGGTGATTTGAGCTTGCATCTTCTTCTTGATTCGAGCTACTTCAGTCTTGAGTTTAGCCTCAGCCTCAGCTAATCGCATATTCAATTGTTCAATCTCAATTTGCATTTGTTTCCTATTGGATTCATTGGTGAATAGAAATTAATCAAAAATTAAGCCAATATTTATAATTTCTGAAACTATTATCTACTTACCTAAGGGATTCTAATTCTTCTTCCTTGGCAAGAAGTCTTCGTTCATAATCATGTCGAACTTGAGCCAATTCAGCAGCCAAACGTTGAGCCTTCGCCTCTTCTTGTTTCCTCATAGCTTCAGATTCCTTATAAGCAGCGCTAAGCTCTTCTCGCTCATTTTCTAAACGTTTAATCTCAATTTCCATTTCGTGGATTCGTCGGTGAGCATCGTTAAGAGCAGACTTAGCATCGGAAAGGTCATCTATATATTTTCAACGAATAATAAGTTAATCATATGAGTTTTCATTCCTTTTTTTTCTTTCTTTCGTTGTTATAACACCAACCTTGCAATTTCTTGTTTTCTCGTGCCAAGGCTTCCTTTTGATCCTTCAATTTCTCGTATTCGTGTGTCAATTTCTGTAATTCAGCCATCTTGTTTCTCAAGTCTCGTTGAGCATTTTCTAACATACCATTGAGCTCATCAACCTTGGTCTTAAGATCAAGATTAGATCGCTCAAGAGCAGCACATCTCTTTTCCAAGTTTTGAGCATGGGTTGTGGCCTTTGATTTGAAAAAAAAACAAGTTTCATTAATATTTACGAAAGTTAATCAACTATTCCTGTTTCCTTTTAGAATCCCTATTAGCTCACCTTCTCGAGGTCCATGATGAGAACCTCAACTTCACTTTGGAGTCGAGATTTTTGCTTCTCAAGAGAACTGCATTTGTTAAGAAGTGATTCCAATTGCTCTTCGTACTCGGAAATCTTTTGTGCCATCTTTCGTCTGGAATTGTGATGAAAAGAAATGTTTTTGTAACGAATATTGTAAAAACTTTTATTCTAAAGTTAATTCTATTTACCGTAATTCCTCGACTTCATCGTTGTGAGCTTGGAGCTCAGCTTCGTATTTAGATTTCCATGAAGCACAATCTCCATTGGCTTTAGCTAATTGTCTCTCAATGTCAAGACGTGCTTCCGATTCCTCCTCAAGTTGAACTTTAAGAGATTCCAATTCAATTTCAATGGTGTGGCAATGGTTTTCAAGGGAAGATCGTTTCTAAATGGAGAAGAAAAGACAAACTTTAGTCCCAGTTTTTGGTTTCGTTTGATCCGCTCAACAGCCACCGATTACTTACCCTCTCTTCGTCCTCTAATCGTCGCTTGGTGTCTTCCAATTGAATAGCCAATTGACTCTTAATATGATTGGAATTCTCCAAATGAACCTTATACTCGTGAACCTCCTTGATCAATTCAGTATTTTCTTGGGATAATCGGCTCTTTGTTGCGGTAACCTCATTCACTGTTCGAGTTAACTCTTCAATTCTGATGCTTGATTCATGAACAGTGTGTTCCAACTTTTCAACAGTCTTTTGGATAACCAATTTATCCTTGTTAGCAGTTTCAATTTGGTTTAAAAGCTCATAAACCTCAGCTTGAAACTTTTGCTTCTCCTTGTCAGACCTTTATAATTGAACAATACAAAAATAAGACAATTGACATTTCATTCATGATCTTTGAATCTCCTTTCAGTTCAAGGACCCAGGACCTAAAGACTTACTTATTTTTCGCCTTTTGCAATTGATCAACTTGATCTTGCATCTCAGCAACGGCAGCTTGGTGTTTTGATCGTAAATGATGAGCATTCTCTTCACTCTCCAAATGAACATCTTCCAAAAGTTTTCTAAGCTTGGCAAGTTCAGAATCCCGTTTCTTATTCATTTCGGCCTAAAGTTGACATCGACACAAATCATTAGTCAACTAACTTATTTCGTCCTTTTGAATAAGTTTTACTTACGAAAGTTTCACTTGAACCTTCAGTCTCTTCGAGTCGTTCAGAAAGGCTCATCAATTGAACAGTTAAATCAGATTTCTCTCGTTCGATCTGAAATTTAGCAAAGAAAATAACGATAATTTTTAATTGGTGGAAAATGATTCGTCATTAGTCATAATCTATACTGGAATCAATCAAAAAATCGTGAATTTATCGGATTTTCATTTCTACTTAAATTGTCAATCATTGAATTTTGATCTATCAACAATCAAACCTATTAATTGTTTTCTTATTTATAGATATTTTGTTTTTGGTGAAGAAATGATTGTCTTGTCATATTGGTTTGTCAAAGAAGCTTAATTGTGATTAATCAAGATGTTGTGTAAGTATTTAAATCTTATCAAGTATTGACTGATGATTATTATTTTCTGTATCTTTCAATTAATCTTAGATAATTCAAGGAACGATAATTCTGGAAACTGATAAATATTATTATACATATTATATATTTCTGGAATCCAATGTCTGAACATGGTGAAAAAAGTTACTCTCTAGGTAGGTTAGTGAACTGAACAGTCCAAATTTACCGATCTACTTGGCAAATAGTTGAAAAACAGTTAGAAAGTATTCTTAGTGCAGTTTAGTATTGATAAATTTTGGCACCTTTTTGTGTGCAAGATTTTCCCTCTGTCTCTTTCTCACTTTATCAGAATGAGAACGAAAAAGATAGAGGGAGGGAGAAAGAGGAGCGACATGATGATAATGATGGTAGGGAAATAGAAGAGAAAAAGAAAGAAGAGAGAGAGATGGAAGACAGATAAGGTGGAGAACGAATCGTTGGTATACTTTCTTGTTAGTGTTTTTTCATCTTCTTCTCTTTGAAAGAGACACACACACTCTCTCTCTCTCTCTCCCTCTCTCTCTGTCTCTTTTGCTTTCCTGAATCTTTGGTGAAAACTGAAAAATCTTCTGGCTTGTGTACTTATATGTATGCGAATTCGAGGACGATGCTGGATCTTTGCCAGTCGTGATTAATTGGAGAAAAAGAGAATAATATAAAAGATTCATCCATTTAACTTCTAAGAATGTCAATATATCTCGAATCTCTAAAATATTTTCTGTCCTTTTTTTTCCTATTCTAATGTAATAACATTTAAAACAGTAGATTCATTTTTTCCTCTTCTATCGTTTTCATGTAATTATTTTCTGTCCATTTTTATCCTAACAGTTTTACCATCAATCTCAAAAAAAAAGTTCATGGGGATTTGGATATTCATTGAACCTCGATAATGGATTGTAAAACTAGATAAACTGTCACCATTTCTGTATTTAGGTTAATCATTGGTAGAGGTGATGATGATGATAGATAAACTTGGAAAATCATAATCACTTACTGATATTGGATAAGATGAGGTTATCATGACGATTATGTTAACCTTGGTTTCAAGATGTAATAACTTGCTGATGAATTTTATATTTCTGGACCCAAAAATTTACTCATAATTTTCAAGTTAATTTTCTGTTAAGAAAATTGAAAGCTAGAGATTGATTTTTTCCATTGAAATTTCTCTCTCTCTCTCTTTTCGAGGATTTCATCACGATTATTGGCCCACTATCTGTTATATCAACAAGTTTTCTTTTCGTTTTTGAATCAACAACTGATTCTCATTGAGAAAACTAAACATTGATTGTTGGTTAATCTATTTTTGGCTTTATCCTCATCTGGTACTTGATCTATGATTTCTGATGATGCTGATAAATACTACGATTAATGTTTCAATTTCAAGGGCTATGATAAATTTTTTTTCTCATCGAAACATAACTTAACAGATGAAATGAGATTATCACTAATCTGGAAAATGATGATTTAAACAACAAGGAGAACTAATCAAATTCGCAAATAATTTGAGAGACAAATGAATCTAAAGTGTATCCAAGCGAAGATGAAATTCGACGATTTCCTTTTTTTCGCTTTCATATTTTAGTTCGAAACAATGTTCCCAATCAATTGGAAATATGAATTCGATTAGTGTTTGAAAAATTTTCGCTGAAAGCTAAGGATTTACTGAATAGAAAATAACCTAAGATTAGAATTACGAGAGAGAGAGAGAGATGATGATGATGATGATGATGATGACGATAGAAGAGAAAGAGAGAAATTGCTCTTTCTTCAACTAACTGAACTTTTCTTCGCTATTTTTGGTCGTATAACTTTTTCTCCTCTTTCATTTATTACTCATACGATTTCTCTTTCTTTTCTTTCTTTATCATCATGTAAATAGAATGTTTTTCTCTTTATCCAAGTTCCTAACGAATCGAGAGCCAAGTCAACGAAAAGAATAGGAAAGAGACATGATACTGAGAAATTCCCCTGCTATTGGAATCTTTATATTTCTCTCCCTCTCCCTCTTTCTCTCTCTTTTTCTCTTTCTAATTTATATACCATATATTTCAATGGATCAAGTTATCATCGTAACTAAGATAGTCATAATTTTTTCGAACTCAACATTTTGACTCGAAAAAACTTCTACCCTGAAATGGTTCATAAAGTTAGTTCCTGGCTTCTGAAACTAAGAATTCCTGTCTAATAATTTCCGATAATATTTCTATTCACAACTAAATTCAGGAAGAGAAATCAACAAATCTTAAGAATCATTAATCTCTCGATGATGAGACTGAACTAATATCTGACCCATGGATAATTAATAATTAGCTGTTAATCCATTAATGAATTACTTATGGATCTTTGATTCTGATCAGTCTGGACTCAAAGATGAAAATAATTGTTACAATTTGACAATTTAACTACTTAGGTAACTGATTATGATTATCAATCTTTTCAACAATTTGAACTAATTTCAATCTTAATTATTTTCTTTTTAAGTAACCTTCTCCTCTTTCTCTCTCTACTGTGGATCTATTTTGGGATTATCCAAGTCTCTCCCACTTGACTCACACCATAATCATCATCATCTTAATCATTACCATCCTCAACAACAACATTGGAATCAGCAGAATAAGCAACAAAAACAAACTACAATCAAGCACAGAAATGAAGTCAAGGAATTTTAAGGAAATGAAGGTTACACCATGAAGTAGCTCCTTAAGTTGAAATAAGAACCGTAAATGATTTACAATCAACACTAGTGGAAATTAGGATAATCTAAGAGATTATCCGAATTTGGGATGAAATGATTCAAATATCCGATAGTTTTTTTCTTTGATTTTATCCGTATAGTTGAAGGTTAACAATTTTCGACATGATTGAATGTTCATTTCTTACCCTTTGTCTGAGTTCCCGTTCACTTTCCAAATCTTCATGAAGAAGTCGGATTTTATCCTGGAGAAAGTAAAGAAAAAGTTAAAATCAATTAATCGTTGAAATTATGAGATCGCTTTTGGTTTTATGGCAAAACTTGAAATCGTTAGTAAAGATCATAATTAAGCCTATCGACCACTGTAATCAATGGTTAAAGTCAAAGTGAAAGAAGTGTTAATGATATAATATTTGCTGAAGAATCGAGAGATTTTCAATATCTGATTGTTTTTTGTTATTCTTTTATATTAGATTTGATTATGGAAAAGCCAATTCGAGGAGGATAATCAATTTAATTAATCAACTTACCTCGAGCCTAGTAAGGGCTCCGATATCTGTTCCATATTCAAGATCCAAATGACCACCACCACCGGATGATTTGTACATATATTTAGTTGACCTAACGGTTGAGGAACTCATGATTGTTGATTATTTTGATATGATGATACAAGTTAATTAACTTTTTTTCTGCGTTTTGAGTTAATTGCGTCAAAAACAAACAAACGAACAAAAAAACAAAGAAACTGTTGATTTGCTTGGAAAATGACCAAAGCAATAGAAAGCAAATGAACAAGGATACAAAGAGTCCACAAGTATATTGTTGATGGTGTTGTTGATGGTAATGATGACGATGATGATTCTTATTTAATTGTTGAATTTTCTCTCTGCAACAAAAGGCGAAAACTTTTTTCTTTTCTCTCTCTTCTCTCTCACTCGAAAATGATTTTCGTTTCCTTAAATTTCACCTAACGAGCAAATTTTGAGACTTAAAAAGTTGACGCTCTTTGCCTTTGGTATCTATGGTACAAATCGCTGGTTTGGTGCATGAATATCATCGGATACTTAAGGTTCGCATGCTCGATAATCTCTGAATAATCAGGGGTGAGCATGATCCTCATGATGAACATCTTCCTGGATGATATTCGTGGCCCACCTTAACACTTGTTTTGGAGAAAGTTTCAGGAGAAGTTATTTTCTCTTCCTCCTCTTCTTCATCTTTCATGATCTCTTTCTTTTTTTCTCTTCCTAAAACTTTCCATTCCTAAGATTAGAACTGAGGAGAAAATCAGGATGATGAAGGGAGGAAGAGAAATGAGCAGAAATAAGGAGAGAGAGAGAGAGAGAGAGAGAGAGAGATGAGAACAACCAAAAGCTGATGATAATGATGAAGATGAAGAGAATAGTAAAAATCTCGATGAAAGTTAAGACACTTTTCTTTGCTATTTTTGGTCTTGCTCTTCAGTTTATCTCTCTAATTTAGTTTCTCTTCGAGTTCTAGTCGCTCTCCCCTATCATCATCTTCGTCTTCGTCTTCATCTTCATATCTCTTTCTTTTTTCTCTTGTAGTATTTTCTCATCCGCTTCTTTCTTCAGGCTCCTTTCGATGTGATGGAAGCCAAGTCGATAAAGGAGAAAAGTCAAAGAAGCTGAAAATTCCTATTCTATTAGAATTCATTTTCATCCTCATCTTTTATCATCATCATCATCATCATTATATTTACTTTTCATTAAATCAAATTCTCGCTTTTTTTGGGAGAAAATTTTTTCTTCCAAAATTATTTCAAGAGATTTTCACTTTCGTCTTCCCCTGAAAACCAGTGATTTCTGGTGAAAAACTAAGAACTTTAATCATAATTATAAACCTCACAATCAATTTAAATGATTAACCTTATTGTTTTCGCTCTAATTGTGATAATTAATTACTTTAGCTTGAAAATCAATCTATGAAATTAGATAATGATAATTATTTTTTTCATTTCCCTCATGTTGATTATCAATAACATCATGACAATAACACCCACTGACTATTAACAAAACAAAATTTATTAATAGCTTATAACAATTAACTAACTAAACATTTCGTTTGCAAGCTTAACTTTTGATTAATAGACTCTAGTGATTAATAATTTATTCCGACGAAATTAATTCATTACTCTGTTTACTTTCAATCGGTAATCAAATACAAAGGCAGTTCTACCTGTTGATTAGCTGAATTCTTACAGTTTCTTGATGATGATAATTATCATGAACATTATGACAGAAAAAATTGTCTCGATGTAACTAAATTAATGTTAATCACTTCTCGGTTGCATCTTCGAGAATTGTACTATTTGGCTAATCGTATACATGTTTAAGCTTCGTTTCTCTTAATCATCTTTTGCTTAATCATCATCATTTCGATAACATTACAAGAATTAAGAGAAAAGGTAACGAAGATTAATAAAAGACACTGAGGGGAAAACTGGGTTACCAAGAAATTGGAATAAAAAAGAACTCGAAACAATTTGATTACCACAACTAAATTTATTTCTCATTCTTCCAACAATTAAATAGATTAGTAGACTCTTTTTCCAATAGATGTCTATGTTATCTTAATCTTCTAGAATTTAGATTATTGTAAAGGCGGTAAAAAGAACGAGATTAATTGTTTTGAAAGTTTTTCTGTTCACAAAAGTTTCCAACACTGATTTTCAATTAATGGATAATAGAAATCATCATGTGAATGATGATTAGATGTAGTGAGCTTTAACCAATTTCCAATTTCCAATAACGATTATTGATTACGATTAAGCATAACCAACGATAATCTCAACTAGAGTGATAACCAATTGAATCTCTATGTAAGCATGAACGTAACAATGTTTCTGATTGTTACAAGGTAACAGAAGTGATAATTGAATGTCAAACATGATAACTGAGAGAAATAGTAAATTAAATTTTAGAATCGTCTCCTGATTTAACCATACAAGCTAATCTGGTAATTAGTTAATAGTTAATAATTGATCCTCCCCTTCTTTCAGATATGTTTCTTATTTTCAACTTTATCAATTTTACCGGTGAGATTTAATCTGTCAAATGGATAATCTTGAAAATCACTTGATCCAGTTACATTAATGATTACATAAGTATCGGAAATTTCATCTACTTTTACTTTCAAAAGGTCAGTAAATTGATCGTCACCTTTTGATGGTTCAGGTGACTTTGAGTGGACATTGGTAACAATTAGAAAAAGGGACAAGAGAACAATTAAATTAACGGTAACAATATAACCCTTCATGGTCTCAGGGATAACTCAGTTTTCTAGGAAAAGAAATTATCATTAATAATTATCTGTGATCAATTTATTATTTTCCATTTTCAATGGAAAACTATCGATAAAATTAATCAATCAGTTACAATAATCATCTAGCAATAATGAGTTAATCGACATAACGACCGTTTCATAATCGGTTGCATTCTGATTGTAACTTTATTTCATGATTTTATCAAAATTTAAGCTTGATTATCAATATATTCGGGAGTTGGTATAATGTTAATAATGACGATGATTTTTTTTAATATAACTCGAAGTTCGTTTAATTTTTAACATGCAACTGAAAATATATCATTCGGTTGTTATTACACCATTGATATGAACAAAAAATTCCCATTTTCTGATATAAGATTCACAGAAAATTTGACAAACTTGGAAATCGAATGTTCCGAAATCAATAACTTTGATATGGAAATCTGAACATTAATATCACTTTTATTATCAACAAAACAATACAATATTCATTGAAAGTCTCTGATTAGCTGATCATGATTTAACTGACAAAACAAACCAAAAAAGGCTAAATTACAATTTAAAGTGAGCTGATTTAAATTGAGATACAAAATCAATTGATTAATATACAAATGATAGATTAAATAATGTCAACAGCGATTACCTTAAATGTTTAATCAAAAGTAAAACGTTTCGATATAACTATTAATAGAAATATAAAAAGTATTTAATGAGAAATCAATTTGTTCACTAGCAATCAATTGTTTTACTTAAATCCATCAATTAATATTAATTGTTGATAATTGCTAGTTCTGTCAATATGAAATCACTCATTTACTCAGTTTGTATTGTTCTGGTCATCGGTATTGTCCATTGTGCTTCAACTGGATCAACGAAAGACAATCAATCAAAAGATGTTGTTGCTCAAACTTTACAATTAACCAGCCAATTAATTGAATTTACTGATACTTCAATTGTGATCAACATAACTGGACCTGCGGTTTATGAAAAAACTAAATTGTCAGCAATTAACTTCAATATCAGCTATCAAGGTAAAAAGAATGGTAAAAATGCTTGGATTCCAATGACTGAACGTAAGTGAGATTATGTGACGAAAGAGTGTTAGCAATTAACACTAATTGTGAAAAAATTTTCGTTTAATTACAGAATCTAATTGGACCATTGAGAATGTTGACCATTCTAATAAGGAAATTTTCGTAAAGAAATTAACAGTAATTCAACTTAAAGCAAAGGTCCGATATCAACTCGAAATTTCAGGTCAATACGATAAAAAGATTTTATCGAGCGAACCAAAAAGTTTGGTCGTTCGTATGAAAGCCTATAAGCCGAAAGGATCTTTGAAAAACCAGGTCATTCTACAGTTGAAAGGAACGAACCCGAAAACTTATTTCGTTCAAGTTTATCGAGTAAGTAAATGGAAAACGTTGATCTGAATGCTCACCTAGTAGAATTTATTGTAAATGTCATTTTCTCTTCCGATTATATTATTAGATTGATGGAGATAAAAACGTTATCATTATTGATGAAACTCTTGATGCTTCAGTTGGAAGCTCGACAACTTTGGACAATCTTCAAGCCGGGAAAAAATATCAGATCAAATTCTGGTATATTTGTACTCAGAATGTTATCTCACCTCCCGAATACATTGATTATCAAGCTTAAATTGTAATAATTTGATAAAACCATGAAATAAAATCACAATCAGAATTCAACTAATTATGAAACAGTCGTTTTGATTAACTTTTTGTTGCAGGGTGATTATTATAACAATTGATTTTCTTTTCCATTGAAAATGATAAATAATTTATCGATCACAATTTAGATAAGATTAAACTATCGATTCATTTTTTCCGTAGAAAATTGAGTTATCACAATCAAGATAAATTTCTTCGTCTAATTATTAACTGATTTCAACAATTCTACGTTCACAGTTTTCACAATAACTGAGACCATGAAGCTTTATATTGTTACCGTTAATTTAATTGTTCTCTTGTCCCTTTTTCTAATTGTTACCAATGTCCACTCAAAGTCACCTGAACCATCAAAAGGTGACGATCAATTTACTGACCTTTTGAAAGTAAAAGTAGATGAAATTTCCGATACTTATGTAATCATTAATGTAACTGGATCAAGTGATTTTCAAGATTATCCATTTGACAGATTAAATCTCACCGGTAAAATTGATAAAGTTGAAAATAAGAAACATATCTGGATACCTGTGGATGAAGGTGAGTATCAATATATTTAGATAATCTTTACCATAATCTAATCCACAGGTTAATCCATTTGTTTTTCATCAAGACAGGCTTTCAATTCAATGTGACCAAAAGTATTCATAATAATAAAACCCAATCGATTAGTAATCTAATCAAAATTGATAACCTTCAACCTAATCAACTTTATCGGTTTAAAATTGTGGGAAAGTATGGAAATGTGATCTATGTCGATACTGAGCCCGAACATGTGGACATTACGACGAAACCATTGGCACCTAAAGGTACCGTTAATAAGCAGATAAGTTTATCGTTAGAAGGAACCAACGTCAAAACTTATTTCGTTCAAGTTGATAAGGTAAACCAATTTTCTAGTAGATTAATTGATTAAGCATTCGGATTAATCTCTTTGATTATCACCTTACAGGTTGTTAAACGAAACAGATTAGAGACTGTGATTAACTCAACGATCTCATCGTCGCATTCTGATTACATAACTTTGGACAATTTAAAATCGGGTACAAGATATTCAATTAAACTCTGGTACTTGGATAATAACAAGAAAACTTCAGCAATCAAAACAATTGATTATAAAGCTTAATTAGTTAGACAATCAATAAATAAATGTGATAAAAGTTAAATTGATGTGTTGATCGTTTTATTAATTGTGAAATTGGTTAAGTTGTTTACTCAGATTTAATTGTGATGTTCAGTTGGGAGATTAAGGCAAATGATTTAGATTATAAAACTTCATTGATGAACTGGAATGATGACGATGCTGATGATTGTTGTTACTTAAGAGATTAAGATTAAGATGATCCCGAATATGATAGGTCATAATATTCGCGTCCTTTTTGGTTGTATTTCGCTTTATGAATAGCAGCCAATTTATCTCGAGCTTCGTGAAGTTCACGTTCTTTTCTCAATATCTCTTCTCGAGCCGATATTTCGATTGCTATTGAAGGTACTTTACGTTTACTGATCACCAAACTTGTCTCTTCGTTAACCTCGATCGCTCGTTGAGCGGCCAAAACCAAAGCATCGGTCGCTCTTTTAACCGCATTTCCAGCCGCTTGAAGTCGTAACATGGTCTTTGAATCTGGATCAGCTTTCACTTGACAGGCAACCAAAAGATGAGCCGTTGATGTGGCTACTTGTTTAGCAGCTGAAATGAGTTTTTCTTCAGAAGCGTGACCCTGGACAAGAGCATTAGCCGCTTCGACTAAACTGTGAGTTGCAGCGGCTACTAAACGAGCAGCGGAAATTAAACCTTCAGACCATTCACCATCGTCAGAACGTGAAACTGGGTGATTAGAAAGTCGACCTGCGGCAACAAGTTCCCGTTGTGCTGCACAAGCGGCACGTAAAAGGGCAGCAGTAGCAGCGGTTATCGATTTAGCTGCTTCAAGAATCATTTCATCAAAGCTCATGTCATCATGAGGAAGCTAAGAAAAAGAGTAAAAGAAAATAGAAAATGAAAAACTCGAAATGTTTAAAATCAATTCCATCATAGTGCCAACATACCTTTATACTGACTCGACGTGGTTGTAAACTGGCCAACTTTTGGGCTGCAGCATCGATCGAAGCGGCTGCACCAAGAAGTTCAGTCTCGGCGATAACCGTTGGATCATCTGGATCAACCCAATCTGAACCTTTCAACATTTCAGCACAAGAGACAATCTCAGTTACCGAAGATGCGATATCCCGAGACATTTCAATTAGTATCTGTCTCTCTTCATTAGTGGCCCCAGATGACCGTTGGACACACTGACGAACCATTTGTAAAAGTTGTCGATACTTAAGAGCACAACCTCGGCCAACATCAAGAGTTCGTGATCGTAGTTCACTTGAATCAGAAGCATAAGCAGCCTGTCTTGTGGTCACCAAAAGGTCAAAAATCGCCTTTCGACCCAAATTGGCCGCAGTAATAATATCATCCTGTCGTCCACTGTTACCAGCGGCAACTGATTTAGCTGTTGCAATGGTCACCGGTTTGGTTATACGAATCAAATCCTCTGGAGTTGAATGTTTCCTTGGTGGTTCCGATGAATCAAATAATCGCAATTCTTGATCGATGGCCGCAATTGTCTGTTCAAGAGCTCGAGTTCCTCTTTGGTGTTCATCTTCAACCGTTTTCACAGTTTTCAACAGCGATGTTACATTTGAAATCATATGCTACCAGTGAAAAAAAAACGAAAACAAAGAGAAATTGATAAATTAGATTCGATTACAATAAGAATAGCCATTGGTCAAGGAGAGCAATTCAAACCCATTATCAGTGACCAAACATGATTAATATACTTTTATATTCAATACCAAAACGACATCGATATTAAATGTAAATTAATCTCTGATTAGAACAAAAAAAAAGTCAGAGATAGTTAATTGCTTTTCTTGTGATTAATCAAACCTCAGACTAAGAGTTAACGATAATTTTGAATATGTGTTGCTTGTAATTGTGTTGGTTAAATTGTGCTGGTTAAACAAATCAGACAATCAATTAGTTTTATCAAAGTAACAAGTTTGATACAAATCTAATATTTATATAAATTATGTTAGCAATTGGATCTTATTGTAATAAGAATAACAATTTAAATGTAAATCTTGTTAATTGTGATATCTTTTAATTGTCTACCAACCTTGGCTGATTCCTTCATCGATATCATGGTTGGATCATCGTTACTCTTGCCTGAGGCTGATTTAGTTGCAATCACAAGGTCACCTAGAGCAGTGGCAACATCCTTTGCCGAGTTCAACAGCAATACCTGAGCTTCAGAGTTCCTAGAACCCAATGAGGTCGCTCCTTGTTTAACCTCATCGGCCAATTTAACGATCGCTTCAACCGCACTTCCAGCAGCATCGGCCAATTTTTCCTGATCCGATGCAGCGCCGACAAATAATGCTTTCGTATCCTCGACCAGCGCTTTGGCACATTTGAGGATACTTTCCCTATGAGCGGCAAATGAATCGTCAGGATCTTCCGGATTAAGTGTTCCCGCAGTGGCAAACATGATCGTTGTATCAAGGTCACCAATGATTCCCGAAACAACCGATGCCGCATTGATACAAGCCTGAGTTCCCCTTGAACCGGCCTGAAGAGCGGCCAGTACATAAGATGCTTTCTCACAAACATGGTGACTTTGCTGAGTTACATCATGTTGAGCTCTTAAATCATCTGGATCATCTTGAACTCCACCGGTCACTTTGGTCAACTGGATACAAGCGCTTCCCAATTCCTGGACACTACTTTTAATCCTGTTTCCAACCTAAATTATTGAAAGACCAACAATTGATTTATTACACAATCAAATCAGTGTGATTTAAATTTGATACTTACCTCGTAATTAGCTGTAGTACCAACCGCCCCAATAGTGTTTAGTGTTAACGATGAAAAGTTTGATGCAAGTTGATTAGTCAATTCACCCAATTGATCAACCTCTTTGTTAACTGATTTTGTATTCTGTGAGTAAATTAATTGTTAACAAAAATACATAAAAAATTCAATTCATTTGAAGAAAAGGTAATAATTGTGGTACTTACAATTTCTTGAGCAATTCGAGTGATCTCTCTCAATAGATTAATCATTCGTGTTTGATAATCGACGAAACTTAAATTTGGATCAATAAGATCACCACTGAATGAATATCGTCCATCCATCCGTCCGATTGATTTACTGATTGAATCGACAACAACAGGTACATGAGCCGCTCCTGGGCTGGTTGTTTGAAGCGTATGCGATAGATCATTAATGGCCTCTTTTAGACATTCCCCGCTTCGTCGACATCGGCATGAGTATCAGTGTTTTTAGCATTACCACCCGACTCTTTTACCGAGAAAACCATTTGAAGTCCACATTCGCAAACAGTTTTCGTTTGACTAAATAGAGTTGATTGAATTCGTCCATTTGAAATCTTTGAAATAGCGCCGATAACATTGTCCACCAATGGATCAAAATAAGCAGAGAATCCGGTAACCCGGTGTCCAAGACTTTCGGCCTCACATTTACCTGTAACCCGAAGAGGGTCAATCTTATCAGCGATCTCAAGTAAAGTTGAGTGTAAAATTTCACGATAAGTTTTAAATGAATGATCAGCTCGAGGGGAAAGTGTTTGTTGGTGTAAACTCATTGAAGCCGAATCAAGGTCACGAATGTTTCGTCGTAATTTCTCAATTGCCAGGTCACATTCCCGTTGACCAGGAGCTGCTTCCTTGAGAGCAGAGATTAAAGTTTGGACAGAAGTGTCAACCGATTCACCATGAGTGGACAACATACTCCAACCTGGTCCATCTTGAGGTTTTAAGATCAACGATTTAGCCGTGGTCAGTAGGTTACAAAATGAGTCGCAGGTTTGCTTAGCCGCACTTGTGATTGGTAATTGTGATAGTCGAGCCTTGTCACTGATTCGAGCGGGAATTCCGGCAAATTCATCAGATGACGCGAAAGCGGTGAGATTTTGAACGGCCTCGATTAAAGGCTTAGTTGCTTGGGAACAATGTTTACGAACGACCTCCGAGTTTGGCTGTGAGTCGAGCGTTTTAATCTCTTTACCAAAGCGGCTGTAGCATTGGCCACATCTTTGGCTGATTGGACGAAATGTCTCTTTGCAATTGGATTGTTTGTTCGAGATGAGGCCAATCGGCAGGAATTACAAAGGGATGATGTATGACGAGCTATGGCTGTAGCTGCAGCCAAGATTTGTTGTTGGCTGGACGATCGATCGGTCAATTTTTCGCAAGCTTCGGTAATCGCATCGTTAGACTTGTGGAAAGTTGAAATGTCAACAAGACCTGGACGACCAGCGACCGATGTTGAATCAGCAGCAGCAATTAAATAAGCTGATTGAGCGGAAGTCTCAATAAGATCACAAACTGAATCAGCGCCCTCACGAACAGAGTTACAGAAGGTCTCAGACTCACATCGTTCCGCTGAGTTACCAATGTTGGTCATAATGTCACGAAGTTTCTGTGAAATTGTAATAATACCATCGAGACAATTAAAATAACTAAGCAAGTTAATCGGCTCAATAGTATTATCCAACATTGGCTTAGCCATTTGAATTCGTCTGATAGCTGCGTCGACTTCCGTTTGACCTGGAGCACCAGTTGAACATAAGTTTATCAAATTACTTATCGCATCGCTAAGAGATCTCTGTGAGGCTCCAAGAGTATTTTTGGCCGATAGCGAATGAGGGTCAGATGAAACCGATCGAGCCGATAAAAGTAATTTACTACTGGACGACGATATCGATTGTAAACTCGAGACCATTGTTTTCCTGATCGATTCATCTTTGATTCCGCCGACCATTTCCATTCCAGTGGTGGCAAATGAGCCGAAAACGGTTGTGAACCTTTTCGAGGATGATGATAGATTGACTGGTGATCTTGAGTTTGCGACAACATCAGACGCAGATTCGTTCAAACGATTGGCAGCGGCAATTAAATTGTTCGAAAGATCAACATAAGACTTTTTACTCGACATCGAACTTGATGAGACACTTGTAAACAAAGTGTTCGATTCGTTGATTGTTCTAATTGCATCATCGATATCTCGATGTCCTGGCATTGAATTGATACAATTACTCAAAGCATTCGAAACATTTTTAGCAACGTAAGTGAGTCTTGGTTGGCGTTCTTTGTCATTGATATTTTCTAGCGCCCATTTTGTTTCTTCAAAAAGTTCGATTGATTTTTGTAGAACATCAATTGAATTTTGAAGAGTTCGAACCTGAAATTCTGGGTCACTTGAAGTGGCAGCAACACCTCTTACAGATCGAGTCATATCTCTTAAGGCGATTGTTGTATCTCGAGCAGCGGCACCAACATGAACCTCGTTTCCTTGAGAAGCGGCAGTCAACAGTTCAGCCATTCCAGAGCCAACAGTTTTACAATCGACGCTCAGCTGAGTGATACACCTTTCTATCGTCTCACCTGGAAGTGGTTTAAGTGTCCCTCGAACAGCGGCCTTTTTATTTCCGTTTACCTCAACGATCAATTCTTTGACGGCTTCAATGGCATTTTCAATCTCGAATGAGGTGTAACAAGCTTCTTGTGCTTTTATAAGGCTAATTTTCAATTCGGAAATGGCCTCGTCGAGTTGTTGAGCAGAGTTACGAAGAGACAGTGAACTCGAAGGATCCGAGATATTTGGTATAGCGGCTTTCGAGGTGTTGGCCATTCGCGAGGTTGGGTCAATAAAAGCTTCACATGCATTGATCAATTGAATCTGAGCAACCGGATCATCGGGGTTGGTGTGAACGTCTTTGATTCCGGAAACAACGGACGGCATTGAATCTGAAACCTCGGAGCAGATTAATTCCAGTTCATCGTGAAGTATACGGTTAGTATTGTGTTGACCTGCCCCGTGAATGGCAGCGATATTCTGTGTGGCCGCAGAAGCCGTTTGACGGGCACAAACTTCCAGCCGATTGATGACCTTCTTACGAAGAGCATTGGAAACCGCTGTATTGGTCGCGTTGACCACATCTTCGGCTGCTTTTTTCAAGGCTGCTTGTGATTTAGAATCGTGAGGATTAGTGGCACATCCTTTTGCAGCATCAACCAGGCGACTTGTAGCATCGGCCAAAACTCTAGCAGCGGCCAAAAGTCGCTTTTGAATATCTATCATTTAAATGCAAGTGTTAGTCATGTTAGATTAAAATTTTCTTTCTCGAAAAAAAAAACAAAAGTTGAAGGTCAAACTTTTACCTGAGTCAGATTGTGTTCCCGCTTTACCCTTAATGTCGGTGATCAATTGTGAGGTCGCTTGGCCAATACTTTAGCCTGTTTGACCATTTCACCAGCGTCACCAGTTGAACTGAACAATTTATCGGTCGCATCAATAATCGTATCGACTGGACCATCGTTTTCGGTAACTTTTTTCGCTCGGTGTGAACCATACATATTGACCTGATCTAAGAGCTGATTTAAAGCTCGAGTAACAGCTGCAGCAGCTTCTCTAAGATCAGCTATGAGCTTAGGATCTTTACAAGATAATTGACAAGCTTTCAAAACATTTTCAACCGCTCGAGCGACCTTCTTACAGGCCTCCGTTAACTCCTTCTGACAAGATGGATTTTGTATCGTTGGTGAGACCACTTTAGCCGTTGTCACCAATTGACTTGTAGCCAAAGCACATTCGTTAGCTGATTCAATTACTTTCGCTATTTATAAACAAATAAAACATGAATCAACTCAATGTAACATGGGAATTTGTATATTGACAGGATTTCTCACCTTGATCTGATGGATCACATTTCGCTGTAACATCTTTAGCTTTGAGGACCAAAGTGGCCGCAGCATTGGCTACATGTTTAGCGATCGATAAGAGGATATCGGTTGTTTCTCGATCGCATTCATCTTCTTCGCCGATAGTTGCAAGAACGGCATGAGAAGCTTCACCAACTCGTCCAGCTGAATTAAGAAGTTGAGGTCGACTTGGTTTACTTGTTGGTTCAGCGGCTTTGAGAAGATCGGAAAAGGCTTTACATAATCGACGAGCTGCATCCAAAAGTTCATCTCCTTTGGCTTCGTCTTCCATAAGTGTGGCGATAACTCGAACATCTTTGGACATTTCCGGTAAATTAGATGTAATTGTCGAAACAGCAGCGCCAATCGCTGGAGCCATTGTTTCCAACTCTTTAGGTGGAACTCCAGTTAAAGTGACCAATTGAGCTGTAGCCGCATTCATCGCGGACAATTGAGAGGCCACATTTTGTTTCTTAACATCCATTTGACTTTGCTTCCATTTCTTAGCACTTGGATCGTTACCAATGTCCGGTAATCGAGCCTTTGATGACAACTCTTTCTCCGCCTTTTTGATAACCTCTTTACCGGCCTCAATAGTTGACAATAAAGCCCTTTGAGGACCAGAAAGTCCAGTTGAATGAATCGCTGGTTTTTTAATCTCATTACTTGGAACATGTCCAACATGAGCGTGACCCTTAACGGTGGTCATTTGAACGGGAGGCATCGATCTCTCAATGGTTATCTCAGGCTCTTTGGTGGCTGCTCGTAAAACCGCAGGCATTGCTATGGAATTAACTTCGGGCTGTGCTAATTTAGGTGAAGGTGCTGGTTGGTACTGAAGGATTGTCGCCTTGTAAGGTGCAACCGAATCTTCAACCATAGTCGAACCTTCATCACCTTCAATTCCAAAATGATCTTTAGCCTTTTTCCGTTTCAAAATGATATCAATATAACCAGCGATCAATTGAGCGATCTGTTCACCTTCATTCGTTTGAACTGAATAATATGAATCAGAATAATCACCAAAATCAAGAGTAAATGAATTAGGTGAGGCAGCCCAACGCTTGACCGTTGTAAGCGGCCATGTTTCGAGAATCTCTTTGGTCCTTTCGTCAAGTCGTAAAACTGAATCTTTGGTAACCCCCAATAATCTTGGTGACAATTTATTTTTCCCTTTAATCTTTTCCTTGACCAGGAAAAAGGTGACACCATAAGTTTTCAGCGATCGAGCCAATTGAACGTATTTAACTTTAGCATCAAGTTCACTGAGGCCAAATTGTTTACGATGAGCGGTAAAGATAAATTTCTCAATTCGCTTCACTTTAACCAATTCCTTGGGAAGATAATCTTTTAGATCAAGAAATCCTGTTCGATGTTTAGATTCTGAATGGTCACCATATTGAATTTGACATTGAATCCCAGCAAAGGTTATCGCTTGTTCCTGGGTCACTGGGTGAGTACCTTTGATAATCGCATCTCGAGTTTGAACGTACAAAAGGTTAAGCTGAACAGGGTCACCAGAATCGATATTTGAATCGGAGAAGAAAAATTTTCTCCTCAATAAAAGTGTCTCATTTTCACCGATCCCTTGGTCAGGTAAAGTTTTCGACTGGTCAACCCAATCAAGATCATCATCGGTTTTCAATTTTTTCTTAAGCGTTTCCATTGTTTGGTCCACTGTTTTATCTTTATCTCGTTTCTCTCTACGAAGAGTTAATGTCCGACTTGAATGGTCACTTTTCTTCAGTTCATCGGCCACTTCACGAACCAAACTGTATTCATCGTGATTTGTTAAACCTATTCAAATGAATTTCGAACCATTGATTAATAAAGTATCATCCAAATCTCGAATGTCAGGTCAAAACTTACCTATTTTCGTACAAATTATCACCATTAAATTGGCCACTGTTTGGGATTCGTCGACAAGGACAGTTTTAACTGACCCGTCCAGCATTCGTATACGAAGTGGCCTCATCTTACGTTTTAATTCAATCGTTTTCTGGTCAGATTTCTGATTGGGAAAAGATGAGTTAATCAAATGATTAGACATGATTATTGATTCAATAAAGTTCTGTCAACGATTAACTTTAATTTCGATTAACTTTGATTCTAGTTAAAGTCCTTGGTTTAAATTAACTTGATTAAATATGATTCAATTTCATATAATTAATATGACACATCAATGACACAACTTAAATTGCAACTCAAAAACAATCAAAATAAAAATGAAGACTTGATCAAATTCTGGATTATTTTGACAGAAATTAGGTAAGTGTTGAAACAATTAACTTAATCACGGTCAAGTTGTGGTGAAAAAGACACAGGATTAAGATGATTTCGGTTATTGGATGAAGATTGAGAGTATAAAAGATGAGTTTTGAAAGGAAAAGAGAGGGAGGAAGAAGATGATGATTGAGAGAAGATGAAGAAAAATGAAAAGAGACTTGAATAGACAGAGACTAAGAAAGAGAAAGAGAGGGTGGAGAAGATAATGATTAGAATAAATTGTTGGTATTATTCATCATCATTCACGATTCTCATCTTCAAAGACACAGTCTCTGTGTGTCGTTGTTTTCATCTCTGAATTTTGCGAGAAAATTTTGGCGCAAGTACTTATATGTATGCGATTTCAAGCATCAAGCTGGATCTTTGCCAGTCCGTGATTAATTGGGAAGAAGCAGAAATACAAGAGTTTATAATCATGATGATCATCATTAGTGAAAACTAACATTGATTGTTGGGATAATCTATTTTCGGACTAATCCTGGTGTTTTTCATCTGTTGCTCATGATACTCGTTACATGTTACGATTTCAAGGGCTACTAAGAAATCTCTCTCTCTCTCTCTCTCTCTCTCTCTCTCTCTCTCTCTCTCTCTCTCTCTCTGAAATGAAAATGGAGAAGGAAAATTTTGATTATAAATGTAACTGAATTCACCTTACCAGAATGTATTAGGAAAGACCATTCAGTACATGATGATGATCAAACAATAATAACAACAGTTATAACAAAGAAAAAAACAAAAGTCAAAAAAGATGATACAAAATAAGAAAAAAAGTTTCCATGTTGTATTCATGTTTCAGGCTGGAAATGGATAACGTATTGAGATTTTTTTGTTAGGGGTTATCGGAATTTGCATGACAAATGAATTATATGCAAGGAAAGAGGCAATTGTCCAAATCGACGCGGTTATGGTTAAGGTTAACTCTTTATGTTTGGTTGAGATGAAACGTTTTAATGGAAGGACAATTGCCATGTAACGGTCAGCAGAAAGTACGGTTAAAGAGAAAACGGTTACACCTATGGACACATCACGAACAAATTCCGATAATTTACAAAGAAATTGACAGTAAGGCCAAGAGTCGAAGGAGTAAATGGTTGAAACAAAGGGTAAGGCGCCGGTAATAATAAGTACACCAATGGAAAGGCTTATGATGTAAGTGTTAGGGATTGTTCTCATTGATTTATTACGTAAAAAGACAAATATAATTGTACCATTTCCTATCAAGCCTTTTATGAACAATATCCCAAATACGATTGGTACGATATATGTTTCAGGTCGATATTCATATGGTACATAAGTATCGTTGTCGGCTAGAGTTCCGTTGAATTTTAAGTTTATTGTATCAGCTAAAATGTTGTTGTTCAATGATATGGATGATGGTGAAGATGATGATATTGTTGATAGTAAGTCAAAATTAAATCGTAATAAAGGATAACATTGATTAGAAGATGAGTTTGAATTTACATCGAAAAAATAATATTTTCATCATCTTCATGAGGTTCATTTTTTGTTTATTCTTGGCATTCAGTGGATAAACATAAAAAAGATATAACAAACACCATAATATGATTCACAATGAAATAAAAGATAACCTTAATTTGTAATATTAAGTGAATATTATTATCATTTTGATTTTATCTTTTACTTTTCATTATTTATAACATCATCTTCATGGAGAATGAGTCTCTCTCTCTCTCTCTCTCTCTCTCTCTGCTTATTATTCAGCAATTGGAATACAATTTGGTGATTCAATTTGAAAAGACCATTGAACTTGGAATTGTAATAGATGGCGAAGAGAATATTATTTTTAACAATTAATTTTGATTGCGACAGTTTTCCGGAATCAATTGTCTTTTTCCAGGCAATTTTGTTTTTTTATCCAATTTACAACTAATTTCATCTTAATTAGTTTTCACAATTTGATTAGGTAAACTTATCACTCTCTTGACTGCAATAGTTACTATTTTAAGATTTCCTCTTTTTCGTATTTACATAAGTCATCCAACTTGACTCATCATCTTATCATCATCCTAATCTGCATCATCGTCAGAATTTGGGTGAAAAGAAACCAAAACAAACTAGAAAATTAATCTCACAATGGAAATTAAGTCAAGGATTTTAAAAGAGATGAAGGTTAATCCATGAAACAGTTTCTACACAAGAAGAGGAAACAAACACGATAATCTTCATAGTAGATTATCCAATTACTAGAAAACGAGAAAAAAAACTCGAAATTGAGTCAGTCCAATGTCTAATTTTCGTTTGAAAATTTAAAGATCATTTCGATATCTTTTTAACTCCTCAGACTCATTTTTCCATTAAATTTAAACTAAAACAATATGAAGATTATTTGATTGGAAATCGAGATTAAAATAGAAAAATATTAACCTAAATTCAGTGTAAATAAATTATTAATCATTTTGATTAATATTCCAATTTGTTCTAGTTTTGGTTTCCTCTTCTCGATAAATTCGGAACTTTTAATTCCTAGTTTTTCATCCTACTCGAATTCACGAAACTTTTTCAAAAGTTTTGCCAGAATTTTCATCTAATCGAGTGGGTAGTTGATAGACCGAAAAGTTGTCAACTCGAAAATTGATAAAATCTTTGAATTAAATTCAAAATTTTCTCTGCAATCGAAACCCATTTCTATCTAATGGTCAATTCTTAATTGTTGAGTGTCAATCATCAACTGATATTCAATTAGAATCATCTTTAATTTAATCACATGATCAATTATCGTTGTATCTAACCTCTAATTACGATTATAGTTGGTAACCAGAGTTCACTAATTGTCAATCAAATTCAATTTCATGATTTTCATCAACTGAAATTTCGTTTCATCATAACAATCAACTAATGATATCGATTGGAAATAAACTTTGAATGAAAGATCAATAATATTTGATAAAAAGCTCATCCATCAAATTGAATATTCAACAAGAAATCGGATATAATAATTTTCGAGGTGCAAAATGGGCTACGCTTCTGGCGAGATATCAATTGGCCTCATTTGAACAATTTCACACTCGAACTCGATTATTGCTTAGAACATTTTCCACTACTACCCACGTACAGTTTTCTCCTTCGAACTGAAAAGAAAAATGTTCACAATAATATCAACTGAAATTAGAACTTTTAATAAAAATCGAAATTCTAACTTAACTTTCTTTTCTCGATCAGTTAATTTTCCAATAATTTAAATATGATTAATGATAATTCATTCAATAAATACTCTCAATTGACAGCTTGAAATCAGTTCTAAATCATTTGTATAATAATTAACGTAACGAGTAAACAATTAAACCTTAATTACTATCTATTGGTAAAATATACACAATTGATTACTGTTTAGTCTGAGATAATAGTTTCTACAATTAACTAGATTCACTTAATTCCAAGGTTAACAATCAATTCTATTAGGAAGCAAATTTGAATTCAAATGAGACATTAATCGAGACAATTAGTAGATATAAAAAGAAATGAATAATTAAATGAGTTCGAACCTCGAATCGAGTATGAGCTCCAATGTCTGGTCCATATTCAAAGTCCGAGTGTCCACTGCTACTTCCTGGAGGTTTGTAGCTAAATTTACCTGACCTAATGGAACTCATGGTTGATTAATTGTTACCAATTCTCGATGATGATGAAACTTCTTGATTATTACAAATGATCACAGAAAAACAAACTAACAAGTAACAAAAAAAAACAGAAACCAAAAATCCACAAATGGTTAATTGTTGACTCGTAATTTAATCGTTGAAGTTCAATTATAATTCTGGTGAACTGATTTTCTCTAGAGTAAAACTTTTGTGGTTTGTTCAATGCTCGATATTCAGAGATGAGCATGAGCCTTTCCAATAATCGTCTCCCTGGATGATGAACGAATTGAATCTAGAGAAAAGTCTCTCTCTCTCTTCCTCTTCATCTCCTCTCTTTTCATCTCTTTTCATCTTCTTTCAAAGTTTAAAATTAGAGAGAAATTGAGATTATGATGAGAAGGAAGAAGATGAGAGTTAAATATAAGAGAAGATGAAAATTAAGAGAATGGTAAAAATCTCGAATGAAAGTTAAGACACTTCGCTATTTTTGGTCTACAATTTAGTTCGCTAATCCAGTTTCTCCTCTCTTTCTTTACTTTCTTTCAAATTATCATCCTCTTTCTCTTCCTCTGGTTGTTTTCTTTTTCTTTTCTCTGTTTTTTTTATTCATCATTCGCTTCAGGTTCCATGGGAGGATAAGCCAAGTCAATGCGAAGAAAAAGATTCAAGTTGTTCGAGACGTTTAATATTCCTACGCTATTGGATTAAATTTTACTTCACCATTCAACCAACAGTACAAATCTATTTTTATATATCACAATTAAGTTTATTCTTATTATTAATAAGCTTTTCAACTCAATCAAAGTTGTATAACTGTAATCACATTAACTGTTAACACTCATTGGATTCACCTGAAAAGATTGTCACATTGTCGAGTCAATATCCGTTTGTTTGTATCAATCAGTTATCATTGATTTTACCTTGAAATTTGAATCATTTGCTTAATTTTTTGTCCATTTGTCTCTGAGCCAAAATAATCCCATTGATGATTAATATTAATTAGACTCATCTTCTTGTTAATACTTACACTTATTATGACAACAAATTGTCAGTCATGAAACTGTTGATGTTTACACTGTTACTCTTATCCTTTCATTACTAATATTTGGCTGTTGATGTGCAATTTTAAGGTTCCGTTACTTTTATATATAAACCTCATCTTCTGTTTCATCATCATCATGAAAATTTCCATGATTCATCTAGTAGAATAAAAAAAACTAGGTTACTAAGAAATCTAATGAAACTTATCAGAACTTTTGTCGAAAATGTTGATCGATCAAAACAATTTAAATCTTATCGAAAATTGAATTTACTTTACCTACCATTCTAATAGTATTGTCCGAGTAAAATCTCACCTTAAATTGATCGAAAAAAAATCACTCTTACAATCACAGGAAACAATAAGTTGATTACGAACAAAAAAATTAATTAACGAATAGAAAAACAATCGAAATATTCATAAAATCGCGCTTACCTAAAATAGGGAACTTCTTCGTCGTTAGATGGCACCACTTTTGCATTCTTTTTCTTTTCTTATTAAAAAGGCGGCAAAAAGAAAGAGATAAACATTGTGACTAAACAAAAGTCTTTGTTCATTTTTTTTTCTGGTTAATTGTTTTCAATTTTAATTCTTTTCAATTTGTTATATTGTTTGTTCTTGTGTTTAGGTAAAGTGCTTGGTTCCTGTTGGAAAAAGAATAATGGGTTTGATTAGTGACTGTGATTCTTATTTTAGTAGTAAAAATTTATATGAGGTGTTGGGTGTTGATAAGGATTCAACTGATGAAGAAATTAAAAAGGCTTTCAGGCGATTAAGTTTAAAATATCATCCTGATAGATTTCCTGATGCTTCTGAAGATGAAAAGAAAGTGATCACCTCTAAATTTCAAGTACTTGCCAAGGTTTCATTTGTTTTAACGGATAAAAGTAAACGGGAAATTTATGATGCCAGTGGTGTTATTCCTGAAGAGGATATTGATGATGCTGAGGCAAATTGGCATGAATATTGGAGATGTTTGTTCCCGGAAATTTCTACAACTGATATTGATGAATATGTTAAAAATTATATTGGCTCAGAAGAGGAGAAAAATGACCTTAAAGAATTGTATCTTCGATATGAAGGTGATCTAGATCCAATCTCTGAGTCAATGATTGGATTTGATGAGAATCGTCATCGTACAATGATTGAGGAATTAATTGAAGAAGAGGAAGTACCAGCTTTCGATGCTTTTACCAAAGAACCTAAAGCGAAAAGAGCTAAAAGAATTAAGAAATCGGAAAGAGAGGCCAAAGCCGCTGAAAGAGAGGCCAAAAAGAAGGAGAAAAAAGGTAAAGGAGGAAAATCTCCTGATGATGATTTAGTTAAAGCGATTCAAACTCGACATAAGCAAAATTTTACCTCATTGGTTGACCGATTGGCAGCCAAATATGGTAATGGAAAGGACATGGAAGAACCCGAAGAAGATGAAGAAGAGGAAGAAGAAGAAGAAGATGATGACGATGATGAAGATTTTGAAGAAAAGCCCAAAAGTCAAAAGAAACGCAAATCCACCAATTCCAGATCAAAATCTAAATCTAAAGGTACAAGCAAAAAAAGAAAAGTGAAATAAATGATTTGCAGATCGCAACAATTAACAAATGGGAGCCCTTACATTACATCACAATAGTTGATGATCCAATGGTTTTAATGGTTTACATTGATTTAAATTGTATTGAGAAAACAAAACCATTGATTTACTCACAATTAAATCACACAAATCCCGATGCACCTCCTACAGACAATTTAATTGTCACCATTCCTTATGTTACCAACAAGAATTAACCAAAAACCTCCAACTCTAATCATCTCTTTAATAACAACAATAATTACAGAATCTCTTTTAACATTATCCTCTTTCTCTATCTTATTAATTACCAATCTAATTTTCCATTTTAATTTTATTCTCTTGATTTCTCATTGTTACTTTTCCTATGTGTTTACATTTTTCTCGTGACCAAATGATTTAGATAATTTATATTCTCATACTTTTCTCCTCTTGAACATTTTCCAGTTTAATTCAATTGGTTTACTATTCCAAACAACTAAAACAAAGAGAGAGAGAACGAGAGCGAAAAGAGAGAGAAAAAACAAAAACAATCCCTTGTTATATTTCATCATCATGAGCACAACTACACCATCGTTGACAACATTACCCGAACCCATAGAATCGACCACAACAATTGTCCCAATCGAAGGTGAATTCTCATGGTCCGATAATGCGATGACCCTTGGATTCTCATCATTTCTCATGATTGGAACAATCATTTGGATCTGTATTTGGTGTAAAGGTCGAAAAGCAAGAGAAGCAAATAAACGACGATCCTCTCGACCTCGATCATCAAGCAAAATACCATCACCAACTAAGCCAACTGACCGTAAAGATGACCTTCCAGCCTGCAGCAAGACTCCCTCATTAGCCTCAATCCAATCAACAGGTTCCAATTATTATGATCAATTAATGGGAAGTGGTAATATACCCAAAGTTAAATCAATCTCACAATATGGTGCACTTTTAGCACAACAAGAACCACCTCCACCTTAATTGTCACCAACAAAACAGAACGAAACATTTTAATTGACTCAACTTGCGACATCGCCACCAATCAGATCAAAATTATCGCTTCAATAATGATCAACATTTTGTAAACTTACTGTTACAAATATTAAACTTTTCTACAAAAGTAAACCTTTACAAGATATAATCGAGATAATCTCAAGCTTAAATACACATAAGAATATCTATCGATTCTGATTCTTTTAATTTCCAAATTCCAAATTCGAATCAACAAAAAATTCGATAACTTTATTTTTCGACCGTCAGATGACGACACTTGTTTCATTGTTCTAAAAGTAACGGACCAAAGTTTCCAGGTAAAAGTTTCTTCACTTTGGATAACCAAAGTTTGGAATTTAATTGCTCACACAATTAGATTATTTCATGATCCAACATGGAGTTGATTTTCAATTCTCTTCTTGAAAAGTTGAGAAGAAAAAGTTTTCTTTCTGTTTTCTTTCGTTCTAAATGAAAACAGTACATCGAACTTACTTTTTGCAGATTAACTCATCTCGATAATATGAGAAAACAATTGACACTTTTGTTTATCTCTTTTCCCCCTGTGTTTTTGTTAGACAATGAATCAATTTCACCATGAACAATATACTAGATAATTCAATGAATTAACTATTAACAACGGTGATGATTACAATGTAATGAGATGATTACATATCCCAACCTAAAAGAATTTGAAAAAAAAGGTTAAGCCTAAAGATTAAGCAGCTGATTGTACACTAGAGATTTGGACCATTAAGCCGATGATTTAAATGATATATATGATAGAGGGAGAGAATGAGATTCAACATTACAATTGGCTGTTTGATTAATCGCTTGTAAAAGTAACAGTGAAAGTAATCAGATGAAAGTCAAAGCAATCAAAGTGAACAGGAAAACAAAACAAAAAATTATCGACAACATTTCATCTTGATCTGTATCTTTAACTTTAGGTTGTATCACTTATAAGACAAAAAGAGACCTGGAAAAGAAAATGAAAAACAATCAGTCTGATTGCCAATGATTACATTAATTGTATCGAATTGACAATAAATTACCTGAGCCTCAGTGTGTCAGGTCAACATGATTAATCATATAAAGAGTATCATAGTTACATGGTGGGTGAAAGGTGGATGGGGAGTGGGAATGAAATATCTCAGTAAGAAACTGAGAGAAATACATTCAGAACTAACTGAAGAAAATCTGAAAATTCGTGAGAGAGAGAAAGAGAGAGGGAGGGAGAGGGAGAAATAAAAGTAAGAGTAGAAATAAGTTACTACAAAGAGGGAGCAGAAAAGGACACTAAGAATGCAGAGAGAGTGAGAGAGATGATGATGATGACAAAAAAATACAATCATCATAATCATCATCATGAAAAGGTTTACCTTTGATCCTGAGTAATGGTGGGTAAACAAAATTTTTTTATGGTTGATTGTCTGAAATGTGACAAAGAGGAAGGAGAGAAAAGTAAGAAAATGGAAAGATGAAGATAAAAATGATGATGATGATGATGAGAAGAAGATGAAGAAAGAGAAAGAGAGAGAGAAATGAAAATGGAGATGGAAAAGTTTGATTATAAATGTAACTGAATTCACCTTACCAGAATGTATTAGGAAAAGCTATTAAGTACATGATGATGATCAAACAACAACAACAACAACAACAGTTACAACACCAACTACCCCACCTACCCATCCACCCACATACACAAGGACAACATGAACAACAATGAATGAAACTAATAACTTTTCCTGGTTTTCAGCAGAAAAAAAAACGAAAGTATAAAAAAGATGATGATACAAAATAAGAAAAAAAAGTTTCCATGTTATATTCATGTGTTATTATAAATTAAATCGATGATGATGAAGATCACCTTTTCTTATACACTTAGATAAATATACACCATGATCATCGTTTTATTAGATTCATCCCCATGTATCACATGATCAGATCGTTGATTAACCTTAACAGAAGAAGAGAAAACTTCATCATCATCATTATCATGAAAGACTCATTGGAAAACTGAGAAAGAAAGAGAGAGAGAGAGATGAAAAAAAAGATCAGAACTTGAACAAAATCAGAATAAATTATTGTTCCAGTCTATTGTTATAACTCTTTCTTTTTCTCTTTCTTTTTTTCATCTTCTTCATGAGGTTCATTTTTTGTTCATTCTTGGCATTCAGTGGATGAACATAAAAAAGATATATAACAAACACCTTAATATGATTCACAATGAAATAAAAGATAACCTTAATTTGTAAAGAACGAGGGAGAGAGAAAGTGAGTTGTGTGAATAATGTTCATAGTAAAGGGAAAAGGGAAGATGATGATGATAATGATGATGCCAAATGATTGCGTATGACATGATAGAGAGGAAAAAGTATATTAGATTCAAGGTAATGTAATAATGAAGTTTTGTGAAAAAAAGCATTACAATAACATTGTTTAATGATTCAAGGAATGAGAAGGAAGAAAAAAAGTTCAGCAGAACAGGTTAGAACTGAATAAATGGTTGGAAAGAGTTGAAATAAAATGGGAGAAAGAGAGAGAGAGAGAGAGAGAGAGAGAGAGAGAGAAATGGGAGGAGGAGGAAGAAATTAATGTAAAGATTCAGTGGGTGAAAAAAAGAGGAGTTGAAAAAAATGAACAGTTGAATATTATTATTGTTATTATTTTGGTTTTATCTTTTACTTTTCATTATGTATAATGAAATAACATTATCTACATAGAGAGTGAGTTTCTCTCTCTCTCTCTCTCTCTCGTTGTATATTTGTGAATGTAAAGACAATCTGTAAAAGTGATAATAGTGAAAGTTGAAAGTAAGTAAGTAGAAGTGAGTTTACCAGAGGATAAGGGGAGCAAATGATGAGGATGAAGATGAAAAGCTTTGATGATGATTATGATTATGATTATGATGATGATGTAAGTTAAAGTAAGTAAAGAAAAGTCTAAGGCAAATTATGATGGTGAAAAATGAAGGTTATCTCAATAGGAATTTGATTTGTTGTTGAATAAAACATCACACTGGGAGTCTGTTGAAAAGAAAGGCTGGTTTTCTGAAGGAAGAGAAGAAGAAGAGAGAAAGAGATTGAAAGATGATGATGAGAAGGATAATCATGATAATGATAATGATGATGAGGATAAGAAGAAGGAGGAGAAGATGAAGAAGAAGAAGGAGGTTGATGATGAGAAAGTGAATCTCTTTCTATTCCTTTTTTACTCTTTAACAAAGATAAATGTTTTCGAATGTGCTTATATACACTTACCATAGTATCCACCCTGTATGTCATCTCTATGTGTCCGAAGCAGGAAGATGAGAGTAACAACAAGGAGGAAAATGATTACCTCTTCTTCATCATAATCATAATCATAATAATCATTATCGCTCTCATCATCTTTAGTTTTCTATCATCCGCATCACTTTTTCCTCTTTCACTTTTCTTTAGGATTCTTTTTACTTTCTCTCTCTCTTTTTACTCTATTCATCTTCCTCTTTCCACCTCCTCCTTTTTATATATACGTCCTGCAAGAGATTCGTAAAGCAAGATGACCATAACAAATGATAATACACCATTTTCATCATGGAAACATATCTCATCTTGTCCTTTCGGATCATCATCATCATTATGCATCATTCACCTCATTATATTCAATCTTTCTGTAACCAATTTAATTCAGTAGGAAGAGAGAGAGAGAGAGAGAGAGAAACTTTCTCCTTTTCTCTTGTAGTTTATACATATTATTATTAATAACAAATGTGTAAGAACTGAAAAGTATCATCATCAACATCAACAACAATTGCAAAGGACAATGAATGAAAAAAAACTCACTACAAGAGGAAAAGATGAACTAATAATAATGTTAATAGTGTAAAAAATCTAGTTATTGAAATGATGCTGGTGATGAAAATGATGAGCAAAGAGTAACTTATGAAAAACATTATTCAGTCAAGTGTGGAAAGAGAGAGTGAGAGTGAGAGAGAGAGTCGGAAGTTTGGTGATTTATAACAACGAGAGGTCGATAGGGGGAATGATTAGACTTGAATGAACCTGAATCATGGTGATGTGGATGAAGAAAGAGAAAAGAAAAGAAAATGATAATGATAACAATAATTCAAAGCGAATCAGTAAAGAAAGGAAAAAGTGATTTAAATCAATAAATGAATTACTTCTACTAGAAAATGGAACAAAAAAACGGGAGGTAAGAGAGAAAGAGGGAGAAAGACGAAGAATATAAAGGCTAGAAAGGAGGATGAGTGAGACAGACAGAGAGAAAGAGAGAGAAGAGAGAGAGAGAGAGAGAGAGAGTGAGAGAGAGAGTCGGAAGTTTGGTGATTTATAACAACGAGAGGTCGATAGGGGGAATGATTAGACTTGAATGAACCTGAATCATGGTGATGTGGATGAAGAAAGAGAAAAGAAAAGAAAATGATAATGATAACAATAATTCAAAGCGAATCAGTAAAGAAAGGAAAAAGTGATTTAAATCAATAAATGAATTACTTATTAGAAAAGAAAATGGAACAAAAAAACGGGAGGTAAGAGAGAAAGGGAAAGAGGGAGAAAGACGAAGAATATAAAGGCTAGAAAGGAGGATGAGTGAGACAGACAGAGAGAGAGAGAGAGAGAGAGAGAGAGAGAGAGAGAGAGAGAGAGAGAGAGAGAGAGAGAGAGAGAGGTGAAAAGTTCTGAGAGAGTGAGAGAGACAGTGAGATATTCTGATGAGAAAGAAATCAGAATCATCGAGATAAATATATGTCAGAATGTCTCAGCTTACAAAATGAACTTTTTCTCTCACCAAAAACCACCCTCCACCTCCATCTTCCCACTCCCACTCCCACTTCTCTCTCTCACTTTTGATTCTTTCTCCTAAAATTATTGCAGAATTCAAATTCAATATGATAATATTTATATACTATTATTATTTATCATCTCATATTAACTTGATACTCTTCATGAATGTGGGTGAAGTTACAGTTTACCCAATGTGTGTACCCTCTTGTACCCTGTTCCCACTCCGACTCCTCTCATCTTGCTTAAATGATTACCTTTTCCTTTATTTTTAATATTCTCATATTCAGTTTCATGGTGACAGATAAAACTGTAAATGAAATTTGATTTCACCATTTGATTGAACAG